AGAGTTTTTCTACCTTCCTGAATTCTTGGAGAACCAGAACAATTTCGAGTTTGGAGCATTGCAGACGGGCAAGGTCATCCACGATGTAGAGCTTCCGAAGTGGAGTAAAGGAGATCCAAAAATCTTTGTTGCAAGAAACAGAGAAGCCTTGGAGAGTCCATACGTTTCAGCAAACCTTCACAAATGGATCGACTTGGTGTTCGGTTACAAACAGACGGGCGAAGAGGCAGTTAAAGCATTGAATGTGTTTCACCATCTGTCTTACGAGGGTGCAGTCAATTTGGATGATGTCGTTGATGATGTTGAGCGCCGAGCAGTTATCGGTATGATCAACAACTTTGGCCAAACTCCTATGCGCATATTCAACAAGCCTCATGCTGCAAGGGAGGTGTTGAACGGTCCAGATTTGTATCTTCAGATGCTTGATACGCAGAAACATCCTCCAGCGAGAACGTTCGAATCAAAGCTCAACATGCCTATTGAGAAATTGGAGGTCAGCGCTAAAACAAAGAAGTGGATTGGCAGGCCTTCGTGTGTTTCATCTGAAGATGATTTGTTGATTCGGAAGCCGCTGCTGCAAAGACTGTTGGTTGGGAGTGGCTCGCTTATCATCAATACCTCGTCGTTCATGAATCTACATCTGAGCAACATCACCGCAATTGTTCAACTTGGCGACAAAACCTTCGTGACGGGTGCCCTGGATGGTGTGATCCAGGTTTGGAAATACTTTGCCAAACCACATCCAACCGTCCGTTTCCAGCACATTCTCAGAGGCCATGAGAGCGAAATCAAGGCGCTCAAGTACAGCAAGACGTTCAAGATCGGAGTCAGTCTTGACAGCGACGAAAATGTCATTGTGTGGGATTTCTCCAGGTTCATGTTTGTGAGAAAACTCCGTGCTGGAAACTCAAAGAGAAGCATTGCACCGCTACATGTTTCCGTCTCCAACGACACAGGCAACATTACGATATTGAGCAGCACTCGATACGCCAACACAATCGAGGTTTTCACGATCAACGGACAAAAAATCATTGAGAAGCAGTTAGCGCCCGGCAGAGTGAGTGCTGTGAATTTTGCTGGACTCAATGGCACGTTGGTCGGTTCACCCAACGATATTCGCCATGTCTACTGGAACCACGAGATCGTGGCCGTTGCTTACGAGACCCCAAGAAAAGTTCTTCAGTTTTACGAGCTCGAATGCAGCAGCAAAGGATGGCAATTGCTGATGCTCCAGAGCGTGGCTTTGGACAATTATGTCGGAGGATGTGTCACATCCTTGGAGGTTTTCAAGCGTGCCGAAGCTGATAAGCAGGATAAGCTCTGCAGAGGTCTGCTTGCCGCTGTGCTTGGAGACTCTCAGGGAAAGGTTTACGTCATTGCGGAGAATTAAACGGAAAGTGTGATACGGCTTTTTTTTAGAGAGTTGGAGTTGAATACGGCCGTGTGTGGGGCCGGGGTCCGCGGGCAAGCTAACAATAGCCTGGTTGCTATACCACAGCAAATCTGCCAATGAAGCAGAACCATTGTCCCCTTTTTTTGGGATCAATGACGGTGGTACTGAAACAGGTACAGGGAAGAAGCACTGTGGCTTTGGGTTTATTTTTCTTCAGTGGGCATGTTTCCGAAGGACATGTTTCCGAAACACCCGCCGAGCCTGCAAAATCCACGATCTAACCGAAGCTAGACCAACTCGCCAAAAGCCAAAAACCCCTCAGAAGCTTAATTCTCAGGCTGTTGCTGGACCCTCGGACCCAATAAAGCCCCAGTGACCCAAAACATCATCAGGGTTACGGGGCGGCCCCCAAGCCACAAACAAAAATAACAAATAGCTAGGCAGTTTCAATTCCCGTGAATTGCCTTCTAAGCTCTTGGTCATCGGGGCGGCAGAGTTCATTATATGATCTACGGATCACTTTGAAGAAAAATAAAAAAAAAGTTGCTCCTTGCTGTCGGCTGCAAAATGGGCCTGCTTTCGGCCTAAAACGGCAACCCCCAGCGCGGTACAGTGTGGTGCCGATCTGCGCACCAGGATGGCGCAGTGTTGTTGCGCGGATTACCTGCAGGTCAATCTCTTCAATTCAGGTACCAGCCAATCCTTTACTCTAAGCCTCATCGGGGTAAGCCATCAAGAAAACAGTTCAAAAATATCTTGTGCAACAACCACTTGGTTTTTTTCCTAACATGATGGCCATTTCACACTGGCTTCCTCCCTTTTCCATGCAAACCTTGCTCATTTGCGTGCTTTGGTACCTGGTGCTGTCCTTCACTTCTCAGGTGACGAAGGTTATCATGGTGGAGTTGCCGTACCCACTATTCCTTTCACAGTTCCAGTTTTTCCTCGGGGCGCTTCTATCGATGCTGATGATCCAGATATCTCGAAAGTTCTCCCGTTTCCACCTCATCTTCCCCACAGGCACGGTGCCCCTGGACGGATCTAGTGCCGTGTTTGACAAACGCATATTCATCAAGGTGCTCCCATTGGGCGTGTTCCAGTTCACGGCAAAGTACTTTTCGCTTTGTGCCACGCTGTTGATCCCCGTGGCCACCGTGGCCAGCGTCAAGGCGCTCTCACCTTTGCTCATTGTTGTTGGCTACCGCTGTTTCTACAAGGTCCACTTCCCCGTTCTCACATACTTCCTGTTGGTGCCGCTTCTTATCGGCGTCATCATGATTATCATGGCAGATGCTGGCTTCTCTGCCCTGGCGTCGTTTGGACCTGTTTTGAACGAGGCTCACGTCAAAGGATTGCTCTTTTGCGTCTTTAGCACCGTGATCATGGCTACACAGCAAATCTACGGCAAAGAACTCATCACCTGGGATACCGGCGTAATCGCCAATCCCGCTTCCTTGGTCTTGAACACCGACAGATCCCGTGCAGTGACGCCGGAATTCGGCCCATACCCTTTACCAAAGCACGAAAGCACCTCCAACGACTTCCTTCTGCCCCTGTCCATCTTCAACAAAAGAAAAGATACCCTCAGACTCCCATACTCTGTGTCAGACTTGTCGCTCGACGAGAAAAACGAGTGTCTCCAGAACAGAGCCCAGCATTACGACATGGAGGTTCAGGAGGGAAACAGCGCTACTAATCCATTTTCAGCGCTTGCATCTGCTGTCAAGGGTGTCGGCAAGCCCGACAAGTTCACAGTCATCTTTTACATCTCCCTCATCGGCTTTTCCTTCTCCTTCAGCGGCTTCTGTGCCCGGGAGGCCGTCAGCTTATACAAGGACTTGTCGGAACCCATGCATTTCGAAGGAGCGCCCGATGAACACCACGACTTGGGCCGCATGCTCGTGTTGGTATTCATGAGCAGCTTGTCGCATTTCTGCCAAACGGTATTGGCATTTGTATTACTAGGATCGGTGCCGGCATTATCCTACTCCATTGCATCGATGATGAAGCGTATTGTGATCATTGTTGTCAGTATAATCTTTGCCTCGAGGCTCCTGGCGGGCACGGAGAATCTCTGGTTTGGTGCCTTGACGGGCATTCAAATCCAAGGTCTTTTGCTAATTGGACTTGGGCTCTACTTCTACGACCGCTGGGGCTCTCGAAGCCTCAAAGAAAACCGGGTCTAACCACGACCATAGCATAATAAAGATACCCATATTTTCCTACGAGGGCGAAAAAATGTTTGGAAAGGCTAGAATGTTCAGCTGAAATGAGACAGAGCCACCTCCCCAGACACGAAGCCTGCTTCAGTAGCTCCTCTTAGCCTGCTAAACCCGCAAATCCCGTGACTACCCCCGGCATTGCTGCCGTGACTAGTATACTCTGGTATGTGTTGTAGAGAGTCACAATTCTGGGATTCGAAATTGCTTTCGGAACTGTAGCTCTACAATAATACACATACGTGGTACAATAGAGAAGAAAAAAAAAATCGGGTATCACTGCATCTCTATATATACTGACAGTCGCGCGCGCCGGGTAACCCTTAAATATAATCTGTAGATATCAGATCCAGTTTAGATATACCAATCGGATGAAACTTTCTAGCATTTTCGGCGCTGCTTGTGTCGTTCAGGGTATAGTTGGGCTCGGGTTTAAAGCCCAATTTGTCAATGTCCCGGAAGAAAAGCTCGAATTGGAAAACAGAAGAGTAGGCAAGACCTTGCCCATTCACAGAAACTACCCATCAAGAATCGACGCTCAGATTGTCGGATTGGGATCCAAATACGGCGAATCTCACAAGTATCTCGTGAAAAAACTGTACGAATTTGACGTTGAAGATTTGGCCGTTGGAGAGTACGAGTTATTGGTGCATTCTCATGACTTCCATATTCGTAAGAACAGATACCGTGTTTCTGTTGGAGACAACGAGATTTCTGTTCTAGACGATTTCTACGGAATTGAGGAGGTCAATGCTACATCTGCACGTGTTGTGAGTGCCGAAAGCCCGCTTCAAATTGAAGCTAGTAAAATCAAGGTGTACGATGAATCGCCGCAAAACAAGCTTGTGGAGATGTTGATGCAAAGTCCGTTTGGCTTCATCTTCAGAAACAGATTGTACACGATTTTATTTGTGGTTTGCATGGGTCTTATGATTCTCCCTACGGCTATACTGTGGTTCTTCCCTGACTTGGCGGACCAGTTTGCTGAAATGCAGAAGGAAGCGTACGAGAAGCGGGCCGAAAGGGCAGAGGCCGAGAAGCGGGCCGAAAGGACAGAGGCCGAGAAGCAGCAGGCTGCGCCGCCCGTGAAGCCCTCCAAGTCGAAAAGGAGGGCATAGATTGGGGATTCTGAAAATTGCAAGTTGTCCATGGTTTGCATCCAGGCTCAGGCAGCTCCAATGGCATTGTGGGCCAAAAAAAAAAAAAATAGAGGATTGCTTCGGGAGAGCATAAATTTAAGATTTAACTTCATGGCACATTCTGAGACTAAGGACCGCTATAGTCAGATCTTACAATGCAGCATAAGTACTACCCCACTGCCTATGCTGCTCACTGCCTACGCTGCTCTGGGTCGTAATTCATAAATATATACGTTTATAAGCCAAACTCTATACCTTAACATTAATCTTAAAGCCGACAATGTACCAGCGGCTAACAATCCACAGAAGCGTACCCACAACGGAAAACACACCACAGAAAATAATGAAATTACGGTACTCTGTATCTGTACCATCACCAATAAGGGCTGCACCCACAGGAACACCAAACAAAATGCCAGTACTAGAAAAAGTATACATGAGTCCATATCGCTGACCGAATTTGTCAACCTGAGAAATGGAGCCCAAGCAGAGTGGCGTCAAGCCCAAAATCGAGGAACTGAAGAAACCACAGAAAACGGTAAAAGTGTAAAGGCCGGCCTTAGTGTGGCCCGCAGGAAGCCAGATGCAAAGAATCGAAATGACAAAGCCAAGAAGCATGAGGATCATCACATTGAAGGTTCCCACCTTGTCGGCAAGATGATTTGGGATATAACGGCCAAAAGCACCTGCAAGGTTGAAAAACGTCAAAAGGTACAAGGAGGCTGCCTCGGAAAGACCGTACGAAATAGCGTATGTGGCCAAGTAGGTGAGAATAGACATCAAGGCGATTTCTGTGCTGAAAACGCCAAACACGAGGTAGGAGAATTGCAAGTCCTTGAAGGCGGAAAGGTCAAAAAATGATTTGGTAGTTGTTAAAAACTTCTTGTGTCTGCCTCTGCCTAAATGGTCCAGGTCGGCTTCAGAAAGAACTCTTCTGAAACGAGACTTGACCAAAACCACCGCGGTTATGGAACCAGCAAGGCAAATAAATCCACAAATACGGATACCCCAGCCGAACCCCACGGCTGTGTACAAGCTGTTGAGAATAATAGGCCAGATAATGCCGCCAATGGAGCCTCCCAAAGTAGCCATCCCCATGGCCTTTCCTCTGTTGAGCATGAACCAATGGGAAATGGAGGATACCAACGGAGTGATTGCAAGCGCCTGAGCCGTACCCATGCAAATGGCAAGCGAGAAGATGAAAGCGACAATCAGCTTTGAAAAACTGACCGCTATGAAACCGACAAAAAGCAAAACTGTGGCAGCAATAAGAAGCGGCGTGGCTCCTCGAGAATCGAACACGGGCCCGACAAAAGCACCCAAGAAGAAAGGCAAGCACATGTAGATGGAGAAAACCCACGACACAGAACTGACTTTTTCACCTGCCAACTGATGGTTCAGCACGTAGGCCTGAATGGCGCCCACAGCGTTTAAAAAACCGAAATTGATCACCAACCCGATGAAGCTGCCCAAAACGACAAGCCATGCTTTCAAACCGCCATCGGGGAAATGGTCGTTGGGTTGTGGCTTCAAGTTGGCAAACACATTTTCCTGCTCATCGATCTGGAGTGGAGTATCTGTAGGAGAAAACGAAGTAACCGGTTCGATCGTTTCTTCTCTGGCCTGCAGGGTCTGACCCAGCGCCTGGGCTTGCGTTCTGTCGACCGTGACAACGTTAACTGGAGCCTCTGGTTTAGAGAGGATTTGGAGTTCAGTAGACATTGGTGAGGGATAGATGCGGCTTTCAGGGTTATATATGGTGGTACTGCGCAAATCGGCAAAACCGGCCGCGAGAGATTCCGTTGGATTCGGCGAATAGTGAAGGAGAGGTGGGTGGTTGTGTGTTTTAGAGAATTCGATGTTTATGGACGGATGGGATATGCATGGTCTAAACGGTGCCGTTGGTTTGACAGCCTGGGGTTTGCAGCCGTGCAGGGCGTTGTCTTAAGGCCGGGGTGCCGTTTGAAAAATGGGTATTTTGAGGGACAAAAAACGATTTCTGGGATTATGTTTCCACTATTTTGAACATAGGTTATGTCTTGTTGGGGCGCTTTCAGATCACCTGTCATCGACGTTGTTAAGGTAGGCCAAGCATCGGACATGCCGTACAATGGGCGCCAGAATATGACAGCGTTTGTCCGGGAAGGAGGCTGCCGACGGCCCGAGGAGGGTGTAATATGGCAGGAGGTTTGAAGTTTGGAAAATTTGAGTTTTGTTTTCTCGGAAGTGGGTGGAGGAGAAGTCGGCTTTTGAATGATGGAAAGTGAAATTTCTGCCAGACATCGAAACCACGATTTTCGAAATCAACAAATATGTCCCCCGCCATGTGAATGAAACTTCTTCCGAAACATTTTCCGAAAATCAGAAACGCCCTTGCCAATCCAAAAGGCGTTCTGCTTTTGCAGCCACCGTTTAGGCAATTCCGTCCGTGCAGTCTTTCCGTTGTACTACGCCTCGACATGCCTTATCGATATGTAAGGCTGACAGTTGCTGATACACAAGGGGTCCTCAGTGATTTGATAAAATCGTACTATTAATTCACGCAACGTCGCAATTGAAGCTATCTTCAGAAACTTTCAAAAAAAGTATGAAAACCAAATTCTCAACAACTCCTACAATGGATTAGCCGGACCCTTCGATGCACATCCTCCGGGTCTATTGCTCTACACCATGTGATCTGAAAAAGCATTCTTTAAACCCCCGGGCACTGTCTAGTCGTTGTTATACACAATCTCCTTTTTCGCCTCGGCACTGTAGTTTGGTTTTTGTCCGTCAAACTTGGGATTGTTCCAGCCGTTAACATGGTCAAAATCGGTTTTCGCCCATGCTGCAAAAGGATAAGTTGGAAGCGTTTTCACGGGCTGATCGGCAGCGATTAGACCCTTTTCAATTTGCCTCTCAATGAGTTCATCCAAATACGGCGAAATGTGGTCTCTGAAAAGCTCAAAGTTCTTGTACTTGACAATGTCACCAGGACCCTCATACAAAATCTTCCGGATAAGAGAAGGCACCATGGGCTCGTCCTTCATCTCGTCAAGCGAGTAGTAGACAGGGTGATTGGTGAAGATGATCGCCTGCGATTTTGGTAATCTTCTTAAAGTCTGTCTTTCCACCCTGACATTGAAAGAGCCTGGTTCGGTCAGTTTCATGCTTTCTTCCAAATCAGGCGCAAACTCAGGAAGCTGGTACACATTGCTCATTTTAAGCTTGTGGTCCCAGCTCATGTACCAGGATGCTCTTTCCACGGGGTCGTTTGGCGAAAGACGCTTGAACCATTTTTCCATAGAGTTCTTAAGCTTTTCCTTGTAGTAAGGCACATCCTCGTGAATGGCGTCAAGATGCTTGCCGATTTTCGTTGAAATGTCAAAAGAGCCGCCTGGGAATGGCACGGCAGCAGCCACAAGACGGTGCTGGTCTTCTTCTGGATAGTACTTCACAACGTAGAAATCCTCTTTTGCCATTTTCAGAACATACACCAACGGGTGGTCTTTCAAAGGAAGCGTCATGTCCAAAATCTCGTGAGTGAGTTGGTTTTTGACCACACGGCCTTTGCTTTTCTTATCTATCAACACGGTGAAAAGCAATGGGTATCTTTCTAGCATATGCTGAGTTACAGTCTCCATAAGCTCAATGCAAGCGTCCTCCGATTCGGGCAACCAGTCAATATTTTGCTTTCCATACTTCATAAAAACCCGCTTTTTCTCCTCATTGTAGTGCCAGTAGTACTTGTCCATATCCAACCAGTGGTTGATGTCTAGCTTGAAAATCGACATGGTCTGGTGATAAGGCCATCTGAACGGTCTCCAGGGTCTGTCGTCATAATTTTCAACCTGCTCCGGAGTTATCATCAAAGGAGTTGGTTTGGGAAGCTCCTTCTCCGAAGCATAGGAGCCCTTTCTGCTCAGAGCTGGTGTTCCTGGGTTCGAAACACTGATGTATTTGCGGTAGTACTTTGTTGAATAGAAAGCCAACTTGGTGCGGACTTCCTTGGAAGCCAAAAGCACCACCAAGGCCAAAAGAATAAATTGCCACATGCTGCTGGCCTGCCAGAGCCTAGGTGTGTGTGTTTCTTATAAACCGTTGCTGCTGATAATGGCTGCGAAAACCCTTATCTATAGTGAGCGGATGAAGGAAACTTTTACCCAAAAGGGCATATGGAGACCCAGCTGCGAGGGAAGCTTTAGAAAATGGAGAAATCGGTTCCGGTGGTGCCATGTCTGAAATATATTTTGTGTTAGATGCACTGGCACTTTTGACTAGCGGGTTTCTTCGCTGAATGGGGAAATGATATGAGAGTGAGATGGGATAGATAATACCGATGGGGATGGTAGAATCAGGAGATCTGGTGTGCATTTGTTTATGGCTTGATTTGGCTTTTTCTAGAAGCTGTGGGTTTGATCCACTGCAGAATGGCGATCTGGTGCCTGATCACGCATATCAATGACAGATAGAATCTCCACGTTAGCAGATGGTATCATCTAGTTTGGCAGCCAATTAAACATTCTAATTAGACGGAAAAGGGGCACTTGTGGGGCACTTTGATGTTGCCGTTGCATCTCCATTGTCCTGGACTGACACATATGTGGGGTCAGGAGTCCAGATTCCAGAAGAAGGCAGCAACGAAGGGATAGAAGGGACTTGTATTTGGGTGATTTTTACTTCTGAGATTTGTATTTAGTTAACCCTTTGTTTGGATAATGCTAACAGATAACAAGGGTTGAAGTTTGGGAAATTCCGGAGGGGAAGTGTCAGGGTGTATTCAGATCGAGCAGTACTTGATATTTGGGATTTGGATACGATCGAAGGACGTCGATTTAACTTCACTGGCATTAAGTTGGTTAAAGCAAATTTTCGTTCTCTGCTTGAGAGTATCAATCACTTAGTGCTCAGACTATGCAACAAGGTGCTTAGTTCGACCACATAAGTAAACTCTCCATTAATTTGATATTCCTACTTCTTCTCAATTTACTTTTCTTTCTCAAACTCTTTGATAACTTCCCGATTGATCTTCCTTAACAGCCTCAACAGGCAGTATGGTGCTCCAATGGCCTGTCCTAGGTAATGCATGCCTACCGGTCATGGTGAGGTCATAGAAACCACACAACCGATAAACCTACGTATATTAAGGGTGGGATCGATCAAAGCTCGTTTCTCCAATTGCATTCACTTTTTCATACCTGACTGAGTTTCAAAAGGTTGGATCTCCTGGGTACCGGTCTCTACGACATATATCAAAAGGTACCACAATTCTGAATCTCTAGTGATCGATTCTGACCATAAGCAGTATTATCCTAGCATTATGTCGTCCTTTGATTCCCTATTCCCTTTCTTTCGATTTCGCTTATACTGTATCTGAAAATTTCAGAATCCCCGAAGTACTGCTAACTCAATAATCAGATAGGCCATCCAGTAACCCACAACACCAGAATGCAATTACCATTGAACCACTAGCGTAGTAGAAAAGTGAAACAAGTACGAACCATCTCCTTTCGATTTTTCATCCGTCACAGCCAATTGACCATCTATAGACTCAAACCGACCCTCATCTGAACTACCTCCATCCCTACATTCCACTCTCCCCATCCTCTATCTCCCTCTACAGCATTCTCTCTTTAAATGTACATTTATGACGAATAGGCTCGCCCCGCGGGACAGGCACTATCTACATTAACCTCCACAGAGCACCCGTAGCAAACAGCAGCAGCAGCACTCTTACAATCTTCTACCTCTTCTACCACCCTTTCTTCTGGTGGAGTCGGAAGGCACTGGAGTGACGTCCTCGATTCTGCCAATTCTCAAACCAGATCTGGCAAGAGCTCTCAAGGCAGACTGACCACCAGGACCTGGGGTCTTGGTCTTGGTACCACCGGTGGCTCTGATCTTCACGTGGACAGCGGTGATGCCAACCTCCTTACACTTGGCGGCGACGTCCTGGGCAGCCAACATGGCGGCGTATGGAGAGGACTCGTCTCTGTCGGCCTTGACCTTCATACCACCAGTGACTCTGGAGATGGTCTCCTTACCGGAGAGATCGGTGACGTGAACAAAGGTATCGTTGAACGAAGCGTAGATACGGGCAACACCGAAAACTTGGGAACGGTCGGCAGACATGTTGATGTTTCTGGTTAGTTGGAATTGAGATTTTTGGAATCTGATGGGTAGAATTTTTTGTTCTGCGCGTGCAGGTCGGGCTCGGTGCGTACGTCACGTGGAAGCATGGTTTGTTAGGGCTCGAGCCCTATGTCTTACCAACAGCGCACGTCAGACATCTTCAATCCGGCGAAAATGGCTCTCAGTAATGTTTTCTGAATAATAGGAAGCTTTTCCTGGTATTTCTCAGGCCCCACAGCCCCTGGTTCGCTCGATAGTGACAACTCTGTTGGGCCATAGTTAATACGCACCCGTACACCAGCTTACCCCAGGACGTCTACACCTCCATCAATTTCAACGAATATTCCATAAAATCGAATTCCAATGGAAGATTTGCAATCTACAAGCTTATCTGATCACTTTGGTGGTAGTATCACCCGCCAAACTCACCTACACTCTCTCCAGAGTAGCCTCTATTAATAAATGTACAAAATACCCCCGGCACGCTTAGTACACGAAACCCAAGATCTTACCGGAAACGTGCTTTCTTCTGGCCTCCTCGTGGTCCATGATACCAGCAGAGGTGGTCAAGATGACGTAACCGAACTGTCTGGCTGGCAACAAGTTGTCAGTCCATCTCTCAATGTCACCAATCTTGACGTTGAATCTTGGGGAGATGACACCACACTTGTTCAATCTACCGGTCAACTGGACAACGATCTTACCGGATCTGTGGTCGTCGATGTACTCGAACTCACCAATGTAACCGTGCTTCTGCATAACCAGCAAGAACTTGATGATGACCTTGGAGGAAGGTCTGATCAAGACCTGACGCTTACCGGTCTTCTCGGCGTTGTTGATAGCGTTCAAGGCGTCAGCCAAAACGGAGGTTCTAGTCATTATTTAGGGTTTGTAGATGAAGGTGGAAAAACGAGTGAAAAATTTAGGTCGCGGTTGGCACTCTGTGGTAGGTACTGCAGGTGGGGGCCGTTTTGCGGGCCCTTTTAGCAGTCACAGCGCTTGCAGTATGAGGACCATTACACCCGTGCACCTCACACTCTTCAATGGTGGGGCTGTCTGCAGGCCCTCGTAGCCTCCTTCTCACCAGAAAAAATCTTCAGTTTCTAATCTCTTCACCAACTAAAATGCCAGTATGTACAGATCCTACTACGTGAAAGGATAGCAGATTTGTATCGATGAGATCAGAATGAGGCCGTGGTTAATTATATTTATGACCTGAAACGCTCCAGCAATACTGGGTTAGACTATCCAGTCTCCACTATGAAGATGACATCCAAAGACCCAGAGCAAGACCCAAGCAAGCTACCATAAACCCACACGGTATAGCATATCCAAATTCCTTCATTCTCCAATCGTCTGCAACCATCACACATCCTCCAATACCAAGCGTATACTAACTTCCAGGCTAACAAGAGCTTCCAGATCAAGCAGAAATTGGGCAAGGCTTCTAAGCAGAACAGACCTTTGCCTCAGTGGCTCAGATTGAAGACCAACAACACCATCAGATACAACGCCAAGAGAAGACACTGGAGAAGATCTAAGTTGAACTTCTAAGCGTTCTGGTCAACTTTGTTAGGTATATCTAATACACTCATGCAATAGAACCGCAGCTGTAGTACAAGAACGGGGCATTACCGCCTTCATGAACTCACCATTTGTTGGATAGAATGAAGAGGAATAAGCAATCGTCGGTGGTGATAATCCGTCGTTTTAAACTCTGACCAGGATAGTGATCAGTAGAAGTATTTATGAACTATGTCAATCTGAAAACTTCCTGAGACCTTGAAATATGAATTTGTTGTCTTCAAGACTACTGATACAGTTTATTATCACTGATTACTTGTAAACCTTGGAGTTCATTGTGCTCTCGGACATGGTGAAAAATTACCTGTCAAACCAAGCTTCGAGGTAAAACGCGTTCAATCAACTCCCGGCTCAAAGAGCCGTCTTTCTACATCCTAGCCTGTTGTTAAATATTATTCCAATCCGTATTTATAAGAATCCCGCTTCCTACACCTCCTCCTCGAACACAGTCTCGATCGGCTTCTCCATGAAAGAGGCGTGGGACAAAACACACACAGCCAGCGAACCAATCAACCACATCATCGTGGAGATGGGACTGGCCAAGAAACCCAAGGGAACAGCCACGCAGATCAAGCCCAACTTCAACTGAGAGCTGTTGAAACGTCCAACGGGCAAAACCAAGTCCTCGCCGTTCAACTTCATGATACCAAAGACACCCAAACCGACGAAAGCGATCACGAAAAGCAACAACAAATTCGTAATAAGGGCGTAGATGCTCAAGGCTGAAACAATCAAAATGTAGTTGGCCTGGAAGTAGCCCAAGTTGTAACCGACACGAGACTGAATCTCACCAAAGTCAGCAGGCTTCGAGAGTCTTCTGAAATCAAAGAATTCCTGTGGAGGCTTGATTTTGGAGACGGTTCCTTGAAGATAGGACACGTCGCTTCTGAGTCTCTCCATCGTGAATCTCTCGGAGAGATTGGAAAGCTGATGTTAGTACATAAAGCAAAATAGGAAAGAGTTTTAATCAGATATCAACATACTGGAATGTAGGGAATCGTGAGGCCAGACATATTTAATGAGGAGGTCTATGTGTTTTTCTTTGAATGAGGCTATCGAGAACCGCGCCATGACAGGACACCCGTGCACCAAATTTGCAGCCGTTACAAGTTGAGGTCCTTCTTCACCATAGCTCTGCAAATGGGGTGGTAACGAGACTCGAATTTTTTGAAATAGCTCACTGCAAGGTCGTGGTCGACGCTGGCCAAAAGCCTGTATCCAGGTCTAGCGAATTTCATTCTGCCCACCGTGCCGAGCCATTCACCGAGCTGATCATAGAACCTTCTGTTTTCTCCACCAACTTGCAAAACAAACCAACGGAAAAGAACTTCAGCGTTGGACGATGTGGCGTACGCGTGGTATACCTGGTCAAGAACATGCAAGGCGCCTCTGAAGTCCTTCCACTTGAAATCGTCAAGCTTGTCGAAGGACGACATGGTTTCCAAGAAAACGACAGACTGGTTGGCGGTGAAGCTCTCGATGTCAGAAGGCTTGAAGAGCTGGGTCAAGTCGTCATTGTTACGCGTAGCGTAGATCCAGCGGTCTGCCAAGCTGTAGACTTGGTCAACCAAGGTGGTGTCGAAATCAGGCTTCACAGGTGGCATGCCAGGCTTATAGAGCCACAGCTCCCAGTCGATCAGATCGAGCTTATCCTTGTGGTCCTTGAAGAATGCATAGAGTGTATCCATGAACTGGTAGGTGTCGAGCGACGAGTACTTGAACTTGTTGAAGTAGTGAGGAATGAATGGGTCAAACACTTCTTTGCCGCCAACAGTGCGTTCAATGAGGAAAAGCAAGTTCGATCCTTTTTCGTATGGAACGGTGGAGAATGCATCGTCCGGGTCGCTGCGGTCCTTCAAGTCTTGCACCAACGTGGAGTATCTTTCTGCTGAATCGCCCATGGCTTTGATGCTGTTTTCCAAATCGGACCATCCGATAATCGCCGAAAAGTGTCTTGTGGCCTCGCCGTGAATAGCTCCTTGAATTCTTCTCTCCAAGTAGACGGTCCAGCCCTCGTTGAGCCAGAAGTGCTCCCACGAGCAGTTGGTGACAAGGTTGCCAGACCACGAATGGGCAAGCTCGTGGGCAACAACATCCACGTTTTCTCTGTCGCCACTGATCAACGTAGGGGTCACAAAAGTGGCATTGGGGTTCTCCATACCGCCGTAAGGGAAACTCAGAGGCAACACAAGCGCATCGTACTGGTCCCATTCGTATGGAAACACCAACTTCTCTGCAGCCTGCAAGAAGTTCTCCATGTCGTGCTCAAACTCGTGCTGGCACGCCTGGACCCTGTTGGGCTCACTGTAGACGTGGGAACGGGGTCCAATGGGCAATTTGGTGATGTCTCCAGACGCAATTGCAACCAAGTACGATGGAATGGGGATGGGCTGTTCGAACTTGTAGGTGTTGCCGTCCACGGAGGCCGGTCTTCCGCTCATCAACGTGGGGAGTTTCAGCTCCACGGAGAAGGAGTAGGACGATTTGACTGCTGGAGTATCGAAGAATGGGAAGAGACTTCTGGCATGGATCGCCTGGCACTGGGAGAAGAAGTATGGGTCTTTCTTGCCGTCGGTGGCGTCCTTCTCGAGGAACTGCAACGCCGTGCACTGGTCTGTCGTGTTCCACTCGAGATCCAAGTCGAATTTCGTGTTCTTTGGGATCTTGGCTTCGATCTTGAATTCCGAGCCCAAAATGCCTCTTTCGCCGAAACCAAAAGCAGCGTTCTTGCCGTCGACAGCGGCGCTCTTCACGTCCAAGTACGACGAGTCCAACGCCACGCTATCGACGTCCTCAAGCGTCTCCAACGCGATCTTGGCCTTTCCGTGGAGAATCTTCTTTTCCCAGTCGACCTTGAAATCCAACCTTGTGTGGTGAACTTTGAACTGAAAATAGTTCAGCAACGTGGAGGGGTCCCTCTCAGGCAGGGACTGCGGGCGGTGAGGGGCGATGACGTCCATTGTGGGAAATTGGAGAAGTTCTTTCTGAAGAAGGTGTATCTAAAGTATGGAATCTGCGCGCCATACAGTGGAGCGGCACTAGTTGATGATTCTGGGGCGTTCACAAAAACAGAAAAAAAAAAAAGGCCGTTGATTTGATGGGTTTTTTTTCTTTTTAGGTAACTTGTTTTTAGATAAGTTGAGCAATTTGCTTTCTTGTCAAAACGGAATCTTGAACGCAACGGTCAGAGACCAATTGCGCTGACGCTGTGCGCCAATATCGAGAGTCCACATTGACGAGAAGCCCCGAGAAAACGGATGTTTTTACGGCGATTTGCGCCGAAACGCCGAAAATAGTAGTGTTTGCGTTTTGACGTTGCCGGGGCCTTTTTCGGGAACTTATTGAAACGGTTTTTCCAAAGGGCTTATCGCTTATCGTCGTTTCTGTGGCGCCTCCAAAAGTGCAACATTGGCATTCCGTAGGGCTCATTTCGCTCGGGGCCTAGCGGTTGCTTTTAGACATTTTGCAGCAGATAACGGTCGTAGCGGGTTATGGGTGATTTTGGAGTTTTCTATTTTTTTCTATAAGCCTTCTCTTTTTGCTTATTTTGATTGACCGAATGGCGATGTTGGGATCAATCGACAGGTCGTCTTAATTGGCCATTTAAAGAAGTGCTTCAGCCAGATCTTGCAGCCATATCAACGCTGACGTTCATTACAAGGGTCCGCTCTATATCTGGAACCAGCAAACTCTGCACCACATTGTCTCAGCCCGAAGATTTCTTCCTTTTGGAGATTAAAAAAGCTTACCATATTTTCAAATTATGCCTGGCACTTTGCTTGTTTTCCAAATCAGTTCTGTCTTGGCTCCGATAGCATTGTTTGTCGATCCTCACTGACGTCAAGAAGCCGAGCCGACCAGACCAGAAAAGTTCACACAAAAGGCTCATCCACACAAAAGGCACATCCATAGACAAGAAGGCAGCAAGCGTCCATTGACAATAAAGCCACAATCGATTTTTTTTGCGATTTTACCAAAAAACCAAATCTTCTATTGTTTGGATTTATGCATCCACGTCGTGGTACCCTCACCGGAATACCTTGTTTGATTTCACCCCAAAAGTCCGAACACAAAAAACCAATGGCCAGTTCGTCATTTTTGGACTCTCCCAACTTTATCTCAGGTCTTTAATTCATTGATTTCCGGAGAAATCACGGAGTTTGTGGATTGTTTTGGTTACGGTCACGTGACCCGGACCCGTACTCCACACAGCTTGAAACTCAACCACTCCACCACCTGGTTCTTCCCTTTTTTTTACATCCACTCGCTGGCAATGCCGCCCGAAAACGTCCCATACGGAAATAAGGGCCTTGCTAACTCCATGGAACTGCCATTGCACAGGCTCGAACAGGAAATTGCCAAAGACCTCAGATCGGACAAACTGAACAAGAGACCGTCAGATACAGCCTCCATCTACTCCTTTGACTCCGTGTCAACGTCAGGCCGCTTGCTTGATCGTCTAGATTTGGACAGCGAAGACTACGATGAAGATTTCCTTCGAAGACGAGAATCCTATGCCCTGATCCAGTCTACTGGACGCCTATTGGACCGTTTGGGTCTTGATGATGATGGAGAGGAGGCCCTGCTGCCGCTGCTGCTTCATCTGGGAGGTTTGCCCAATGTGGGCGGTGTCGATCCCCGCTTTAAACCGGTCCGAGCCTCGTCGGCGATCAGCTTGAACAGAATGAAAAGCGCAGCTCACAGACCACCCATGAGGACATTGAGCTCTCAAAGCACGTCTTCCAGCAGCCGTGTCCCCGTGCAAAATGTCGGTTCTGCGCCGTTTAGGCAGCCTTTCGAGAGGCCTGGTGCTTCTGTGGACTCGTTCCATGCCGATGTGAATTCTCCCAATAGTCTGTTCACTCGGCTCAATATGGCCCAAAGGTCACAATCGCTGGCTTCGCCTGACCCTGGAAGTTCCTTAAAAATGCCCGGAAGCTTCGAATCTGAGTCTGAAAGGAAGTCGTTGGATACCGACGGCTCTCTGGATACAACTTCACCCTCCCAGCTGCCCAAAATACCCGTACACGCTCCATTGAAGCCAGACTACGGTAAAAGGCTGGCCTCAGGCTCGTCTCAAACGTCTACATCCTCCTTGGAGGTCCCAATTTTTAACCCCAACGCAAAATTCAACCCCGCATACGAATCCATGGTCAAACAGGCGCTTCTGCTAAGAAACCACAACGACAGAGAGGCGCTGTACCAGCTACAAATCATCGGCAATGCGCCCAACAACTACCCAAAAGCAATGTATCTATACGCCATGGCCCTCCGGTTTGGCCTCGGTGTCAAAAAAAATGAAACCTCATATATCAAGTGGCTATGTCGGTGCATTCTTGTATCGCAAATTGTCGAAACCAACCCTGTGGACCCACCTTCGCTTAACAACTACGTCAAAAGGCTCCATGAGCTCCAACCACAGGACTTGGTCAGAATGGTATGCAAACAGACATCGGCTGCTGTGGACCCATTCGACTTGTACGACGAATTTCTGCGAATGAGCTCCTCCGTCATTTCCAAAATCATCACCCTCAACAATAAAGATAACAATACGCTCGCTGCTGCCTACCATTTACTAGGTGAGGCTGTTCTTGTCGGTTCAGGCTTGCCAGCCAAAGATACAACATCGGCCATTCAACTTCTCAGCAAGGCTGCATCCTTGGGCTTTTCACACTCAATGGTGAAACTAGGCGAAATGTGGGCACTAAATCAAAACACTATAAAAAAGATTTCCACAAGTCGGCCGCTTGGCTACGTCTCGCTGAGTTATTTGGCAAGAAGGATATTGGCAATAGCTGGATCTACAAGTCCAAGTACATGGCCAGGCCCAAAAAATAGATTAGCTATATTTCTTTCCCGACTGGAAGGTGTACTTATTACCCTCATTCACTTCCGAACCGTATACCTCCATGAACTCTCGGAGACAGCAATATAGATATCCACAGGCATCCCGTAGGTCTGAGTAGCACCCTAGAGGAGCGTAGTACTTGTCCAGAGCTGGATGAAGCGGTAGGTCGGTATTGGCTTTTTGAACCGGCGTGGCTCTGTTATGCCAGCTTTTGGGGAATACTGTGGATGGCGAAGGGCAAAGAGTGAAAAACGATTGTGCTTCGGCGAGTGTGTCTGAAATTGTTTGGTGATGGTCGATGATTTGGGTCTGGATTTCGACGGTCTTGTTTCTGGAGTCCAGAGTCTCGGCAGCTTTCCGGAGGCTCTTGGTTATACGCTTTATTGCAAGCGCTTTGAGGTTGGTGAGAACGCCCACAAGAAACGTCAAATACGCCTTTTTCTTGTCTTGGACATTGTGGGTCTTGATGTACTTTTCGATACGAGAAACAAACGGCGGGATGCCTTCAACGTAGACGCCCCAAATCCGCTCAGCGCTGCTGCTCGTAGCCTTTTCTTCGTAGTCACTGGCAATCGCTAGGCAGAGCATCCAGTCGAACTGGATCACCACGGAGAAAAGCGGGTCCTTGGACCTGACGCGATCAGCATGGGCACTGGCGGATTTGGCCTGTTTTTGCCAGAAAAGTACCGGCTCCTTCTTCTGGCCAGGGCTGCTGGGTTTCGATCCAGCCTCTATGATGCCCAACCCCTTGAGCGGTTTTGGGTGAAGGTTTCTGAGCGCCGCCAGCGGTAGCGACATTCTGACGAGAAAACGTGGCTTTTTCGGGTCGCTGAGTTTGTTAATGAAACGGACTCTGCCCTTGGGTGAAGCCTTCTTAGGCAGTTTCCCCTGAACCTCAGGCGTATTTTCCGCCTTGGGCTCGAACATCGTCGGTAGCGTGGGCGAAAGAAGCAGAATCGGCAAATTGTCAATATCCGAGCCATTGCTCAGTCTGGACGGCTCTTCGTCGTTATCTGACGGGTCGTTTTCGTCGTTTTCGTAGGACCCCATGAAATCTGGTTTGGCGAATTGAGGCGGCAATGTCGGCGAGAGAAGCTGCGGTAGCTGGCCCAGCGTGACGTACAGCGACACCATATCGTCGACGTTCCACGGCAAAGTCTTGGGAGCCAGAGCTGGCGTGGTTGGAGCTGGCGAGTTGGAAGGTGCTGTGGACGGCGAAAAGGGCAGCTGAGACTTTGCTTTTTTCAGCGAAAGCGAACGGCGGAGCCCTCGGGGTTTAGAAGGCCTCTTCTGCTCCAGAAATATGGCAGACTTCATCGGCGTTAGGGTGTTTCTGGAGGTGTTTCTGGAAGAGTAGTAGGAGCAGATCAGATACCTCACCTGGTGCTCTGCATGTGGGGGAGTCTCAGGCAGGAGGGTAAAGTGGTGGGAATCGAGGGGATATATATATGAGGAGATTCTAGGATATTTGATTTGGAGTAATTGAGGAGGATTTCTTTAATTTGGTCAAGGGGCCGAAATTTCAATAGGGGTGGCAGTTTCGGAGTGTGTCTCGGTACCAATCCGGAAGCATCCAGGGTGCTAGCCGAGAGCGATTGAGCATAAAGGTGCGCCATTCACCGGAGTGGGGGTATTGACTTTTGAACGAGTTTTTGAGATTTGAAGGTTTTGGATTTTATGGTTTGTGGTTTTGAGATTGTGGTGCATTTTGGTTAAGGGCACTGGGTGGTCCAGGAAGATGGTGTTGGATGGTATGGTCAATTGAGCAAAGTATGGGACTCAATTTTTCACGCACTGGTTTTAAGTGGCCATTTGAATGAAATCATAGTAATTGTGGTGTAGAATTTGGATGCTCTGGCGACCAGTAAGGTTGGTTTGTGGAATTGTCGGTAGCGACCAAGGAGGCTTAAACGATATTAGCTAGGGCAGTAGCTTCAAAGTTTTAAGTAAGAGGTATCCTGTTTTGAGCATGGTCCTCTCCTTTTTTGATGTAAAAGCCGAAAGAGCAATTCTAAGCGGCCGTGCGCTTGTATCCTCGAAGATATCAAATTCGGTTTATCCCAAAGTTATATGTTTCGGCAACCATACTGGGGGACCTCCTCGGCGGTCGGTTGCAAAGGGTTCTGTTTACGTTTCATGTATGTTGTGCATATAACCAGTTGTCTCTCGTAAATATGCAGCCAGATTGTGTTGATCCACATTTGTGGTCCGACTCTATCGAGACCCAGACATCATAAAACTTTTGCAAACGAATGCCTGATACCAGATGTTGGTTCTTGATAATGTCCCTGACAAAGGTGTCCACATTTTATTGCTCGCATCCTGCGATATAATCGGAAGACCGCTGCGTGTTCCGGGGACCCTTAAGGCTATGACGATGTTGCTTCAACGGCATGTCTGTCTTCAGCATATAATTGCCTCGTCAAAGCCTGTTCCTAAAAAGTAGGACATACGGACTCTCGTTGAAAAGAACTATAAGCATAGTACATGGTGAATTCGTCAGACCACTACCTTGAGTCCTTCTACAAAGCTCTTTTTTTTTTTTTTTTTCTTATTTTGTATACTTTCTTATCGTCACTCGGCGACTGGTATCAGTCCACCTTCTCAAGGCGGACCTCAAAATCTGAGTCGCTCAAATCTGCATCCCAATAACGGACCATCTCAAATAGGGAAGACTGTTCCGTGCTGTCCAGCTCGTACAGCTCGTCAGGCTGCAGGTTCTGTGGATTCCCCGTAGGCTTAGTAGCAAAGGTCTCGGTGGGGTTGTGATTCGGAAGCTTGAAAATGACTCCAACGTATGAAGTCACCTTCTCAACTCGGCTCTTCCAGGGAACAAAGCCCTTTGGAAAGTATTCCGAATCCAGGCGCTCCAGGGGATGTTAGGCGCATTTGGGGAAGTTTCATCGATTTCAGGAGCCGAAAGGTGTACTTCAGGAAGCACAGGCTCAACTGAATCGATGATGTTCTGCAAGAAGCAGAAGTCCTGGGAAGGAAGCATTCATTACTCTTTTCGTTGAAGATACTCTGCCAGTGGAAAAAGTCCCTTGGCAAAAATGAACGAGTATCTTCGTCGTTTGTGGCATCCTTCCAAAAGTAAAAGTCATTTGGAAGAAAATCCTCGTTGTACTTGGGACTGGAAGTCCAGAGCTGGAAGAATTTGCAGAAGTCCTCGGGAAGTAGACCTCCTGAGTCTTCACAGGCTCCTCAGAGTACAACTCAAACTGCTCTTCATGCAAGCAGAAATCGTAGTCGGATAACTCACCATCAAGCGACTCAAGCCCGTCAGCAATGAGCTGGAAGCTGAAGAGGTCGGTGACGAAAAGGTGTCCGTCATCAACGAGAAAGACTTTTTTTGTCTTTGTGGTCCTCTTCTTCAGTGGGTCAAGAGGCAAGAGCTCGTCAATAATGAGTTGGAATTCGAAAAAGTCCTCAATGGTGAAAGACTCTTCAGACTTCTCGGACAAGGCGTCCTGCCAGAAGTAGAATTCCTTTGGAAGGAAGGAAATTTCCTCCTCCTTGAGGGACTTTCTGAAGTAGTGAAAGTCGCCTGGAAAGTAGGTCTTTTCAGTCTGAGACAAAGACGACCAAGTCTTGAAAACGGGGAAGTCCAAGGGCAAAAGTGTTGCCACCTGGATGTTGTTGGTGACCAGCTTAGGGGAAAATGCTGGGGTGGTAACCTCTGGTTCAGGCTGAACTGGGTTGACTGGTTCAGGCAGATTTGGTTCTTCGACCTGAACTGGGCTGACCTCGGGTTCTGGAGATTCCTTCACCTCTGGACATGGTTCATTCTTTTGGGTCAAATACAGCTCAAGGTAAGAAATCTGACCTGGGTTGAGCGGTACAAAGTCCTCAAGAATGAGCTGGAAATTGAAGAAGTCGGAAATGTAGTAGGAGTCACCCTCGTTGGAGAGGAACTTCTGCTTGGACTTCTTCTTTTCCTTGGTGGGCTCGACAGGCTTGGAAACCTGCTGAGCTGGGGTGGTGTTAGTAGAGTCACCTTCGTTGGAAGGCTTCTCCTTGACTTCGTTGGAAGGAAGAGGATTCTCATTGGTAGTACGCTTTCTCTTGGAGCGCTTTCTCTTCTTGTCCTTCAACTTCTTTTCCCTAATGTGGGCGTCACTTTCCTTGAGGCTGCCTCTGTCAGTGGACGACTTCTTAGGGAAACTCTTCTTCTTGGATGCTTTGGTGATAGTGCTGGCGGTAGAAACGGCGGGCATTTTTGATTGATATGTGGTGGATAGAGAAAAGGAATTCAGGGAACATGGACTTTGCTTTATAGTCCAAAGGCCTGTTCTACGAAATAATATTTTACGGTCTTGATGGTCACAAACATGGGTTTGGTCATGAGTGGTAATTCGAGAGAGGAAGGTCGTAGCAAAATGGTCATCTCATTGAGCTCGAAAATGGTAAGTATAAAACCAGAGAGGAATATGGCCAGGCTTTTGGTTGGTATTTCACAAAAATTAATCCAACCAGAGTAGGTCCAGAAGTCACGCATGCACTTCTTTCAAAGGAAACCCCAGCACTTGAACCGCCATAGTTAAGCCTAAATAATAAAGTCGGGCTCAAGATAATATTTGACAGGATTTTCTCTCGATTTGGGGGTTCTGGAGATTTCCACCTGAATTGGGACAAATTGCACGTATTTTGTCTCACATTTTGCCTCAGGTTTCAGTGGATTTGTTAACATGATTGAGGTCAATGAACTAAACAAAGTGAACTAAACCGGTTTAATAGCTGAATCTCCTACTTACAAATAAATTCATAGCTTCTGTCACACATTACCTAAACATTTGAGCGGCCAACTTGGCTGCCTTGGCCTTATTCTTCAAACGAAGAGAACGCCTTGGTGCATTTTTGGAGCCTCTTTTCTTGCAGTCCAGCTTATACTTCTGCTTTTTATGGACAGCTTCATCTGGCTTGTCATGTAAACTTGGATAAAAACTGACTTGTTTGAGCAGCTTTTGTGTGGGAGAACCATCTGGACTGGTTTCATCGGTGGTAGGCAGCAGCTTTTGGCTGCTTTCTTGACCATCCAGTACATCCTTTTGATAAGCTGATGTCTCAAGAATGCTGATGCCATTGGCCAACTTACTGGCTTTTCTGTTTTCCACAAAGGCTCGCCACTTCATGTTATTTTCGAGGTTCAGTAGGAGCTTATGCTGGTAGATACTCTGAGCAATTACTCTTGAGCTCCAGTACTCATGCCCATAATAGTGCTGGGTCACAAAAAATTCAAATTCACCAGGGCCCCATGAAATTGGGATTTTTCGGAAATCAGCGGTGACAAGTTCACCGGTGGTAAGCCAAACAGACTGAAGAGCATCTTGTTCAATGTAGCAGCCTTCTAGGTGCCAGTAGAATGAATATGGTGAGCTCATTTCCTTTGTGTGATTGATATGAGAGATTCTTGTAGGGAAGTCTTCGATAGAGTTAGGTTTTCGAGTTGTTGAGGATTGTGAAGGATAACTAAGCGAGAACAAGGCTTGAGTTCCTTTCACTGGTTCTTAGGAAGTAGTAGAAGTGGTGGGGTACAAGAGAGAGCGACGTTGAATATATATGCTTTTCACAAACATAAGGTGGTGGTGCACCCATTGAGCGGGAAGCCATTGGGCTTTAGGCCTAAGATTGAAGATTTCTGTGAAATTCATTTTTGAGTGATCCAACTGGCGATTCTGGGAGTCCTTTGTGTCTCAGCTTCAGCTGGATGATGTGAATGTACCCATTGAGGAGCCAAAGCAATACAAGATAACAATCCCACCACATTATCAAGTTAATATGATCAGGTATGATTAAATAAAACCCCATTGCTGGTCTTGATGCTCATAGTATATGGAAAATCATCTCAGCTTGTGATACTATAGAAACAGGCCAGTGCACAAGATCATGAACTACCCAATACGCTAACAATGCAATTTCTAAAACAAAAGCTTCTCTATCGTGAACTTTTTCTCAATTCTTGATCAAAGACACCTTTCACCCATCACAGACGCACAAGTATCACCCTTTCTCGTCAAGCCATTCTCAGCTCTTACCGCCCGAACATGGAAAGTGCAACCCGTCCCTAGCAAACCCCAGCATATATTAAGCTGACTTATACCAAACCCTTTTTTTCAAAAATCACACATAAACCTACCTTTGCACCATCTTGTCTACGTATTTTGCAGCCACTCCAGCACTGCACCTCAAGCTTCACTGTAGGGATCATCGAGCATATACACCTACTTTTTTCAAATCCACATCCCATGATCAAACAGGAACCCGGTGGGGTTCTGGTGAAACAAGAAGCTAAACCCGTACGTATTAAACAAGAATCGTCCTCTGTGCCTAATTCAAGACCGTCTTCTGCCAAGGAAACAAAACCAAAAGTTGGTCCCAACAATAAGCAGGTCAAAGGCCCCAAACCTGCCAATAGTAAGATGGCGAAGCCTCCAGCTTCAAAAGCAAAGAAGAAAGCTCCAAATCCCAAGCCTGTGAAAAAGGGGCCTCTACAGCATGGGAAACCCACGGCATCTATACCGAAAAAGAACAATGCTCCGAAATCGGGGAACCCCAAGCAGAAAGAAAATGGTGTTTCCAAGCCAATTCCCAAACCCAAAAAGGGCGTTCCCAAAGGCATCAAGAAGAAGCCTTCAAAAAGCGTGCCCCTAAAAAGTGGGCCTCCAAATACGAAGAATCCCCAAAGAGAAAGCGCAAGGTGGTATCATCTCCAGGCCGCAATAAGCTACCGATCAAGCAGTACGTGAGCCATATCAAGGTGGTGAAAAAGGTCAAGGGGACAAGCCAAGACCTCAAGCCAAACCATCTTGCTCAATTGGCTATGGGTCAGACGGTCCGTATCAACGGTAAGATATACTACCCCCATGAAAAGTTCAAAACAGGTGATCGAGTCACACTCGAAAGCAACAGCCCCATTGTCACTGGCTACTCGCTGAGTGAGGATGACGACGACGACGACGAGGACATGGGCGATGCTGAGTCGATCATCGATGTTGACGCAAACTCTGAATACTCAGAAGACGGTGTTGAAGTCATTGAAGACCCCAGCGACGTGGAGAACGACGAAGAAGTGTCCAATACAGGTTCAGCCCTGGAAGCGGACGATCAGAAAGATGACGCTATGGAGGACGTTAAGATTGTCAATGATACTAACGAAGAGAATTCCAGCGAGATGGTTGAAGGAGATACGAAGGTGTACGATTTCGAGATTGAGACCTCAGGTGTGCCTGTCAAGGAGCCAGTTGCTAAGCCAGACCCCTTGGTGCATGAAGCGTCTCCATCAGCTCCGAACACACAATCATCAAATCCAGCTAAGACTCCATCAGAGCAGCTGGAAATACAGTCAGACTCTAAACCTCCTCAGAAAAGTGTCAGTCCAGCTCCTGCAGTGAGCTCCAAGAGAGCAATTCCTCCACATATCGTCGATTTCGATATCTCAGATAGTGATATCGAGAGACCTTCGCTGCCACGAAATGCATCTCCAACACCAGAAAGTGGCCTCAACAAACGAGTGGCTGGTCAATTCGACTCATCGCAAAGAAAGCGTCAGCGTATGGAGAGATTTGCATCTGATAACGGATCTGATTCAAGCCCCCTCCAATTCCAAAACCTCTTCAACCTGGAGCAACCTTTGTGGGCACCTCTCAGGCGCTAGAGAAGTCTTTTCTCAGACTCACCTCTGAACCTAATCCTGCAAATGTCAGGCCTCAAAAAGTGCTTCAAAAATGTCTACCTTTTGTGTTGAACCGTTACTACTCAGAGAATCTACTGTACGTTTACATCAACGATCAGCTCAAGGCCATCCGTCAAGATTTGAACATCCAACACAGGAAAAATCAATTCACCATCCACGTTTATCAAGCGCATGCAAGAATAGCCATTGAAAACAACGATCTTGGTGAATTTAATCAGTGCTTATCTCAGCTATTCACATTGTATGAGATGGATAGAGCCAAGTACGAGACAGCTGAGTTCGTCGTGTACAAGATATTGTACATGATTATCACAGGTAACAATCCAGAAATCAATAAACTACGGCTTCGATTTCTTGGGTCCAACCCTTCTAAGCATTACAAAACTTTTAAGTGGATCAAGCCTGCATTGGATTTGTCTTCTGCCATTATAAGCGGGACTACTTCAACATATTCAGACTTTATCGTCAAATTTCATATGAAGATGTTCCACTTGCTCTGTTGCTATTAAAGCGGAACATCATGCCCAAACAGAGGTTTATGGCCCTCTCGACTATAAGCAAAGCATTCAAAAAACTCTCGCTAGAATACTTGAGAGTGCAATTAGCATTGGATGTGGACGGCATTGACATTAACGAATTCCTCAAGGCACATGACTTGATAAGCTGTGTCAACGGAAGTGACATTGATATTGCGCAAGCCAAGCCTCGTATATTAAGCATACTAGAGCAAGGCGAATACAGAAGGATTGACATCAAGGGTCAGGTCTAAATTATTTCGGCATAAGTTTTTGTGGCATTTGACTTGCTGTCGAGGTGATGTCTGATTTGCTTACATGGAAGGAGCGAGAGCCAACAAAGCAAAGTTATTTCTATGCTTCTCTTCGGTGTTCTCCATGTAGAATTTCACTTTTTGCTCCAATTTGGGGTCGACAATGATGTGGGTCTCGTTGCTCTCTCCCAAATCCACTGGACCAGTTCTTCTACCGTCCAATTCATACAAGTGGCCGTCAGTGCCTTTGACAAAGGTTATGAAATGATACTCAATGGATTCATCAGCTTGTGGAGCCTCGGTCTGGCCTTGAACTCCATAGTTATCATCGAGCTGGATGTTCTGCTCCAATGCCTCCACCAACTTGGCTTTCTCCTCATCCAGCAGCTCGAACGAAATCTGCAGAAGCAACAATTTGTTCAAGACCAGATTTTCAATGATAAAGTCGTGGGGCAAGTTGGCAATAGCGTGGAGCAATGCATAGAGCCCACAGCCATTGCCAATAGTCTGCTTGAACCAGTGAACCAGGTCGGAGGTATTGCTGTGCTTTGCATCTTCCAGTTTACGATAATCTTCGTAATTCTTGGTTATCGGGAACAACATGATGACAGCCAAGGCAGGCTGGGGTAAGAGGGCAACCAAGTCCGGTTCGGAGATTGAGTACACATCATGGAAGAAGAGAACGGGCGTGAGCCCAATCTTCTGTGCAAGGGAATTGAAGATGTCAGGATTGGATTCGAGAGGAATCACACGTTTCGAATCTGGCATGGTGGTGATAGGTTCTGAGATGAACAACTTCTTGCCATTTGATATGGAGTCTAGGCGGTCACATGACACAAGTCATGCGGCGGCTCTATTGCTGAACCCTGGCATCAGCCGTTAGGCAGCACATTAGCGCAACTTCCAGGTCAAAATTAGCTTGGAGTATTCTAGAGAGCTGTGGATTACGTACCCCACAGTTTGCAAGAAAATTTCACGGTTGGCTGGCGTTCTTCAGAAGCCTCCTTCCGTTTTTCGTTGATACATCAACAAAATGGCGGGGAAAGTGGAATTCTCCAATGACCACCTATCTCGACCCTGCAACGGCTGGGTCACTCAAGATGACCATTTCAACCTGGTAGCACCGGTCAGCGACTCATCAGAGCCAGAATCATGGATTTATTGAAGTTTCCAAAAATGGACACTTTCACCCAGTGAGTTCATTCCAAGAGCTGCTAACGCATGATCCAGCATGCCCCATTCAACCATTCATCCCTCCACCTTCCTTAGCCGTCTCTTTCCTACTGTTTGTGTCAGCGACTTATCTAGAAAAGTGTATCTCGGACCTGCACGCGAAGCTGCTTGACATTCTCCGAGAGACGCATTCCCAGCCTATCAGGTCGCCCGCAGTGCGTCTTAGTAATCTACATATAAAGAACCACACCCCACCACAGAAATACAGAAACCACCTTTCCAAGTCCCTACAACTATTTTTTTCATATTTCGCTGGTTCGAATGCTTTGGGGCTCGTATTTATACGTGGCGGTGCCGCTGGTGCTAGCTTTCTTCCTAGCCGTCTGTGGCACCCTATTACTACTACCTAATGAGTTTGATATCCATCAAAATGTCATTGTTGTGTCAATATTGACACTTGTCTTCCCAGCTTTGGCTTTTGTTGTCAAAGCCGCTATCATGCCTGGCACCACTTTGCCGCAGGGTCCTCCCAAAGGTGCCATCAGGCTATTTTGGTTACCACTCTTTGTGGAAGCCATCAAACTTTGCATTTTATTTATTGCCAGCCGTATGGGCGGCCTGTCGAAGGTTCTACATCACGCCTTGAACGTCGCCCTGGTGCTTCTGTGCTTTGTGGTGGTGCTTTCGTTGCTTCATAATGCGCCATACCAGATGCTGTTGTATCGTAAGTTCTACGGGTACTTGGCCATCTGGGACGACTGCCGCTTGGCTCCCCTTCCTCCTAAGAAGATCAAGCACAGAGGTTCAATGGCATCCCTTGGGTCCAGCGAAGAGCCACACATCGAAACTGGACCCTCATTTAATCTAAATTCCTTTTCCAGCAAAAACAAGTCCCTTGTGCTGAGCAAGCTGATGCCGATCATGTCGGCGCTGCTGTCACACCTGACTGTGATGGACCGCTTGTACTCTGTTCTGCCAAAGAACACCTTGCATTTGACATCAGACGAAGAATCAGTGGAATACGGCGAGAACCCCTACGAAGGCCTCGTTGGCCTGGCCGACCATCTGATGGACTCAGTTGATCCCGACAGCTCGTTTGAGTCTGCTGTTACTGATCCTGGTCCACAACGCTGTCCCATGTTGCGTACTTCGTCATCCACAAGTCAACTTCCCACCTACCCTGTTCACGGCTCCAATTCTTCGGCTTCACTGAAGTCCTCGAAGATGGGCTTCCTCAAATGGTTCCGCTGGTTGGTTCCAATAACAATTTTTGAGAGACGCAAGTCCCAGGCCTTTTACCGCAGGCTTCAGCGGGTGCAGATCAAGCAGAGGTTCTCCACGTTCAGCTTGAACAATCACGAGACTTCCTCTCTTCTTTCCAGCGAAAAGCTTCCCTTTTACAACACAGTCGATTTGGAAGCTCAATCGTTCAAGCCCGCCTACTCCCGCCAGTACAACTGCCATGACTTCTACGAGTTTGCCAAATTTTCCAATGCAAACTACGATGAATGGGTAAATGCCCAAAACCAGGTGGACCCCATTTTCAAGAAGTTTGGCGTGACCCTGGAGCAATTCAGCATCTTCTACTTCATTGCATACACTGCTGAGCTCATCTTGGCTCAGTTTGTGTCCACCATGACCCTTGCATTGCCATTTTACGCATCCCTTTCTACAGGGGCCTTGATTGCAGCTTATGCTGGCATGTTTGTCAGTCACTTGTTTTGCACGAATTTCCTCAAGTATCAGAGTGAAATGTCTTACAAGTTCAATATCCCCATGGCCTTCGCTGTGAGAGCTGCCACTTTCGCCGGCCTTGTTGCGTTCTACCTATACACATAAATGGTGCCGTTGCATCTAAATTATAGCATCTAAAGAATAAATATATCTATCAATTTGCCCTTTCTCTCAATGCTGTCATCAAGTAGCTCTCGTTCGTGTACGTGAAGCCGTTGACGTGCAAAATGTCACAAGGACTTTTGCCTGTGAGAAATTGGCCCTTGGCGTCTTGTGGAGTGAAGGACATACCTGTGAACTCCTCGTCGAAGTTTTCTGCCAAAATGGGGTCAGTGATGATGGGCATGATTGGTGGGAGTATTGGAGTTTCCTGTTCCTGGGGCTTCTCGATGTCACGCCAGTCCAAATGCCTGAAGAACCTGTGACCTTTGAACTTTTCGAATTCGGCATCCACGTCAAGACGTTTTGCCGGGTCGGGCTGTAAGAGCTTCCTGAGAAGGTCTTTGGCATCACTGGAGAGGTAAAATGGAAACTTTAAGTACTTCTTCGAATGCACCACCTTGTCCATGATCTTCTCGTTTGTGTGACCAGTGAATGGAGGCGAGCCTGTAAGCATGTCGAAGGCGACACAGCCTAAAGACCACCAATCCACGGAAAAATCGTATTCCTTGCCCAATATGACCTCTGGTGCCATGTACTGGGCTGTTCCAATCATGGAGTGGCGCGTCTCGTCTCTGGAAGACACTTTTGAGAGACCGAAATCGGTAAGTACCAAGTTTCCGTCTGCGTTGAGCATGCAATTCTCGGGCTTCAAGTCACGGTAGATGACCTTGAGGGAATTGTGCAAGTAACGCAAGGCCAAGGCGATCTGGCCGATGTAGTAGGAGGCGTCCTTCTCACTCATGAACTTCTGCTGAGCCAAATGGTGGAAAAGCTCGCCGCCGTCTAAATACTCTAGGATCAAGTAGACCTTGTTGTGGTCCTGAAAAGCATAGTACAATTTGACAATGTTAGGGTGGGCCACCTTTTCCAAAATGGACTTCTCGTTGAGCGTCCGCTGGTAGTTTGTCTGGTGCACCTCGTCGTCGTTGATAATGAGAGAAGCCTTGTGCAACTGTTTCTGAGCAAAAAGCTTACCTGTGGCCAGTTCCCTGACCAAAAGCACTTTCCCGTAGGAGCCCTGGCCAAGCACTGTAATCGGCTCAAAGTCGCTGAGTTTGGGTCTATACCCGGAAACATGGGACGTTTTCAAAGACGAAGAAACATAGGACTCGCCCAATTCCACCTCGTACGCTGAAGAAACGCTGCTTCTGCGCCGAACCTTCATGGGAACGCCGTGCTGTGGCAAATCAGGCACGGTATCGGAAGCATCCTCGGGAGATTCGACCACAACAGGGATGGGTTGAGGAGGAGGAGTTGACAGAGAAGGCTCACAAGGGTCTGGGTCGTCGGGTTCGTCTAAAAGACGGTAGTTGAGCCGCAGCATGCCGGCCACCAAGGGCGTCACGTCGTACTCGTCCATGGAGAAAATGTCGGACATCTTGGAACTCAAAGGGCTGCTTTACTGCGCTGGGAAAACATGGGCAGTTGCTAGTTGAGATTGTTTCGCGTGTTTTGAGACCGGAGTGGGGGTGGTTGTTTATGGGGAAATAATATGCAATATTTGTGATTTGAATTATTTTGTGATTTTCAGTATTTTGTGATTTTCAGTATTTTTTATTCAGCTCGAAAGTGAAAGATTGCCTATTACTGATTTTACGACTCTACGTTCATGGTAAGCCTGGACTGTTGATGGCTGCGAAAGCGCAGGGTCCATATCAGCAGCTGTAGTGGTATCACCAACATATTCTGCTTTACAGTGGAATTCGAAACATCTTTCCTCTAGACTGTTCCTTCGATTGTTTTTTTTTTTTTTTTAGAAACTCAAAAATCCGCTTGTTGTGGAAGCTTGTTATATAGAATAGCCGCTAGGAAACGTGGGCTACAATGCCGGTCGCAGGTGTTTATTCTCTGCTCCATTATTGACGATCCTCTTCTTTGTGGGCCATTGTGGATGATGAAGATTCTTCCCACGGTGCCTTGTTTCGAAAACCTCTTAAACTTGCCGTAGTTCGTGTTTTGCGCTGCCGCCGATGTTCCAGATAAGCGGCGGTAATGCCGGATTAGGCGGGTGTTCTAGAAACGTCGCTTTCGTTGCAGAAGACAAGAGTTGATTGTTGTGGGTATTGTGGGCGGTTTTGTGGAGCTTTGGAGGATCTTTAGATGGTTCGTTGCAGATACGTCAGGCTGGTTCACTGTGACGTAGTGGATCGACAAGCCTGCCAAGGTAGTCGACCAACGAACTTGTGAATTTGGTTTTGTAAGATTAGCAATTAGTAGTAGTAGGGTTTTATCAAAAATAGTGTTTGCCTCTTGACCATGCAGTTGAGCAGGCGTGGTAGGGAACTAGCTGATGAAATAGATAGCTAGTATGAATCCACAGCACCAGCAGATAAGTCGGATTTTCGTCCAAAATACATTCTTTTACACCTTATATTTTTCCTTCAGTTTAAATAACCCAAACCATGAGATTGTGACCTGCCAATGCCTCAAACATTGCACCCAAGTTGCCAATCCAGGTGAACCATTTTTTTTTTTTTCTTGTCAAATTCAACTGATTAAACGGAAAACCCTATTTAATTTTACATAGAGAAAAAAACCATCTTATCAGTTTCCAGGCTAGCACCACTTGACCACACCTGTAAACTAAGTCGTCCCCCTGTGTCACCACTAGGGGCCTACCAACCTCAACCCCACAGACCGATATCCACCGTTTCAAAACATTCCACGCCGAAACAACCCCCCTTATAACCACCCCTCCCTCTCCCACTCCATTTCCCCTTGAAACCAATTTTCTATGCCTCTCCCTTGTTTTCACATTCTGTGTGAGGCTGTCAAGCAAAGTTAAAAACCGCGATCAGCTGCATAGTTGCAACCATTCCACACTCCGATCATCACCCACCAACAACACAAACAAACAAACAGCTAACCAAAAAACCAAACAATCCTCCAAATCAATTCCACTACAATTCAATTATCCTTTGCTTATATTGTCATGCCTCATCTCTAACTATCTACATTACTTTCCCGACGAGACCCTGACGTAGATCTTGCTCTTCGCCTGGATGTATCCCATCATGAAATCTTCACACTCACAATTGTTGCTCCGGCCACCAGGGCTCTTGAGAGTCACGCCCGGAAGCGTCAGGTCCGGGAACACTAGGGCGATTTTCACCCCGTCTTTCGAACACGGCAACTTGCCTGCTAGCTTGAACAAAATCACATCCACAAGCTCACTGGTGCTCCGGAGCCGGTCCTTGCGGAGCTTGAGCGCCACAATCTCTTCTAGCGACTCTCGACACGAGATCTTGAGCTTGAGCACATTGGCAGGATCTAGCTCTTCCTTGGACTTTCTCAAGGTGCTGCTTCTCGAAGGAGCACTCAGATGCATCCGGCGTTGGGTATGGATATGTGGAGGCATCTGCCAATTGGCGGCTCGAGGCACCAGGCCCAGAGACGGCTTTCTGGCAGAAAGGGTCCGTTCACGAGACTCGAGCCGGGTGGACTCCTTTTGTGCATTGAGTTTGCCAGGAGGAAGTCGAAGGTCTGCCAGCGTGAGGGAGTATCTGCGCTGTTGTTCGATTTTTTTACGTGGATTCTGGGGCTTCAACAAGCTGACCAGTCTGACAGGCTCGCTGGACCGCTCCATGGGAAGAGGAGGTGTTACGTACTGAGACGTTGGCCTCGATGGTGTTTTGGTACGAATATTCGTATTGTTCCTTGGTGTCTTGGCAGGAGCGGTTGGGCACTTGTGGCTGGGGGTTTTTTGAGTTTGTGTTCTTCTTTCAATGCTGTGGACGACGTGGGACTGGAAGGAGCCGAGTCGAAAAGAGACGAGTTGTCACTATCCGAATCGGAGTCGCTTTTGCTGAAGGCACCGGGGAGGTTGAGGACGGTCATTTTTGGTTGGGAGCCGCCAGATTAGACTTTTTCGATGGGTATAGCGCCGGACCGGGGCTCAGGCAGAATAGACACTAACGGTTAGGAGGAAAAGGCAGGAAACCAGAGGGTTATATGGAGCTTCTGCAAAAGAAGAAGTGGAGCACTGGGTTGGCAATCCTATTGTTACGCTTCCGAGAACCACAAAAGCAGTGCAGGAGAGGACCAGCCACTGAGTACAACAGTTCTTTGTCTCGCTGTTTTTTCTTTTTTATGGGTATTGTGACTCGCCAATCCGCATGTACGGTAAAGGAGCGCTGGCGCTGAACCCCGAATAAGGTGCTCGAGCGTGGGCCTGTGCAGGTCCAGAACCTGATTATGCATTACCGAACGTACAAAAGTCTCTCTACGCGCTGTGCATACATCAACCTACTGAAGTGCCATAACCCTGCGGGTGGTGGGCCCATACTTGTGGAATGCGGCTGTTTGGCCTTGTTTTTTTGCCAGGGCTTCTGCTACACTGCCACATGTTTTTTCTCGCTGCTGCCACGCCAATCTTCTCTTCTGTTATCATATGGGATGATCCGCGTTCTTGGTTCGGTTATTTTGCGCTCCTCTGCACCACCCCACATTATGTACAGACTACTCTCTTTAAAAGCCCTCAATCCACGCAGAGAAGGTTTTCCTACTGCCCAGATGCACACGGACTTTTTAGCATCGTTTCTATATGGTCTCTTCGCCGCTCCCCTGGGAAAACTTACATAACGCTCGCTTGTGGCTGAAATCTGCTCATACTCAAAAGCTTCTCTCAACCTGTCAACGCTTATTTAGGCTTCTGCATTGCTATAACCGATCGCGATCTGCCTCCATTCAGCAAACTTCCTATCAATGCGTGTTTCTTCTCTTGCCTCTCGGATAGGCGCAAGTGGTGATCGCCGATGTTACTATAGAATTCCGGGCTTTGTCTAGGCTTCGCTGGGTACCTTGTTGAATGCTCCATGCTGGGGATCTACGTCACTTCTCCTGCTGCATGTGCTTGTGATAAGGAAGGTTGGTGGATTTCTGGTTCTGGAAGTGTAGCTTATTGTGTTCCCGTTGATAGGTGTTGCTAAAACTCGAACTCCGCTTCCTCCATTCAACTTTCTTGAGGGGACTTCCAGACAAACAAAGTGCTTCTTCCGGAGGACAATAGATTGCGTTCAGGCGGGACAGGCTAACCTACAGTAGGGCCTAGCTCTCATACACCGGACGTTTTTGCCTGCCAGGACGCTTTGGCGAGTCTCGTTTCGCTGCCATGGTGGCTTCGCTCGGCTCAAGTTGCCCATGCTTCCTCTCTTGTGTCTTTTTCTCATATATCCTTATTTCAACCCATATATACTTTGTGGCTTAGCGGACCCGCTGGAGCTTCAAATGGGCCTTGGGCCTGCTCCTAACATAGTCCATAATGCCGTGCTCATCAAGCCCAAACCTGTCCAACGCTTCTTCAAAAGGCCTGAGTGTGTAGTGGTGGACCAAAGCCGGATCCTCGTAGATCTTCTTCAGCACCATGTGCTTCAACGACTGAAGCGAGTGCAAGTCGCTGCGTCGAGCTCGCAATACCACCTTGTCGTCATCCTCGTTGCATAGCGTCACCTTGATCCGAACATACTCGCTGTGCTTCTGCTTCACTTTTGTATCTTGCGTAATGGTAACGGTGGAGGACGAGGCGGAGATGTACGCTTCCTTGTGTTTCTTGGGCAGCAAAGGCTTGATTTGCTCATCCTCCTCGCTTCCAAAGAGCTTGGGTGGGTGCCTGGCAAAGCTCTGGTCTAGGCCCAAAATGGGCGTTTTGGGCTCGCAAGACAGGCTCTTGTGACGGCCCGAATTCAGCATAAGCGAGTCTTCTCCGCTCAGGTAATGTGTGCTGTTGAGGCCCTGGCTCCCGATGGTGCTGACGGAATCGTGGCTGACGTCACTGGCTGGAGTTGCCCCGTCCTTGGCTTGTTCCAGATTTTTATAGCGAACGTCTGGAAGGTCAATTGGGTCTTGCAAGGTGGTTTCGTTCAGGTGCATCTGGGAGTCGCTGGAATCGGTGGTTTTGGTTTCCTGGAGATTCAAGCCGGCTTCGTCTTCACCGTAGCCTGCAAGAAGCAGTGAAAATGTAGAAAGTGTCTGGGAGCTCTTGGACTCAGCCATGGGCGATTCGGTCGTAGCGGTAGTTTCAGCTTCTGGAGTGTCAGGCACTGTGGGAATACTGGAAGGCGACACAAACGACGGCATCAATGCTGCAATGGAAGGAGAAGTCGACATCTGTCTTTCCGTGGGAGACATTGAAAACTGCCTTTTTTGCTTTAGTGGGCTCTTTTGAGCCGGAGATGGCGTCTGGGCCACAGAAACGCTTTTGAGCGACATGTCTGCTCTCAGCAACGAGTCCACTATATTGACCAGGTCCTTGTGGAGCATGTCGTTGATTTTGGCGTCGGCAATGGGGGCGTCACCGGGACAAATAACAATTCTCTTGAACTGCTCGTCGTCAATGAACTCAATGAACTCGTCACACGCCCGGACTTTTTCAATAATCAAAAGCTGTCTCAAGTACTTGCTGAGCTGGCCCGCCACTTCGAGCAAGTTCTTGATGTCCGATTGGTTGGGCGATGTTTTCTGGTGTGTCTTGTCCATCAGCCCTCTTGGTTTGGGGAAAACAGGAAGCGGCACCAAACGACCCAACGACGTTACAAGCGCAACGTGCAAATTGTAGAAATCCTGGTAGTACTTGCAGAGGAAAATCTGCTTGCCAGAGCTCATGGTGATGTCCAACCGGTACAAGTAGCGCATTTTTCTGTTCTGGAGCACCGTGTTGATGCGGATGTTTTTGATGTGTTCCTTCTTTCTCTCTGAAGGCGGCTTGGTCTCGAGAAGCCATTCGAGTGTAATGGGGTTTTGGATGTCGTTGGCCACAATGTCAACGTATGAGGCTGGCACAAGGCCACTGTCTGTCTTGTCGATGAATTTGACCAAAAGCCAGCCGTTCCCAGGTCTGTGGACGAGTTTGACATAGTCATTCCGCTTTACGCTGATTTCCACAGGCGATTCTGCCGTGAAGTCGTAGCGGGCTCTCAACACAATCACGGGGTCCCTGGTAAGAGGTGAAAACAGCGGTGAAGGCTGTAGCGATCCCGTAGGAGACTTTGTGTTGATGGGAGACGAAATGGCGAGTTTCTTCAAGTTTCTAGAAGACTTGTACTGCTTGGCAGCAAAGAGACTCGTGGACATGGTTTGTGGAGTGGACTTGTGATGAATATGTCGATCAAGATGAGGATGTGGTGGAAGCAAAACGAGTGTCAGGAAATGAAGTCCACTTTATCAACAAGGATGTGAGTGTAGATCTCAATGGGCAGAACCAAAACACACGAACAATGACACTAGAGGGATGCTTCGAGCTCAGAACGCAAACAATGAGTAATTATTGTTGATGAGTCCGGAATCCTTTGCAAAAAGCTTGGGGCAGACGGAGGGGTGAATTCTCTTCTTTTATCTAACTTGGAGCCGAGGAGGCAATATGTAAACACTGGCGGACGAGAGACCGCTATAAGGAATGACGTTTATAATGGACCCGAGAGATGAGCGGAGGAATGATATGCATACACTGTTGGAATGAATATGCTTGTTGTGAGAGAGAGCAAAACACAAGTATTGTTTGAAGATGCGTACATGCATCTCGCCGCACGCGCCTCTCGGTGCTTCCTACAGGGTACTGCATCGCCTCGCGCGACTTTCCTGTCCCTACACGCGTGCACTGCAGTGCCGTTTAATGTTCACATCTGTGGCCTGTTGTTCCATCTGCGGGTTGCTGCGTGCTGAGTTTGGAGAAAATAACACCACAAATTAACCGTTACAGCTACATCGCCAGATGTGCGGTTTTCTTGGAATTGCCCTTCGCCACAAACGTTTATCATGTCTTTTGATGCACTCGCTAGACGGGAACACCCCGGCGACGCTTTAGTGCCAAAATACGACGCCTCTCGTCTATCATGTAGTGTCACCTGCGCCTGGACTTTTTTTTTTTTTTTTTTCTCCAACCAATACCAACGCAGGACCATACCCTCCAGCCCCCAGCGGCTCAACCTCTCAGCGGCTCATCCTCTTATATTCTGACAGGCTTTGTGGACGCCACGCCTAAAGAATAGCATGCGGAATTTTTCAAACTAAGCCTGCCCTGCCAACGGCGGAGGCTGGTGGATTGCCGTATTAGCATCCATACCCGATGACAATGAGACCAACACGTTTTATTTTGCGCTGTCTATGGATTGTTTACTACACCAAGGGTGTTTACATACTGACGGAGACGGCGGTATCTCTCAATTAAGAGTAATCTAATCCGATAAGGGTTGATTCGTCAATAACACAAAAAGAAGCAATTCATCTCTGCACCACTAAAGCACTAAAAGGTTCATACATTGATTATTACAATTACAATTATTTAGCCACTCAACAGCTGGTGGGTAGTACAACGTCGCATCAAAAGCATAACATGAACTGTTTTTCGGGCTGAAAACGCCTATTACGTCACAAGCACATTAACATTCTCGCTGGCCCGGATATGTTCGAGTAAACCAGTCAGCCCGGCATCCATCTCCTCGTAGGTATCGGAATCGGGCAAATTGATATAGAGATTATTAAACGCCACTTTTTGGTATATGAGCCGCTTGAACTCAGCGAGAGACGTCACCTCGGGCTTGTTTATCCTCACAGAAAGCTTGTCTTGGTTTTGTGTCTTAATCTGGCACCGTAGCTGGCCAGGCCCCAATTCTGGTGTTCCCTGAACAGACCTGCTGTTTAGAGAAGGGGGCAGAGAAAGAAGACTCGTATCAAAAGAGGTGTCGGCTGAAGTCGGCCCGGAAGTTTCGGAACCGGTGGTGGTTTTCACCGACTTTGTCCTGGCAAAAGGGTTCCCATTCACAGCAGAAATCGACATCGGCTTAGGAGGGGGGCTTGTATGGACCATTGTAGGAGCCGTGGCGGCTCTTTGTGGCTGCCATGTTGTTTTCAGTCTTGTGACTTGGCTGGGATCGCCAGGGGGTGCTTTTCTTGTAGGACCGAGGCGGGGCTCTCTGGATGTTTTTGACCTCAGAAGATCACGGGTCGTTTTGGCACGCTGGAGGTCGCCCTGGTAGCCCACAATTTGCTGGTAGTGATTATAGATATTTCTTGAAACCGGTTGCTTGGGACCTAGGCGGTCGTTAGGGTTGGGTGAAGTCATGGGGAATTTCTTAGCCTGGTCCTCCTCCTCACGCTTATCCAATACAGCATGGAGCCTTTCGCTTTCGGTTCCGTTGTCTGCCTTGTGATGGGAATAGATGCCAACGGAACCAGGCAACACCTTTTCGTTGATAACCTCGTTGGTTTCATTGAGCTGCTCTGCCACTACGAACCCAGGAGCTTTTTCGTACTTGGCATCGAGCCATCTGAGCAACGGAGGCAGCACCTGGTAGTGCTTGTTCAGAATAAGACTGTTGATGTACTGGTCGAGATCCTTGCACCGCTTGACAAGAAGGGACCTGAGCTCTGCCGATTCTCTTTTGTTGCTGGGAATGGGTTCAGGCAATTTGGGCAACTTCAAGAACTCTGGAAGCTCCTGATCCTTGGACGCCAGCTGCCACTGCTCCACATGCTCGAGAAGAGAAGCATGAAGAGTGTAAAAGTCCTGGTAGTAGCGGCACAAATACGCCCTTTCCTGGGTGCTATAGGTGATGTCGACTCTGTACCAATAGCGGTTTTCGTACAAGAGGAAATTGGAAATGGAGGCAGCGAGTGGATATGGTCGGTTGTTGATGGTTATGGGCGCGTTATTGCGGAGGAGTTGCTTGACTTCGGCATCGTAAAATGTTGTGTTTCCTAAAACTGTGGTTGCGGAGGTTCCAGTCTCGTGAAGCCACTGTAAGGTGATAGGATTAAGCGTGTCGTTCACGGCAATATCCACATAAAGACAAGGGACAAGGCCCGGGGACGTGACTTTTTCCACGGATTTCACAAGAACCCAGCCATTGGCGAGTTTATCCAAAAGCTTGAGCACGTCTCCTTTCTTGACGGAGAACTCAGACGCCGACTCGGCGACAAAGTCGTACTTGGCAACCAAAATGACGTTTGCCTTGAGCTTTGAGTTGACCTGGTCGGCCAAGGATGGCGGCGAGATCTTCAAGTTCCTGAGCTGGTTGCTCACAACAGGCATGGTTTGTTCTTGGGGTGTTTTTTTAAGATAGTTTTGAGAGTGTGCTTACGCGAGACGCAATGCAAACGCGGGCTCGAGATAGCGCAGACGGTTGACTGACGTAAAAAGGGTATATGAATGGGCTCCCTAATAAACAACAAGTAGTAGTGTTTGGATCTGTTTATGCCGATGAAGGTGGATCTCCTATGATTGGGCGTCAGAGGGTACAATACGCGCCCTTGCACGGCTGGTAAAGTACGGCAGCCTAATGACGCGGCTTGGTTTTTTTAAAGGTGCGCCTAAAAAAAAAAAAAAAAAAAGTGAGCGTTCCTGGGTGAGACCCTCCATCCCAGAAATGCACAGAGGACCATTTTTTGAGCAGATGTCACTCTAAATTTGTCTCACGCGTCTGCCAAGACCCTGTGGACCAATCATCTCGAGAGTTTAAGCCGATGTGCTCAGCGCGGCTGGAGTAAGTAGTCGTAAGACACGATTTTTTACACAAAAATGCAACGGCGGACCGAGACGTGAGGCAATTCTAAGAGCACGAGGTACGAGTTTTGAGACACGAGCAGATGCTGCAAAATTAAGGTTTGAGCGTTTAGACGAGGCCGTTAAACGACGTCACAGGTGCCAATGGGCCCAGATCGTAAGACAGTCCCATTTTGGCGAAAAACCGGCTCATTCGGGAACAAAGAAATGGGCGTTTAGGCGTTTCTGGGCACCCATTGAGCCGTTGGAGAGTAATTTACAAAAAAAGGCAAAACAGAGCACACAGAAATTTGTGCATCACAAAGGGAGCATGTTTCCAGCACGCGAACCGGGAAACCACGCTGCAAAAGCAGCCAGGCGGCCCAGATTATATAATGCTGGTCGGTCGTTCTCCTTTCGGCCATTTGTGCTCCACCGAACAGAGGCACAGTCGGTATCGCTGGTAATCCGAAAGTTGGTAAAATATGTGAAGAGTTGGAGGAGATGGAAAAAATTTTTTTTTATCGCACTCCCAGACGCCTGCACGTGCGTGCACCATGAAGACCGTTTAGGGCTCTCGATATGTAGATGTGAAAGCAAGGCGAGATATGGTTTTGTGGAATTTTTTCGTATTGTGCTACTTTTTTCGCCAAACGGAAAAACTTGCGCTAGACGGTTTTTGAATCCAATTCCCACGGAACAGAAACGGGCCGAGTCCCGGTACGATGGTGATTCGTTGCACCCTGGCCAAAACGCCGTAGACGACATTCGGTCTGTTTCTTGATATCAATTTTCTTAGGAGAAAAGTCTACAGCCTCGTCTTGGAAGCCTGGGTGATGTAACAACTCCGAATCTGCTCTCTTATTTGCTCAAGAATTGTTGAAAAAACTTTGAAAGCATAAGGATTGATGAAAATTCATCCTCACGAGCGCCCCCAACGGCCACGGAATTTTGGCCACTTCCTCCCTCTCCTCCATGCCTTAATCAGCAATCACCTAATCTCATTGGCTTGCTTATCGCAAAAACTCTCGTCAGGACTCAACAATTGTTACGTCTTTGCCGCCTTGCGCAGGGTATCTGAAAACCCTACCAACACAATCACTCGGTTCCTCGGCATGTCGAAAACAATAAATAACTCCCCTCTCATGTAGCCAAGCTCGATGTTGCTTTTTGCAACCATTTGAGCCCTAGGCCAAGGATCTATAACCTCTGGGGTCCTGATCGAAAAAACTGCTTTCTTGGAAACTACGCCAGGCAAGGATGAGTGCTTTGCAGCTCGCCTATTTTTGCTCTGATAACCTCTCATGCCATGGTCTAAAAGTTCAGCGGGAAAAGAGTGTCAAAATTCAAGGGGTTTACAGATGAAATGCCAGTTGACGTCAAGAGTGCCATCTAACTCATTCCTCGTAACTCTTCCCCAATGCTTTCGGCCAAGCGAACCCTCCCCAGCACCACAGCCTAATGCATAATGTATTGTGGTTCCGAAACCGGCCCTGAGAGCCCGGAATATAATTCCTTATTGAAACTAGGGCGGCGGCTTGCAGAAGAGAGCTTCTGCGGCATGAAGGCAAACTTCCAGTGCAGATATCTGTACCTCGGTTGCTCTCAAGAGCATAGGGCAGGGGTCTGTGGACTCTACAAAAATGAAGATTTGTGAAGTTGTACATGGCGTGGGGTGAAGCACTCCGAAACGCTGCAATCGTTGTTTGTTAGAAATGTGCATTGAAACTAGACCTCCCTCCTCCATCGTCCATTTAAGCAGCCTGGCAGATCAAAAAGTGCCCGTAAATACGGCCGATACTCTACACAAAAAGGCCGCCCTTATCATGACCACTAAGAATCGTTTAGACGCAAGGTATCAAGCAGAAGGTCATCCCGCCCCTGCGGCTGGAAAACGCAGGCGCTGTGTTGCTTCTTCCATACACAAGCGAGGTGCAAAAGTCCTTAGCAAAGAAACACAGCAGCTAGCGCCAGGGTCTTTCCAACGCAGGTTGTCACCGGTCACTTGAGGTGAGGAATTTAGAGTGTCAATGATCTTGCAGCGAACTTTCCCCTGGTGGGGCTACATTGTGTTGAATTGTAGAATTTTTCAGAATCGTTGTGTCAGCAATATTTTCTACCAGCAACAGCGCCGCCCCATGCCCGAGGAGAATTTCTTCCCGCCTTGCTCGTAATCCCTAATCGAACATTTATCCGAGGACTGAGCCTACGAACGTGCATTGAAAGAAGATGCACGATGGTTTAAACGGCGCTTAAAGGGAGCAGGCGCTTACGCCCCTGGACTCGATACCCGAGCCCTGAAGGGCTGTAGCCAACCGGGAAAATAAGGAAAGGTGAATTAGCCTTTTAAAGTGGAGAAGAAGGTGCAGTAACTGTAGAGGTTGACGTTATATGAATCTTGAGCTCCGTAGATTTATCGCTCCACAACAAAACGGCCGTTCTATCTCGCCAGATCTTGCTATAAAATATGTGCTGGTTGCGTTAACGAAACCGCTTTTGCGTTCTAGAATATCATGAGATAGTGACTCCCATGTCTGGTTTCAGTTGGGAATACGCAAGCATTAGCCGTCTACGCTAGAGTTTTTCCGGTTCAGGACACTGGATCTGGTGATTTTCAGGAACCCGAAAATTATTGTCTTGGTTGCCCCCACCAGCCAATGGTGACAACAAAGTCGTATCTGGGTGCTTTTGGGGCAGCTTTTCTGAATTCTTAAATATAGCCAGTCCCGGGGCCCAGTGTACGTTTTTCCGACTTCACGATGACTTCAATTGGGTGTTTGTTTTGCAATTGACTATTTTCCTCTGTAATTCAATATTGCCCCGTGTGCAACTTTATTTCTCCCAAGTGCTCTTCCATCAATGGCTCCTCAAAGAATTGGACAACCTACTTTCCCTATCTGTTCGTCTAAAACTAGCTCCCGCCCAAGAGATCCCCATGTAATATGCCATGGAATAATCATCCTGACCACTGAAGAAGCATAGAACCGCCTCAAGAAAGTGGAAGCCGCCGAAATACTATCCAGCTCGCATATATGTAGCCCCCACCCTTGAAGCAACGAGCCAGCGGACCCAATAGCCGTCGGCCTGTGACTCCGCCTTTAACGCAAGCGAGATTCAGGAAAAAGGTGAACCCAGGCATCACGCCGAGGCTAGCGAAGCTCCACAAAATGTAGATGTTGTGCTTGGTGCATTTCTGAAACATGTATCGATTGGGAAGTTCACGAATACAATGCACCTCTTCTAGCCCACTTGCTCTTGCATCACGATTATAAATACCCCTATTTTCTCGAGGCTGGCCGGAACAAAATTAAGTTTTTTGCTACGTGAATCGACCTAGCACGGAAGCACCGTGTCGACGTTCTAGCCTGATCCCCAATCACAAGTGAAGCCAATCACAAGTGACGTGCCAAAAAAAAAAAAAAAAAAAAAAAAAAAAAGAAATAATAACACGAGATAAGCAAAGGCTCGTGAAGATCTTTGCTGAACATTGAAAGTTGGGAAACCTCCAAGCCCGTCTTCCGCTTTCCCCTCGAGACCCACCTGCCAGATTCAACGTTTGTCTCTCTGGCCAGCAACAGCAGCAGCGGAATAAAAAAATAAAAATATATAAAAAAAAAAAAAAAAAAAAGAAAATAGAATAATACCAGAAGGATAAACCTTCCTCGCCTCGTCGTCTGCCCAACACAGAAGTGCAGATTTTTGCAGCACCAACGGTCCACACGCCACTGCAGCCAGAGCATCTCGAGCCTCCCCAAAAAGGAAATCTTCCCCTCGAGACCGACACCAACCAGCAGACGCCGGCATCGATTTATCCGTTTGCGCCTTCCCCATACCTACACACTCCCCATTGTCGCCCCTCTCTAGGCGAAATTTTTTATTTTTTTGTGCTGCGCATTTCGGCTGTCGCGTAGAGATAAAAGCCTCCCGTGTGGCTTATTGTCCTTTACGTTGAACCTGCGCCACCTGTACCGCTTGTTCGCCTGTACCTTAACAGCTTGCGTATCTGTCTGGAACGGTCTGTGTGTGCCGTTTTAGTCTTAGCGACCCAGGGCCCATTTTTACCCGACAAAGCGAGAAGTCGCTAGGTGCCTTTCCACTGCTGGGTGCCCCAGCCTGTCTGCTGATATCCCACTAAGACACCGCATAAGCTGCATAGTGCCTAAGTAAGGTATCCTGCCGTGCAGCAGCTGCAAAAGCACCGACAAAAAAGTCTTTGTTCCGAGCCCCAGGCCCAGCAGCCTTTGTCAACGTACGTTTTGATCGTACAGCCTGGCCCCATTCTCACTACTATTATTATTTTCCAACCTTAACCTTCAATTTATTTGTTTTACAAACGAAGCGTTTGTTCTACCTGGGGGTATAAAAGAAAAAATCCCTATTTATTCATCCCGCCGCCCGCCTGTCCGTTATTTGACAAGCTACTGGATAGCTTTTTCTTTTGCCATTTTGCCTATCGGCTTTCGTCCCCTCCCCGGACTATACATCGCTTCCGCGTGGCTTTACAGACCCTCCCTTGTGCCTTAAAAGTGGAGCGACTTGCCTGTCTCGCATACCTCACCGCTTTTTCAAGGGTCTTTCTTCCTCCACCCCACGATACATATCAGGGTCTTCCCGCCTCCTCCAGGTCAATCCTTATTTTTTCCAAAGTCGCTCCACGACTCAATTGAGCCCAGACATCCCTTCCTTCGTTTCCTTCCTTCCCCAACCCTGCTCATCTGGCAGCTTCACCTCCACTTTCGTTTATGACATCCTTCTTCACTTCGCCAGCATCCAAGCCCTCTTTGATTGACGGCACAGACTCGCTCAGCTTTGACATTTTAGACCCGCCTGAGCCTTTCCCCCTTGCAAATACTCCGTTTGACTTGGCTGCAAAATTGTTGTGCCAGCAGACATACGCATATCAGGCTCAGATGGACCCCCACAAACACAATCCGCCTGGTTCCTACAACCACGGCCCACCCCACAACCACGACAACAGCCCGGAAAACGGCTTTGTCGCCCCGGACCCTTTGCATCGCCAGCTCCATGCCCAATTGCTTCGACAGAATGCCCTGGACATGCTGGGCTTATGCGCACCTCCAATGGAATCCTTTGACCACCCGGTCCCCGAGGTGGGCAATGTTCCCGAATTTTTCAACAGCTCCATGGACTGCTCGTTTATTGAACTGAGCTTGACCGAGTCTCAAATGGACTACGACCACTTTCTGGTGATGGAAAATGAGCTGTTTCGCCAGCAGCTGCTTCAGCAGCCTGTGCCCCATAAACCGGCTTCTCTGCACCACCCTCCAGCCCACTCTACGCCTTCTTCAAGCACCCTGTCTATTTTGACTCCGGTCTCTTCGGTGGCAGAGGACACCTGGGCCCAATTTCCAGGCTTCCCCTCCAACAGCAGCAACAATGGCGCTGCCATTGGCCAATTTGCAACCGCATCTACACTGCGACAGCCCGAGATCCACTCCTCCACGGCTCACTTTGGACCTGCTGCCCGCAAATCTTTTAAAAACTCGGTCCGGCCGTTTGCCCGGACGCCTGAGCTGCCCATGCGTCGCATCAACTACCACTACCTCCATGTTGCGACTACGAACAAAGCCGAAACTGCGCTAGGCTGGGCATCGTTGCCCCAGAACCGCAGATCGACCGCCTCGAGAACATCTCTGGCATCAACAAACCCCTCTTCTTCCCGTTCGGGCCTGATGCTCCTGGAGCCTCACGAGGAAAGATTTCATGTCTCGCCAAGACAGCCTGCCACACAGAAATCGATTATTGAAGAGTCCCACGAGCATAATGAGCCTCAGCCCGCTCCTCCCAAGAAGAAGCACAAGAGACGCCACACCCAGAAACGCTCCCGAATGGGTTGCTGGATATGCCGCATCAAGCACCTCAAGTGCGATGAGACCAGGCCGGTTTGCAACCACTGCAAGCGCTTCGGCGTTGCCTGCGACTACAGCCCGGACAGGCCCGATTATGTTTCTGACATGAGCCTCCGGCGCAAGAAACTCAATGAGCTTGCATCTCAAAGGCGCAGAAAGAGACGCTGAAGGCCAAACCGTATGTAAAATAGACTTGACGAGAGTAATGTTGCGTGATAAAATTCTTTATTGGAAAAACGTAGGGTGTCTCCAGGAATGCCATTCGCTTAACGTGCATGGCGCCGCCTCGGAATGGGCATACACTTTGCCCCAGCCGCAGCCTTCATAATGCCCCATCTCACCTCTTGCTGGACACTTTCTCATTCTGTGCCAAGTCGCCACACACATTAACGATGGCCAATACCTCGTATCGCACCGCGGCAACCCATTCAAAATTTTCCTTCAATGATGTAACATGCCAGGCCCGGCAGGTTACTGGCGGCTTGTGTGCCCCCCATTGTAGTCTCCACCCGTCCTCGCATGAAAACCCTATTGTTTAAAGCTAGGCTTGCCTCGAAACAATAAACTGAATGCTTTAGATAGCGCAAATCTCATCGGCGTTAAACGGTCAATAATGGGTTTACCCGATTGCTATTCACCCGTAGCATAATAGCTTTGACGACCAGCTTTCTTATCCTCTTTCATTGTTGCTGATGTTTCATTTCTCATTCCACTTCCGTCCAAGCGAGGCAATTAACATCACCCGCCTTGACAACCACCTTCTTGTTCCTTTCGTCCATCCCAGGGACAAAAAATCCAAGCCGTTATCAAGAATATGACCTCATTGCAACGAGGCAAATTTTCGAGAAACTGCTTCTAATATTAGCAAACGGTTCTCGACCTGAAAGCAGTTGCATAAGTTTACATTGCAAGCCAAAAGCCAGCAAGTTTATTCCCATTCGGCAACCTGTATCCTCTTTCTGATGACAAACTCCGTCACAGGTGGTGCACCATTTTCACTCTCCGCTCCCGTTGGTTCCGGCGTCGAGGAATTGGCCCCTTTACGGAATTCCACCATCGAGATGTGATCTCCATCAAAGCCAATCCATGGTCCATGCAAGGGGTCACGGAGATACGGGTGAGTGTAGTCTGTGAACTGCTCCCTCTCCTCATCCACGGTGGAAACCTTCCGACGATGTCTGATTGCGCCTGCGCTATACGAAATTGAGTAATCTCCATCCAACAAAGCGGAATTCTCTGTCGGCAGCAAGACGCCATCTGATGATGGTGTGGGGTATCCTGTCATCAGCTCTGGCTCGGGCATCTGCAAAGGAGGGGGCTTTCTGGCTGTAAGACTGTCGCTGCTGATATTGAAACCACCATCGTAGGCTAGATTGTGGGAAGATCCAGCAGCAACCAGCAGGGAATCGTCATCAAACTCTTTATCAAAGTTGTACGGACTTTGAATCGCTCTCAAAGCGATGAAGTCATGCAATGGCACGTAGAACTTCTCGAAATTCCACCAAACCAATAAAGTAACAATGAACAAAGGAGTACAAAGAACGGAAAGTAAGATGGCTCCCTCTAAGGCTAACGTACCGCACATGAATAGTTGAAAGATCAATAGCCCGAGCATCAAGCGTCTGAATATCATGGGCCAGACCTTGCCGGTTGAGTGAGGAGGATGAACAAAGCTGTAGATAAGCTGGTATTTGTAAACAAAGTGACCCATTAGGAAGTAAACAAGACCACAGGCAACGATTTTGGTTGAGACAACTGAATAAATAAGAATTATGATGAAGATTAGGATATGTTGAGGGAGTTGAATGCCAAAATCAAAGACAGGTGGTGTGAAATAGTAGAATCGGTAATCCCTTGGGGTCTTGAGAAGCATATTTCTGAGTAAAAAAAGCTTCCCAACAATATTCAAAATAAGGAAGTCCCCAATTTGGAGAAGACGTACCGGGAACATGGCTAGACCTTGCAAAAGAATCAAGTCTGCGTAAAACAAGGAAAGCTTCTTTAGGGAACTTGCCAATTGTGATGCAAACTTGGTGGTGTCTCCGATGGAGGTGAAGTAATCCCACAATGTTCCTGTAATAGTGAACACCAAGAACAAGATGAAGAACACAAAGAAGAAGTTCTTCAGAAGACCCGAAAGCTCCACCTCACTTGACGATGAGTACCCTTGAAGCTGGGAAAGATAGTTGTAAAAATATGGGATGAGAACGGTGATGACCGAGAACAACATAGGTGGCAAGATACCAGTGACGAAGGTACTGAGCCATTTTGACTCGGCGATCTTGTGGCCTAGGGTTGGCCAAACCTTCGTGATGGTCTTCACGTCAATCAAGGTCGACAAGGATGTCACCAAGAAGAAAATAACCGAGTAACTGAGGATGATAAAAAAGGTGACCATGTACGATTTGAAAGCCTTCTCGTAGCGGGTAAGCTTCAAGTTCCTCCATTCGATATCCTTGGCTGCCGGCGCCATGGATACCATGAGCTTATACACCCTGGGGTCAAGAACAGTCTGTGCGGCCATCTGAGCCGAGGCCACAGAGTCCATGGTGATGAAAGCGGAAGGCATGATCGAAAACTCTCCATCTTCAACGGGCATGGTCGAGGTTCTCGGGTCGTACTTGTTCTGCAAGCTTAAGATCTTCTTGTCCACAGCAATGAGTTTCACCGCAAGACCATCAATCTTCTTGCGAAGGTGTGATTTCTTCGTGGAGGTGGCAATGGGGAGCTCAGGTGCGTGTTCTGGGATTACTCGGGGTGTCCTTGTCTGGTTGTAGAGGTCCACCTTCAAGCCGTAGTATTGAGAGTAGAGTTTCTCTAGGCTCGAAATTAGCTCGTGGCGCTCGTCAAAGAGCTTTTCAAGCGGCATCCAGTCGTAAATGAGCTTGACGTCCACCACATGGCCGATGCCCAAATCCTCAATGAAGTGTTTGAGGAGAACAGGGTCGTTTTGGCGGATCAATTTCTTGGGGATTCCGTCAAGCTTGATGGTGCGATCCGTGATGGAGTCCTGCGACGCAAGGTACTTCTGGCGGGTCTTGATCACGGCCGCTGTAAAGTCGAAAAGCTTGAAATACACGATAGCCGAAAACACCCATGTGAAGAGTGGGTACACCCAGAGGTACTTTGGAAAATCGTCGTCCATGTGTGGCCCGGCATCCTTGTATTCAAAAATGGAGATATTGTCACGGTCGTAGTTCCCCGTGAAGATGTAGCGGGTCGGACTAAGCACCAAAACGCCCCAGAGCGCTAGAAGCAGAAAGATGTAGATGCCCATTTTGAAGAAAGTAAGCACCACATAGGCATCGAGCCCCAGGCATTCAAGCACCTCCTTCTCTGTGATGGACCACACGGAGAAAACCCACCTAAAGAGGTCATGGGGCAAGGACCGGTCCCGGATCAGGTTCTTTCGTAGGGTCCTGACCGCATACATGTGAGGCCATTTGCGGCGCAAAAAGCAGAATAGCAAAAACATCGAGGACCCAATGGCCAACGAAAGCACAAGCTGGGTTTTGAAAACCCGCAGCTGGCTCGGACCGTATATGTTATTGCCGTCGTCAGGCATGGTTGTTTAGCTATTGCGGTTGTAGAATTGATTTGATGTAGGCGAGCATCAACCAGTGCAGGAGGTTGCTGCACGAGGTCTATCTTAGCTGTCAAATGTGTGGAAGGGAAAAAGTGGGATTTGAAGGTTTTAATTGAAGAACAGTTTTCAAGAACGGTTATCTAGAACGGTTTTCATGTGATATTTGATTTGTTGATGTTGACGGTAGACGGGTGGCTTGGGTTAAGCGAGAATGTGGTGCAGATCAACTGGATGTAAGCCGCTCAACGGTTGAGGGGAAGGAACCGGGTGATTTCTAAAGCAGATAAAGGAGGAAAGTAAATTTTAGAATTCCTGATTGGCTAACTTAGTTATGTGATATTTGGTTCGATTGTGGTGGTTGCAAAAACTGGTGAGCATGTGGAGACCGGAGTCCAGGCTTATCATGGAGTACAAAGTCGAAGTGGTGATCAATGAAGCTAGAAGTCTCTTGTCATAGCATGACGTGCTACATTCACACAATTGATCATCTAGGTGGAGCTATTTTGGTACGTGCTTTTTCTATATTCCATGTGGTTTTGCACCCAAGGTTACTACAAGATTGGTCCAACAATTCAAGGATGAGCACTTTTTCAAAAAATTACAGCTCTTAAAGAATTTAAAACGCAAAAATTTTTGCAAAAAATAGGACTTGGCAGATGATAACGGAAAGGATGGTGTCTGAATACTCAGGTATTGAGCATTTGATCCATAGAGCATAAGTGATGGATGGTTGAGTATTCCTCAACGTCTGCTGCCCAAAATCGCATCCAAATTTCATAGGTCACAAAAGTGGGCTAGGCTAAACGAGGTACGATGCTCGGTGACGATTAGTCTGGCTGCTTCATGTCCAATCTGACATCCGTGATCCGACTAAATCGCAACGCATGCCACCGACGGATTGATTCTTCCAGGAATAAACGTGCACTAAAACAGAAACAGCACTCGGCACTCGAAAATCCCAGAAAAGCCAAACTTTCGGCAGTGCAAATCTGAAAAGGTTAAAGCGCCGCTTCACGTATCACCCGCATTTCGCAGCCAAGTAGACTAGCGAGTCCACGATCAGCCCACCCAAACCTTAACAAAAGATACTTTTTCATGTTTGTTTTATTAGATGTATGTTGTCGTTAAGCTTCGTCAATTCGTCGAGTCGTCAATTTTGAAAAAGTCGTCAATTCTTGGCCCTCAGGCGGTGGCACAGACACCGGGAGGTGGCGGCAGTGGAGCGCAGGCTCCTAGGCGAAATAGTGCTTTTGTGCGAGTCGCTCGAACTGCTTTCCTTGGAGGGAGTCTTCTTCAAGTCGTTCTTCGAGGGCTTCTCCAAAACCTTCTTGGGAGCCTTTTTCAATTCCTTTTTCTTCAGTTCTTCATGCTCCAATTCCTTCTTCTTCAACTCTCTTTTCTTGCTTCTTCCTTCACGTTTGTGCTCGGTCGCTCTTGTTCTTTCCGCATGGCGCCAGGCCGCATACACCCTGCGCTGGGCCTGAGCAGCGAAAACGGCCCGCTGCGAATGGCCCACCTGCTGCTGCTGGAGGTGCTTCTTTTCGGCAACTTTCCGGTCCAAATTGCCCTGAACGTGCTCGAAAGCGGCCGCACGTGCCCGGAAAACAAGCTCTTCAAGCAGCCGCTCCGCCTCCATCTTGCGGAGCTTTTTGTGCTGTTTTTTGAGCTCTCTGGCGGTTCTTCTCTCGAGGCGGCGGTAGGCCCAATCTTCGCGGACAGAGGCGGTAAAATGGGTAAAACGGGCGCGCCAGCGGGCCACAAAACCTGGCGCCAGAGGTGCCGGTTTGGCTGCGAAAGAGGCCGATGGGACGGCCAGGGAGGCTTCAAAAAATGGAATTGAGCTTGCGGCGGCGGTGTTTTGGCCAGAAAGGGGAAGGTTCTGGCCGGAAGGGAAGTAGCCGGGGAAGGCGAGTGCAAAGCTGATGCTTCAGTGGGGCCGTTTGTGTTTGTGGCATCTGCAATCTCCACGCTGGTCTGGGGAAGAGACTCAGCGGAGAAGCCACAAGCCGGTGGAGCAAAGAAGACTTGGGAGTTGCAGCTTTGTGAGTTGCAGCTTTCGGGTTTTGGATGGGTAGTTTCTGAAAACTCGACTGGCTGCTCCAGGAGAGCATCCCAGTGGTGGGAAAAGGTCTCTCTGGGTTGCACCTGGGAACGGCTCCCACAGTACACCATGTAGGCGATTTCCTTGACGAGCTCCAGAAGCTGGCATTTTGGGTCTTTTTCAATGGCTCTAAGGTACGCCTCGTGAAGGGCCATTTCTCTGTTTCCTTCGCAAAGGCGGCTCACCTCTGCTATCTGGTCACAAGCCCATCTGGGCACTGGTTCCAGGGCAGCGTGGGCGATTTCTCTGGGGAGTTTTGGGGTTCGGTTTTGCGGCGAGGTCTAAAAACCACCAGGTTTGAACCGTTAGCTGGGGAAGTTTTGGGGAAGTTGGTGGAGGCGGCCTCTTGCTTGTGTTTCTGAGCTTCGTTGATGGCTTCAGAGGTGGACTGGGTGGTGGTCTTGGCGTGGACGCGCTTGGTCATTTCGAGTCTGAGTGTGCTGAACATTGTGCTGTTGAAAACCGGAAAAAATAAGTAGTTGAGGAAAAAACGATGGGTCTGGGGTTGTGCCAGGTTATATAGCACCGTTTTGCAACCGGTGCCGGGTGCAGGAAAAACCTGTCAAACCTCTACGTCTGGGGCAAGTCGAGGTACGCCAATTTCCATGGTCACGCATGGATTCCAGGGAAAGTGGAGCACGAAAGGGGACAGTCACCAAAAAATAATCACTCATCATCAAATGCTCGACTTTGGGTGTATTTTATCACTATTCGCCCTGAAACACTAGGACACCCCAACTGCGGCTTCTCGTAAGCCACACTCCGGTGCGTCATACTAAACATCTTCCTCAACTTTCTCTCCATCTTTCTTCCCCAACATGGTCAAGCTTTCCGCTGCTGCATTCACAGAAACTAACCCTGACGTTTCCAAAGCGTTGTTCAACGCCACCGCCTCAATTGACGAGGCCAAGCTCCAGAAAAACGAAATCCTCATCACCGCTTTGGCACTTCCCATCAATCCATCAGACATCCTCCAGGTCCAGGGCTCCTACAAAACGCCAATTTTGAAGCAGAAGCTCGGAAACGAGGACGACGAGCCTGAGGTGGCCGTTGGAGGAAATGAAGGATTGTTCAGGGTCACCGCAGTCGGGTCTTCTGATTTGGGCTACTCCGAGGGCGACTGGGTCATTCTCAAGTTGACGAGTTTCGGCACTTGGCGCTCCCATGCCATTGTCAGGGTCACTGACGACAACAAGGATCCTTTGATTGTGGTTCTGGGCGACCACGGCTCGATTCCGATCGGCGACGCTGCCACAATTCTGACAAACCCTTCCACAGCGTACCAATTGATCCACAACTACATCAAGGACTGGAACGCCGGCGAGTGGATTGTCACCAATGCAGGCAATTCCTTTGTTAGCAAGTACTTGTTCCAGCTTGCCAAACACTACAAGCTCAACACGTTGGCTATCATCAGAAAGAAGCTGGAGGAGCAGTTCAAGGACACTGTGGAGGAGCTTTTGGACTTGGGAGCTACCAAGGTGATTTCTGACACAGAATTCACGGAAGAGTCGTTTGTTGCTGAGAAGCTCCCTAAAATTGTCCGAGACGCTCCCGTCAGACTTGCCTTGGACTCTTTGGGTGGACCAACTACTCCAAACTTAGTGGCTTCCCTTTCGCCCAACAACTACTTTGTCAACTACGGCGGACTCGCTGGAGGCCTCGTTTCCTTTGACCCTCGGATCCAATTGGCCAAGAACGTCACTTTGAAGAGCTACTGGTTGACCAGAAATACCAGGGAGAATCCGCAGACCAAGGTAGACACAGTCAAGGCGTTGATCGAATTGTTCAAGCAGGGTGTTTTCAAACCTGTTTATTACAACAAGGTGCCCTTTAAGTCCGGCGATAATCTCCGTGATCTCTTCGTCAAGGCAATCCAAGACTCGTCAAACGGTAAGCAGGTTGTGACCTTTGAGGAGCACTATCCTTGAGCATGTACCTTATTGTCACAATACCAACAATGTGTTGCAAGGTGTTGCCTGTAGCTGGTGATTTTCCCATTTTCTTGAAAAGCAGCTCCATTGTTAGGCCCAGAAACATTCTGCAAAATAGACGGGATTGTTGCAGATAACGTTTGTCCGTTGAGGTACATTATTTCGCAGCCATTTCTTATCTTTACGGGAGAGCATTACGATTTCCGGCCCAGCGAGATTTTTGCACATTTTTGAAAATGAAAGATGATTGTCAGACGAATTTCAAGAATGACGTATCGAACTTCGCCAGCCCAGTTGCTCTTTTTCACCTCGAAGATGAGAGGCAAATATTGATATTCATACAATTTTTTTCAATCTCGTGCTTTTCTACCTACGGGAAAATAAAACTACAAAAGGCTAAGCACCCCTCGTCACCCGACAAATATGTTCATATACCATCTCGGTCAGAAACCATAATCGTATCTCCATACAAAGCCTACCGTGACTCTGAGTTTCGCGAGGATCAAGTCAATTCATGTCTCACTCTACCTCCACAAAAACCCAACCCTAATTGGCAAGTCCAAGAGAAACTCATCATACAAAATTCAAATCTCTACAAACACAGCCCCTCCACTTTTTTCCCAAATAATAAAAATCACCCCCACCTGATCCAACCTCTCACATAGTTAAGGATTCGGCCCGCGCGCTCTGTACACAGCAGAAAAAAAATCACCGAAAATCACCTCCACCTATCCCTCCACCTATCCCTCCTCCTCCAAATCATGGCCGATATATACGTGGTTGTACACCTAGAGACCACGTGGGACGTTGCGCTGCTGACTCCGCAAACCCACAGCCCTGCAGAGCTCCGTAGTCTCCTGTGGTGCGTGGTGGATGCCGATCTGTTGGAGCAGCTGAAGCCTGAGTGTCTTCATGTGGGAGACAACGACAAGAACGCTTTGACGTTCAAAGACGCTATCGGGGCGTTTGACAAGAGCGTCTCGGAGGCGGTGGCCCAGAAGGATTTCTCCTTCATCACTACAGACATACACAACTTGCGGGTATCGTTACCTAGAGAAGCTCGAGACAGACAGGTGGTGTTGCCAGTGTACTTGCAGCATCCGCGAGTGTTTGATCTTTTTAATGAATACTCCAAGTGGCAGCTGACGCACCCTGAGGCGTTGAGCTACCCCTCCTCATACCTCAGCAACTTGGTCACGGCCTTGTCTGTGGATGTGCCTGAAGACTGGGCATCTGACGAATCTGACGTTCCTTTGGTTGACATACACGCCCGTGTGTTGGCCCAACTAGCTCGCAAATCTCTTCCTGTGGAAGAGCATCCGACGGTCCTCACCAAGCCATATGACACTGCCCACGACGCCAAGGTCTTCTTGGCTGAACGCTCCAAGATCTTGTACTTGTCAAACTTGCCCTCAGACACAACGCAGTCAGAGTTGGAGTCGTGGTTCACGCAGTTTGGTGGACGTCCTATTGCATTCTGGACTTTGAAGAACGCCGACGGCGAGACCAAGTCTCAGAACAAGTCTAAGGGTATTTGTGGTTTTGCTGTTTTTGCCAAGCACGAGGAAGCAGCTCAGTCGCTCTTCATGAATGGTCGCGTGCTCAACGACAGGGTCGTCGAGGTGCAAGCATCATCCACTCGTGTCTTGGACAAAGCAGCTGACTTGTTGACGCCGTTCCCACTGTCAAAGAACCGCCCTCGTCCCGGCGACTGGACTTGTCCCTCGTGCGGCTTCTCCAATTTCCAGAGAAGAATCGCTTGTTTCCGCTGTCTGTTCCCTGCCACAAGCGCTGTGGCGATCCAGGAGCAGATGTTCCTGGGTGCTCTTGACTCTTCAAACGGAAACTCTCAGCAGAGACGTCTCAAGCATGACGATAAAGTTGCCCCACAAGCTTACGGCAACTACACTGACTACTACCCGGGCTCCCAGATGAAGTCCAGTGGCTACAACTACAATTTCAACCACGGCCACATGGGCATGAACAACAACGGCGTTCCTGGAAGCTCAGGTGGCAACAACGGAGGCCACCGTATGCATTATGGCAATAGCGTGCCTTTCCGTGCTGGCGACTGGAAGTGCACGAACGAAAATTGCCAATATCACAACTTCGCCAAAAACCTGTGTTGCTTGAAGTGTGGCAGAGCCAAGCCAGCATCGGTCAACTCAGGTCACAACCATCATAATAATCATCATGCGGGCCATAACAACAACCACGGCCACGCCAACAACCACAGTCATGGTCATCACCACGGTCACCACAATAATAATCACAGTAATCACGGTAACCAGGGCGGCCACAACAACCATAATGCTGCTGCCGCTGCTGCCGCTGCCGCTGCTGCAGGTTCAATCCACTCTGTCAACACCACCGCTGCTGCTATTGCTGCTGCTACTGCTAGCGGACAGCCTTTGAACCTCAGCAATAACTTCTTGGGTCTTCAGCAACCTCAGGCTCACCAGACAAGACATGGACAGGGTCTGCACGGCTCTCAGTCCTCTTCGTCTTCTCCAATTCAGAATGGTGGACTTTATTCTAACATTGCCCAATTACAGCAACTTCAGTTCCCTCAGAAGCTGGGTCAGCAGAACCTCCAGAGTCAGGATCACCTCGGACAGGGCGCAGCTCACTTGCCACAACATTTGGCATTTTTGCAAAGCCAATCTGCTTCACCTCAAATGCAAGGTCAGCAGCGCCAAAAGTCGAGTCTGTCTGGAAGCTCTCCTGGGCTTCAAGGCTCTGGCTACCCATACAAGGGTCAGCAGCACCCTGAGGAAGGGTTGCTTAACAATTCGGGAATCAACTTACTCGGGAATCAGATCAAATCATTGAGCCTTAATGACCAATGAGCGGAAAACACGGCTTTTTAATTTTTATACTTTTTATACTTGGAAGGAATATGGAGGTGTTCAATGAATGTCCTACTGGTTTTTTTACCTTGTTTGACTTATGTGCTTTGCACTTGTTTTATTGATGGGATGAGCTATTTTCATCCATCGGGGCTAGAGAGAGAGATACGAACGGTTTGAAGAAAAGGATAGATAGCTGTACATATCTTATAAGCTATTGGGTGCAAAAAAAACGCCTAACTGTAGTGTGGAAAACCTCGATTTTCCGGCATACGGTGCAGAACACGTACCCTGTCCGAAATACATCTGGAGTCTAAACAGAAAAGAATAGGATACAAGACTTGCAAAAATGGCCGATAAATACTCCATTATTTTGCCTACTTACAACGAGAAGAAAAACTTGCCCATTCTCGTGTACCTTTTGGACAAAACCTTCAGAGAGGAAGGTATCAACTGGGAAGTTGTGATTGTCGATGATAACTCTCCAGATGGAACCCAAAAGGTTGCCGAAAAATTGATCGACATCTTTGGCCCTGAGCACATCCAGTTGAGAGCAAGAGCTGGCAAATTGGGTTTGGGCACTGCTTACGTTCATGGTTTGCAATACGTTACTGGTAACTTCGTCATTATCATGGACGCTGATTTCTCCCACCACCCAGAGGCTATTCCAAAGTTCATTGCCAAGCAGAAGGAAGACGACTACGACATTGTCACCGGTACTCGTTACGCTGGCGACGGTGGTGTTTTCGGTTGGGACTTGAAGAGAAAGTTGGTGTCTAGAGGTGCCAACTTCCTTGCCTCTACTGTTTTGAGACCAAACGTTTCTGACTTGACCGGCTCGTTCAGATTGTACAAGAAGGATGTTTTGGCCAAGGTCATCGACGAGACAAAGTCTAAGGGTTACGTTTTCCAGATGGAGATGATGGTGAGAGCCAAGGCCCTCGGTTTCAATGTAGGCGAGGTTCCTATTAACTTCGTTGACAGATTGTACGGTGAGTCCAAGTTGGGAGGTGACGAGATCGTTCAGTACTTGAAGGGTGTGTGGTCTTTGTTTGTGAGTGTATAGACTATCTTCTGAAGCTACAGAAGCTGCCAAAGGTAAAGACCATCTTGCCTGAACCGGCTTGCATTTTAATATCAATAAATCGAGATACAGAGCACTGGAGTAGCTATCGCTTCGAGTTTTGTGTGAGCGTAGATCGTCTACATTGTTCAAGTTTCTCCGAATCCAATCTTAGTCTGTTGATATCCTTTCAAATTTATTTTCTCGGCTGGGAATGATGAGATTCTTTACTTTCATTTACCTTCGATTTTTCATACTTTCTGATATTTTCTTTATTATACACAATTTTGCCCTTCTTCGAATCCTTCCCTTGAACTTTGCGAATTTAGCTCCACTCTCTGCTATTGCCACAGTAGATGAGAAAAGTCTTAAGTTTAAAAATCAGACACTTCATGAATTGCAAAATGATTGAGCAATTTTCAATAATTGGAAATCAAGAAATACTCACAACCCACATAATAATAAAAATGACGCCCATGTTCTTTATCTCTTGTAGATTTCGAAATCCGGATTTACACCCATGCACCAGAGCTAATACACACTTATCAAGACGCTCACCAACACATCCACAGCCAAAATGCCCAAGGATGTTTATTTAAGAAAAATTTTAGGATCAGAGAGGCTACAGCGTATCAAGTCTTCCAAGATTGTCATGGTTGGTGCCGGTGGAATTGGCTGTGAGCTTCTCAAGGACTTGCTCTTATCAGGTTTTGGAGAAATTCACATCGTTGACTTGGATACCATCACGCTATCGAATTTGAATCGTCAGTTCCTCTTTCGCCAAAAAGATATCGATAAGCTGAAGTCACTTACAATTGCCCAAGCTGTTCAGAGCTTCAACTTTTTCAACTCCAATTTAGTCCCACACCACGGAAATGTGATGGACACCAACTTATTTCCACTTTCTTGGTGGTCACAGTTCGACTACATCTACAACGCGTTAGACAACCTAGAAGCACGTAGATACGTTAACAGGTTGGCCCTTTTTCTTCGCAAGCCGCTTATGGAATCAGGAACTACTGGTTTCGAGGGTCAGATTCAACCAATTTACCCATACAGCACCGAGTGTTTTGAATGTCAGCCAAAGGCTACTCCCCAGACATTCCCAGTCTGTACCATCAGGTCAACTCCATCTCAGCCAGTTCACTGCATTGTATGGGCCAAGGAGTTCCTCTTCACTCAACTCTTTGATGAGACCCTGGAGAAAGAGGTTAATCAAGCTGAATTGAGCAAGGAAACAGATGATCCGGAGGAGATTGAGAGAATCCTTCTGCAAGCTAATGAGCTATCAGCTCTCAAGAAGTTGGTCTCCGACGACGACTTCCCTACAAAGCTTGTGAAGAAGATATACAAAGACGACGTCGAAAAGTCACTCAGACTAGAGAGTCTTTGGAAAAACAGGGTTCCGCCCAATCCTCTCGATTTCGACAAAGTATACAAGAAGGACCTCGACGAACTCTTGAGCAACCCAGAAAACACAAAGCTCTTGATAGACGACACCCACGACTGGTCGGTGTTGCAAAACATTTATGTTCTTTTCAAGTCCACCGAGGCTCTTCAAAAGAGGGTAAAGTCAGGCAAGCAGACTATCATTACCTTCGACAAGGATGACGAAGACACACTTAATTTTGTCGCTGCCGCAGCCAATTTGAGATCGCATGTGTTCCATATACCGTTGAAGACCAAATTCGACATCAAACAAATAGCCGGAAACATCATTCCCGCAATTGCCACGACCAATGCCATAATAAGTGGCTTCTCGAACTTGGGCTCTTTGCTGTATTTCAACAGTGATTTCGTTGCAAAAGATACAAAGAGTGTGTTCATTTCCATTAAGCCAAACAAACGAATTACGTCAGCCGCTGTCGAGGGACCTAACCCCAAGTGTGCCAGTTCTGGAATCACAAAGGCAATAATACGACTTACGAAGAACGACTTCAAGAAGACACTTGCAGAGTTAGTGAAACAAGTCAGCACAAAATACGGCTATTCAGGTGATATTTCTGTCATTTTGGGCAAGTCGAGATTGATTTACGATTTTGATTTCGATGACAATGCAGAGAAACAGCTTCAAGACATTCAAGGCTTTGCAACAGACGAGGTGCTCTTATTCCAAGATGAAGAGGAAGAACTAGAGAACCTCGAGCTCTACATTCAAGAAGTACAAGATAATGGTGGAAACGCGCTTCCCGATGTCCAGCTCAGAGCCAAGGTGAAATTTGACGAGGAGCCAGATTCGCCCAGTGACGAAGAAATGGAAACAACCACGGTTGTTCTAGATGACGAGCCACCATCGAAGAAGAGAAAGACCAACGGGTCGGTCGAGGACACGCTGATCATACTATAGAAGTCCTCCTCAATTGCAATTAATAGAATAAGACAGCACATTGAAATCATTGCGGCTGCAAAACCGCGAAAAAGTACAAAGATCGTATCTCGGTGTACGGTGAAGCTCGGGCAACCTCAAACTCGGTTTGCAGGGGCCAGATCGGCACCCGTGCACCACTAACTGAATGCGTGAGGTCAGACATGGCAAGGTATAAATTCTCTAGCCACACAACTCACCACAGTTCTTTCACATAAATCCAATTCTCAATGTCCTGGAACGCTTATACAGACAGTCTCAAGTCAACCGGCAAGATCGACAAGGCCGCTCTTTACTCGGCTGCTGGTGACTCTCTCTGGGCCGAATCCGGAGGATTCCAAATTGCTCCTCAAGAGATTCAGGCCATTGCCGGTGCATACTCTGATCCCCTGAACTTGCAGGCCCACGGTTTGCACATTGAGGGCCAGAAGTACTTTTTGTTGAGAGCCGACGACAGATCCGTGTACGGTAAGCTCGACGACACCGGAATTGTTGCCGTCAAGACCAAGCAGGCCATTGTGGTAGCCCACTACCCATCCGGCGTGCAGCCCCAGGAGGCCACTGCTGTTGTGGAGAAGTTGGCTGACTACTTGATTGGCGTTGGCTACTAGATTTATAGGATAATTGACATAAGCCAGTGGCAGATACGAATCTGGGGAATGTAGGTGAAGGGATGTAGGTGAAGGGATGTAGCCATGGGATGTGTATTAGGTTTTGAGAGACATTCAAATATCGCCATGGAAATGCAATTGTAATGGTATTAGTTTGATTTGGGCTGATCTCGTTGCAATATTCAAGGTGTTTGTGCGACTTGGCTGCAATAAGAATTGTGGGCTGTCCTGAGCTCACCTCGGTCCAGGAGTAGAGGAATTGAGCACTTGTTAGTTGTATTCTAATCGGAATACTATCGATGAAGGTATTAAAAAGTTCAAGCACACAGTTAAAATTTCTTACTTTAAAAGGTAACCGCCGTCTTATGGCTAATCTGTCAAGCCGACTACCGACACTGAGCTCACTGCAGATTTATAGGTGCCACGTTTGAAGACTACTAACCTGAATGTTCATCAGAACTTGAAAAAACAACTCGCTTATTATGTTCAAAATATTTCAGCGCTCCCACCAGCCTATTAAGAGACCTTACAGCAGAAGTCGAAAAGACTTTCGCAGCCATTTTTGGCCAACTAGCTTCCTGTCCTGCCGGTGCGCTCACAGAACATTTTTTAGCACTTACGTGCCGTGCTCAATTGAAAACTAGCTGATTCTCATTGGCCAGAACATTTCGCATCTTAGTGTACTCAAGCTTTGGTTCAGCTAATTACTCCATAACTCGACAATCACATCATGTTCAGGGCCTCAGCTCGTGCTGCCAGAATAAACTTTAGGAGATTCAACTCCTCGGGCCACCACGATGCCCCAGCTCCATCGCAAAACGAAATCGACGTTACAAAAGTGTTTGGCGTTGCTCTTTTGGCAGGCGTCTCCCTCTTCTTCTACAGATCTTCCAAGGAGCCCGTCATCAAGACCCCCTTGTACAACCAAGTGGAGGAGCGTGTGCAAATGAGAAACGAAGCTTACGCCAGAAAGTACAAGACCTCTTTCATCAAGTCTTTCATCAGAGACAAGGGCGGTATCGGCCTGAAGCAGCACAGAAGAGAAGTCATTGGCGCTGTTCCAACCACCGCCATCCCTACACATTCTCCATACGGCAATCAGTTTGGTGCTGGTATCAAGACCGCTGATTTGGGCCCAAGAAAGGAGAGAATCAAGTACTACGCCCCATTGGAAAACTAATCACTTGGTATGCATACATTCCATGCTTTGGCATTGATACACATCAGATATTGGGAGGCTGCGGCCTGGATGGGAGAAGGGTCAGATTTGTTCCGTCCGTCGTCGCCATCTCGTAGACGAGGACCCGCTCATTTATTTCACTCGTGGCGATCAGACTGCTGAACGAGGTAGTTATAGTTTGCAACGAACGATTTTGCATCGAGTTATCACGATAAAAGGCATTTTGCTTTATTGGTTAACGAAAATATAAGAAAAAACAGACATTCAGGAGAATCCGATGATTATTCGTAGCACCAACTCTTTCTATTCGCTAGACTTTCTTATGGGCTCTTTGGGCTCTTACAAGGGTGGCGCCCTACTAGAAAACTTAATGAAAATGAGCCTTCAACTGCTGATGGCTTCATATCCCTGCTTCGAGTTGATAGCTCCAGTCAATTAAAAAATCATAAAATTTTCTTCTCTCGAAACGTCGAAACAAAAGTTTACCTTCAAAGCGGTCTTCAATTATGTATTCCATCATTCCAGGTACTAAAAAGTCTAGTCTTCCTACACGTTCGAGCTTGTGGCAGAGCTTTTCAAAAATGATGAACATTCAAATGTAAACAATCGATCAGAGCTTGAAGAACCATGCTAGGGGCACTACCAGGCTCATCTAGCATTCTAGAGTGCCCGCTTTAACTATGAAGTAATGGCAGCTGCGACCACCGTCAAAGATTGAACTTTTCAAAATTCAGACAGCTATTATGCAGGACAGTTAGTGGCCTTACTTGACAGACTGTTTCTCGCTGACAACAAAGGTTCCGGTCCTATAGTGTAGTGGTATCACCTCGGATTCTGATTCCGGTAACCTGGGTTCGAACCCCAGTGGGACCTTTATTTTTGCGAAATATACCCTTCAAGAGAAGATGCTTGGAATAAAAATTATCCCTGTTCCGAAATTTTTTTCCCTGCCTTGAATTCTGATGCTTTTGTTTCTCGCCACGGAGATTGCGAGCATGAAAAGTGTCAAGCTGTCAATCAAGATAACCGCGCGAACTAAACTCAAGTAATTACATCCTCAATTGCATCAAAAATGGCTAAAATCGAGTGGAACGTTATCGTGTTTGATAAGCCCGGTGTGGACAGAACACCAGTGAGGGCTGAGCACGTTCAAGGCATTCCAGCAACAGTTAACGACGGAATTGTCACTTCTGTGGGTGCCATCTACAAGGACGTTGAAAAGACACAATTCGCTGGAAGCACTTTCCACTTGTATGCCGAGTCCAAAGAGGAAATCATTGAATTCTTGAAGAAAGACGTTTACTACAAAAGCGGCATTTGGGACTTGGACAGCGTGATCGCCAACCCAGTAGGCATTGCGGCTAGAATCGGCAAGGCCATGCCAGGCGTGAAGATTTGAGTTCTCGGAGTAAAGAATTTTAACGTTTGTGTAGATAATACAAAGCGGTGTTCAGACATTGACGTATAGGAAGAAGTCAGGTTCGGCGATTCACGGAGTCAGTTGAATAATTGGAGTCAATAGGGTAACTCAACGTGCCACTATAATACCGACCGATCCGCACATAAACCCGAATATTAAATTTATAACGGTCTACGTGGTCTCAAACGGCCTGAGGCGAAGTGGGGATTACCACTTAGGGGTCATACACTGCCTCGACCTTGTCTCAGCCTTTGTCATGATTTTCATGGCAGCACGGAACGGCACATTTCTCGGAGCCGTAGGTTTTTCGATGTCCGCATTATCATAAAAATCGGGCAGGGCGCTTTCGGAACTCACTCAGGTTCCGGGTCCGGAAAGACCAAAAAAAAGTGAGCTTCCGATATCTAGGTCCCTTACATACGGCTCAGCCGTGTGGTATCGAAAAAACCAGCACCATCGGTGCCCACAAGTAGAAGAACTACGGAAGTTTATCGGAGATACATCCAAAACGTCCGGAATAGGATGCCAAAAGAAAAAGAAGTTTAAAAACCTGAAAATAATGCAAAACTCGCTTAGCATGATCCCCGTTTCTAGTGCTTTGCTCGTGCGCATGGCCTGCCGGCCGGATCGCAATGTAATTCTCTAGCCGATCCGGCTGTGGAGAAACATATAAAAACCAGGTGATAAGTCGAAGGAAAAAAACATCTCAATCTTTTCTTTAATTCGTTTTCAATGCTGGATACAGAACGACCCAGCCTTGAGCAGTACGAAGGCTTCACCGATGAAGTCGCCAGGGATATCAAAATGTTAGCCCGCACGGCTACCAACCACTCCGGAACCGGAGAGCTGGTGAACCATTCGTTGACAAAAGCACTCAGCCAGCTCCTGGTACCGGGTGTGAACCCAATGGATCAGACGCTGGACCCCCGCTTGGATCCCAATTCTGACGATTTTGACTCAAAGTTTTGGGTCAAGAATATGCATCTGTTGGCCTGTTCGGACCCAGATTACTATAAACCAGCCTCCTTAGGAGTTGTCTACAAGGGGCTTCGTGCTTACGGTCAGGCTGCTGATGCAGACTATCAGTCTAACTTTGGTAATGCAGTTTACAAGAATGTTTCTCAGTTCATTCAAAACTGGTCAGGCTCTTATCGCGAGAAGACCAGGTTCGACATCTTGAAACCCATGGATGGTATCATAGAGCCAGGATCTGTCACGGTGGTTTTGGGAAGACCGGGTGCTGGTTGTTCTACCTTCTTGAAGACCATTGCTTCTCAAACCCATGGTTTCCACATTGATAATAACTCAGTCATTCTGTACGATGGACTCACGCCCAACGAGATCAAAAAGCATTTCAGAGGTGACGTTATTTACTGTGCCGAGACCGAATCTCATTTCCCTCAAATGACAGTCCAACAGACACTAGAGTTTGCTGCCAAAATGAGGACACCAAAAAACAGACCCGAAGGAATCTCGAGGACGGACTATGCTAAGCACATGTCTGAGGTTGCCATGGCTACCTACGGTTTATCGCATACAAGAAACACAAAAGTTGGAAACGAGTACATCAGAGGTGTTTCTGGTGGTGAGCGGAAGAGAGTTTCCATCGCCGAAGTTCATTTGTCTCGGGCATGCCTACAATGTTGGGATAACTCTACCCGTGGATTGGACTCTGCCACTGCTTTGGAATTTGTTAGAGCTTTGAAGACTTCTGCCACAGTGACCAAAACGACGCCTTTGATTGCCATCTATCAGTGTTCGCAAGATGCTTACGACTTGTTCGATAACGTCATTCTCTTGTATGAGGGATATCAAATCTACAATGGCTCAGCTCGTGAAGCTAAAGAGTTTTTCACAAATATGGGTTACCACTGTCCTCAGAGGCAAACGACAGCTGACTTTTTGACTTCTCTTACCAACCCTTTAGAGAGAGAAGTCAGAGAAGGCTTCGAGAATAAGGTTCCTAGAACGCCAAAGGAGTTCTATGATTACTGGCAGGCTTCACAGGAGAGATCTAACATCTTGAAAAAAATCGACGACTACTTAGGCTCCCGTGAAATAGAAGACAAGCGCAAGCAATTCAGTGAATCCCACAATGCTCGTCAAGCAAAGAACTCCAGAGCCAAGTCTCCATACACTGTTTCCTTTGGAATGCAAGTGAAATACTTGATGCAGCGAAACTTTAGCCGAACAAAAGGAGATCCATCGATCACACTCTTCAGTGTGATTGGTAACGTCATCATGTCTGTCATTGTCTCCACGATGTTCATTGATTTGAATCCTGACACCGATTCCTTTTACAGAAGAACCGCTGTCTTGTTTTTTGCAGTTCTTCTCAATGCTTTCGGTTCCCTTTTGGAGATTTTCTCGCTCTACGAATCCCGTCCTATTGTTGAGAAACACAAGACTTACGCATTATACCACCCAGCTGCTGATGCGTTTGCATCCATTATAACAGAGCTCCCACCCAAGCTCATCCAATGCATTTGCTTCAACTTAATTCTTTACTTCACAGTGCATTTGCGGAAAAGTGCTGGGCACTTCTTCTTCTACTTGTTGATCAATTTTTCATGTACCCTTGCAATGTCACATCTTTTCAGATGCATTGGTGCTGCCACAAAATCCTTGTCATCAGCAATGACTCCCGCTTCGTTATTGTTGACAGCCATGACTATCTTTACCGGCTTTGTTATTCCACCACAAGACATGCACGGCTGGTGCAGATGGATTAATTACATTGATGTGGTCGCCTATGCTTTCGAAGCTTTAATTGCCAATGAATTCCACGGAAGAGACTTCCCTTGTTCTCTTTATGTTCCTACTGGACCAGGTTACCCTTCGCTGGGAGACAGTGTGATTTGTCTGGAAAGGGGTGCCAATGCTGGAGAGGACTTTGTCAACGGCGATGAGTTTATCAGACTTTCATTTGAATACGAAAATGCCAACAAATGGAGAAACTGGGGTATCGTTATGGCATTTGCTATTTTCTTCTTCTGTGTCTACATTTATCTTGTTGAAATCAACAAGGGAGCGATGCAAAATGGTGAAATTCTCGTATTCCAGGAGTCTGCTTTACGCAAGAGGAGAAAGCAGTTGAAGGAAAATAATGACTTGGAGTCAGCTACTCTTGAGGAAAAGCTTAAAGGTGAAGATCTTTTTGAGGATGACGATGACTCGGATATCAGTGACAAGAAGCTTCCAAATACATCCGATATCTTTCATTGGAGAAACCTTACCTACCAGGTCAAAATCAAGTCGGAGCATAGAGTCATCTTGAATGGCGTCGACGGATGGGTCAAACCAGGCCAAGTGACAGCTTTAATGGGAGCATCTGGTGCAGGTAAAACGACCTTGTTGAATGCTTTATCAGAAAGATTGACTTCAGGTGATGTCACAGACGGCAAGCGTATGGTTAATGGGCGTGAATTGGACTCTGCATTCCAAAGATCGATAGGTTACGTTCAGCAACAGGACCTCCATCTCCAGACTTCTACTGTTCGTGAGGCATTAAAATTTTCTGCTTACTTGAGACAGCCATCAAGTGTATCAAAGGCCGAAAAAGATGAGTACGTGGAGTACATCATTAGACTTTTGGAAATGACGAAGTATGCGGATGCCGTCGTGGGAGTGCCTGGTGAAGGTTTGAACGTCGAGCAGCGTAAGAGATTGACTATCGCTGTCGAGTTAGTTGCAAAGCCCAGATTATTGGTGTTCTTGGACGAACCAACATCTGGTTTGGACTCCCAGACTGCTTGGTCCATTTGCAAATTGATCAGGAAGTTGGCTGACCATGGACAGGCTATTTTGTGTACGATTCACCAGCCTTCAGCGATCTTGATGAAAGAATTCGACCGCTTGCTTTTCTTGCAGAAGGGTGGAGAGACTGTCTACTTCGGTGATTTGGGAGAAAACTGTCAAACTATGATCGACTACTTCGAAGGTGAAGGAGCACCTAAATGTCCACCTCACGCCAACCCAGCTGAGTGGATGTTGGAAGTTATTGGTGCTGCACCAGGCTCCCATGCTGATAGAAATTACCATGAGGTCTGGCGTCAGTCCAAAGCTTATCAAGAAGTGATTGATGAGCTTGATGATATGGACAGGGAGCTTCCCAAGAGACCAGTGTCGGAGGACCCTGAGAAGTACAAAAAGTACGCGAGAGGTTTATGGGCTCAATACCAGCTGGTTGTGAGGAGAGTTTTCCAGCAGTATTGGAGAACACCATCGTATACCTACTCAAAAGTGTTGCTTTCCATTCTCGCATCTATCTTCAACGGTTTCACATTTTTCAAAGCTGACAAATCCCAACAAGGTCTTCAGAACCAGATGTTCTCGGTTTTTATGTTCATGGTGGTATTCAACACTTTAATCCAGCAATACCTCCCTCACTTTGTGGCTCAAAGAGACCTTTACGAGGTAAGAGAACGTCCTTCCAGAACATACTCATGGATCACTTTCATTTTGGCACTTGTTACTGCGGAGATTCCATGGAACATCCTCTGTGGTACTTTGGCTTTCTTCGTTTGGTACTACCCGATTGGCTTCTACAATAATGCTACTCCTACTGATACAGTGAATGAGCGTGGAGCTACAATGTGGTTCGCAATTGTCTTGTTTTACATTTACACATCCACTATGGGCCAGCTTTGTATTTCCTTCTCGGAATTGGCAAACAACGCTGCTAATTTGGCAAGTTTGTTATTCAGTATGAGTTTGATGTTCTGCGGTGTTTTGTCTTCCAAGGAAGACATGCCACGGTTCTGGATCTTCATGTATCGGTGCAGTCCATTCACATACTTTGTTTCAACAGTTCTTTCAGTTGGTTTGGCGAATTCCGATGTGACATGCTCCGATGTTGAGTTGTTGAGATTCCCACCAGAAGAGGGAACATGCGGCGAGTACATGGCGAATTACATGCTGTTTGCTGGAGGATACTTGGTCGACGAAAATGCTACTGATCAATGTGAATTTTGTACTGTGAGCTCGACTAATGTGTTCTTGGAGTCGATCGGCTCCGAATACAACCACCGCTGGAGAGACTTGGGCATCTTCATTGCTTACATTTTCATCAATATCATCGGAACCTTGTTCTTCTATTGGCTCGCCAGGGTACCAAAGAGATCCCGTGAAAAGCGTCAATAAGACAAAAGGTGAAATATTTTATTCATTAAATGCAAATTGTATCGTAAACTAACTGTAACATGTCGAGAAACTGAATTTTATGATTGCCATGCGATCCAGTCGCAAACTTGATGGTATTAGGGGTTCTTCGAAACTTTCAGTAGTTTGGTGTTGTAGAAATGAGTTCCGTATACATGGTTTCTGAATAATGACTGAGTTTTGGTCGATGCCTTCTTCAGCAGACCACTAGAAAACCGAGTTGCTATGAAATCAGCCGCAACAATAAAGACAGGGCCTATGGCCAAAATGGTTCCGTTCGAGAGTCCTCTCATAATTTGAGGTAAAAAGGTGAAAGCGGAATCAGATAAACTCTAGGAGTGAAGTATCTAATATATGATACTCATTCGATAAGCAAGACAGTCATGCAATATAACAAAATGGAATCCTCGAAATGAAGCAGGAAAAGAAGCCTTGTTTTCGTGATCTTCGTAAATAAAGGAAGAGTGTGTTTGAGATGATAGTTTTTGAGATTTTCCGTCTCACTTTTGCTCATTGCTCCTATTGTTCGTCATACAACCTCTGCAGTCATACCTAAGGTGATTTCCATACAAGCCGACAAGAAAAAAAAAAAATATTATCGGGAACTTTTCTTAAATGCGCACACACGTTTCATGATTTAGGAAGTTACACCTTTCCCCGAGGCTCACTGAAGCTCAAAAGTCTCTACCTTCCTTCTCTCTTTCAATCGCACTCAACCTCACGACCCCACATTATGCACGGTGGGCTAATTAGATGACCAAAGTATAAACATTTACACTAATAGACCAACGGTACCATATATTGGACTCATTATCCACGATAAGTACGTCTAACTATACAAATCATCTTCTTCGGCTTCATTTGCGAAAGCTGCGCCAGCGCCGGACTCGCCGGCGATACCCTCATTCTCGGAGAATCTGAAGTTGGTGAACTGACCTCTAGATGCTTGTAGCTGCTGAGCATAGGCCTCATAACGGCGCAACTCGGCGTCCGAGACAGATCTCTTGGCTGTCTTCATGGCTTCTTCGAAGTGGTTTTTGGTGATGTAAGGAACTGGATCCTCCTGGTCCTCTTCCTCTTCAGCCTTTGGCTTATCGGTCATGTCGACGTCATCACCCTCCTCTTGTTTGACTTCTCCATCTCCCTTCTCCTTCATGAGCCTAATGTGAGCCTCAATGGAGTCCTTGATCGCAAATTTGGCAGATCTTTGAACAATGTAAGACAAGTCAGCACCCGAGAAGCCGTTTGTGATTTTGGCAATCTCGGTCAACTCCAAACCAGGCTCCAATGGAGTGTTTCTCAACTGAGCTTGCAAGATCGACAACCTCGCACCCTCATCGGGCAATGGAACGTAAATCAACTGATCCAATCTACCTGGTCTCAACAAAGCAGGGTCAATTTGGTCAGGTCTATTAGTGGCACCAACCACAAACACATTCTTCTTGGCATTCATACCATCCATCTCTGTCAACAACTGGTTCACCACTCTATCTGAGGCTCCGCCTGCGTCACCGTGAGAACCACCTCTTGCCTTCGCAATAGAATCCAATTCATCCAAGAAAACCACTGTTGGTGCAGCAGCTCTGGCCTTGTCAAAGATATCTCTAATGTTGGATTCAGACTCACCGTACCACATACTCAAGAGCTCTGGACCCTTGACAGAAATGAAGTTAGCAGAGACCTCAGTGGCAACGGCCTTGGCCAACAAGGTTTTACCAGTACCGGGAGGACCGAAGAACAAGACTCCCTTTGATGGGGCCAAGCCGAATTTCTGGTATTGATCGGGATGCAACACAGGGTATTCGACGGTTTCCTTCAATTCGTTCTTGATGTCGTCCAATCCTCCAATATCGTCCCAGGTGACGTTGACATTCTCGACAACGGTTTCACGCAAGGCGGAAGGATTAGAGTTGCCCAAAGCGAATCTAAAGTTCTCCATAGTGACACCCAAAGAATCCAAGATTTCGGCATCGATTGTCTCCTCCTCCAAATCGATGAGATCCATCTTTTCACGAATCTGTTGCATAGCGGCTTCGGAACACAAGGACGCAACATCAGCACCGACAAATCCATGTGTTTCGGAAGCGATGGCCTCCAACTCAACATCGTCGGCCAACTTCATGTTCTTTGTGTGGATTCTCAAAATCTCCAAACGACCAGCGGCATCTGGCACACCGATGTCGACTTCTCTGTCAAATCTACCAAATCTTCTCAAAGCAGGATCAATGGAATTTGGTCTATTCGTAGCGGCGATGACCACCACATTAGATCTTGCTTTCATACCATCCATCAAGGTCAACAATTGAGATACAACTCTTCTTTCAACCTCACCATTTGTCTTGTCTCTCTTTGGAGCAATCGAGTCAATCTCATCAATGAAGATGATAGCCGGAGAGTTCTTTTCAGCTTCCTCAAAAGCCTTTCTCAAGTTGGATTCGGATTCACCAGCCATTTTCGACATAATCTCTGGACCGTTGATCAAAAAGAAGAACGCACCAGTCTCATTAGCGACAGCTCTGGCCATGATGGTCTTACCCGTACCTGGAGGACCATACATCAAGATACCCTTTGGTGGTTTGATTCCAATCGACTTGAACAATTGAGGATGTCTCAAAGGTAACTCGACCAACTCTCTTATCTGAGCCATCTGCTTCTTGCAACCTCCAATGTCGTCATAACCGACTTCATTCATGTTATTCTCTTCGTCCTCACGGTTGATTGGCTCACCTTCACAGTGAATGATAGTATCCTGGGCGACAATGGCGAAGTCCTCTGGCTCGACATCCACAACCTTGAATTCCACCTGTCTCATACCACCTCTCACGGTGAACAAATCACCTTTCCTAACGGGTCTGTATGCCTCAACGAAGTATGGCTTCAAGTACACGTCAAACAAGGAGCCAGTGATTCCCTCCACAGTGTCAGCAATAGGCAACACCGAGATTCTGGAGGCGTACTTGATATCAGGGCAAGGGTGGATCGTGACGATGTCACTCAATCTCACTCTCAAGTTGTTACGAACGCAACGGTTGATTCTGGCAACGCCATCTGGCATTTCGTCGTCTGAGAGCACAACCAAGATGGTATCCTTTCTTCTCTTACCCTTAACCAAGACTGTGTCACCCCTGAACAATTCCAAGAGCTCCATTGTGGCCGAGGACATAGTGATGACGGAATTATCATCATTTGTAGCGTCATCCACGATCAAAGCGTTGTCCTTCTTCTTTCTTCTCAAAATGGCAGTAGCGGTGGCGTCGTCGGCCTCATGAGCACCAGAGGCGTCCAAAAGCGGTTTCTTGTCTTCTGCTGTCATGGCCTATGTTCCCCTTTTTTAAATAGAATTAATTGATTCCAGTAGGATCGGAAGTATAGGTTTAAAGACGAGTCAATAGAAAATAGTTGATCTTGATAGCGTTATAGCAGCGAGATTCGTTGGCCACCGCGGGAGGGAAGGGCGAGAGAGGTACGGGTGTTTCTCAGGAGATAGTCCGTTCCTTCACATTCCTCGAGCTTCTGAAAAGGGCCCATATACTTGCTGTTGCCTTTTAATGCGATAATCTGCGTAAGTGGGTCAAGGTCGGTAGGGGTTATACGATCGGCAATCCAATGGACTTTGTGGATCTCACGTGCCACTGAGGACAATTGTACGAATATGGCGATTTAAAGCATTTCGTTTGGTTACCAAAAGTTGCTACAGTTTCATGAAGTCGGAATTGTAAAAGAATAGTGAAGCCTGTAGTCAATGCATCCTAGAAGAGGTACAGTGTATTGTGTAGAAGTCAGATTGTGTATTCCCAGAAGACAAAAAAAGATTTGCATGTCCTCGTAAGACGGGCTGCAAACTTATCGTATTGCGAATTGTATATTTGACTTTTCAATTCTCCCTAGGCATCACTTCATATATTGTGAAGCTTCTACTTTTCTATTCTCTCAACTCCGGGGTAAATGCGTAGTCTGCGCCTAAAAAGTTAGAGTACCTGAGAGAAAAAAAGTGAGAAAGCTATTGATCTAACAAGGAAGCCATGTCAGACAACGACAGAAGACCAAACCCTAAAGGGTGGATTCCTCCAAAAGCTCCCTATAATCCTTATGATCCCACAGATCTACGTCCTGCTGAGGGTTATCCCTCGGAATTTAGCCTTCCTGGCCAAGAACCTCAAGGCTTCTCATCGATACCGAAAACACCCACGCAATACCAGAAGATCAATGAAACCATGAAAAAGCTTAATTATACACCTCGTCCGAGATCTAACTTATACCCAGGCCAGTACATGGTGCTACGCAAGGTGGACACCAATCAGCGACTCAATACAGGTACACGATGGTTTGGCACCTTCTTGACAGGGTCGATCATTGTGTACTTTTCCTTCTTTTATAGGTGGAATGATGGAAAGGAGAATGTTATGTCGGATTTCTACCGTTATCGTCTTAGGGCTAAGGAAATGCTAGTGGGCTTGTCTGAAACTGAGTATGACGACTTATACCACCCAAAGAAGAACAATCACATCATCAAGAATGTGAGAGATGCTGACTACATCCCAACAGATATACGATTGACAAAGGAGGGTGATTTTGCTTTGAACAGGCCAGCTGAGAGACATGTTTTGGAGGCCCAAAGGAGGCAACAAGACCAAGAAGAGCAAATTCTTAGAGAACTCGATTCGCACAGACAATACGCAAAGGAATTTATGCTGGATGAACAGGAGAAGCCAAAGAAGAGATGGTGGTTTTTCTGATGCTTGGGAGGTATAGCATGTATTAGTCGCCTGCAGCATCTCTTGAGTATATTTACATATTCCAGCTTCGTGCAACATCAAAAAGACTCAGTTATTTGTCTTATCAAGCTTTATTTTTTGTTCACAGACAAACCTTTTGACTTTATGGTGTGGCTTGAGCCGTGACAGGGCGCCAGCAAACATGCTATGATTTCATCGCTCACTATATTTGTTCGTTGGGATGGGTTTTATGTCTATCTCTCGGTACGAGGAGAGGCAACAATTATAGACGAATAGCTTCTGGATGCTCTAATTCTGAAGCATCACATTACCAAAGCCTTGATGACGGTGTAGCAAAAGATGATCGTGTACATATTTAAATCATTTAAAAAAGGAGAATGTTGTGTAGGCCTAGAAAACTTCATTCATTTCGTTTCACATTAGAACTTTCCACGATGGCATAGGGATTTTGCAATATTTGCAACCTGTAGCTAAGTTACCCGGCCAAAAGCGCTCGCATAAAAGAGGCACATCATCGTAATTTTTTTTTTTTTCTTAACGCTAATTTAACAGCCATCAACAACGCTACAGCATTCCGTAGAGGTTGAACCCTTTTGGCGTTCTTGGCCCATGACCATCGGAGTATTGTTGTATTTGAGGCGTACGCCTCAATTATTATGGTGGACTGGAGAACAAATGGTTGATCTTGGGTGCAGCATCTCATGCGCTGGTAACTCGTTACCACTAAGGGATTGCCTTCGTGCGCCCGTATGGGAGATGGTGCAATGATCAGCTATACATTTATTTATCTTTCGGGAGTATTCCCTGACTCAATCCGGGCTTGTGATCCACACCGCTCAGAATTACTCGTCTTTTACCTCTTCCACCTCTCACTGTAATTCATGTTCACAGACAAAGTGAAGTTCGAAAAGGTTAATCCAACGCTTTCGCCACTTTGTGTTAAAATCTGTTGTTCGATTATTGGTCTGTGTCATAAAACTGCATATCATGGTATCTGAGCACTACATAGACTGATAAGGCTGCGTTAACTACCTTCTATAGACCAAGCATTCTACAACTCGGTCGAGCGACTCTAGATCAAAGAATTGCTCTTAGGTTTGCCTCACATCATGAGAGCTCGACTATTACCCTCTATACTAATACTTTCCGCTTGTCAGGTAATTGGTCACACATCCTCAAACCAACTTCCTGAACTCGTTCTAGAGAAGCATGACACCGAGCCTATGATACAGTATGGTGTATCCGTTCCGACAGAGATTTCTTCGACCCTTCAGCTAGCGTACTCGTCAAAGAGTCAGGACTCGATCACCCCAACTCTCGAATGCAAAGACATATATCTGAAACCCGTTGCGTTACGTTGTGATCATGTACGGAAAGCGTGCAATACCGAGGAATACAATGTCGGGTTACTTAACTACCTTTCGTTGTACTACTGCTATTTACCAGGTGTTTTAGTTATATCCATTGCGATTTTGGCTTTAACGGTAAGCTTTGCGAGCCTTGGAATAACTGCAGCGGACTACTTGAGTCCAAACTTGTACACAATTTCGAAGCTTCTACAGCTTTCAGATCATCTTGCAGGTCTTACGCTTCTTGCGATTGGTAATAGCGCAGCAGACATATTTGGAACTTATACGGCTCTCAGCATTGGATCCGCCGAGTTGGCAATTTCCGAATTACTAGGTGCCACATTATTCGTTCTCACAGTCGTCATAGGCTCGATATGTTTAATTTCGCCGTTTAAAGTACCAGTCTTTCATTACACCAGAGACAACTTCTTTTATATCGTGGTACTTGCGGTAATCGAGTATGCTCTAGAAACAAATGAATTAGACGTGATGAAGGCCTCTATTCTTATTGTGATATATGCTATCTATGTTCTTGTGGCTGTTTTAAACCATTCGTGGTTGAAAGTTGCGAATAGAAAGAGAATTACGACAGAAAGAATAAGAAGCACATTTAATATACCAGCTTCTGACATACAGGGGGAGACTGACGAGATCACTTCTGCAGGGTTGCTGCTTCCGGGTATCGAATCTCTTGAAGATATGTCTGACGAAGAGAGGCAAATGCTCGAGGAGGTTGAAGGATACTTTGCAGCGCATCCCGAGGAGGAGCTTGATATACCCGTACCTGTGCAGACAGGGTCTTACGGTCTCAAAATTCTCCTAAAGGAGCTTAGCATGCATACGACCAATATTACAAACCGTGGGCCGAACTTGAATTCAGGAGAAGAGGGAAGGAGCCTGGAAGAGCCTTTTCAAGAAGAGCAAAATCAGAGCACCACCTTTAACGAGTCAGCACTGGACGAAGAAGCAGTTTCTAATGAAACAAATCAACAATACCATTGGAACCTGCAGCATATAAAGAGAAAACTTCTTAAGGAGGTGATCCACTCGCTTGTTCCTCGATGGAACCATGATGATACTACGGTCTCTAAGATTTTCTTCATCATTACTTATCCAGCTAAAGTTGTTCTTTCTTTCACGACTCCAGTTAGAGAGAAAGCGATAGTTTATGCTCATAATACAGTTCGGGGTTCGAATGCTTTCACATTGCCCACCACGAATCAAGATTTACAAACAAGTTTGGGGGAACTGTATGATATTCGCCTCGATCTCATGGCATTCAAAATTCAATTTACATTAGGTATAACCACTTTAGCCTTGATGCATTTGAAGCCACTTTTCATTATCTTGCTAGTTCCTCCAATCTTTCTAGGCGCATCTACAATAGCCTTCTTGTTCCTTCCCACGAGATGTCCTCAGTTCGAGCACCAAATGACTGTCTTCAAAGCATGGAATTACACGGGATCAATCTTGGGCTTTGTCCTCTCGATACATTGGATATCTGTGTTTGCTACCGAGGTTATCGCCATCTTGAAGCAAGTGGCTCTTATCTTGGGGATCAGTGATGAGATTCTAGGAGTAACCGTTTTTGCGATGGGTAATTCGATTGGGGACCTCATTTCTAATTTGACAATTGCTCTGATGGGAATGCCACTCATGGCTTTTGCTGCATGTTTTGGGGGTCCACTCCTCTCTCTTTGTTCAATGGGTTTCAGCTCCTTGTTGGTGATATCCAACAGCGACCTCACAACTATCGGAATTTACCATTCGACAACGTTACGCCTAAACGTCATTGTCATTTTTTGTGTGCTTGTTTTCATGAATCTATACTTTTCTGTATTTTCACATCATCAAGCAGACAGAACACTCGGCTTCATTTTGATACTGGTATGGATCTTGACAGTATCAGTATGTACCATCATTGAACTACGTTAGATGTTACTTCGATTTGAGATTCTACTAGAAAATTGCATAAGACTTATTAAATAACATAAAGGGATTACCATCTTTAATGACTACTCTCATCAACCTACCCGTTTCATGAATGACAGATGAGTGTGTTAGGTGCCACTAACATAACGAGTACTTCAGACAAAGAACTCTTCATTACCAGAAAGTTCTTTTTTAATATATGTCTGCCTCGAAATATTCGATTGAAATCTGAAATGGGTGGCTATGTATGGGATCGGAAATCAGCTCACCTACCTATCTCCATGACTCTCATGTGGTTATATACAGATTTCCATGGGCAAGATGCAGCACAATCTTGACTCTGTTCTCTTTTCGACTCGTCCCGTGACTTCCAACGAGTCTGGGGCGCGCAGAACTCCTCATATAAAGGTGTTGGGGGATCCTTTGCTTATCAAACTCACTCTCTTACTATATCGTCACACAATGATCAGAGCTTTGGCCAGACAGAACAACATCTTTACGAGACCTGCCTTCAAATTCTCTCCCAGAGTTGCCTTGAGATTCAATTCTAGTAACTTTCGCGTCAACACCCAATCGCATGTCTGGAAATACCAAGAAGAGGGTCCAAAGTACGTTAAGTTCACGAATGAGCACGAATGGTTGGCGGTTCACAAAGACAACTCCGCTTTCATTGGTATTACCACTTACGCTTCCGAGGCTTTAGGTGACACGACTTTTGTGGAATTGCCAGAGGTTGGTGTGACTTACGAAGTCGGCGACTCTATTGGCTCAGTTGAGAGTGTTAAGAGCGCAAGTGAAATTTACGCTCCTGTGGCAGGTGAGGTTGTTGCTGTCAATGAGGACTTGGAAAGCAGACCACAGTTGATTAATGAGGACCCAATGGGTGGCGGCTGGATCGCACAAATCAAATTGGCCGAGTCCGCTGATACAGTTGCAGCTAAGGAGGAGTTGTTGGACGAGGCAGCCTATGAAGCAAGTTTGTCCGAACACTGATTGTAAATTTATACATAAGTCATTTATTCAAATTAACACTGGAAAACTCTGTAGGCTTCAAGCTAGACCGGGTGAGATTGATAAAATATTTTGCTCCCGCTTACGAGAAATGAACAGCAATAGGCACGATGATGACAATCAAAACAATTATGATACCCAAAATAAGACACATACGCATCTTCATGTCCTTCCACCACATGTCTTTACGAACTCTGTTCGCGCCTCTTCTAAATCCTTGAGCTGAGATTGCAAGGTTGTCTGTCTTGTTCTCGATAGAATCTAATCTCTCACCTCTTTCAGCGACTTTATTGATGTTGTCTCTCATGATGCCAACCGTGTCATCGATTTGCTATTTCAGTTAGTAAGCCGTACATGCCTGTGGTTTCATTTGGTGTTCATAATGAAGTGAAATTGTCAGTTTGTGATACATACCGCCTGAATGGCCGCCGTACGAGAGTTAGACTCATCACCGGTTGTTTGGTTAGGGATGTAGGGGTCATATGGCACGCTGGAAGACATCTCGAATGGGATTGAATAACTCCTGAAAGTGCTTTAAGAACGGTTATAAGTTTCGCACAGTGCTACGCACTAAATACATGACCTGGCCTCTTTACCACGCCATGATTTGATCCAGAAGGGACAAAAAAATAGAACGAAATCGTAATAGAAAAGGAAAAAAGAAAGATTGAATACAATCGATTGAGAAGGACGGTCCCCTTTTTTTTTCAAAAAAAAAGCAGAAAAAAAAAAGAAAAAAAAAAAAAATTCTTAGGAAAAGATGCAACGGTACGGTGTATGGCTGGAATCTGCCAACTTATTTTCTTTCATGTACCTAGGACTGGAGCGAGCTTTGGGCATGAAATACTCGGACCCTTGCAGCACCATAAAAATTCTGATTCTGCTTTTTCTTGTGAGTCTCTTCGGCTGACACCTCGGCTGAATCTATACGACATAGAATTTATCTCACTGCAGCTAGTGCTCGTAATGTACCTGCCGAGAGCTACCTAGTAAGCGTAACTATGGACATCTTATCAAATATCTTAAGGAGGTTGACAAACCATGGGGATGGTTAAGATGGCTACTTTGACCATTCTTGGAGTAGAAATGTCATCTGTTTGCTGCAAACATGTCTACACAGAGCCGTGAGCTCTTATCGTGAGACAAAAAAATGACAAACCCTCGGGTCTACTTAGTGTCAGAGCCACAATGAGAATGCAAAACAAGCTTTTTAAAGATAAAGCCTTGAAACACGAAAATTGCACGGATTGAGCGCCAGCTAACAGGATCATTGTTGATCCCAGACACGGCCGCATACTGCATACTGCGATGGACCTTCACGAACAACCCAAAGCTCAATAGGCTATATGGCGGAACGGGCCCGATTCGGCAAGATACCCATCAATTGACCTCAACTAAACAGCCTCAGACTCTCGGCATGGGTCACTTCGCGTTCATGCCAATTGAAAAAATGACGTGATTCTTCGTATTAAGTTTACTTGTTGATGATCTTTTCGAATGATACAACAGACCGAGTGGCGGGGGTTTGTGCGCGACAAATCATAATGCGAAATTGGAGGAACAAATGAAAAGTTCGGAAACAGGACAAGAAAACGAAAACCGAAACGTGAGCAGCCAGCAAGACCGAGATACTCTCATATCAGATGAAGTAGATTAAATTTTGAACTGTGCAAACGAGAGCATCAGCTCAGTATCTTCAACGAAAATCTGAATTTATCTTAGGAATCTCTTATATATTTTCATGATAGTTTTTTTTTGAAATTGCTTGATCAGTGGACGGGTTTACAAAAGGCCACCTAAGGCCACCGTCGGTCAGATATATGCAGTACATTTCGCGTTCGTCTTGATGGGTTAAAATGACAGCGTTCATTTTTTCCACCTTTCTCACTCTTTCTTTTAGTTGTGATAAGAAACATCAATTAAGTCAAAATGGACGGTGGTATGTACTTTCAAACGCTTAATCAATTCTTCTGGGTCATTCTCATGAGTTTTTCTGTTTCACCGATGGAATGTGTTGGGGTTCCTGAAGAATCCCTGTAATGTTATGCCAACCTCAGCAAACCATTCTCAAACCATGCGGTTGAGAGTATATGATTACTGAAAGATGGACTGCTCATTGATGGGGCTATCCGTCCTTACTTTGGGTACTGTTTGAGCTTAGTTGCTTTGGTGTTTGTGAAGCAATATCCTGCCGAGATATCGAATCATTCTTGACAGATTGTACCGAATTCCATCAAGAGTCTTTAAATTTTTCAACGGTTCAGTTTGAATCTAGTACCTGCTGCTAGTTTCTTCCTGGTAACCAAGAAAGTTTCTTGTTGACACCGAGGTTGGCCAACGTTGGTGTATGGATCTTCGGGCGCACACCCCTTTTTGACAAATCTAGTTGCTTCGAGGCGCGGCTTACGGTTGTAGATGCGTCTTGCGATCTTGATGAAAAAAAAACTCATGAACTTGACTGATGAATCGTTCTTAGTACGTTTTTCGGTAATACTAACTCGGAATAGAAGAAGTTGCTGCCTTGGTTATCGATAACGGTTCCGGTATGTGTAAAGCCGGTTTCGCCGGTGATGACGCCCCTCGTGCTGTATTCCCATCTATCGTTGGTAGACCAAGACACCAGGGTATCATGGTTGGTATGGGCCAGAAGGATTCCTACGTTGGTGACGAGGCTCAGTCCAAGAGAGGTATCTTGACCTTAAGATACCCAATTGAGCACGGTATTGTTACCAACTGGGACGACATGGAGAAGATTTGGCACCACACTTTCTACAACGAGTTGAGAGTCGCTCCTGAGGAGCACCCAGTTTTGTTGACCGAAGCTCCAATGAACCCTAAGTCTAACAGAGAGAAGATGACTCAGATTATGTTCGAGACGTTCAATGTTCCAGCTTTCTATGTCAACATTCAAGCTGTTTTGTCCTTGTACTCTTCCGGTAGAACTACTGGTATTGTCTTGGACTCTGGTGACGGTGTTACTCACGTTGTGCCAATTTACGCTGGTTTCTCTTTGCCTCACGGTATTTTGAGACTCGACTTGGCCGGTAGAGACTTGACTGACTATTTGATGAAGATCTTGTCTGAGCGTGGTTACACTTTCTCGACCACTGCTGAGAGAGAAATTGTTAGAGACATCAAGGAGAAGTTGTGTTACGTTGCTTTGGATTTCGAGCAGGAGATGCACACTTCCTCTCAATCTTCTGCCATCGAGAAGTCGTATGAGTTGCCAGATGGTCAGGTTATTACTATTGGTAACGAGAGATTTAGAGCTGCTGAGGCCTTGTTCCGTCCATCGGACTTGGCTTTGGAAGCCGCTGGTATTGACCAGACCACTTACAACTCCATTATCAAGTGTGACGTCGATGTTCGTAAGGAGTTGTACGGTAACATTGTTATGTCTGGTGGTACTACTTTGTTCCCAGGTATTGCTGAACGTATGCAGAAGGAGATCACTGCTTTGGCGCCATCTTCTATGAAGGTGAAGATCATTGCTCCTCCAGAGAGAAAGTACTCTGTCTGGATCGGTGGTTCTATCTTGGCTTCCTTGTCCACTTTCCAGCAAATGTGGATCTCAAAGCAGGAGTACGACGAGTCTGGACCATCGATTGTTCACCACAAGTGTTTCTAATCGTGCAGTCATGCTATGTATTCTTGCTTACTTTTGTTTCAACATGATAAATATCTGCTCTCAGGTAAGTAAAAAATGTTAGTTTAGAGAATGGATTCCTAAATGACCTATTGATCTGATGTATATTCGATTATTCCTTCAACTCAAGAAATGGTGTTGCGCCTTTCAATCTGCCTAAGACGCATTTTGGGGCATATCTCTGGATGACGTTGTCCTCATGTAACATATCAAAACTTTCAGTTGCATCTTTCCCCGCAAAGTTCAAAATTGATTCACGGCCTCCAGGGTGATCATCCAAGAAGCTGGTCAAATCCAAGACAACATTTTTGACTATGACCCAACAGTCTGACTCGCTGTTGTGCTTAGCCACCTCATCAGCAGTGAATTCCTTTTCAGGTATTTCGAATCGGGGCGTCTTTTGTTTTCCTTTAGCCAGAGTAGACTTGCCAGAAATACCTGCCTCGGAACTTTCCTCGATAGTAGCAGGACGGGCGGGCTTATTTCCCTCAGCCTCGCCTCCGAGATCGATAGTAATCTGTTTTCTGTTCGGGTCAATATGTAAACTGATCTGATTTAAACGCGCCGATGCCGATTGATTCTCGTTGAGAGGCTGCGCCATTGAAAGATTCCTCATCAAGAAGCTAGACGCCTGGTGGGCTGCAAGTCTCCCATATACAACACAGGCAAGAAGAGACGAACCTCCCAATCGATTGTGCCCGTGGACACCACCAGCGACCTCTCCCGCAGCATACAATCCTTGGAAGGGCTCCTCCTGGTTGCCATTGTAGATGACTTGCGTCCTATCATTTATCTTAATTCCACCCATGGTGAAATGCAAAACTCTCGTAATGAACGACACATGATATTTTCGATCTTCGGAAATAGTGAATGGCGTTGTGGGAAAATACTTTTTGCCAAAGGGTTCATCAATCTCATGTTTGGCAGCTCGGTTGTATAAATCCAAAGTTTCTTGAAGCTTTGTGATAGGGATCTTCATCTCCTGAGCTAAATCCTTCCCCAGTATCGTTCGCATGAGCGATCTTTGCTCGTAGTGTTTGATATGAAACGCAAGCCTTTCCTCGCTTTCATCGCTCAAAACAAGCCTCAAAGGCCCGTTTCCCTGCTTGATTTGCTTCTCCATCTCGCCACTCACATAATCACGAGTACCTAATTCGTCACAGAACCGCTCGCCTTTGTTGTTGAGGATTATGCCACCCTCACCACGCAAAGCTTCGGCACCGAGAAACAAGTGACGAGGTTGCTTGCGCCCTTCGATGACATCGGCGTCATTGAAATCGATAAGACCAGTAGGATGGACTTGAACTTTATCCATATCAATTCCAATGCCTGAATGCTTCATGACAATTTTCTGACCATCGCCGGTAGCATGGGTGCCATTGGTTGAGGGAAGGTCGATAATATCTGGCCTATATTTCCGCAACAAAGAATTTTTTGTGAAATCTGCAGCGTAACCACCAGTTGCTAATATAACGGGGCCTCTGAGTGTGTCTTTTCCCTTTGTTTTAAGGTCTTTGTACTTCACACCAAGAACCTGGGAAGAGTCATTCTCGTCTATCAATAAGTCAATTACCTGGGTGTTCTTCATGATAGCAACCCTATCTGGAAACTCTTCCGCTAAATTTTCAAGAGTTTCAAGAAGTTTATAAGTGATTGCCATTCCGGGGAACTTTGCATCTTTCCCTCTGTGAGTTCTTGGCTGAGAATGGCCACCCAATCTGGAGACAATCGAAAGGTCCAACTCAAAAATCTCCTGAAGCCAATGCACGGCATCAGCGCTATGATAAGTCAAGACTTTGATCAACGAGGGGTTTGCTCTGTCCTTGGCTGTCTTTAATGTATCATTGTAAAACTGCTCTACCGAGTCCTTGATCGATGACGAGACTTGTGTGCGTGTAAGGGCGCCATTGATTCCTGAAGTCGCCTTTCCACTATTTCCACTCAAGAAACCTTGCTTATCAAAAAGAACCACATTAGCTCCACGTAAATAAGCTTCATGAGCGGCCGATAAACCCGCAAGTCCACCCCCACGATAAGAACTGAGTTGCTTGGTAATGCCATGTCTCACGGAAAGATAATTATTGAAAAACACCTAGTACTCTTTCAAGACGAGAATTATCTTTTGTTTTATAAGTTTTTTTTGATTATGCTCGAACGCCTACTCGATCCCTCAGAGGGTTCTGCTTTGTTAAATCCTACCTCCCATTCGTCACACCACAGGGGCAGAAAGTTATGCAGTCTTTTGCGGAGAGCCACCACTGATAAAAAATGGAAACTTTTAGCAAGCTCAAAGCTTGGAAGCTTTCATCTTGGCTTGAATTTCTTAAAATAGCCAACTGTGCTAGAGTACTCTCTCGGAATGAGTTGGGTCTATGCTTTATATCTAGACTTTTTGACAAGCCATACTCCTATTCACTTATCGCCACTATGACGCGCCTGTACATTTAATCGGCTAATCTTCCGAGCGGCATTTAGCAATTTCTCCAACGGAATCTGACATCGCGAAATCAATGTGAGATGTACTGGAAGGCGAATGATACGTCGGTGAATTGCAGCTCGTTTCTCAAAAGATTGTCTTCATTTTCTGACAATCCGGCTCTGGTTAAATGATTCCATGTGGTGGCATCACCGTACAACATGGCCGGCGCTTTCTCTACTTGTCCTCGGCCTGGTACACATCTCTTGCAATTGTACCTTTCATGCGTTTCACAATCGGTTTCGGGGTGATACTTAAAAAGGAGGCGCAAGTTCTCGCCACTAAAAATCCTTTCAACGTCTTCCATATTGTCAACGACGCATGAGGATAGCGACTGTTTCATAGATTGACGTTGATAGATTTTCTCTTCGATGGTACCAGTGCAAATAAATCTGTAGATGAAACAATCCTTTTTCTGACCATCTCTCCATACTCTAGCAAGTGCTTGCTGATCAGCGGCAGGATTCCAATCTGGATCCATGAGAATCAACCGGTTTGCCCCAATGAGGTTGATACCACATCCTCCTGCTTTCGACGAAAGAAGAAAGATAAATTCAGGCCCTTTCGGATCATTGAAGCGGTCAACAATCTTCTGCCTCTTATTGATATTCATAGTACCGTCTAGGCGAAGACATCCGTATCGCCTATGCCGACAAAGTCTCTCGATTAGATCCAATGTCTTGGTGTAATTTGAGATTATTACAATCTTGTCATCTGATTCATGTCTAAGACTCTCAATAAAGCGTTCTAGGATAGAAAACTTAGTACTGAGTGATATAGGAATACTCTTTTCGCGAGAGCTGCTCGAATCAGTGTAATCCTCAGGAAGAATCCCCCTGCTGCCTCTGATATCTTCAGGTAAGCGGAGTAAGTCAGGATGCGTACATAGCTTTTTCAAAAGGTCGATGGCTTTAAGGGTTGCGAGCTTATAAGAGCTTGATTAGCGGCAGATTTTGTGAAATGTTCGTAAAGGTCCCGCTGAAGAGGCGTGAGACCAACGTAGACAACATACTCGTACTTCACGGGTAAGTACTTCGATAAGATGTCATTCGTACGACGGATGATAAATTTTGAAACCAATTGGGAGAGCTCTAGTAGTTTCGAATCGCCCTTCTCCCTTTCGCTATCTGTGGCGTCCGCATCACGGCCTCTTAAGATAGCGTTCTCGAAATTCTTGCGGAATTCGTTTCGGGTTCCCAAATACCCGGGATTCGCAAAGTTGAGAAGCGAGTAATACTCAGATAGATCGTTTTGTATAGGCGTTCCACTGAGAATAACTCTTCTTTCGCATCTTAAAGAATTTAACGCATTGAATGTTAAAGAGTCTCCGTTCTTCAAACGATGTCCCTCATCAGCTAGGATAAGGCCCACTTCTGTGCCTGCAAGCCGATCGACGTTTCTTCGGAGTGTTTCATAAGAAATTATCAATACGGGCCTCACAATGTTTCGCCCGGATGCTACCGCCCATTGTTGTAATGCCTGACTAAGTTCAGAGGACTTTACGGTTCGCCCATCGACTGCTAGGGGAGTGAGAACACCTTCACCCAACCATTTCACAATTTCATTCGCCCAATTGCGCACGAGAGATGATGGGCATACGATGATACATTTCTCAATTGTTCGTTTCCCTCGTGGACTTTGTTTCAAAAGTGTCCACATCAACGCCAAGCATTGCAAAGTTTTACCTAAGCCCATTTCATCGGCCATAATACAACCCTTTGCGATTGGATCAACCAACCCCGAGGTGCACCGGTAAAGAAACTTCACGCCAGCTACTTGATGTGGTCTCAAAATTTTCGCAAGACGTGGATCAATTACAACAGGGGCATCAGGAAATTGAGATTTATCATCCTTATGACAAGTGATCCCTAGAATTTCTGCCAACAGTTTGTCACGCCGTCTACTCTTTGTTTCGGAGTGGACGACCTCTTCATTGTCGGGATTGAATCATTCACCGCTTCTTTCTCCAATTCTTCATTCTGAGGAAATCGATCAACAGTAGGATCGTAAAGGACAATCGCAAATTCACTAGTGGGATCATGCAACGGTCTTGGTGGAACGTGTATCTTTCGACGCGTTCCAAGAGGAGGAGGTGCTTGCCCTCTTTGTCGTTGAGTCCTTTCAGCATCTTCCATCGCGAACGGCACTTCAAAAGTGCGCCGAAGCTTTGATTCAGCTTTGGCGCTCCGATCTCCATACAAAATTCCTCGTGGAAGTAGGGCTCCTCTTCGCTTCTGGACAAACAGGTCATTGTCTTCATCACTCGGAGTTACTTGAGCCAAATCAACATCACTTTCTGCGTAGGACTTTCGTCCTTTCCTTGCTGCTCTTAGCGGGACCTTTAATGCTGATATTCTTTCACCCGAAATCACATTTGTTTGATCTGCAAAGGGCACTCGGAACTTTTTTTGCAAGCGAACTTCCGCATCGAGTACTGGTGGCGGCCTTTTCTCTTTTGGAAGACCAGCCCCAGTACCTAGCGGGGTTGTAAATTCTGTGAGCGGTTTCCTTTTCGCCATTAAGGTGTACCGTGAAAACAAACAAGTGATGTCCGGTAACGCGCGTCGCACTCACGATAAGCACCGTTGATCCGCTCTGGCTTACAGGAGCTCAGCTAATTTGTGAAACACGAGTACTAGAAGACACCATTCAAATATCGTCAAAGTGACTAGATCGATAGACTGCCGCTCACTACAAGCTTCCTTTGTTTGAAAAGCGGAGTTCCAACATGGACGAAATTTTAGCTAAAGCGAGCAACCAGGCCGTATCCTTTGCTATTAGGTCTGGTATTACCCTTGCATCTGGTTATGCCATCAAAACCGTGTCGAAGCTTATGGATAAGATGCCCGCAGCAGAAAGAGATCCCTTGTTTTACTCGAAAGCAAAATTGGACACAAAGCTACGCAGCGTTACTGAAATTATATCCTTGATAAAACTAGATAACGACTCGAGAAATTCAATTTTGGAACCCACAGTGGAACTAATTCAGAGTCTTGAAAAAGAAATAAATGACTTCAACAGTCGGATGCGGGCTGTTGTGGAAGAGACGACTAAAGTGGCATCCAAGGATTCCATTAATATTATTAAGAAGGAGCTTGCGTGCCTTCATTCGTCATTGAACGAGATCGTACCATTCCTCAGTCTAGCATTGAACGCCACAAGCTTGTGTGCCAATACCTTCAGAGGATTAACATCTATTTCCAACCTCATGATTGCCTCGAGTCAAATACTTAGCCCGCGAGCAGGAACCGCGAGATATGTGGGACCAAAATTCGATCTTAAATTCTTCTCCGTTTTTTATAATGCAAGCGTTCTCAAGTCTCTTGATACCAAATCGAATGCACTTACTTGGAAAGAAGAGTTCGCCAGATGCGAAGTGCAGTTGGTGGAGAGGAAACGTGATACTGGAGAATTCTACTTCACGCTTGATGTAACAGAGAGTTTTGACGACAATCGATACCATGACGAGGAGCCTCCCCAGTCGAGGCAATTCGATATTCACGACGTGGTCCGCCAATTTTTCACGGTCAGCGGAAAGATTCTCAAGCTCGAGACATCTGATTCGCCGGTATTGGTGATGAAAGTCAAAAAGCATTCAGAAGGGTTCGATTACATCGCTTTTTCGGAATACAAAAAGGGTCTAGATGATTCTGACTCCGAGAGTAATTGCTCAAGTGACAATGAAACCTCGGAAGACAAACGTTTAGGAGGCGAAGTCTCGAGAAGGAATGACCTAACGAAGCAGCCTAATCAACTGACTTCACAGATGCGCCCAAATACGTTAGCAACATTTCATTATCTTATAATGATGGCCTCCATTGAGCAAGCTGAACAATGCCAAATCTGTGAAGTGAAAGATGAAAAGCTTTTGAAGTTCCTCTCAAGTGGTGGGCTCTATTCATCAGGACTCTCATCGCGCAACGAGAGAGCGGCAGTGAGCAATCAGGATTTAGACTTGGAGTCAAACACAATGCGTCTCAATAAACTTAGTCTACAAGACTAATATCTCATTGCAGGATCCTTCGCTCAATAGGCATTTGATTGGATGTAGGAAAATCAGAAGAATGCTATTTAATTGAATGATCTATTAGCCAATGATGTCAGAATGAATCATTCTGCAGTTGTTGCGTTTTTTGTGCAATAAATTGATTGGAAAGGTCATCTTGTCCCGACCATTCTTGATTTGATATGAAATTCGAATAGTCGATGTCCTTCCCGGAATCAAAATTATTAAATGTGACCGATTCGAAGGGAGAATTTGTAGTATCTATCGATGTTGCTGACTTGAGTGGAGTCAACGTATTATCTTTGCCGGCCGAACCGTGATGCTGGTGTAATTGAGAATGCGAGCGGGAAACTGAAGGCTTCCGACGCAGTTGCAGTGGCTGACGCGATGGAAGTGAGGATTGCGGTGTCGCACTAACACTGAAAGTTCGTGGATTGACGGCGACATCTTCATTGTCACTTGCGAGCGGAAGCAGAGTACTCTCATTGAAAACATGAGAATTCTCTAAAAAATTCTTCAGTAGATCATCGTTAGAGCCGACATCAAAATGATGGTACGGAGGAAATGCTGCAGAGCTCGACAGTTTGGGTAGTCCTTGAGAGAAGTGGCTCGCCAGCTCAAGCAAGTTTTGTTTGCTTGTGTTGGATGATGTTGATGCGATGGATAGAACGCTTTCGGGACGTTTAGGACGCGGTGCTGGATGCTGCGATCCACTATTGAACGATATTGAAGCTTTAAGTGGCCTAGGATTGTGAGTTGAGCCTGAAGCAGTCCCGTTTCCTCCATTAAGTGTGATGTTATCAAATTTCGTCGGGAATGTAGGCCCATCACTGCTGCTTTGCCGCACACTATCTGAATAAATAGCATGCCTTTGCCCATTTGTTCTTTCTTCATGTGATTCAGACCCATATTGTGTTGTGCCATTATTGAGATTTGGCATCGGCAGGAGTGGTAATGATCGACTGTCATCAAAGGAATTAGCACCTACTAAAGGAAATAGGGGAAACATATTCTCCATTAGATCCAAGTCCGCATCGGAAGGAGGATTCGGCAACTGATCGAGTGTATAAGTATTCCTTCCATTTGTGTCCGGTGAGGTTTTATCATGGTGATCATTGGATTGATTGGCTCGCGAAGTGAGTTTCTCACCGTCTTGAAAATAGTCAAGAAGGCCTTGATCGGTGTCAAACGGTATCAAAACATCTTCTATCAATAATTCTTGGTCTTCTTTTGTAGTGAGTAAGGGCTCGGCTGGTTCTTCTTTGATAAATCTGCCGGGAAATTGACTTGCGTCTGCTGTTCTCTGTCTTCCTTTTACATCCTTCTTTTCCTTCGATGGACAAGTGCAATGTGAGTTTTTGTGGCATAGACATGATGCCAAATGCTGTCCTGGGGACTTGCCCTTCTTGCCACAGCTGCATGAGGAATGGGTGTTCTTCAACTTACGCAGCTCTCGGCAATGCAGACACTGTGATGCTGGCCTACCTTTTGGTTTGATCATCGTCAAAGGCTTATCTGTGTGGGTACACGAACTGACCCTATGACCCCGAATACACCGTTCGCAGGCATACTTAACGCCGTTGAGAAGAACCATTTCGAAGGAATGAAGTTGTCGAATGATATGCAATACTGTTCCTAGTACGGGCCTCAGTAGCTTTGCCTATTTTTTTTTTTTTTATTTATTTTTTTTTGTGTTTCTTTTCCCTTCCCTTTGCACTGGATGTATTGGAAATTCGCAACCTGTCTTGATGAAATTAGAACCTCTTGACAAGGGATGATGTCTTTGACTGACGTTGATTGGGTAAGGTGGTAATGTCACCCACTGTTCTTCCTTCGGTAATCTCTCTCGCAAAGAATTAAAGATTGGTTTGGTTTGATAATATATATTCTTCATTGCGACTGAGATAATCGCTAGGGAGAATTTTTGTCACGGGGTCGTGCAGTACAGTTTTGCTCAAATGCGCCTCTCTGGCCTACGGCAATACACTGAAGAAAGCTTACGTCCAGCGTAACTATTCATTGAGGACAAACATGATGTAAAGAAGACAAAGAAAAAAAAAAGCAAGGATGAGTTGTCAGCATAGTGGTTTACCCTTTGAATTCAATCCTCAGCAGCAAAAGTTCGTTCTTAAGGTAAAAGGTGTGACGTATAAAAGTTGTTGGGGTATGATGAGCTAACTATTGCATTGTACTTCTTCTTTTCTTCAAATTCCAAGGCCTGTCCTAAATGTGTCCCCTCGCTTCTTACGAAGGTCCTGCTCAGCTTTTCTTTTTTAAGTATCCGCCCCCTCGCGGCTCCTGCAGGGTTCTTACTCTTCTCCACAAACTGATAGGAGACATCGGATGTAAGGTGACCTACTTCAGAAATTCAATTGGCTAAAATGCGCGTATATAAATGGTGCCCCTCCCCCCACACTCAATATTGTCTACTTTTCTGATAGATTATAGTTTTATTCTTTTTTGCTAGTTCTGCTATTCAAGGTTGTAACTCAGAAGAATTAAAGAGTCGAAAGTCATACAATATAGGAGTCAAACAGTTTTAATAATCTCAATTCGTTTTTAACTAGATTGCTTCTAAACTTTATCGAAGATCAGGACGCTAAGAATGTTGACTTATGAAGAAATCTCGAAACACTCCACGAAGGATGATTGCTGGGTCATAATTCATGGAAAAGCTTATGATGTCACCTCTTTCTTGGATGAGCACCCAGGAGGGTCAGGTATCATACTTAAGTATGCTGGCAAAGATGCGACAAAGGCTTTCGATCCAATTCATCCCAGTGACACTCTCACGAAATACCTCCCACCAGAACTTCACCTAGGCGATGTTGATCCCAAAAGCAAACCTTCAGGTAAGGTCAAGAGTAAGGTTACTGAGCAACAGAGCGGTGGTCTAGCTGGCGCTAATGCGCATGCACCTTCCAGAACTGTCGAGGAATTCGATGTTGAATATGACGAGCAAGATGATAAGATCCCTCTTTTCGAGGCCTCAGATCATGGTGCTTCCCAAACGAATGCCATAGGCACCTCTAACGATATCGATGTATATGATGATGATGATGATGATGAACCCCCAACAGCTCATGAAATCAACAGAAGAAAGATGGTGAAAATGAAGCCAGACTTGAGTCAGATGTACAATTTGCATGATTTCGAGCATGTTGCAAAAAATACCATGGAGCTTACTGCTTGGGCTTATTATTCATCTGGCGCAGACGATGAAATTGCCTTACGCAATAACCATTTAGCGTATCAAAGAATCCTTTTCCGGCCGAAGGTTTTGAGGGATGTCACTAACATAAGTTTACTGACGGAAATGCTCGGAAGCCAATCATCCGTCCCATTCTACATCACGGCTACTGCACTTGGTAAACTTGGTCATCCTGATGGAGAGAAGGTCCTTACTCGTGCTGCGTCGAGACAAGGGGTCATTCAAATGATACCAACATTGGCATCGTGTTCCTTTGATGAAATTGTTGACCAAGCAGATGGGAAGCAGACTCAATGGTTGCAGTTGTATGTCAATTCAGACAGAGAAGTGACGAAAAGGATTGTTCAACATGCTGAGTCCAGGGGAATCAAGGGCCTTTTTATTACTGTTGATGCACCGCAATTGGGAAGGCGTGAAAAGGATATGAGGTCGAAGAACGTTGAAGATTTGAGTCATGTTCAAGGCGAAGGTGAAGATGCTGACCGCACACAAGGCGCCGCTCGCGCCATTTCATCTTTCATTGACACATCCTTAAATTGGGATGATATTGCTTGGTTTCGCTCTATTACGAAGATGCCTTTAATTTTGAAAGGGGTTCAACGGGTTGAAGACGCAATTCTTGCCATTGATCACAAGGTTGATGGGATAGTCATATCGAACCATGGTGGAAGACAACTTGATCTGGTGAAGCCACCGATTGAAGTACTTGCTGAGCTCCAACCCATTCTAAAAAAGAACAATCTAAGCAGAAAGATGGAAATTTTTATCGACGGTGGAATTAGGAGGGGAAGTGACATACTAAAAGCAATTGCACTTGGCGCTAAAGGTGTTGGCCTCGGCAGGCCATTCCTATATGCGATGTCTACATATGGCGACGATGGAGTTTTTAAAGCCGTCCAGATTTTAAAAGACGAAATGATCATGAATATGAGGCTTCTTGGAGCGCGCTCGATTGAAGAGTTAGACAGCTCTATGATCGATACATCAGCACTTGATAGAGTATTCCCGGAAGACAGACTATTCAATCAGGTCTATGAGCCTTTAGTCACTCCACAGTTCGTCGATAAATCGAAACTCTAGCGTATCTAGAAAACTCCTGCTTAGCTTTGCAGTATGTGATTTCGCGTATACTTTACGGCATATAATAGATGAAGACACGTGATTTTGATCGCGTCGACGACCTTGGGATCAGATATTGTGTCTGAAAATAAGTAAATTCGAGATCGAGCTTTCTTGCAACAAGTGCCCCCTTCTTTGATTTGAACGAGAACTTTCGGAGAAAACCTAGCCAGCTTGACTTTGAAAGCTTTGTTCTTCAACACGCTCATTCATCCTGGGAAAGCCGTTAGTTGATTGTTTTTCTTGAGATTTTTCCTCCAAATAACTACCTCACGCTACAATTCCAACCCACTGCCTTCTCGGATGCTGTCAACCTATGATATAGGAACGTATGTTTTTTGAGACTTCGCCGCCTTGCAAGGGATTCGAATGAATCTCACATTTAGACTTAAATCCGTTACTAACATTCTAGCCGCTGTTGGTACCCTGATAAAGATCAAGGATGGATAGGAGTAAGGGTCCTTTCGAATACCAAAAACGGTGGGAAAGCTGAACTCAAACTCGCTTCTGAGAATGACGAGACAGTCTATACTGTCACAACTGATAATCTCTCAGAGGACAACACGGAGTTACCCCCTTTGAGAAACCCTCCTATCTTAGAAGCTGCTGAAGACTTGACCTCTTTGTCTTACCTCAACGAACCAGCTGTGTTGCATGCTATCAAAGTTCGGTATTCTCAATTAAACATTTACACCTATTCTGGAATAGTCTTGATTGCCACGAATCCCTTTCAAAAGGTTGACCAACTTTACTCCCAAGATATTGTTCAAGCATATGCCGGTAAGTCCAGAGGGGAACTCGAGCCACATCTTTTCGCCATAGCTGAGGATGCTTACCGCTGCATGAAAAGGGATGGAGAGAACCAAACGATTGTTGTCAGTGGAGAGTCAGGCGCTGGAAAAACTGTTAGTGCAAAGTATATCATGAGATACTTTGCATCAGTGGAAGAGGAGTCCGAGCTTGAAAATAAAGTTGGCACTGAGCATAAGTCAGATATGTCAGATGTGGAGAAGCAGATCTTAGCAACAAATCCTATCACTGAGGCCTTCGGAAATGCTAAAACCACGCGAAACGACAACTCTTCGCGTTTTGGAAAGTACTTGGAAATTCTTTTTGACTCCGAAACAAGGATTATTGGAGCCCGAATCAGAACTTACTTGTTGGAGAGATCGAGATTAGTTTTTCAACCCAAGGGAGAGCGTAACTATCACATCTTTTACCAGATGCTTGCCGGTATGACCAACGAGGAAAAAGCTGAACTAAAATTGACCTGCGCGGAGGACTTCAAGTACACAAACCAAGGGGATGCAATAATAATTCCAGGTGTCGAAGATGGGCAAGACTTTGCTACTACAAAAGACTCTTTGAACTTGATCGGGATTAATGACGGAATGCAAGCTGAGATTTTCAAACTCCTAGCCGCGATGTTGCATATTGGTAATATCGAGATCGCAGCAACTCGTAATGACGCGTTTCTTTCATCTGATGAACCCAGTGTTGTGAACGCGTGCTCATTGCTTGGTATCGATGCTACCACGTTCAGCAAATGGTGTGTCAAGAAGCAAATCACGACGAGATCAGAGAAAATCACGAGCAGTTTGAATCACAAGCAGGCAATTGTGGCACGAGATTCATTTGCAAAATACATCTATTCGGCTTTATTCGATTGGCTTATTGACTATATCAATACCGACCTCTGCCCACCAGACGTTGGTGAAAATATCAAGTCTTTCATTGGTGTATTGGATATCTATGGATTCGAGCACTTCGAGAAAAACTCTTTCGAGCAATTTTGCATCAACTATGCCAATGAAAAGTTGCAGCAAGAGTTCAACCAACATGTCTTCAAACTTGAGCAAGAAGAGTATGTTCGAGAGGAAATTGAGTGGTCTTTCATCGATTTCTCGGACAACCAACCATGCATCAATTTAATTGAAAATAAACTTGGTGTACTTGCATTACTCGATGAGGAGTCAAGGTTACCTGCTGGAAATGATCAATCCTGGGTTGAAAAGATGTATCAGAGTCTTGATAAGCCGCCAACGAATACCGTTTTCAAAAAACCTCGTTTTGGGCAGACCAAATTCATAGTCAGTCACTATGCTCTTGATGTGACTTACGATATCGAAGGCTTCATCGAGAAAAATAGAGATACAGTGGGCGAGGGTCATCTTGATGTATTGAAGCAAACTACCAACAAGCTTCTCTCTGATGTCTTATCCATTATCGACAAAAATGCTGCTAAGTTGGAAAGCTCTGCATCCGTCAAGAAAAGTATCTCATCGAAAAAGCCTACTCTCGGCTCTATGTTCAAAAACTCCCTCATTGAATTGATGAAAACCATAAACTCCACGAATGTCCACTATATTCGCTGCATCAAGCCGAATGAAGACAAGCGTGCATGGGAATTTGATTCATTGATGGTCTTATCTCAGTTGAGAGCTTGTGGTGTCTTAGAAACTATTCGTATATCTTGTGCGGGCTTCCCTTCAAGATGGACGTTTGTGGAATTTGCTGATAGATATCACATCTTGGTACCGTCCGAAGAATGGCTTAAGGTTATGAGTGGCGACACTACTCAAGAGTCTGTTTCGGGATTATGCAACAAAATCCTATCGTCAAACATCAGTGACTCCGGAAAATTCCAATTGGGTAACACGAAAATCTTTTTCAAGGCTGGTATGCTTGCTCATTTCGAAAAGTTGCGTTCCGAAAAACTTCATCGTTCCGCAGTTATGATTCAGAAGAACTTGAGGCGTATTCATCAAAGAAAGATTTATCTCGACATCAGATCCAGCCTTATCAGTTTACAATCCCTCCTCAGAGGGCATGGTACGAGAATGAGAGTTCAACGCGAGAGAGAGCATGTGGCTGCAGTGAAAATTCAAACCTTGATTCGGTCCCACCTCTGCAGACTAAGATTGAAGGCAGCACTCGACAGTATCTTGGTGTTGCAAAACGCATTGAGAGGATTTCAGGCGAGAAGAAGTTTCAGAGATGTTAAACTCGAGAAATCGGCGATCGTTCTTCAAAAGGCTTTTAGGCGCCGTCGCTCTCGCGATGAGTATGTTAGTCAACGGACTTCTGCTGTTGTCCTTCAATCACACATGAGAAGAAAGTTGGCGCGCCGTGAGCTCTTGTCATTGAGGGAGGATGCAAAATCCGTTAATCATTTGAAAGAGGTCTCATATAAATTGGAGAATAAGGTCATAGAGCTCACGCAGTCATTAACTTCCAAGATAAAGGATAACAAGTCATTGATGGAAGAAATCGAGAGCCTTAAAGAGCTTCTTTCGCAGTCAAGCTCAGCGACCGAGGCCCTCAAAACTCGTGAGGTTGAGTTCAACGAGAAGTTTGATTCTCAAAATGACGCGTATAAGAAGGAAACTGAATTGTTGAATGCTGAACTTGAGTCAATAAGAAAAGAGTACCAAACCGCTGAGGTCAGAATTGAGGAATTGACTAAGGAACAAGCAGAGCTTCGACAGGAAGTCAAACGTAACATTGAGGAACTCAATGAAGCAAGAAACGCGCTCGTGAAGAGGGATACCATCGAAGTTGATCTCAAGTCTCATATTGAGCAATTGCAAGCACAACTCACCAGCCTTCAATCGCAACAAAGTCAAGTGCAATCTTCCAAATTACGCAGTATTGGTAACAAGAGGCATAGTAGTGCGGGCACGTGGAATTCTCAGCACCATTTCGATCTGCAAAGACCAGTTTCTGTGATCGCAGTCTCCAATGATGATGCGGCGGATGCAGATGATATCAATGATGAGTTGTTCAAACTCTTAAGAGACACGCGCCCACTTCATCGCGAGATCGTTGAAGGATTGTTGAAAGGCCTCAAAATTCCACCATCTGGGGTTGCTGCGGATCTTACGCGAAAAGAGGTTTTGTTTCCAGCGAGAATAATCATTATCATTCTTTCTGATATGTGGAGACTTGGCCTCACAAGGGAAAGTGAAGAATTCCTTGGTGAAGTATTGGCGGGAATCCAGCAGATTGTTTCGACTTTGAAGGAAGATGAAGTTATATCGAACGGTGCGTTCTGGCTTTCCAACACCCATGAGCTTTATTCATTTGTCTCATATGCCCAACAAACCATCATCGCGAACGATTCATTATCTCATGATATGAGTGAAGAAGAGTTCGATGAATATCTAAAATTAGTGGCAGTCGTAAAGGAGGATTTTGAGTCGCTTTCTTACAACATCTATAATATGTGGATGAAAAAGATGGAGAAAGACTTGGAGAAGAAGGCAGTTTCTGCGGTCGTGATTTCTCAGTCACTTCCTGGATTCATGGCACCCGAAAACTCTCCTTTTTTGGCGAAGGTATTTTCACAAGGTGTGCAATATAAAATGGATGACATTTTATCTTTCTTCAACACGGTATACTGGTCGATGAAGTCATACTTTATCGAGGGCGAAGTAATGAACTCGGTCATTATTGAGCTTTTGCGCTTTGTGGATGCCTTGTGTTTCAACGATTTGATCATGCGCAGAAACTTTTTGTCATGGAAGCGTGGTTTGCAATTGAATTATAATGTCACACGACTCGAGGAGTGGTGTAAGAGCCACGATATTCACGAAGGCTCGGCTCACCTCAACCATTTGTTGCAAGCAGCCAAGCTTTTGCAACTCAGAAAAAACACACCGGAGGATATTGATATCATTTATGAGATTTGCTTTGCGTTGAAGCCTATCCAAATCCAAAAGTTGATATCTCAATACTATGTCGCGGAATATGAGACACCGATTGCACCTGATGTGTTGCAGGCAGTTGCTGATAAGGTGAAGTCTAGCGACGGTTCAAACGATGATTTATTCGAAGTGGTAGCGACTGATGGTCATTTTGATGATCCTTTCCGGGCAGTGAACTTACGACCATTTTCTCGTGTGGAGGCTTATGTTCCAGCATGGTTAAGCCTTCCAGTAATTAGAAGGATTGTGGAGCTTGTCGCCAAAAATGCTTCCGTTCAAGAAGAACCGATAACCTCGGCCGAAGACGAGCTACATTGATTCATCAGTAGTTGAGTTTTAAATATGAATTTGATTATACTTAAATTTTATCTTTCTTCTCTCGAGCCTCATCCTCTTCGGTCGTTCGAGTTGTCATTTGGAGGGCATGAAGGCCTTTCTCTTTAAACTCTTCGCTCAATAACGAGTACACCAATCTATGCCTAGCAGGAAGGGATTTGTTCATGAATTCGTCACTCACAATCTGAATCTTAAAATGAGACTCTTTTACATTAGTTGCATTTTGCATCGGCTGATGATGACTGTGTTTGTGTGAATCATTTTTGATTATCAACTTGGTAGGATCAAGTGTTTGGAGTTTTTCTATAATCAGATCTTCAACAGGTCCTGTAGTATCACTGGAACGTTTCAAATATAAGACTTCAGGGCTCATGTGACTGAATTTGCGAATGAAGCCTACCGGAATTGACTTTCGAATCATGCCAACGAGGGAATAGTTATTTGGTATGCGCGTTGTATACATTCTCAACTCTTCCTGACGTTCCTGCACCATTACAGCATTTGGGCTCTCCTCCTTCTTGACGACTTGGGTTTCTTGTCCTCATTTTTGACCTCATTCTTATTTGATGTCCTGTCTTTTGATTTGCCAAACAGCCAGAGACCCTTCAGCAATGAAAAAATTTTGAAGAACACAAAACCCGGGATGAAAAGATACACTAGCCACGCTTTGTTGGAGCCTGTCAAGGTCATGAGTAACGTACACGCCCAAGTCACATAGATACAATCGAACATGTATTCATAAAGGCCTGGCCCTTTGATGTCATCCACTGATCTCTTTGGGTCTCCAATTCGCGAAGCTCTTCCCCAGCTTTCTAGGAGATACTGACTAATAGCTGCTGGGATTGAAAGAAACACGTAAGGCTTGATAGAAACTGGCCTGCTGAAGAGGAAGTGGCATATGATTGCCACTGCATTGATGACGCATGATAAACAATGTAATTCTCTTAGGGCCACAGCATTTGATTTAGCTATTTTTTTGTTGCTCAGAGATGCCATGTTGTATATGGTGGAGTCCGACTTATGTTTGAGAAACTGTTACGATGGTAAGTTTGGTTGGCGCGAATTCGGTGAGGAAGGAACGACATCCCGAAAGATCCCACAGCATCTTCAAAAGTTTGATACAAGACCTTGGGCATTAATCAGAAATTCAAATCATTGGGCTGTTTAAGAATTTGCTATTCTACTTACCAGAAATGGAGAATGCCATCTACACTGGGCTATATGTAGGCTTTCGTAGCCACATGTGACCATTTCTTCGTGCGTTTTTCGAGCAACCAAGCTAAACGGAGGATACCTTTCAGCACAAAATGGACTTTTGTTTCTTTCTTGTCGGATGTAAGTAGGTGTGAGCGCTAAAGTGCACTATTGCACAGCTGGCTGATTCGTGATCTCGACCTCATACTAACGTTTCAGTCAACGAACGTAACAAACCACTCAAGGAAGGAGGGGATATAGCATGTTATTGTGGTAGATGTCACAATCAATCGGCATTTGCGGTTCGCACTAGCAACTGGGTGACATTATTTTTCATCCCAGTCATTCCATTTTACTTCGGAAAGGGACTAAAATGTAACATTTGTGGTGCGTCGGGGGATTTAGATGATAACGCATTGCAAATGTTAAAGCAAGGTCAGCCGATAGCAATAGGAGGTTGAAGTCTGTACTTTACGTGTATTTTCAACACTGTTCATAATTGGCGGCTTGTCTTCTTTGTTATACACATCTGACGTTAACGGCTAAAATACTTTGAGATAGATGTTGTTGTGTCGAATGCGACCAACCCTTAAATTTATATCAAATTGAAGATTATGTAGATATTCAAAAATCTATGAGCTTCATGGTGGCGAAACCTATTGTGACCACCACTGCATAGGTAATGAACGAGCTGGGTACGCCTCTAGTTATGAAAGTGCCGACGTTCAAGTAAGGGTTCCCTAGATCATCAGTCATACAAATTGCTGTCACATTCGGGAAACCTGAAGTTGGCAAACCCATTGCAGCGGAGCACAACAACGCACTTGCCATGATGAGCAACCTTGGGTGGGGATCATCTAACTTGTTGCCAATCTCAGAAACGAGTGGAATTACGATCAAAGCTGCGACTGTGTGACTCACAAACGTAGCAACCGTTAATATCAAGAGACCAAAAACAAGAACTACCCCAAAAAGAGAGTATCCCTCAACTTCTTGTTGAATAGAAATCGCTATGGTCTCGAGCAAACCTGAAGAAGCAACGGCTTTTCCCAATGCTGTACCACCCATTGCAAGGATCACAATGTTCCAGGGATAGTTATTAAAATCCTCAGTAGTCAACAAACCTGGCCCAAAAAACAATATCAACGGAATCAAGGCGATGATACCCATTTCACCGAAGATCCCTTCAAGGCGTGATGCAACGCACCATAGAATGATTGTCAGCGCTGAGACAATCACAATATACCATTGAATTCCCAGAAACTTCTCATCTATAGTTCTAATAGGAACTAAGTGAGTGTTGTGAGAATTGCAGTTGAAGGTGACGAGTAAAAAAACCCAGATCAAAGCGAGGGATAAAATGCAAACTGGTAAAGAAATAACAAACCACTGTCCCCAAGAAGGCTGAGGATCCATGGAGCCGATGGCTATCATGTTTTGTGGTGAGGCAATTGGAGAGGCCATTCCACCAATGTTAGACGCTAGAGCGATTCCTAGTATAAGCGCTTTAATGAAGCTCGAGCCCTTTGGTAAGGTTCTTAAAAGTGGTTGGATCAAAGAGAGGCAAAGAACTGGTGCTGCAACATTCGATACCCACATGGATGCAAAAAGTGCAATCGCCATGATCGTAAAGAGTACCACTGAGGGACTCGTTCCCGCCTTTGACAATACCCATGTGGATATCAATTTGGCAATATGGTATTTGGTGAGCGATGCCGCAAGGGTGAATCCTCCGAGGAGTAGAAGGATCACGGAATTCCACATTGAGGACAAAATGTATTTAGACGCATCGACAGTCTCCATCCTCGACTCATCTTCGTTTTTCAAAACGCCAAGAGTGACAATAAGCAAAGGGATGAGAAGTGATGTTACGAAGAGTGGTAAAGCCTCAGTTGCCCACAAAAGTGACGCACAGACAAGCAAAGCGAAGCAATTTTTTTGCTCAACCTCGCCGAAAGGTGAGAATGTCAAAAGAAGGATGGTGATCATGGCAATGATTACAAGCTTAATCAATGCTCTATTCTTAAAAGTAAGACCTCCGTTCGAAACCCCTGTCCCTCCTTTCTCATCAATTGCCATGCTATTGTCTTGTGCTGTTGCTGCCTGTTTTTTGCGCTCGATGCCGATAAGATCCCTCCAAACTGTATTTCTTTCCCAAACGACGTGTTCCCTGAGATGGATCGAGAGTTCAGACCTTGCCAAGTCCAAGTCGTCCCCATGATTGCACACCAACGCGTATACCTTCACTAACGTATTGAGTTTCTCTGTTACTCCCTCCATTGTAGTCTCTCTAAATATATAGGAGTTTTGAGGCAACTTTTGAAGATATTCATCTTTGAGAGACGTATTTAACGATTTGTCGAATTTTTTGAGTGCCTTTTTGAACCCTGTTTGATTAAGCTCAATAAAGCTCTTAAGCTCGGAAAGAGTGGTATAGAGTCCAATAACTCTCTTACGCAAGAGAATCCTTGTTTCTGAAAAAGAATGAAGAAGATGCGTTCCCTCTGGAGCGGAATCGGAGATCATTCCATCACGACTGACGCCAGGCATGGAGGCCTCATCGACGGAGGATTTTCTTCGTTGCAAAGCATTATCTCCTAGATGTTGATCTGAGCTCATCAGTGATGGCCTATTACGACTAACCAACAGGGTGACAGGGTCGACATCGTCACTCATTCCGGTAATATGTTGGTCCGAAGCTGCTTGCTCATTCACGTTACTATCCTCAGCTATGCCCCTTTCAAGAAAATCACTCATGCCGCTCACTCTGGAAGCCTGGCGTCTGCGGGTCAGTTTGGCACCCAATGAGACAGCATCGATTTCGTTGCGAAACCCATCGATATCTTCTAGCAAATCTTCGACATTTTGGAAGATAAAGTTCTCTTGCTTTCGGTAAAAACGATCAATTTTATCGAGCTCGCTGTCTAACGCAGCTTTAAAAACGTCTATCGGTTCATTGGAGCTGGTTGCGTCGTTAGAAATCAAGTATCCTGATTCACTGTCCCCTTTTAGGCGGTGTAAAGATTCCCGTTGTAGGGAATAGATTAGCTTTTTTAAGGTAGTGTATGAGATGTATTTTGATGACCACTCAGGGACAGCGTTGAACTGGATTGAGTGTGAAAACTTCATTATTGTATGATGGGCAATTAGGAAATTGCGATTAAGGTGTTCCCAAGCATCATGGTAGTGCATAAAACCTTCATTCATTAATGCAACCCGCACTAATCGAAGTAACTCTTACATTGAGAATTGAAGGACGTTCGTAAATGATCGTCTCATTTGAAGGATCAGACATTGCAGTGATCATAACAACAACATTTACGGCTTTGCTTGAAGCTGTCAGGAAGCAGTGAAAAACTAATATATAACCAAGATTGTCGCAAAGTTGGTAAGATCCACAACGTAGGGCACGGCCATCATCGTGTTGCCTTCATCAACCAACCCTCCACAGCCTTCGGATAAATCCCCGTGCATGCATTTTCCCTCCATTTCATTCTCCCCTTTTGCTTCTCTTCTTTTTGTTCTTTTTTTGAATTTTCCATTTACGTAGAATTTTGAGAAAATGCTTAATGGACGCAAAATCTCTCACATTGTTCTGAAATATCGCATAATTCTATTACATTTAAGAAATGGCATCCTTATAAATACCTATCATATATGGTTTCTAGTGATTGGCCATTCAACCAGATTCAGGATTTTGCTGAATATAGTTCCATACATAATTTTTTTTATTTTTTATTTTTTTTTTTTTTGCTACAATGGTGTGGTTGACATACCTCTAGGGACAGTCTTCAAGTAATTTAGGCTTATGTTTGACCAATGCCCGCTGCAACAAAGTAGGGAACCGCAAAGAAACCCACCCACATATTCAAAATTAGCCTGAAGATACAAGACAAATGAATTCGACACACTGTTGGGGATATTTCAAGACTGCGCCACAGGTACGTTCCGGTGATGATGGTAGCCCAGAAGCCCTAAAGTACCATTAAATCTAGAGAGTTGGAACATGGTGAAGAAGTGAATCAGGCAATTTAGGCGGCTTGAAACGATTATTGGCGCTGGATGCACCAAGGTTGAGGCAGTACCATTTAATATCGGTCTCTTTAGTGTCTACACGAAAGCAATTTCACAGAAAAATGAAAATATCACCGATAATTACATATGTACAATTCTTGGGACTATCAGGCAAAATGCTATCGCAGTATTTTGGATGCGCAGTTCCGACCCATATGTAATGCGCCAAATCTGAGGTATTTTTTTCCTTATTCAACTTTTTGTTATCTTGAATCCACCACAAATTGAAATAACTTCCGGAGTCGTAATGTTCTCAAAACGACCCGATAAACATACTACTGGACTTATCAATTTGAGAAATGACTGCTTTGCAAATGCGTCAGTGCAAGCTTATTCATCATTACCGGGACTCACGGATTATCTCAATACGTTTTTACGGTCATACGATAATTTGTTCAAAGTGGAGAAAAAGTACAATCTTTCTCTTGATTCAGTGATCACTACGGAAGAAATTCGCTCCGTATTGCTGTCGAAAGGAAGCCGCCAGAGATTCGACATGGGAAAAGAAGATGCCCCGATCAGAGACCAGTTTCTGATCACATTGCATATTGCGCTAGCGAAGATAACAAAAAAGCTTCAGGATACTCAGATGTGCACAAGAACAGTTTCTGTTTGGACTTTCCTTCACGAACTTGAAAGAATTTATAATGCAAAGATCTCGAGATCCCAGCATGACGCGCATGAGTTAACTCAGCTCATTAACGAGACATTAGAGACAGAAAACCTTGTTTGCTCAAAATTGCTGAGGAATTTGCTCTTGGAGTTACTGAAGTTTGGAAATAAGGAAGATTTGGAAGCCATCGAAATCCCGGATTTCCCGTTTAATGGCTTGCTTTTGTCACAAATGAGATGCTTAACTTGTTCCTACTCTTCAAAGCCAAGCTTCAGCCCCTTTCTTATGTTGACTTTACATCCTCCGCAAACAACTTCTAGTGATTTAGAAACTCTTTTAGATGAAAATGAGATGGAGAAAATCGCAGGATATCACTGCTTGAAATGTCGCATCACTGCGATACTCCATAATGAAAAGGATCAGCAGGACCCAGAAAGTGATACCGATAAGCATTTGGTGCTGTTGCGACAACTTGATAAGAACCCGGAGTTGTTTATCAACGAAGATCTCCCACCTGTGTTGGAGAACTACATCAAAGATTACAAAAAGGGCGAACTAGATGCCAATTCAATAACGTCAACAGTCATTCGCAAAACTCAGATTCTTAAACCCCCTAAAGTATTTGGTATTCATTTGTCCCGTTCAGCATTTAATGGCATTAGTGTGACACGCAATCCTTGTCGTGTATCGTTCAATGATAAGTTGACATTATCCATCGGGAACGAGTATGTGGAGGAGTTGCGAAAATTCAACAACGCCATCTCCGAAAAGAAGTTTGAGCCTCGTCAATCTAACATTTTGACAACTGACAGCGACGACATGGAAGATGAAAGCGTTCAGCAGGAAGACATTGACGAACACGGATTCGAAACTGACACCCAGGAAGATGATAGTGATACAGATGGGGCTACAGACTCCCCGAGCACATCTGACTCGTCTTCTGTTTCCACGGAAGGTACAGATTTTCCTTCCATGGAAACGGACAACACATCAAAAGGTTTGAGTGAGGGAAGGTTAGAAGTTTTGAACAATAAGACCATGACTGGAAGTCATTCAGCAAGCTTGAAGGGCCACTTTCGGAGGTTTCAGTTTGACGATGAAAATGTATACAAATATCGCTTACGTGCCATGATTAAGCATCAGGGCTCGCACACACAAGGTCATTATGAGTGCTATAAACGGAAACCTTTATTCGCGAGAGATGGCGCTGGCAATATTTTAAAAATTTCACCCGAGATCGATGAAGATGCTTTGAAACAAGCCCAATCCTTCAAATCAAATTCAGCAAATATGGCCAACGAAGAGACGAATCACGAGAGGGCAGGGGCTTTTACAGAAAGCACAGGCGCCTTTAGAAACAAATTCTCAAGTTTGATTGGTCGCAGGCCCTCAATATCCCAAACTGATCCAAAGTGCGCTAATCTCCAAGAGATCGCAGACTCAGGACTAGCTACCCCAGCAGAGGTATTAGTGGATCAGGGTGATTACTTTCTGGGTGCTTCTGTCGCTGAATTAGATGAGCAATTAAGCAAAGTGAAGCTTTCCAATGACAGCATGAATAACTCAAAAATGAAAATGAAAAAAATTCCATCGCTCATCAAGCATCCCTTCTGGAAAGTGGGCGACTCTCAAGTCGCAGAAGTCTCTAAGTCTTCAGTGCTTTTGGAAACTGCGAGTGTCTACATGCTATATTACGAGCGAGCAGATAGAAAACAAATAGAAGTATAGAGGCGCGCTTTATTGTCCACCAGCCTCTAATAGATAATACACTAGCGATGTACCCGAATTCCCATAGAAATCAACAGTCCCCAAAGATCTCCACATCACTTGGTCTTCCAAACCGCCAAATTTCTCGAAAGAAAGTGGCTCTTGCCCCAGGCCATTCACCGCTTGATTGGGCCAAGTTGACTGGCCTGGCATCGATTCAGGAGCTACGAGGAGTTCCAATAAACACGCCGCCACCACCTCTAGTGAAGATCACAAAGGCAGAGCTTCGGGTTCATAAAAAAAAAACTGACTGCTGGACTTCGATTAATGGTAAAGTCTTTAATTTGACGCCGTATATCGATTTTCATCCGGGGGAGAGAAGGAGATCATGAAATGCGCAGGGACAGATGGCACTTTTTTGTTCAACAAGTATCACAGCTGGGTGAACCCTGATAGACTACTAGAGAAGTGTATGATTGGATTCTTAGTTGATAAAGACTGAAAGGTACGTCTATGCTACAAGGGGCTGCCAACCAAGACCTCATCAAGCCACCAATCATGATCGTCTTGAGGAAGATCATCAACTAATTGTTGTTCGAACGCCAAGCCTATAAGATACGGCACGCAGCCATGAATCTTCAGATATTGGCTCAAGAACTTATCGTAATAGCCGGCGCCTCTCCCAAGCCGTTTGCCGCCTTGGGTGAAAGCGACCCCAGGAACTAAAATGAGGTCGAGGTCACCAGATTTCAAAACATCGAGGCCTGAAGCGGGCTCAAGTAGGCCGTACTTGCCTCTAGGCTGCAAGTTGTACACAGCTGCCATGCTCTCGAGTTGAAGGAATGTCATCTTCATGCCATTGCATCTGGGCAAAAACACCTTCTTTCCCAATGAGAAGCAATGTTCAATGATATCAAGTGTACATATTTCACCCACTGGCATGTTCATGTAAAGGGCTACCCTTTCGGCTCTTTTAAACCGTTCATTTAGCGCAAGTTTTTGGAATACCTCGCTGGACTGTTTTGATACAGACTCTGGTGATAATCTACGGACATTTTGATTCACAAGGATTCGGAGCGATTGCTTTGCTGAAGTGCCCGTCATACCTGTCCCGCTTTGAGACGAAGTTCTAATTCTGGCGCGATAATTTTCTATACACGAATTTAGCTTTCGAAATGGACGGATTTCGTTTCTTGCACTGCGGACGGGGGCGAATTATCATGCTGGTTTACCAGCTCTTTTTTGCAACGTTTGCATTTACATAGAAACCCCCAATTGATGCGCAACTCGTTTTGCCTGAGAGCGAATGAGTGCAGTGGGTTTACGTAAGTAGTTGTAATTTCCTCCCCGAGCAAATTGACCGACTTGCAACAACCTCTATAGCAGTATCTCGCCTGATTTCTCCGGTAATAACCTCAACATTTGGCTCACAGTTATGATTCAAATGCGACTGAATTAAGAAAATTGAAGAATCTAGATTGTTGATGTTGTAGGCTCCTAGCTTGACGAGGAAACTTTCAAGTGTACAAGTTGGTTCTTGAGACATGGAAGGAAACACATTTTTGTAAAGGTTAAATCCCTCTTCCCAAAGTTGCTCATGCTGACTTTTCAAAAACGAAGAATTCGTGGCCGACCCTGATGATGATGCGATTCTGGAACGGACTCTTTGCGAAACACTCGCCAACGCCTCGAAATGTTGCTGCTCTACCCCGGATTCATCTGCAATAATGCTTGCTGTGATCAACGTAATTGCATAAAGAGCATTCCATTGCTCTTTTACAGCATAATCTAGAACCGCGCTGTACGCCTGCGGGTTTACCTTCGAGGCTGTCCTTGCAACTTCATGTTTTGTCATGCCGTGTAGCTTTTGGTTCTTGGACTTGCAGATTTTCGAACACCATACTTCAGGACACATTTTGCAGTCTTCCCCCGACAATACAGATATCCCGGTTCGCAGTCTTCTCACAAGCTGTCCACAGAATGTGCAAGCATTGCCTCTTCTGATGAGGTCTAAATGTGCAAGAGGCGGTACCATAAATAGGGGCCACTCTTTCCAAAGAGTGTCACCTTTGTTGATATTAGCTTTAGCGAATAGGCCCTTACCCCGCTTACTCGTCATGACGAGTTTTACTTTCTCCGGCAAATTAAATGCCGGGGATTCTTTGGATGTAATCTCATTCGCATATACAAGTGACTCTGGCGTTGGGTTCGGAAGTAGATTGAATTTCTTAAGGATTGACTTCATCCTCTTCTCGGATAGGGACCAATCACTATTCCTATCTTTGACGACTTCATGCAACTTCTTAAGTGAATAGCTTTCTGATGATGGGCTAGATTTCCACAAAGCAATCACAGCGTCCATCACAGCCCGCTCATGTGGCACAACTGACGAATCCATTCCTGATCTTAAACCGAAATTTCACGATCGAAGAAAACTCACAAGACCTGCCTCATCACGCACGTGACTCAAAGTAAAGTCCATGTTCGTGATTTCGATTGAACATTCAAATTTGAAGCTCGTCCTGTCTCAACAACATTAGCTTTGCTCAGAACTAGAACTTTTCCATCGACTGTTTCTATTGATGACTCAGAAATGATCGACTTGTTACTGTCTTGACCGAGGCATCGAGTATTGACGACCAAGAATTGATTAGCTAGCGAAGGCGCTTTATACGTTATGCTCAAGAAAGTAACCATAAAGTCATCTTTTAAGGGATTTGAGTCTGAATTTAAGCAAGCATTTCGTTTGAAACTTTCGTTCAAGATAGTCGCTATCATTCCTCCATGAACTAAAAATGGATACCCACAAAGCTGATCCCCAACATGAACGATCGTAATCGTTGAGCCTTTCTTGTTGTCATGGAACAATGTTGGTTCGACTGCAATACCACCCGCCTTAGCTAGCGTGGTGTTGGTAAGTGAGGGCTGCTCTGATCTTCGGCCATCATCATTTGTTGTATCGGGCATTCTTGTATCTCTTGCCACGTTTCTATCCAAATTTTCCCAAGAGCGAAGTCGGGTTAATCCATTTCTCAAAGATTTTTGATATATCGGGATTTGTTTGCTTTCATATTCTAACCGCACCAGACTGACTGACGAATGCTTCATCGAAGTATACAATGAATATAACTCCAACACTGACTCATTATAGGAAATAGCACAACCCCCTATGAATGCTAGTCCGCAAATCTTCAAACTGAACAAGCTTTTGCCGGGTTTATAAAATCGCATGGTTTAGTTACATGGATCCTACTGATATGTGAGATAACAAATACCAGTACTATATACACACCATTCTTATTACAACATTTAGAATACAATATCAAGCAAAAAAAAGAAAGCGGTTTAAACTTTGTTCAATACTCTTCCCAGCTTTGACTCTCACATCAATTACATGGCGTGCTCATAGAATTCAAAACGCACTGTTCCACGAACAAAACGCACTTTCCTCTTTCTATTTTTTGGTTGTTGAAGACATTGATCAAAGGTAGCTAAGGGAATTGGTGTCTCAATCATCTACTCCTCAGCTTCAAAAGCTATGAACCGAAACTGTATGGTAAAACCCTCTCTCATGTTACCCGATGCCGGAGTGGCTATCACTTCCATTTTCGTTCTTTTTCGGTTGATAGCGAGCAACGGTGTATTCTTAAGGGGCTTGTATTCCTGTTCTACACCACCACACTAGTCTCATTGCCCTTTCAACGAGCAGAAGAGGGATCTCGGAACATATTCCAGTTCGAGTGTGCTCTACTCAGAGCTCGTCTATCTCTCGATTTGAAGAAGCATTGAGACGTACCGTAATATCATTACTGACTCCTCCGAGAGCAAGGAGCGTGGTTCGCTCCATGAACAGAGCTGATTAGCGTTATCATTCTTGCTCAAACTTTAAAGCGACTGGAATATTGAATAACACTCAAGGAGTATATATATAGCTGGCAACACGAAGCATTATTAACACCAAGCATTACTAACACCCATACATATTGGCGATACAAATTTATAAGCTACCTTTCGAAAATGTCCTCATTACCCTCTGACGAAAAACGCTATTGTAACAAGGCCAAAGGACTTAATTCTAATTCCTATGGAGTAATAAATTGCAAACAATGAATCATCGGCTTGCTCAAAAAATAAGCATTCACTAAATAGTAAACAAGTCATCAGCGCAATAATTTTAATCAGCTCCTAGAATAATTGTCATATTATACAACATTGATTACTATTTTATGGGATCCGCAAAAGCCAAATCTTTTCGATCGATCCAGTAAAGGAAGTACAAAAGGCGTTTTTATTTTTTTATAGAATGATACTATTACTATAGAAGCACAATCCTGTGATCTAGCAGCCACATCAATGCCGAAAAGGCGCGGCAAACTCCATCCTGAACTTCAGTCCGTTGTAATGGAGACAGAGAATTTTGAGGTTGAAGTGCTTCGTATTAGTTCTGTTCATGGCAATTACTATAATGTACCTCCAGTTTTCCATTCCCTTGGATATAGGGAATCTCTAGCTCTTCAGATCTTATTTTAGTCTTTGCGTGCTGACATTAGTGAGATTGCACTACAAACAGCTGATCACGAAGCCGATTTTTTACTCACCTTATTTCGTATTGTTGCAAATATCAAACCAAGCGCTTACACGTATGTGTAAAACTTCCCTGGTGTTGACTTGGCGGCCTTATTTTCTTGGTGTTTGTCAAGTCTGCTGGCATGAGCAAATCATAAAAGTATGCATGGAAAGTTTGTTGATCTGATCATTGGTTTCCGAGGATATTTAGTCATTATATGTGTCAGCGCATCTTGATCTGGCAGACTTCAAATCAGTTTTAGAGTAGTGATCGGCAAGGAAAGTAGCGAAAAAATGTCACATTTGCTGGCCAACAAACAATTGATTGTGAGAGCTCCACTCGACACATAAAAAAAATCTGTTGAATAATTCAAAAATCTTACGCCACTGCAATGTGTGATCTGTGATTTACTCTACTAATTGGCTGGATATATTTCTTTCAAGTCCGGAACGGTTGCTTGAGTCCAAGAGGTAGAGAGTAGGATCTCAGTCTCATTCGTAACATGAGCTTACTAGAGAAGTCCCTATTGTTAGTATAAGAATGTCTGGTCTTTTCATTCGTGCTTCATGTTCTCAGGATCGTTCGGGCCTCAAATGTACTTCTACTTTTTCGTGCTGTGCGGCATTCATTTACAAGTTTCATCAAATTCACCAACTGATCCAGCAAGTTTTCAAGTTCGCTCCAAAGAACTCAACTGTAGTTGGGCTACGCTGTGAATGTATTGTCGTTTATAAATTTTACTTCATACCGCATATGTGAAGTTGTCATCACATCTCCATCCCACCAATTATGTCGCGATTAAGATCGTCATATTGGACTTCATCGTCGCCGTTTCCCTCTGCCATAAAATCGTCGTCGTCGAAGGATTGTAAAGATCGTTGAGGCTCCAGAGGTTCCTTGGAATCTAAGTCAAAGGGACTCCTACTGCGATTCATTTCTGAAAAATGCAGCTTGTTGATCGCAGTTAGATAAAGAAAACAAACTCGTTTCCTTTTCTTGTTATAGATGAACCAGTAGTTGGACCACATAGTTTGATAGGGGTAGTTCAAGTCTTCTAAAATCGATTGATCGGATGGCTGAAATTCGTACACTTTGAGGAAATAGTCGCTGTCATAAGTGCCTTCGGTGATTGGCGCCGCTAGTGGGTTTAAAGAGCTTTTCCTTCGTGACTGTGGATATTCCCCGTTGGATGATAGATTGTTCGGTTGTATCTCCATATACACATTAAGGGTGTCCCAAATCCAAGCAAGGGTGTCTTCCTTTTTCCCCAAAGACATCATTATATTGTTGAATTGATGTCTCAAATCCTCTGTGAAATCAAGTTTATGGAAATTTTCTGTGGTCGGTTGCAAATTTGAAAAGTCATGATCAGGATATGTGGTGTTAAGTATTGCAATCAAGTAGGCAAAAACCTTTCGACTTGAGGTATCTTTTAGTGAACCGAACGGTGACTCGTCATGAAAAGAGACGCCCGTTTGTTCTGAATTAACCACATTTCCAAAACTGGTCCCCGGTTCAGAGATCTCGATATCAGAGGTTATCGATGAGGCGCCGGATCCTCTTCTCGTAAACCCCATCATTTGATGATTAGCAGTGTTCAATGGAGAGCTAGAGCTGCCCAAAATTGAGCTAACTGATTGTTTGCGCTCCTTATCAATTGATCTAGAGAGTTGATTGTCCTCAAGAATTTGGTCTAAATGTCTTTCAATCGTCTTAAACAATTTTCTATCCGAACCAATAGGCTTGGTGGTAAACAAGTCACAGCCCCCTCTAATGACCAAATTCTCATCCAACGAGCTGAAGTTGAGCTCCTGATTGACTAACTCCAAGTCCACTTCATCAATAAACTGGTATTAGTATGCGAATCTAACCTTGAATTTGACTGATACTGACTTTCATGTTTGTCGTGTGGTTCAATGCTTTCTCCCTGGATGGACAGTGATATTGAGGTACAGGTGTTTTTGTCTCGCAATATAGACAAATGTTTTGACAACAATGGCTAAGCATACCAGTAGGTTCGAAACTTGTCATTTCATTAGCCTGCATTACTAGAAGCTGAAATTGTATACTTACGATTCAGGATAAAAATTCTAAAAAACCTGGTTCAAATGTCATGGCTGGTCTTTACAATGCCTTCGGGTCGGATCTCAAAACTTACAGGTTTCGAGTTGGAGTAATTATGTGCAACACTGTACAGCAAAGGTCGTGCAAGCGATGTTCTGTGACTGATGGTTTTGGAGTTATACCCGCAGCATCTCAGCAATCGTACTCTTGATGTCGCGAGCCTTGACCAGACCATGCCGAGAGATGCCACTGAGTTAGAGAACTCTTCTCGTACAGCGCACCGCAATTGAGTGCTCTCATATGCGGCGCCATCAGCTAGCTGGTGCTTCTCTGTATCAGTAGCGTGACTGTAACCAGATTGGAATCCTAACGCTGAAAGGTTCCATCCCGAATAAAACCCAATTTGTCTCAGGAAGTCAAGGGGTTTTCATGTGGGCGAGCTGGAGCAGGATCAGTTTCAATTTCGAAAAAATCTGACACTTGATTAGTTATAATTATGGGAATCAAAAATTTATGAGCTAATTTTGCTAACTCTGCATGTATGGACATTAGATAGTAAGCTTTCATCGAGCGATTTTTATATGACAGACTCTGTTTGTAGAATTTGTTCCTAACGTGGTCAAATATCGGGCTATTGATTTTGTGGGGTATCATAGTTCTTTGAATTTCAAGCCGTTTCTGAAGATGATAGCGAATGCTTCGAAAATCTTCCGTACCACGCAAGTGGTGCCCAATGCTATCTATGACTATCATCCTGATATTTCGTTCCTCGATTACTGCTTGATCAAGGAATGCTGGTAATTGTGTGAAGATTATGTGATCAAACGAATCAAGATCGGAGCAGTAAATAGTAGATATGTCCTGTAAAGTTTGCTTGCTGGCAAACCTACCACTCATATGAATTAGCCTGCGAGTCTCCAATGCTCTCTCTGTGCATATCACCACAGATTCTCCTCGGCTTGTTTGTTGCTCTGCGTCATTGTGAGCTGCAAGAAGAGCGGAGCCCACGATGTGAGACTTTCCACTTCCACTGACACCAAAGATTTCGCTCACTTGACCGTTAGTATACCCACCATCCATGAGCGTGTCCAATTCTGGTAATCCCGAAGAAGTCTCTTCGGGAAGACCTTGAACTATCTTGCCATCTATAGCGGCTTGCATGGCCTCAGCAAGGCCTTCAGTAACTTGCCGAAACTTCGGTAAGATTTCTCTCAGATCATTCTCGTTTGATGAGAGGACCTCAATAAAGAGGTCGACAGTTGTTGTGGCAGAATGATCAAAGTGAGAAAAAGCAGTAGATTCGAGAAAAGAAACGACTTCAGGAAATTGCTTGTGAATATCCATTGACACTTAGTCTGTTCGTCATACAGCCAGTGGTTACAGAATCGAGGCCTTAGAACAAATAAATCTCACTACATTATCTACATGCGATCGCGAAAAATGACATCCATTTTACAACAAAGAATGTGCCTGCATTAAAATCAATGAGCACCAGAGATGAAGAACCACTTGTCGATGGACTTGTCAATAGGGGCAGGTGGCTGAGGCGAAGCAGATGGAACATCAGCAGCTTCAACAAAGTTAGGCAATGAAGACAAAGTGGCGTTGGTCAAGCTGATATCACCAGCATCTGACGCACCCTTGACCAATCTTTCCCAGGCTTCAGCACATTCGACAATCACCTCGTTCGCATACTTCTTATTCTTGCACTCACCAGAGAATGCAAATTGGTTTTCAGGCTTTCCATCTGGGATTTTATAAATCCTGAACCATTCGTTCGTTGCTCTCAACAAACCTGGCAAATGAGTCTCGACATCCTCGATGTCATTCAATTTAGGAGCCAATGGGTCATTGATATCAATTACAATAACTTTCCAATCAGTCTCACCTTCATCCAACAATGCCATAACACCCAAGACCTTAACTTGTTTGATTTGACCGACAGTTGCTACTTGTTCTCCAATCTCACAAACATCCAAAGGGTCGTTGTCGCCCTTGGCTTTTGTCTCAGGGTGGGTCTGATGTGGATCTTCCCATGTCTGTGGAAATGCTCCATAGTTGTGAATGTAGCCATGGTGGGGGAAGCAATTGCGCACAAATCTCAATTTTCCTTTCTTCGTGTCTTGAATGATTGGGTTCAAGGAGTCTTCCTTAGAAATCTCCAATTTGGCGTTTGTCCAACGTGGCACTTCAACAATCATGTTCAAAACAGTCTTTTCCTTATTGGCATACAAAGGCACATCGTGGAACGCAGAAATTGCTTTACCGTCTTTTTCGATGTAAACCTTGTAGTCCAACGTATTGGCCGCGCCGATTTGACGAGTGGAGTATGACATTGCTAATGAAAAGGGTGTATTGAGGAGAGTATTGAAATCTCAACAATTTTCGACTAAAGTACTGTACATTGTGAATCACGCGAGATCGCATAAAATTCAAATTCTGGTGTACTGGTTTAATAGGATTAGCCTGAACTCTGTCGTCAGCAGGCAGTTTGTATGACGCCTAACTCTATGCGATCTCTTAATCTACTTAACGCTTCCTACGAACAAATGAAAAAGATTCAAGCCACGTAAATCAGCTTAATCCCATTTTAGAATCCACATAGCTCAAAAGGTCGTGGTTGTCGGCAGAATTTGTACCTATGGCATTCATCTCTGCTTTCTTAAACAAAAGTAAGCCTCGAGTTAGTTCCTGTTTAACCTTCATCAATGTACCGACCTGTTTACCAGAGAGTCTTGATGGCTCAAAAGAAACCCTTTTCAAAAGTGACATGGTTAAGCTCAAATCACGTCGATTCACAGTCACCCAGCCGGATTGGTAGTCTAGAAGATACACGCCCTTGAAGTGGATTTTATCTGCAAATTGCTTCAAAGCCCTTCTGTATGTCCAGAATATACAGATTCCGTAAACATCAGAGTCCATGAAAGCATGAATGGACAATTCTTTGCATGATTGAGCGATACTATAGAGTAAGCCTATTGAAGCATCATCTGGGAAACCTTTCGCGGTCATGAAAAGATATGACTTTTTCTCGTCAACCTTGTAGCGCTTGAAGTGATCACAATAAGATTTAAAGACAGAATCTTTCTCAAATAGTACAACCGTTGAGGGCTCGTTGTCAACATGTAGATTCCCTGAGATGTATGGGATGAGCTGCTCGCGATAGCTATAATCAAGATGTAAGATTTTGCAGTCTCTCTCACCCTGCAACTGTATGCTAGGCCCTCCATAGACAAGGCCCTTAGAGGATGGATAGACTCCAAAATCCTCGCTGATCGACATATCATGCATCGAGGCGACGTTCACGATTGCTTCTTTTAAAATGTTTTGTCGATTTCGAAAGGATGACACGTCTCTGTAGAATAGCTCTCTTACACTTACTACCTTCCTTTCGAGATGATTCTTGAGCAAAAGTTTCATCGCCAAGATATGCGTGACGAACTTCCGACTTTCTCCACGGCTTTCAGATATGTCCACAATGCCGCTTGATGAAAGATTTGTGCTCTTACTCCTCGATCTCTTGTGAGAGCGTAGTGGGATATAAAGTAAATTCGAAGTTATCCTCACGCTTTGCGCAAGCATATCCCATTGCACATGTAGTGGCGAATGTTCAATATGTGGATCGCGTTGCATGTCCCTTGCTTATCAGAATGTAGTTAGTGGGATAGAGATAATTATCAGGAAGGGATCTCATATTGAGGGGAGAAAGGCCCCATGTAAAGTCAATGTCGTATCCCACAGACATTTTGCGGTCTTTTGCTGTCTGTTTCGGACTTTCCTCTCACATTCAACCTCCCTTACCGTTATCCGCGCCTTTGTGGAGACAGCTGGCTCTTTGGTCAATCGGAACTCGAATCCCCTAAAAAAGATAATCAGTTATTAAGTTATCTTCAAACCTTCAAATTAAAAAAATATCACCTTAAAACTGCCTGTCTAACAGGTTGAACTAAAATTATAGTTCGAAATAACTATTTGTCATTCATGTTCTATAGTTCACGTTTTTTGCGAACTACCAAAAGTGTGGTGAAATTTCATCTTATAGGAAGGACAGCGAATTTTCGAATTGTGGTTTTACCCTGTTGCTGTTCTCAATAACATAAGTTAAAAATGGAATCCAACTTTATACCACGTTTCAATCCTTTTAAAGAAGAAACTCCAAATTTCTTTTCTGTTCTGTACTTTGTGACTTCAATTGGCTGTATCCGAGAAAAAGCTGGCTTGCCGCGGTCACCATATTCCTTCATCTTCCGTTCACACAACTTGCGAAGGCGAACGACAAATCAGCCTCTCGAATAGACATGACCGCTCCAATATTGCAAGCGAGAGATGATTTCTACAACAGTGGGAATTGGTCAGGAGGTGCTAGGTGGGCGTTCTTTGCGATCTTTATTGTTCTCATAATAATTGTGATTTTAGGTACCTTACGAATAAATAGAGCAAGATCAAGACAAGGAATACAACCAATTTATGGTACACGATGGATGACACCACCTTCATACTACCAATCGCAAGATCAATATAACCAACCGACTCGACGTGAGCCTGATATGCCAAATGTGTACGTACCGACGTACACTGAGCACGCTGGCGAATACGACATGGATATTACGACAATCAAGGAGTTTTCCATCCAAACCCTAACGCAAAGGATCCTACTATACCACCTCCAAGCCATACCAGAACCGGAAGTGGGATGGACGGCGTCCCAATTTCGAATTCTCTTCGAGGATCAATAGAAGATGAAGCATCCCAACAAGCTCGCGAGAGACTTGAAGGAGAGGGTGTGAACTATAGAGATGCAACCCATGAAACCGAACCTTCCAATTCGAGAACACCAGAGGGCCAGGTACGAGCAAACGTGGGGCATACACAGCATTGACCCCTGAATTTTTCGGTGATAGGTTGTATAATTTTTGGGGAGCACAAAACGTTCATTTCTAATCCAAGTTGTGAGACCATTAAGGCAGCATCGAAAACGTAACTTGATTACTGTGTATGTACGACCTACACCACCTCCCCGTATGACAACGACGCTTACGCGCCTAAGCTTCGCAAGATGACACAAGGTTGCCACTGCAGCTCAAGCGCCTTCACATAAAAAGATTGACGTACTCATCTCGGAACAGCAGCGACATTTATGCGCAAGCTATCGATCTTTTTGGTCAACTTCAATTTCACAGAGACAAATACAATTAATGGAGAACTTCAATATCACAACAGAAACAGAAAGGATCGTGGGCTGTAACACCTCAATACTTGCAAATGTATTTGGGATGGTTCATGTCTCCTGCTTTTAGTGCGGCTGAGCTTGTTGCTCCATGCCAGTCGCGCAAACCAGCGGAATGTGTACAGCCTCATCCTTCTTCAGTGACCACAAATATGCGACTTCGAGAAGACAAGGTGGTGAAGATATGAGTCTATCATTAGAGCATTCAATACAGCCATTTATCATTTTTAGTTTTGAACGTAAGATTATTGATAGGGCAAAGACATGAGGGAGAGTGAAATTCGCAAAGTTCACATGCCGATCCGCCTGCATTACGTCGTCAGCCTCTTCGCTCGTGACCCGCATTACGCAGCGAACGTTCTTTGTTTTGATGCTTGCTGCCGAATTTGAATCTACGTATATATATTCTCAGAAATCCACCTCGGTCTCATATCCCTACAATCAAACATGGCTGACTCCAGTTCTGGTGAGACCAGTGCGTCTGCCTCTCAATTGTTGTCTACTTTGATTCCAACATTAGTTATAAGTGTTATTTTCACTTTGATTTTTTTGGCTCTTCGTAAATCAGAGAAGAGAGTTTATGAACCCAGGTTGAGCGTTGAAACTGTTTCAAAGGATTTGAAACCAGACGAGAGTCCTAAGGGCATGTTTGCTTGGGCCACACATTTGGTCAAGAAACCAACACCTTACCTTGTTCAGCAGTTGGGGCCGATGGCTATTTTTTCCTCCGGTTTTTATTCGAGTTTTCCTTCATTTGTTTCCTTGGCTGTATATTGCTTTGGCCTATTTTGTTCCCAGTTAACATCACAAACGGCAATGGTAAAAAGCAGTTGGATATGTTGACCTTCGGTAATGTCAGAAACAAGGACAGATACTTCGCCCACGTTTTCCTCTCATGGATTTTCTTTGGTGCAGTTATTTTCGTGATTTACCGTGAATTGGTCTACTACACAACGTTTAGGCATGCTTTGCAAACCACCCCAATGTATGACTCATTGTTGTCTTCTCGCACGATGCTTCTTACTGAAATCCCGGAGGCCGCATTACTGGAGACAGAGCTCAGAGGATATTTCCCAACTGCAACTAATCTTTGGTACGCTAGAGACTACAAAGAACTTTCGGAGCAAGTCAAAGAGCGGACGAAACTTTCAGCGAAATATGAAGGAGCATTGAACGGAGTTCTTTGCAAGGCTGTATCGCTTAGAAATAAACTTCAGAAGAAGGGCAAAGAGCTTCCCGAACCCGCTGATGATCTCAACAAGTATTTGAAGGATGGCAAAAAACGTCCTACTCATCGCTTAAAGTTTCTTATTGGAGAGAAGGTTGACACCCTCGACTACAGTGTCGACAAGTTGGGCGAATTAAACAAGACAATCAAAAAAGGACAAGCTGAGCATAATTCGAACTCTCAAATTCCTTCTGTTTTTATCGAATTTCCTTCACAGTTGGAGTTGCAAAGAGCTTACCAAGCAATTCCTTACAATTCGGATTTCAAAGGCACTAAAAGATTCACAGGAATCGCTCCTGATGATGTGATTTGGCCTAATCTCGCCCTCACGAAAACCAAGCGTCGTTTGAAGAAGATTTTGGCTTCGACAATATTAACACTCACCATCATCTTCTGGTGTATTCCTGTTGCTGTTGTTGGTGCTATCTCCAATATTAATTTCTTGACTGAGAAGCTTCCATGGCTTGATTTCATAAATAACATGCCATCTGCGTTGATGGGTATTATCACATCGCTTCTTCCAATGGTTGCATTGGCAATTTTGATGTCCCTCATTCCTCCATTCATCAAGAAAATGGGTAAAGTTGCAGGTTGCATCACTGTGCAACAAGTCAATACTTACTGCCAAAACTGGTTCTTTGCCTTTCAAGTCGTCAACACATTCTTGGCTGCCGCTCTCGGTTCGTCTGCAGCATCATCTGTGCAAAGCATTATTCAAGAACCCTCATCTGCTATGCCACTTTTGGCGAGCGAGCTTCCAAAATCTTCGAACTTCTACCTTTCCTACTTGTGTTTGTACGGTCTTGTCTTTTCATCCAAGGCGTTAGCAAATGTTGTTGGTTTAGCATTGTCGAAAGTATTGGGTCGCATTTTGGATAAATCCCCCAGGGCCAAATGGATGCGTTACACCACCTTGGGTGAGCCAGACTTCTCCGTACTTTACCCATCTTTCCAACTTATCTGCTTAATCGCATTGACATACTCCGTCATTGCGCCATTGGTGGTGGGTTTCGCGGCCATTTCGTTCTTCCTCATCTTCTTCGCATTCCTTTACACGCTCACATACGTTCTTAAGCCCGCCCAAACTGACGCCAGGGGTAGAGGTTATGCAACAGCATTGTTTCAACTTTTTGTTGCTCTCTACCTTGCTGAAGTACTCGTCTTGGCGCTCTTCGTGTTCAGTAAGAATTGGGCTTGCGTTGCCTTAGAGGGTGTATGGATTTTAGTGACGGCCGTTTGTCACCAATGGTTCAAGTGGAAATTCCTCCCACTTCTTGAAATCGTCCCAGTGTCAGCTATCAAGTATGCTTCAGGAGACCGCACATTTCAATATCCTATGTATGATCAGGGTCTTAAGGAAATAAAGACCGAGGGCGAGAACTACTGGGAAGGTGGAAACCAATTGGGTCTTTCGAGCTCTCCTTTGGATCAGGTATTGGCAGACCCCAAGACTGACGAGTCCGACTCATACACCCGTACTGGAACGAACGAGAAGGAGTCAGCCAGCGAGAAAAGACTCGACACTTTGCCACCAGTGGCTTCAGCTAAGGAGGCATCTGGTGGTGCAGTTGCCAGATTCTTCAAGCCCAAGCAAAATAGCTTTGATTTGGTGCGCGAAGAAATGCCCGCTGCCTACCTCAACTACATTGAGTATAATCCTGACTTCGTGAGAACTGCTTATGATGACCCGGTTGTCAATGATGAGGAGCCACATATTTGGATTCCTAAGGATAACATGGGATTATCCGAGATTGAGAAAAACAAGGCTCTCAAGAACGGAGTTGATGTCAGTGATTCTGACGCAGGTTTCGATGAGAAGGGAAGAACGGAGTACTACGGCCCTCCACCATCATATGAAGAGGCCTTGAAGGTTTGACATAAACTTGGTTTATGAGAAATCTAATTTGTATTATTTTGATATTTGTTTAATGAAATCATCGTTCTATTCTCAAGTAGCTACCTAAATGAAATTTCAAGTTACGAGTCTTTCCAAAAAGTGCTGCCATATCACCATGTTGTGTGTCACCAAGTAATACCAGACCCTGTGCAATCAAAGTCAACGGAGCCGTGGCTATGTCCGAGATGATTGCTGTCAAAGCGATAAAAGGTGAGGATTCGCAGCAACCTAAATCGACCGTGACGTAGTACGTGCATCCTAACTTGCCATTCTCCAATACTTATAAATATAGTAAAAATCGCCTTACATTAATTGTTAATGCTCAATCGGTCAAACTCCATTATGCTGGGTAAGCGTTTCTTACAATACAAACCCAGAAAGCCCACTGTTCATCTCAAGCAAACTACTGTTGCGAATGCCATTGGATCGAAAGCTGCGTCACCAACAATCATGAACGGTGCTAAAGGTACTCCTACATTTCCCAAAGGCACATTTTTACAAACTGTGAAACATAGGTCGCCATACTTTTTATTTGGATTGGTGACTATCTCGTGCTTAATTGGATGGCCTGCTTTATTTATAGAGGGTAGTGAGATCGTGCTCAACGTCCCACCGAACCTGGAGACAGCGCTAGTCCAAAAAACTGAAGAGGGCTATGAGGTCGGAGACATCAAGGAAGTTCATAGAGACATTCCCGACGATGACGAATAATTCCGGATATTGCTCAACTGTAAATCTGACATAATGAAAATCTATTGCTTCTTTTGGTCAACGTAATTTTGCTCCTCCACATCGACATCGACGTCAACATCGGAAACATCACTTAATGTATTCACTTGGTCCTCTTCGTACCCAAAGGTCCCATTCCAACCTTGTTCAACGAGATAATTCTTGAACCTGATATCTTCTCTCATAAGATCATCATCTTTGAGCTGTGGTATGAAAAGGAGGGCGCAAATTATGCCCGCGAGGCCACAAATTGCAGCGATAATAAACGTCCAATTTTCGCCCAAACGATCTTGTATCGGTGTGAAAGTTTTTGTTCCAACTACAGCACCGACCTTTCCAATAGCAGCAGAAATGCCGTAACACGTGCCTCTTATTGGCGTCGCAAAAGATTCAGAGGATGTCAAGCCCATCATATTTCCTGGCCCAAATTTCCCATAGACATCATCAACCCGTAGAAGATGATGAAAAGGGGAATGATACCTTTAATCTTGTCAAATGAGCACCCAATGATGAGACCGAAGACAATATAACCGGAAAACCCTATAGCAAGAGTGTTTCTTCTCCCAATTATATCACAAAGATAAGCGCCAACAAAAATACCTGGGATCGCAATCGTTCCGAGTAGAAGATTCCATTCAGCCACGCGCTCAAGGTCCGACTTTTCCGAGCCATCCAAAACGGAGGAGATGATTGTAGCTGAGAAAATGCCGTTCGGGAATGTCACGAAATCGTAAAGGAACCAGCACACGCAAGTTCCGAAAAGTCTCTTCCAGTAGAATTTTAAAGCAAGCCAATATGGGGTGTTCTTTCTTATCGCAGCCTTTCTGAACAAGACAGAAGTGGCCATTTTATATCTGAAATAGAAAACAGATAGAGGCCAGAATGCACCTATAGCAAAAAGAGCCCTCCAGAGGCCGTTGGTGACGCCCCCCGTGATTTGATACACAATCAAGAAAATACTCAAGGCGAAAGGTCCGCCAAACGAGAGGGGCAAGTTTGTAACCAAACAAAATACCCCGCCCCGTCTTTTCACTGTTTCATTAGCGGCTTCATTGGTGGATACGGAACAAGAAGGATACTCGGCACCGATGCCAAAGCCAGTGACACCTCTAAAAATGATCAACATCCAAAACATGCCATTGACAGTTACACCATGTGCAGCCGCGCAGAGGACGGTGCCAAATACCAAGAAAACGGTTGCAATCACAATAGACTGTTTTCGGTTGAGTCTGTCCGCCAAGACACCAATGACAACCTGCCCGAATATTGTTCCGACAAGAGAAGCATTGGACACATTGGTTTTCATGTCAGAAGTGTATTCGTCGGGGTAAAGCTGCGCAAACACTGTATTCAACATGGTCATCACATTATTTTGGTATCCGTCCGAGATCATGGCAAAGCCAGCACAAATAATTGTAAATATCTCTGCAATAGAACGTTTGTGAAGCCTTCCTTGACGTGCAGTTGCGTCATACTCGAACTTAGTTTGCGTTGATTTGCTTGATGACAATTTGTCCATGGCTTTTCCTTATGAATTTCAGGTTGGTAGAGATTGTAGGACTTTTATATGTAACCAAATTAGCGGAATGCCGCAAATGGAAAACAGGACGATAATTGGGAACCCCGCCCTCGAGTTATCATTAGAAACGTTACTTGCGTATCTCAATCAAATTTATGATCAGCCTGCACTTGACGGCTCATTCAATATCGCTTACCATCCCATCAAGGAGACCCACGTGCTAATGCATATGTAGTTTCTTGTAGTGTCGTCAGATAAAGGTTGGTTCTTGTGACAGCGCGCCGCACCAGAATTGGCGATTATGCGTTAATAATCTCCTAGATTTGAAAGGAGAATCCTGTGGCAGGCATAAAAGAACAATCAACTGGCGGAAAAGGCTTCTCCCACATGTGTACCTAGCACCGAGGAGACCAGTAGTGCGAGGTAAGTTTCAGGAGGGCCTCGTGGGTTGGGCAAGCAGGGATCGAGCACCAAACCTGTGGTACAATAGAAATAATATCCCGGGCCGAAAAAGAGCATATATAGCACGTGAGGTAAGGATCCCTCTTCTTTTATACAGGTCGTAGTAAAGTTGTGTTGGAGTGCCTCTCTGTTCCGTGCCATAGCGAAGGATGAACTTAATATTGTTTCAATTTTAACACTTGATGAAAGTCATAGTTTAGGCGTAGCAAGGTAGCTGATTAGTAATATCAATTGTTTGACAATATTACCCAAAGAAGCGGAGGATCTACCAAATTACTCTGGGTACATCTGCATACACGTGTCTTACGGAACTCAAGATAATTGCCTCGCCTGAATTTATACAACCATCATGTCTGATGAAAACGTTGACCTAGCCACGGCGCTCAAGCAAGTTAACGAAGCAGAAGCCCAAGCCGCTGCTTTGGAACAAATGCTTGATGATCTTGATGACAAAATGAATAGCTTGATCGAGATAATGGATGTTGACATCGAGCATGAAGATTCACCGATTAGACGAGAAGCTTGAATTCTAGAGGAGGCATCACACGGCTCATCACACCAATAGCAGCAGTAAAACTGACAGTTTTAAAGCCTCCGGTTCAGTCGTTGCATGGAAAGGGTTGATGGGGGCTCGAGGATTTATGATTACTTCGTCTGTATCAACTCCATCCAGAAACTCTTTAATAGTGACTTTTGCAGGTAGTCCGCCTTGAAGCCACCATTTGAACGAATCTGAACTGGGAGGGGGCATGTTTCTTTCTGAGTAATCTGCGACGAATTTGAGGACATCACTTCCTGTGAGGAGGTAGTTGACCCCTCCGACAACACTTTTATAGCCTTCATAAATTTCATTGGAGACTTGTTTCTTCATCACTTCATTGATCATCACGACTGACGCAGTGAATGTCGCATAAACCGGACGGTGATCAGAAAACACGATATCTTCACAACAGCCATACAGTTCCTGCCTTAGAATTTTGGCTCGGGATAGATGTAGCACCCTATCGGTCCATGCGGGTATTCTCTGTTTGTCCGATGTATCGTAGGTTCGCGTATAGTTGTCAAACTTATAAGTGGGAGGAAACCTTATCTCCATTTCATCATAAAATGGGAACGTTTCTCCTTTCGCCATTTGGTTGTTGAGCTGATCATGATCAAAAAGCTTTGCGAAATTTTCTTCTTCAATTAGAGAACGCACCGCTTCATTTGTTAATGATATGCGGAAGTTGAGGTCCCCCACCCAAATGACGGCATCATGATCCCGAATCTTGCGATTCTTCGAGAAAGTTATGCCTTTAGCTATAGTTTTGTAGTTCTGGTGTCTTTCGTCGAGATTATTTAACCCCGCAGCAAGATGGGAGCATACAAAGCAAAACTTCGTTCGCAGATACTGTAAACTCATAGCCATCCCTCCTTTGTTTGCACTCATTCCACCAAAACCTGTTTTCTTCACTGCACTCTCGATATTCAGGATTTGACCAACGTGCTCACTTCTTATAAAGAGAAGTAATGCAATACCACCCATCTGACCACTCCATAGAGAAACATACTTTGACCGTGTTGACTGCAGCCCTTCAAGAACTCTTCTCACTTGAGCTTCCCACGTCATTAGATTTCCAGATCGAACGTTCATCATCTTACCTGGTGTTAGCTCAACAATTTCCTCGAAACCTATGAAAACTATGTCGTATTCCTTAGAGCCGTGAAGTCCTTGAGGATAAATCCATTGGCTCACTTGTTCATCCTTGCACAAATCGCCATTCACATTGAAGGTGGACGCAAATATATTGATGTCTTTCTTGAAGCTGTACTCACCTGATCTCTTGCGTAATTCAGCGGAAACATACTGATGAAGTGGATTATAGATTTTCACATTTTCTTGAGTTTGCAACCTGCCAAGTAGCTTGCGCATCGCCATCTCGTTAGGTCGAATATCTCCCACAACATTGAGATACTTTTTCGCAAGCTGAGTCTTGAGACTTTTCTTGTTCGATTTTTCACCCGGGGTATACGCCAACGTAGAGAGGTAGTTATGTGTAAGGTCCTTCAAAACCTCGTCATTTTCTTTCCAAAGCTTTGCATGTTGTGAGCGAATTTGTTCATCCACATGAATATCTAGGTCCCTGAAAGCTAGTTCAATAACTTCCTGAGAGATGACCTTGCTAATAAAATTGGCCTTGGCGAGGCAGTCAAATGAGTTTACCCGAAAGACACCAAGTTGTTTGCCGATGTAAGATTGATCCTCAAAATCGTAGAACAAAGCACCAAAATTGAGAATGTAATCAACCAACGGCCCTACGAGTTCGTTGGGATTGGATGCAGAGTATCCGATTTTCTTCATGAACGAAGTGGAGATAGGCATATCTGTGGCTGAAACCGTAAAGTTGGCTGATGCAGCAAACAAATCCTTATCCTCCCCGTAGTAATCCAGAGTGCGCTCTCTCGAATTCCAGAATGATTGAAGGTGCTCCCTGTAATTATCCTTAAGCTGACCTTTGTAGGAACCTTGGTCTCTCAGAAGGCAATCAATAACATGAATATCCCCGTATTGGATACCAAGAGACTCAAAATGCTTAGTGAACGCATGTTGGGCTGCCTCAAACGACCGAGTCAACACAAGTTTCTTTGAATTTTTCGAAATAATGCTTTTTTTGCCAAAAGCATTTTGTAACTCCCAAAATGTTGGTACATTACCACGTACAATGACGTATGAAAAGCAAAACCTTTTGCAATAAATGATAATTTCACTCTCAACGAAGTTTGAGACTGCTCCATCATCGTCACACCCCCAATCGCCGAACAAAGGACCCTTTTTTTTGCAAGACTGTTTTGAAATTAATGTAAGAAGTGCTTCGTCCTTATTCTCTAGACTAATATTAATTGTCTTAGCATAGCCCCTAGTAATGATAGTGGAGAACCTTGCTTCATCAAAACACTGCTTTTCGATGGCACTTAACCCATTACGAAATTCAATCATTTCAGTGATCATATTGTAATTCCACATGAAGCTTCGGAAGTAAGGCGTGTCTGCTGAAACACGGTTGCCATCCATCATCGAGATACCTCTTTCTTGAAGATTAGAGGTGATGTCAAAGTCATCTGAGTAGTAAAAATGTCCCAGTTTAAGAAGTTTTTGCACTGATAATGACGGATATTTCGTGTGCAAGTCTGTTTCTTCATTCTGGACATGATGTCCCAGTTCTTCATAGCTCAAGTTAATCGTTTTATCGAACTCATCATTATTTAGACAGTAAAATGTGACGTCGGTAATAACATTTACTTTCTCGTTTAGTCTTGTTGACGCAACTTTAGTCGATCTGGTGATGAAGCCGAGGTGAATGTTGCCTTTCACGTAATGCAACCCTATGAACCCCAATAAAGTTTTGTTGTGCCTGGATTTACTTGGAGTGATGTCTTTGAAAGTTGATAGATCAAGCAAATCTGTCTTGACAAACTCCACAATAACTTTGTTCGATATTTGACGTGCTTTCTGCGGGTCTCTCTCTTCGTTGCTTACGCCATCATGGTGTCTGTGTCCCACATGGCGTTTAGAACGACTATGATTCGTATATGTGGGAGCAGGATGCCTCAAAATGAGCGAATATTTTGCATCAAGAACTATGAATGTTCGTGGTCTTTCATTAAGGTATAATCGCATTCACAATGGCTATATTTGCTTGGTTTCGGAATAGCTGAACTTAAGACCTGAATATAAGTGGGAAAGGTGGACTAGCGCACTACACGAACATACACAACTCTGGCCTAAACTACAGAACACTTGCTCAAAATTAAATAGTCTCTGTTCACTCATAATTTTTTCGGTTGAATGAAGAACGATAACGTATCCCAAACTTCATTGTGCGCATCATATTTTTAGTACGCCTTTCTTGTTTTACTTTTCTTTTGAGTGTGCTGATGATGACTTGGAACCCATGAAGGGTCGAATCCTGTGCTCTTGATGGATTTCTCTTGGACTGGGATACTTTCTTTTGATTCTGAGAGAAAATGGAGGGCACAGCAAGATATAATCCAATACCCGTAGCAAGAAGAAGCAAAACTTCCAAAAACAAAAGTTGAGGATCGAAGAATGAAAGCGGCTTCTCTTTAATAACGGTCAACTGGGGTCTTGCTTGGACGACTTTGACTTCATCATTAAATGCAACAAACATCCGAGGCGACAAAAGAAAATTGCCGCCTCCAAAGTCTAGATTGATTTTTTGACCGATTATTGATGATTCGCCTGGTGGAATGATTATTGGCCCCACAGTAGTTGATGTAAGGTTCACAAGAGGCTCCCAGTGATCGCGTCCCTAAAAGCACCCCAAGACCAACAATTGTGATATCCTTATTTTCACGGTTGGAGAAGTTGTGGAGCAATTTAATTTGTTCACCAACATCCATTTCCGCAACATCATTGTAAGCGATATCTGGATACTCCTCAATTGAGTAATCAAGATCAAAGTTTTCTAACTCTGTGCCCTGAGCATTGTCAAAGTAGCTCGATGCGGACGACAAACCGATAAGTATATAAAAAACCTTCGCAAAATGGAAAAGCTTCATTTCGTTAGTTGTCCTCGTTTTCGAAAGCTGAGTTCTGACACGACAACCAGGATCACGTGCCAGTGATTTACTAGACCCGTTTCTCTCCGCTTTTAGAATAAGTAAGCATGAGTTCGAGTTTTACCTGTCGATTTTTTTTTTTTTTTTTTTTTTTTTTTAAAAAAAAGGACAGGTAAAACAAACTTTTCTGCAACTTTTTCTGTCATGAAAGATAGACCTGTCTACGTTCTCTTCTCTCTCACCATTTTTCGCGAAAGCTCATGGTTTATATAACTTCGAAAGCCTCTAGCAAAACTCTCAAACCCACAATGTGGACATCTAGAGCTCTACAGCGAGGGCCTCGTCGGTCTCTCCATTTGCAAAATGTTATGAATTCCACAAGAAGCGGCATGATGCATCCTGCCCTTCTGATGTCGCCCAAGCTGAAGCTATTCCTACGACTTGTGAGGAGTCCCAGTCATATATTGTTTTTGGTGTCAAATTTGGCTATATTGGTACATTTGCAATTTGTATCTACTACAAGGTCAGCCAAAGTCGTCCACCTGAAAGAGAATGAGAATTCTGATAAACTTCGTGCTCAGATCATTGAGCTTGAAGAATTGGAAGAAGAAGAGCGGCTAATAAGAAAAGAGATAGAGGCACTCAAAAGTCGAGCGTCACAGAAAGAGAGGGCATGTGATTATTCTCTGTTTGAGTCAAAAGTAAAAAATTCGAGTTCGACTTATCAAAGGACAAATAGTGAGATACTTAACAAGAATCTCGCGCTGGACTTCAGACGGAAAAGATTCTCCATAACAAGCAACTTTATGACCCAGGAGGGTATAAAAACACTATTTACTGCTAAACAGTTACCACGCTGGTCATTCATGGATCGCAACTTCGTCTCAACTCAAGCAACAGACGACAGTCAGTTCTGTCACGCTGGTGAAAGAAACGCATTCCAAGCCTTCCTTCGATACCTTATAGGGGATGTGATACTTGAAAGTCTTGCCTCTCTGGATATTAAATTTACTGAGTCTTTCAAGTCGGACCTTTTTCATTCCTTGATTTACGAGACAACGACAGCAAAGTATCTAAATCACGAGAGATCTGATACAACGAAGTTTATCGCTTCCTCACAGGAATCTCTAGGAATTCGAACAAAAGGTCACCAGGCTTTGATGAAAGATATAGGGGCTGCATTTGAATCCTACTTGTCTAACGGCACAGAAAATGCCAAATGTGAGCTCCTTTTGGATCTTTGCCGAACTCTTATTCCGACTATCGAATTAAAGGTGATCGACGAAGCTTTAGCCGCATTGTATCAACGCTTTGGGATCCTGGGCCTCCACAACTATCAGGCGTTGCTTCTAGAGACATTTCCGACACACCAATTTCACAACCGCTTCCGCGCGACATACTTCGAGGAGAAGCCCATCATCGATACGAACGGAAGTGTCTTTGCAGAGACAAATGCTGGAATAGAGTCTGCTCCCAGACGTTTTTCAGTCAAAGATCCTCGAGTTCCTAGTTCTCAATTTAAGCGTTTGCAAACGAAGTTGAGTCTTCTTTTATTCAGAGAAGCATATAACGAGGCCGAGAAAGTACTCACTACCTTGCTCCGTATTGCAAATGATCATAGCCTGAACCCGTCAGGGCGGCTCAATGAATGTGAATCGGACACAGTACACGGGATGAGGAACATCTTCGAGGGTGATTCTAGGAACGCAATGTTGCGTGCGTTAGATTGCGATTCCAATTTCGAATCGAAGTTTGGTTGGCTTCGACCACACCTCACAGCTGTTGCGGAAGATCGACAAATTGGTGAAGAAGTCAAAAGATCTAAACCAGAGGCTAAAAAGAACGAAGCTGTCTCCACAGGATATATTCCTAGAAATAATGTTGGAAAGAAGAGTCCCGTTCTCAAACTATTGCCAGAATCGAGCTTCATGGCTATGAGGGTACAGACGTGAGTACGTATATGCAGTCATCAAAGAGAAAAACTAAGATCGCATCGCTCATCGACTAGCATCAAGAACACATTATAGTTTGAAAATGAAACTCATCACAACCAATTTTGTTAAGTGTGCTTCAAAAAGCTGCGACTCAGCTTCAACCGCTTTCCCGTTACATTACGTGGATTGCGAGCTTGTCCAATCCCCCAAGATTTCAATGCCGACTTTGTCACACATATGCTTGAACGGTTAGATTGGGAAGCATTGAGAGAGGTCGCCAAAGATCTTGGCAATGAGGAACTTCCGGTTCAAAAACCCTCGAATATTGACCCCATCATGGAGGAAAACCAGGCCTTACTAAAGGATCTACATACCTTCTTGATCGAAACTCAAATTGTGGAGGGCAAAATGATATGCCAAAACTGCAAACACACTTTCTTCATCAAGAATTCGATACCCAATTTCCTCTTGCCTCCACACCTTTGTTAGGTTGAACGCTCGACATTGAGTTGCATTGTGCTCGGCACAGATCAAATGACAAAGTCCAGGTTTTATTTAGCTAACTTTAATCAAATCCCCGGTTTGCAATTTTTTTTGTTAGAACGATGGAAAGCCAAACTAAGGCATAGGCACGGTTCTCGCTGGAAGACACAAGATCCGTACACCCCTGATACCTCCTCAAGTGTGCCAGCAGTTGCTCGAAGTAAAACATAAAAAGTTCTAGTCGCTAAAATGTCAGGTGCTGGAAACAGAGAGCAGGTCTTTCCGACTAGAATGACTCTTGGTGTCATGAAGAGCAAATTGAAAGGAGCTCAACAGGGCCACTCATTGTTGAAACGCAAGTCTGAGGCATTGACGAAGAGATTCAGAGACATAACTCAAAGGATTGACGATGCAAAAAGAAAGATGGGTAGAGTCATGCAAACTGCTGCATTCTCATTGGCAGAGGTTCAGTATGCTACAGGGGACAACATTTCTTACCAAGTTCAGGAAAGTGTTCAGAAGGCCAGATTTCAGGTCAGAGCAAAACAAGAGAACGTGTCTGGTGTTTACCTTCCCACTTTTGATAGTAGCGTGGACGAGGATATCAATGATTTTAAACTCACTGGTTTGGGCAGGGGAGGTCAGCAAGTGCAAAAGGCTAAGATGGTATATACTAAAGCCGTTGAAACATTAGTCGAGTTGGCGTCGCTCCAGACTGCTTTTATTATCTTGGATGAGGTGATCAAGGTGACCAATCGAAGAGTTAATGCCATTGAGCATGTCATTATTCCAAGAACCGAAAATACTATCAGTTATATCAACGCCGAATTGGATGAGATGGATAGGGAAGAGTTTTATAGATTGAAGAAAGTTCAAGAGAAAAAGCAGGAGGCCTCCGCTGCAGCAGAGTTGGAAGAGGCAAAGACGAAGGCTAATGGCACCGGCCAAGACGAATTGCCAAACCATACGAATCAAATCGAAGCATCAGAGGCGGCCAGAGAGCTTGAAGCCTCCGACATAATTGAAAATGCTGAGACAGACGACGTTTTGAAAGCGAATGAGGATGATGTCATATTCTAGCCAGACTTCGACATGAACACTGATGAATAGTAAGATCCCAGTGGTAGCGTACCGTCAACGTAACATCCTTCCTAATCGGATTTACGCAGTACTACATGCCGTGAAGGTAAAGCTATTCTCAAGCTCTAGCAGGCCCGATAAATACTAAGAAGATCACATACGCCAACGGCTAGAGGCCAAGGTGATTCTTCAAGTTGAAGATACGATAGAAGCCCTTTGAATTGAAATCACGATTCCTCCCTTTTTATCAAACTTCGTAAACACTTTGTTCTTCCTTTGATCAATTACAGAACAACAAACCTAGTATAATGTGCTGAATCATGAGATAGTGCCGTTGAACATGTTTGTTTTCCTGTGCCCCGGACTAATTCGGCTTTACTATCCTCAGTGCGAACAGCCAACGAATAGAAATGCGCGGTTTTTTCATTACCATCTTCCCCATATATCCTTACATACTGGCTTACACTGCCCGCGACGACTTTTTCTTTGACGAATACATCTTTTGGCTATGTTGAGAGCTATCAGAAATTTCTCCGCCTCCTCGGTGGCCAAGCAAGTGATAGGTAACGCGAAGGGAGAGACCGCCAATGCCACGAAATATTTGGGACAAAAGTACCATGTCATCGATCATGAATACGATTGTGTTGTCGTAGGCGCTGGTGGCGCTGGTCTTAGAGCAGCCTTCGGATTAGCTGAAGCAGGTTTCAAAACAGCTTGTGTCAGTAAGTTGTTCCCAACAAGATCCCACACTGTTGCTGCTCAGGGTGGTATCAATGCTGCCCTTGGAAACATGCACAAGGATGATTGGCACTGGCACATGTACGACACTGTGAAAGGCTCTGACTGGTTGGGTGATCAGGATGCGATTCACTATATGACGAAGGAAGCTCCACAGTCTATTTACGAATTGGAGAACTATGGTGTTCCTTTCAGCAGAAACGACGAGGGCAGAATCTACCAAAGAGCATTCGGAGGTCAGTCCAAGGAGTATGGTAAAGGTGGCCAAGCTTACAGAACGTGTGCTGTGGCGGACAGAACTGGACACGCCTTATTGCATTCTTTGTATGGTCAGTCTTTGAGACACGACACACACTTCTTCATCGAGTTCATGGCTATGGACTTGTTGATGCAAGATGGCGAGTGTGTTGGTGTCGTCGCTTATAACCAGGAAGATGGTACTTTGCATAGGTTCAGGGCTCACAAAACCGTTCTTGCTACTGGTGGATACGGAAGAGCCTACTTCTCTTGTACCTCCGCTCACACCTGTACAGGCGATGGGTATGCAATGGTCTCTAGAGCAGGATTGCCTTTAGAGGATCTTGAGTTCGTTCAGTTCCATCCCTCAGGAATTTACGGCTCTGGTTGTTTAATTACTGAAGGTGCCAGAGGTGAGGGAGGTTATCTTCTCAACTCCGAGGGTGAACGTTTCATGGAACGTTATGCACCTTCTGCGAAAGACTTGGCATCCAGAGATGTTGTTTCCAGAGCCATCACCATGGAAATCAACGAGGGTAGAGGTGTGGGACCGGAAAAGGACCACATGTACTTGCAGTTGTCTCACATTCCTGCCTCGGTATTGAAGGAAAGATTGCCCGGTATTTCTGAAACAGCCCATATTTTTGCTGGTGTTGACGTCACCAAGGAACCCATTCCAATTCTACCAACAGTGCATTATAATATGGGTGGTGTGCCTACTAAGTGGACTGGTGAGGTTGTGAAAAAGGGTCCCGATGGGCAAGATGAAGTTGTTCCAGGTTTATTGGCCTGTGGTGAGGTTGCTTGTGCTTCTGTCCATGGTGCTAACAGATTGGGTGCTAACTCCCTTTTGGACTTAGTTGTCTTTGGAAGAGCTGTGTCTCATACTATTAGAGACTCTTTGACTCCAGGAACCCCACTTAAGCCTGTTTCGAAAGATCTTGGGTTGGATTCGATTGCAAACCTCGACAAGTTGAGAAACGCCGATGGCTCTAAACCCACTGCAGACATCAGGGGCGACATGCAAAGAACCATGCAAAAAGGATGTGCTGTTTTCAGAATGCAAGAGACTTTGGACAAGTGTGTGGAGGAGATCAACAGAGTTGACAAAGACTTTGCCAACGTTAGGACCACAGATAGATCGATGATCTGGAACTCTGACTTGGTTGAAACTTTGGAATTGCAAAATCTATTGACTTGCGCCACTCAAACTGCGGCTTCCGCGGCAGCAAGAAAGGAATCTAGAGGTGCTCACGCCAGAGATGACTTCCCTGATAGGGATGACGTTAACTGGATGAAGCACACTCTCTCGTATCAGACTGAGTTTGGCTCTCCAGTGAAGTTGGATTACAGAGATGTCATCAAAACAACCTTGGATGAAAACGACTGCAAGCCTGTCCCTCCTGCTAAGCGTGTCTACTAAGCATAACGGAATTACGACTTTTGACAGCGAAGGTCGAAAATAATTTATTATCGGACTTGTCCACGAATATAAAGTAAAGACCAACACTGGATTCCCTGATTGTATAATTATCGTGACATGAAAAGGTTCTCACCTCACCAATTCTTCTTCTTTACCCTCCACATTCGCACACTGTCTTCCCTTACTTGATAGTTTGAGAAAAATCTTCTGTTTATAATTCAAATCAAGTCGACTTCTGAATTCTCTCTTGTTTTTGTGACCAAGCTCGGCACTAACGTTGTGTTTGAAAAGCCCGGCGGAATCTTTGTATTGCTGACTGAAGTGGATGGACCGCGAGTACGATCTCGAAGTAAGTTGATGTTGTCTAGGTTCCGGTTGGTAGCTCCGAAAGAATTTCCCTTTATACCTTGATTTTGCCCATTGAGAGTCATAGCGGCATCACTGTTGTTTGTCCTTGACAAAGGTCTTCTATTTCCGAGATCTAAGGGTTTAGCTGGTGCTCCGGTATTGTTGGAGGTGGCTTGAGGCTGAGACTCGATTGATTTACTCTCTTCGTTCATTGATTTGGAGAAATCTCGAATCGGTTTCATAGTTGTGTATTTTGGCACTTCGCCAGTTTCAGACTGCCCCTTAATCAGCGCTGAGTTGATCAAAGAATCAAAGCTGACGGGGCCCTCTGCTTCTGCTGCAAACTTGGGTTTACTAGGCAATTCGTCTAATCTTTTTTGTGCTAGGGTATTTTCCATGGATTTGATTGTTTTCATGAAATCTTGAAACTCATTTCGAGTACAATTTTCACAAGCAAATGCTAGACGAAGACATTGAGAAAGCAGCCTTTCAACGGATATATCCAACTGCCTGATGATGTCACTTTCAATTTGCAGAACAAAATAACTGATTACTGAACGAATGATCCTATTGTCACGACTCTTTAGATTTTCGAACACTGGGAGAATGACGTCCACAATTGTTTCTTGATCTATCAACTTTCGGGTCACTAGCAACTTGAATGTTTCAATCGTGCACAATTTTGTGGACAACACTGTGGTTGTCTTGAAAACCAGACATATGAGTGGAAGCAAGTCGTTCTTGATATATGAAAAATCAAAAACTTCTATCACCGTATCCAAACTGCCTAAATATGAGTCTTGAAGTCTTATTTGATCTGCTTGAGAGTCTCCTTCAACGGGCATGTATGTAAGGCTGAACGTTAAAAGAGCTTTCCAAACAGCCGCTAAATCTTTCGAATTCAATTTTTGTCTCAATATATCCAAGTTATCCACGAAGACTAATCGAGTTTTGACCGAAGAGGCCGCCATGAGCCCTAAAGGGCTCTTAGTAGACTTTTTTGATTTAATAACGGTGAGGAGCGGTTTGAAAATTCGGTCTTGAAAAGAAAGCTTCGACAAACTCTGTCCGATCATCAAGACCAAAGTGAATGCTTTTGATACAAATGAGTTCACTTCTTCACATAACGGCTTTGTGGAGGTGGAAGCTAGTTCTGTATTGATACAATCAACAAGTAGTGGAAGAAGTTTGTTGTGTTTAAATGATGAAGGCAAGTCAGCCAACATACCTGAACTCCCTAAGATGCCATCAAGAAAAATAATTTTTTCTTCGAGTGTTTTGGTACCGAATTCATCAATAAACCACATAGTTTTTATGAGACTTCCTTCAAAGTAATCGCCATCGATAAACTGGTTGATCGTGAGTCGATCATTAGGATATCTTGCAAGCATCTGTGTTAAAATTTGCCACAAGCCCTCAGGGATATTTTTGAATATATACCGCAACTCGCTCAATCGATGATTGTAAAACTTTTGCTCAAACTTTCTGAAAACCTGTTTATACTCATTCACACTGCTCGCATCAAAACAGCTAATTGGGCATTCGCCGTCATTATGGAGATAGAAGATGAGCTGAGCCAACGACCAAATATCGTTAGCTGGACTTAATCGTAAACCTGTTGAATCTATGATTAATTCAGGAGCCACGAAGCTGAAATTGAGGTTGGCAAAAGGAACAACAGAAGAAATGTTCATGATTGAAAAGTTCTCTCGTTCATCTGGAGTAGCCGTGTCTAAAGACTGTAAAAAGTAAAAGGCTGACAATTTCCAATCACCCAGACTATTGATCATTATGGAGGTTGGTTGAATGTTCATATGTATCATGCCACAAACGTTGTGCAAAAATTGTAAACCTTTGGAGAGCTCCAAGATGCCCTTTTGTATTTCGAGAGTACTGCCTTCATCTAGCTTGACCGTTTGTAGGTTTCCCACGACGGGCTCCGACACATATATAAATTTCAGTTTGGTTTCTTCAAGACTCTCAATGACAGTGAGTATTTGAGGATGCTTGTGCTTAGCGAGATTAGAGACTCCAGCTTTCACCAAGCCGAAACATTCTGCAGTAATGAGTTTGGGGTTCTTAGTATTGGGAGATTGGGCGCAAATTCTGTTGACGAGGCTTTCAAATTGTGTCTTATCGAAAATAAATACAGAAACAATTCTCCCCGTTTGCTTGTGTTTGGCTGGGTAAACAGCCCAACATTCTGTATGAAATGTGGCAGTGTCTGAGACATTATAGGCGGCCCTTATACCGCTCTTGAACACATTTCTAAACATGGTGCAATTACTGATCTGATGAGCTGTATGGTTAATGCAGATATCCGCGCACTAAAACTTGAGGATAATCGTTGAACAAGTAATTCATTGTTAAAATAGATTGAAAACATGGATACCATCGTTCGTAAATCGGCTTAAAAAGATTTCAAATTCAGCGTAGTGAATTTCTGCACGAGAGGTGAATCCAACTGCCGGGAGTGTCAGAAAAAGTTTCCCCCTCTTCTACAGTCAGTTTCTCTAGCCCAATAAACCAGGTATTTACAGAGAGGTTGCCGCCCAGAAAATAAGCTGAGCAGATCATTGGGGTCTGTCATTTTTGACATGGTGGTAGTGACAAATCGAACATCCCGGCCTCGTCTTAGCTATTGCGATTCGCGCGCAATATCATCGTTCATGACTGAGAAGTGGTAACAAACATGGAGTTACTCGACGAAAACTATACGAATTCCGCTGAAAGGTTGGACAAGCCCTCGCAATATTTAATTCGTAAAGCCGTAAGGCGTCAGAATTTTGAAAGCTTGCACAAGTCTATACACTCCAAAACAGTTTATGTGGGTAACCTCACACACTTCACGACAGAAGAGCAGATTCATGAGCTTTTCTCCAAATGTGGCACAATTGACAGAATCATCATGGGATTAGACCGCAATAAGTTAACGCCTTGTGGATTTTGCTTCGTGATTTACAAACAAGAGGATGGCTCCTTGAATGCGATGAAATTTCTCAAGGGGACGCATTTGGACGGCCAAACATTGGAGATAGATTTGGATCCTGGGTTTAGAGAAGGCAGGCAATTTGGACGTGGTATCTACGGAGGCCAGGCTAGCCAAGAGGCACAACAAATGGATTCGGGCTATTCAAGAGGCTTCCGAGGTGGATTTAGAGGACGCGGCAGAGGGCGAGGACGCGGTGGACCGAGAGGCTCATTCAGAGGACGAGGAAGATCACAAATCGGTGCACGAGACTCTTTTGTTCCTGGAGGTTAAATCAATGATCATATTATCACTCCAAACCGAGACCTTCTCGTTGAGACACTGAGTTGTTGTCAAAGTATGGAACTTCAGCCAATGTCGACACCCTCGTACCATGTCTTTCATCCTCATCAACATCATAGTCACCAACTGCATAGTGTTGTGAGACTCGATTGTCCCAAATAGCTGAAGTTCCGAAACCATCTTGTGTGGGTTGCCAAGACCAACGAACTTGGATATCCAAGTTATTTTCGAAAACCGAAAAGAGGTAACCCAAGATGGTGTCAGATTCATCAGGTAATAGACCAACTATTCGCCTGGTCATACTTCGATTAACAAAAAGAGATTTCCAACCGGTGACTGGATGAGTCCTGATGATTGGGTGCTCCCTTTCAACAAACTTTGGTCCACTCAATGGATCATTGCGATCAATGTAGGCATGACCTGAACAATAAACAGCGTTTTTCCCATCAAGAAATTGTTTCATGGCAAAGGACAATTTATCGTAAGCAGCATACCCTGATGACCAAACAGTATCGCCTCCAGTAGAGGGAATCAGATCAAGATGCAAGTGAGTGAGTCCAGCAGGTTGCCTCTCATGGACAAGGTCTGTGTGCCAAGGGTAATTATTGAAGCGAAAGCCTTTGCGTATCCCATAAAAATCCTTAAGAAACTTCAACCAAATAATTGAAACACCACTTCCTTGAGCATAAGGTTCATTTCGTGATGAAGGAAGTGGTACGAAAGGAGCCTGTGGGTGTTTTTCAACACGACCGTAATGCTCTCCTAAACTTAGCTGTTGCTGTGGACTCAAATCTTGACCTCGGAAAAATACAACGACACGCTCTGCAACTAGAAGGGCTAGATCGTCCTTCTGCTCAGTGGTGAGGTCCTTCAATTGCAAGCCTATGATTTCAGTGCCTATATGCTTCGTAAGATCTCTTACTTCCAAAGCAGCATCAAATAAGGCCTTCTTGTCAGGTCTTGCAAAGGTCCCACGATCTGTAAACGGCTCTATCTTGTCGCGGACACTGAAGGCTTCATCCAAGAATTTCGGAATGTCGTCCTGTGCTGGAAATGCTGGATATCCACCTTCTGTATCAATGCCCGCCTTTTGGAATCTATTCTTTGTGGATTTGGGTAGAAGATTTGTCCAGTACTTGTTGGATCGAGCATCATGCAAGCCATCGTTCGATTTACCGAATGAAGGGGGCTTCTTGGCTGCTAGAGCTTCGACTAGCCTCATAAGCTCGTTCTGATCGTCCCTTATCGACATCGTTAGATGAAAAGGAGTAATATGTTGATTCAAGATGAGCGCCACACTTATTCATAAATTGCGTTTAAATAGCACGCCCAGCGCCTATCAGGGGCGCAAATGAGGTGCTCCTCACTCGATCTACACAAAATGATTGTATTGTTTGATGTGTTTGCTTTACCTGTTATCGTTTAACTGTCTTAACGGGATCTTGAGTCTTTCTCTTCAAAAGCCCTCAAATCCTTGAACACATCTATCGTAGTCATCGACCTTGAAGGCTATGGCATCACAGTAGTTATTTTCGTAACACTTGCTCGAGACCTTCGACCCGTTTTTACACTCTGTAATGTATGGGTTTTCACGGAACATCAAGTTGGTATACTTCTGATTGAAATCAATATCCAGAACATTTCTCAAGTGCAGAAGTACAAACTTGTCCCAAAATGTCGCATTCAATGGAGCGTCATCCGGCCACTGGCGGCTGGGATCATAAGCTTCTCTAGCGTTATATTCGTATTGCCATGCTGGCTCTGCACCTCCATTAGCCCAGGTAGCGTTCAACTGCGAATAATAATTAAAAGAGTTGAGGATATTGAACAGCTCATCTTGTACCTCGTAGAATCTCCACGATGGATTTGCCGGGCCCAAAGGTGTAATTGCCTGTGAAATCCATGCCATATTGATAGGATTTTGATCTTTATAGAGAACTTTGAACTGGTCTCTGTGGGTGTGTCCATAGAAAATGCTAGCGATAGTGAATGGTGAGAAGCGCTCAACAATGGAAGCGAAGATCTCGGATTGAATGGGTAATGCATCAGGATCTCCAGCTGGAATATGAGCAAGAATCCACACCCGTTGACCAATCTTCTCGCTTTCGATCAACTCATTGATAAGAAAGTCCCACTGACCAAAGAGGTCAGGCTCAGTTTCCATATTGATAAAAGCGTATAAGTTCTTTTTGTAATAGCAGTTCGAGTTCAATGATATAATTTTGAGGCCTCTGTTGGTGGTGGTTGCAAATGCTGAATAATGCTGACGAGCAAAGGAAGCGATGGTTTTGTTGACCCATCCGTTCGAATACCAGAGCTCACTTACCAACTCATCATTCCAATTTACAGATTCATCTTCACTGATGCTGTGCGGAGCCAATTGACCGTAGGGGAAAGTGTCGTGATTTCCTAAGGTTGGATACACCGCAACATCGTGCAAAAAGTGCTTCATGATACGATACGAGCGAGTTTCTGCCAATCTCGTAGTGTTTGCGTCACAGTGAGCAACATCATGATCAACAATGTCTCCAGTGAAAAGAGAGAACTCGTAGTTATTGTCACCGAAAGTGGATGAGATGTGCTTCAAACTATGATTTAACATGACTTCAGGGGGGTCACACTGGTAGTTTCCAAAAGTAAATGCGGGCTCCCAGGCCCAGCTCCATCCTCTGTAGCTCGGAACATCATAGTATGGCCCTTCAAGGTAAGTATCATTGACATCGAATTTTGCATCTGGATAGAAGGATAGTTTTGCATTTTGAAGATTGGCGCCCGCATCAACCAATACATTGGTAAAATTGTAACCCCCTGATACCTTGTCCTCATTGAAAGACTCCAGTAAGCAACAAAGGCCTTGCGAGCAATTCGCTTCTGAACCAACTTCAAATCTCAATTGGTTGTGAAAGTCAGAAAGATGAAGAACATTGAACTTATCTAAGTTCGAGTTATAGTTTGGCTCTCTCTGATGCTCAGGCTTTTTAGGCGGCCACAACGCTTCCAAATTGATAATACTTGTTAAATCTGGAGTTTCTGGGGCTTCACAGTACTTGCCTTTGTAATGACAGTAGTAGTTGAGTGAAAGATTGGACGACACATTGAAGTGTCTCACCATCTCAGTGAAATCATTGTAGAAAAAATTGATTGAAGAAGCGCCCTGTAAATGAGACGATTCAAAAGAAGACTCTCTCAACGAATTCTTTTGGGAGGTGAACAAAAAGAAGTCAGTGGACTCACATTTGGAATCCTTCCCTTTATTTTCCTCCAAGCAGTATTTGTATAGGGTAAGCGAGATCAAATGGTCTTGCTCTGGAAAGTCCTTTAATAGGTTTTGAGCATACTTGATCTTATTGTGGCAGGCCTCGCATCTATTGCCTTCGAAGTCAACCAATTTCTTTAAATGAGAGTCGACAAATATTTTGTCTCTCAAATCCAATTCCTCGTAGATCCCATCGATGGAAGAGTCTCTCTTATGTTTTTCAAAGTGACTACTACCAGGCTTGAAAGTCCCCACGTAGGCAGCAATCAGAACAGTCGCGAGAAGGGCATGTATAATTAAGTGTCTAAAATACATGAGTGATTAAGCTGTCTAAACTCTTTCAGGCTGACTATTTTTCGTCCATTCATTTCAACAGAGGCCAGTGCTGCTTATATATCTCACCATGATGTACTGAAGATAATCTTATAGCCGTAGACATGTATAGGTATTGACACACGTGGAGCCGCGGCTACAACGTGTACCTTGATTAATGAAGATCGATTTGCGCTGCAACTTTCAAGCAGAGGATAGTATACTTATTTAGGCATGTCTTGAATATAAGCCATATTTCATAGCGTATGAACGTGGTGACAGAGCCGCTCCAGAGCGATAAAAGGGCCCATTTCTCATATGCAATTCGGTGAACATGGAGGTCTATCGAATAAGAAGTGAATTTTTCAATTCCTCTATCATTTCCCTTTTCATCTCTTAGATCTTCAATGGATCCGTGTTTGAAGGTGTTTCTATTCAAGCGTTTATTGACCAATTGGTTCCTAAACAGTTAATGGTCACATGGACCTGCGTTCCCTGAGTCACGGAACTTCCCATGCCCTTACAAACTCTTGTTCATAAATCTTCTTCTGGTGAAAGCTAACCAAAATTTGCTGGGACTGCTTTCATCATTAGCATAGACTCTTTTTAACAAACGATCCGCCAATTCCTGACGGAATTGCTGCAAGTACCCGCGGAGCAAGTCAGCGTCATTCTTGTTCGCTGGCGCTTGATAAAGGGCATTCAAAGGGAATCCAATGTCGCCCGGTAAAGCGAACGAGTCAAGTGCTAAGTTGTTTAAAACTCTCACAGCCTCTCGTTGACTCGTTTTGGAGTTTAACTTCGACAAGCAATCGCTCACAAACAAAATTCCATAGATGAGCAATCTATCAGCTGGGCCTTTAATGTCGAAGTTTTTGAAGAATGAATTGGCTCTGAACAAATCGAGTGTTTCCTCAATTATATCGTACTCCGAACTGGGCGGGTAAGAAGGTCCACGATACAGCGTATGAATTGGCAACAAGACAACATTCCCGACTTGTCTTTCAGAGCTCTCCTCACCGAGGAAGGTGGAGTGATAGGCGGGCATTGTTGGTGATTGTGGGAGAAAGAAGGTTTAACTAGCTATGTGTCTTGATTAGAAAAGCGTTCGCTGGATGCAGGCCTTCCCCGGCTCGGGACAATTTTTAAACTTCAACTATTCGAATACCAGCTGAATAAAAATCATAGAATTATTCATTTAAATGGAATGTAAGAGTTGAATGACCAAGATTTGAAAATACAACATTTTTATAACGATAATGGACCGATTAATTTGATAATGCTGCATACACCATGATGAAACTACGGCAGGCTAGTCAGCTACAAACATCTCCGCAACCTTCATGATTAACAATGCTAAACGTAACAACTCAGCTCACGTATTAAAGTTGCAGTTCTTGAATCGCATCTGTTATTCAAATGATGTGGCCTATATGAAATGCATTTTCGCAATTCCCAAGAAGCACCTTCAAGACAAACGTTATACGAATATGCTCAAAACTCCTACCAAAAATGTAATACCAGATTTAATTATGTAAAGCGTATGAAGCACTCTTGCCGTACTGGGGACTTGCATACAAACGCACAATTGTTTTAGAAGACATTTTTTCTCCTTCAGCAACCGAATAGCTAGCTTCGACTGCCCAGAGACGCACTCGTTGTGCGGAAGCCTCCCTCCTGCCTTGATTTAGAAATCTTCCCGCGCTCACACAGGTGCACTCTAAATTCGGATATGTAGCGACCACAAAGGGTCCTCGATACTTGAAAGCTTCGATTCACAATTTATTTTTGAAGGACGTAAGAAATGGTTTCCGTACGATATTTGAGAAGCTTTAAACTGTCCAGTTCGGTAGGATTACGTTGATGCCACCTTTAACGACTCGACAAATATGTACCTGCACTTTCGTATTATTTTTTTTTTTTCTCTATCAGCGAATTGCCTACGATTCCCGTTCTCCTTGTAATCAAGACCGTTTTAACCCCCATCGATCCTTTGATAAATCAAGTCTAGGATCATCATGTCTTACGGCAAGGGGTCAGCGAGACCTGACGCTATGAGTCTCCCAGAACACCTAATACCACATGGTATGCTTGGTCAAATTGGAAGAAGCCAACGACCCCCGCAAGAATTGAATAACTCACAGTCTTACCACGAGACAGATTCTGCTCCTAGTCATACCGAGTTTGTCTCATCGGCTGCGGATGCAGCTTTTGACAATTCTAATAAGTTATCTCACTCCTCACTGCTGCTACTGTACGACAGGCAACAACAACAACTACCACAAGGCATGGTGAATCAATATCCCGACACAAAATCCGCTGGTTATAACTCTAGGTGGGCAGGGCCATCCACTGGCAAAGCGCCCTACCCCACGTCCAACAACTTTTCAAACCCAGATAGCCTCAATGATGCTCAGCACTCCCAACAAATTCCTTATAATGGGAGGTACCAGCCACAGTATACTGCTCACCAGGTAAACCGTCCACAATATCAAGGCCAGAGGCTGATGACAAGCACGCTGAGTAACCCTTACCCGGCACCATACGCGAACTCGAGCGCTGGTCAGCTTCCGAGGCAGGGCCTGCGAGGCACACTTCAATCACAAAACGGAAGCTCACTCTCACTTGATACTACGGGCTCCATTCAGAATCCACCATATGGAGCTGGTCCTCCTTTTGGAACTGTGCCTGAGTATGGCTACGCGGAACATCCCACCTCAATGAACTCCGGTGTTACCGGACAGCATGATATGCCCCATCTCAACCTGGTATGTTCGGCTTCCCATCTGCTCAATCGTTCAACTCAAATCCTCGAAAGGTACCTTCATCGATGGAGCCAATGCCCGAGGGTAGGCGGATTGTTTCCTCACCTACTGTCTCAACCCATCCTGGCGTTGTCGCTCCCCTGGGAAGCCAGGCTTATTCACAGCAAAGAAACGAAGCTCGGACAAAGTCTCTTTCATCATCATCCACGAAACACAACAGCGCTCCAACGAATTATCCTCCCACTCAGCAGAATTTTCAGAACCAGTCCAGTCGCACTTCAAATCAGACTAGTTCCAATTCGTCGCACACCTTCTCCTTATCTTCCAAATCGAGATCATTTAGCTCACTCGGAAAATTGTCCTCTTTGTCGACGAAGAAGTTCTCTTCTTCGGCATCACTTCAAAACAAACAGGAACGAAATGTTTCTTCATCAACTATTGCATCACAAAAAACAATGGCCATGTTTCAGCCTAGAAAACCATCGATTTACCCTGCGGTTTTATCTCGCGTCGCCAAGGCCTTCAAAGACTCAGTAATTCTCACAATCAACATGAAGGATGGATTGGAATACCATGACTCTTTTACTGGCGACACAGCAGTTGATGTGATTTGCAGCATTATCCGCACCAATGACAGAAATCTTGCATTGCTCTTAGGACGCTCATTAGATGCACAGAAGTTCTTTCACGACGTTACATACAATCACAGACTAAGAGACCTGAGTCACGAGGTTTACACATTCAGCCGGAATTACAATGATGTTGAATTTTTCGCAGAAGATGGGAATGGCCATGGCAGCAACAATAATTCGAATCGTGGTTCGTTTAATGAGCATCAGATGTCCGTTCTGCCGCAGCCTCCATCATCTGCCCCATATCCTACCTCATCAGCACCTCCAAGTATACCTCCAAGCCCCGTCGATGGTGGCATTGCTGTCTTTGGACAGAATCACAAGCCACGAGAGCTCCAGGAATCTTCAGGTGTCAACGGTGTGTTCACAATTTTGAGTAACTGTTATTCGCCAACTTGTACACGCGATAGTCTTTGTTACTCTATTGCTTGTCCCCGCAGATTAGAGCAACAAGCAAGACTAAACATGAAACCAAGAGGTGGACTTAAAAGAGCAGTTTCTAGACTTTCTTTGCATGACAATGAGACCAACAAAACACTTTGGCACGAAACTGTCGATCAACTGGTTCTTGATGATCTCGATAAACATGAGAAGATGCGCCAAGAACTAATCTACGAGCTTATCTATACTGAGAGAGATTATGTCAAGGATCTTGAGTTTATGACAGACTTTTACATACTTCCATTGCGCAATCCGGCGAATAATATCATTCCAGAGCGTGAACGGGAGGCTTTCATACGAACTGTCTTCGGTGGAGTGAGTGAATTGCTACGCCTTGGAAAGAGTCTTAGTGAAGCACTCACGAACAGGCAACAGCAACAGAAACCTGTCGTGGAGAGTGTTGGTGACGTGTTTTTGCAGTTTGTGGGCTCCTTTGATCCATTCATTAAATACTCTGGTAACAAGGTCTTCGCCAGTTTCGAACATGAAAGGCAGCAACAAGTGAACGTCAAATATGCGAGATTTTTGGATGCGATTGAGAAGAAACCAGAGTCAAGGAAACAAGACTTATCATCATTTTTGATTAAGGGTGTTCAACGTCCTGCAAGGTACCAACTTCTTTTAGGCGGTATCCTTAAGAATACGAATGAATCATCTCCGGACTACAAGAATCTTGTGAAAGCAAAGGAAGAAATTGAAAAGGTATTGAATAAGATCAACATCCAGACTGGTGAAAGTACTGATCGTCATAAGATAATGGTTTTGCATAGACTTCTTGGCCGGCAAACACTAGAGGACAGATTCAACTTCAAACTCAACTACAACAATAGGATTATTTATCAGGTTACACTCAGCAGAAAGCGTGATAATGAGAAGATTGATCTCTATTTGTTTGAACACGCATTATTGCTCGTGAAACACAAGATACAAAACAAGAGAGAAGTCCACAAGGTCTTTGAAAAGCCGATTTACTTGCCATTGCTTTTTGTGAACAGTGGGTATGATTCTCCAGGAATCAAGTCCATTCTACAGTTTAGAGAAAACGGTTCAATAGTATCTGACACGAGTTTGAGAAATCGTGCTGAAGCATCAAACTATAATCCCGTATCTTCCTCGCAGCAAAAGCTTCAGGTCAATTTCTTGGGACTTGGTAATAATCCTGTGCATGTCTCGTTGTACGCAGACGATGTTACCAATCAGAGCCAAATCTTACTGCAAGTTCAGCAGCAGCAAAGGAAACTACTTGATAAGCATGATATATTTTCCCTAAGCAAGTATGAGACTCGAAGGTTCACTGGTCACAATAGGATTAATTGTGCAGTGCCTTGCTACGGTGGAAAGAAGTTGTTATACGGTACCGATGCTGGCGTTTGGGTTTCTACTGTGCGTTCTATCAGCATGACGTCTAATGAGAAGATTTGTTCTGACCCAACAATGGTAATCAGCAAGCCTTACATTTCCCAAATGGAGGTTTTGGTTGAGTATTCAAAGTTATTGGTTCTTTCTGAGAAGACGTTGTATGAGTTCGACCTTTCATGCACGGACTCGCTTGACCATGTGAAGAATACGAGAAGTGGAAAGATTATACTCAACTATGTGTCTTTTTTCAAAACAGGCGTTTGTGATGGTCGATTGTTGGTTTGCGCAGTAAAGAGTGGAAGTGCAAAAGCTATCAGCATTGTTGAGCCCACCAATCCATTTGACCCCAAGATGAGAGGAAAGGGAAAGAAACCGGAGGTTCGAGAGATTGCTTTCATGTCCGAGCCTGTCTCGATTTCATTTTTGAAGACCAAGTTGTGTATTGGTTGCACGAAGGGTTTCGAAATTTTATCCCTCGAAGCTGGAAGGAAAGAGCCTATTCTTGATGAAGCAGACCCTTCATTGGATTTTGCCACGCAAAGAGAAAGTGTGGCCCCTCTAGGTATTCATAGGTTGGGGAAGAATTTCCTTTTGAGTTACAGTGAATTTTCCTTCTTGATCAACCGTAACGGTTGGAGAACAAAACATGACTGGGGAATATTTTGGGAGGGTTCACCGCAAAATATTGCATTATTCTATCCATACTTGTTGGCTTTCGACCCTGGTTTCATTGAGATACGTGACTTGGAAAGCACGACTCTTATCAGAGCATTGATTGGTGAAAACATTCGATTCTTGCATTCGAACGAGCACGAGGCTTTGTATGCGTGTGAAGAAAATGGCTACGATATCATCGTTTCGATTGACTTCTTAAATTTGAAGCCGAAGCAAAAAAGTTAAGAAATTGTCCGAAAGGTGGGATGTCTCAGACACGGTGAGCTTGCACTCAGAGCTGGTCGTGAAGATAATCTAGTCTTTGTAAATATGTCTACAAATCGTCCACATCGGCAGTAATACATCACATATCAAGACACTTGTTTACAGATACACCTATACCTTCTTCAATATGAGACACCTCAAAATATTGCTGTAGTGGTCCGGCCCATCAGATGTTGGTTGCCCGATGAATTTCGTATACAGTTCACAGGGCGACTTGCGAAGGATTCGGCAAATACATTAAGATGCATCATGCGAATATAGGAACTGATGAGTAGTGAGAAGTTCTCTTCTCAATTAAACGCTTCAAGTATAGTCTCTTTAAAAAAATCGAATTAATAGGAAAAACAGATGACCTGCTAGTAAAATTTGTTATTACCCTGGCATGTTCTCCTCGTAGAAATAGGCCTTCACACGTCTGAGCCTCGGCTCTGGTTCGCGATTTTTTTCCGTCACATTTCAAATTGAAAAACAATCTTAATCACCTACTTCGTGTCTCTCCATGTCCACTGTACTTGAGCATTTTCAGAAGGAGCCACTTATTCAAGTGAGCATTCCCTCTATTGAAAGGCCCTTCGGTTTACACTTGTGGCCTCTTTTCAACGCGGTTTTTGAGAGAGCAGTGGGCTACCCTGCTGAGGAGTTCAGATTTATCCACAATCAAACTTTCTTAGCCAACGGTTGGCATGCTATTGGCATAATCGCAGTCTACTATACTGTGATTTTTGGTGGCCGTGCCATCTGGAACGCTGTGGGTGCTCCAGCATTAAAGTTGAACTTGTTGTTCCAGGCTCATAACTTGGGATTGACAATTGCATCATTGATCTTGTTGTTGTTGATGATTGAGCAGCTTGTTCCAATCTTGTATAACCACGGTCTTTTCTATGCTGTGTGTGACTCTGGAGCATTTGCGCCAAAGTTGATCACGTTGTACTACTTGAACTACCTCACGAAGTACTGGGAGTTGATCGATACCGTCTTCTTGGTGTTGAAGAAGAAGAAGTTGCTTTTTTTGCATGTTTACCATCACGGAGCCACCGCTTTGTTGTGCTACACTCAGTTGAGAGGATCCACCGCTGTTGAGTGGGTGCCCATCGCTTTGAACTTGGCTGTCCATGTCGTAATGTACTGGTACTACTTCTTGAGTGCTCGCGGTATCAGAGTTTGGTGGAAGGAGTGGGTGACTCGTTTCCAAATCATCCAATTTGTTTTGGATTTGATTTTCGTCTACTTCGCAACCTACACTCACTATGCCTTCAAATATTTCCCTTGGTTGCCTCACATGGGTGATTGCTATGGATCTGAGATGGCAGCTGCTTACGGTTACTTCATTTTGACATCTTACTTACTTTTGTTCATCTCCTTCTATATCAAGGTTTACAGAAGCAGTGCTCAAAAGAAGGCCAAGAAGGAACAGGCTGTTGCCGCCGCTGGTGTGGACACCTCCGCTGGTGCTACTTCTGGTGCCTCTGTGGGCAAGAGCAAGTCAAAGGCTCGTTCGAGAAAGGCATAAAGGAGCGCAATCGCAGGATATCTCTACTCGGGCTACAAATGAGGAGCGTGTTCTCATCAAGGTAATGAGGAGTTTTTGCATATCGCTTTGAAAATTACGTTAGATAATCTAGATTTTGTTGTTTATAGTAAGATTATTGCTATTAAACAATTACGCGATTTCTTCTAAGACACGAGAAATGGTATGGTGACAGATGCTATCAGCTGTGGAGGCATGATGTAGTACCAAAGGTCTATATTTCCTGATAAAATTATCTTCTAGTAGTCTTCGAATCAACGAACGTGAGGGTGCTACTGCAGTGAACGGCACGGTTGTAATCTCTGCAGGGAAGCTGTTAGCCGCGCGGGTAAATTTGCAACCTGCTTGGGCGATCATTTTGCACGATCTATTCAACAATACTCAGATCTTTGAGGCCGGAATCACAACGAGGACCTGTACTCTGAGACCATGTTCACTATAATAAGTTAATAACGTCCTGCCAGAAAACTTTTTTTTTTGCAGGATTGGGAGACCATTCATTGGTCAGTGGGATCATGGACGCTTTCGCGCTGTCTCCACTGGCCGGCTGGTCCGGAGAACATGCAAGGCTGAACCGACAGTGAGAGAATAAACACCAGAATTCTGAGATGAAATACCAGAATTCTGAAGCGCTATGACAAGGTTCACAAGCCGAAGGTCCGAAGTTTACTTTCTATTTCGAATTTTACGGGCCAGTCTTTTCAAAATTCGGAGAAAATAAACGGAGAAGAGTGTCTTGGCTTTTTTCCAACAATCATTCTACGGGGAGACTAAGATTTCTTTTTCCTCTATATACCCAACATCGGTGGCCAACGGCTAGTGGGTTGACTGGTCTTCATCATGAGGTTTTGGCTCGACACGGCTGTAGCGCGCCAACCAATACTTTTCGCCGGTTGGGCCGGCGAAATAGGGGAAACTGTCTGGGCCAACTAATGGGATGACAGCAGAGCATGAACACAACATTTTTGCATACCCGTAACCCCTATTTAGAACACGCAAAGGTACATAAATCAAACCGCTTACCAATTATATGTACCTACCAACCAGCCAGCCTTCCAACGTTGAAAGGAGTACGTGAGGAGCACTCCCGCGAATTTACGTATTCGCGGAAACCGCAACTGCGAGAGCACCATTACGTCAAAAGGGAGAGTACACATAATCTGGCGATGCGAGCGGCTTTAGCAGCGGGAGCGGGTCGGATCTGCCCCTAAAGGAGCGCTGAGCAAATGTTGCCATAGCCCCGCCAAGGCCATGACCCCCATGCCCAATGAGGTAGTTCCAAGTCCTAAGAAAGTTACAACGTGAATCTCCAGGCGAGAAGGGAAAGTGTAAATTCGACTTGCCTTATAGTAAAAACAAATGTTGTGCAAAAGGAATACCGGCGAAGGGAAAAATGGCTTTGAGCGATATACGGCAGGCGGCGGGATTTGATGGGATGGGTGCTCGTATCAAGCCGAACTGGGGCAATGATGGGGCTGGGCAACGGCGCCGTGGAGCGAGCGCAAAGACCCAAGCCCGAGGATGCCGGCGCGATATGGGATGTGGCAGAATCCTAACAGCGCCAACAACCGGAGTACATATTTGAGAAAAGTAAACAACTCGTTACACTTTCAGCAAATGCTATGATCGTCATCTTTTTACTTTGGGAACAACCTTTAACCAGTGAGGGAGAATCAGTGCGGCCGCCTGTTCTCGGCAGTACCGGCAGGGATTCCTTCCGGCCTGGATCTTATGCAACGACCTGTCACCGGCTATGCGCGCCGAGGTTGCCGCGCCTGGCCAGGTAGGTTGTGCAAAACAAAAGCCCAAGAAGAAGGAAACACAGAAGGAAAGTTGGGGAATATTATTTGCGGAGGCTTCAGCTAATGGCAAGTGAAAGAAAATGAAGTAAAAAAAAATCATTAGTGGCTTCAAGAGTTTCCCGTTTTATCGCCCCCAGCTGACTCAGCGCCCACGCCCGCGCCCGCCAATTCTCCGGTGGCACAATGGCTCGGTCGATGCTGCAGTGCGTTGGGGCCGCAGCAGCTAAAAATCTATACTTACCTCAGCCGTCCCGTGGCCGCCGCGCTCTCTTCTCGGACCTGGCGGCTGCCGGCTGGTATATATCTGCAGCTTCTCCCCGATTTTGAATCAAGTTTGGCCTCCGCATTTTTTTATCATTTCCACACTTCACGCTTTTTTTTTTCAACATAACCCACACATCCATAATGAGTAACACTTGCAAACTCCCCTCCATACGGCTGCTTTCGCTCGACCTCCCACTACCGGGTCAGCACGAGCACCCTTACTCCAACCCAGCCGCCATGGCTGGCCAGCACCCCCATTACCAGGCATACCCTCAGTCATATGAGCCCCTCAACTACAACATGCCTGGGGTCCACGGTGCTTTCTCCGTTTCTCATGCTATGGGGCAGGGCCCCGCGCTTGGCAACCTTGGCGCCACGCCTCTGCTGACGAACCTGCTGTTTGTTGGCCCGGGCCATGAGCAACTACATGACCGCCTGGTATCTCCATATCACCACCCGGTACCTCAATCAGCCTCTGCTGCTTACTCATTCCAGACCCAGGCGCCTTCAAGGCTGCCTTCGTCGGTGGCGTCTGTGTCTGGCATGGCACACTCAGATGTCGAGAGCGAGCACAAACCCGTCACATATCCACCGGTGGCCACGGCTGCCCCAGTGGTAGCAAACGAGCCCGCCGCTGGTGTTTCGACTCCTACTACTGTTCCGGTTCAGGCTGAGACGCCGGCAGAGACCCCTCCAGCCCACCTGCTTTCACCCTCGGCAACTCCACAACCCGTCGGCTCCACGCTGCCCGAGTCACCTAGAGACTCTTCGTGGAAGCCTCGCAAGAAGAGACAATGCCCGAGTGCCATCTTTATTTCTCGAACTTGGCCACTCACAAGTCGACTCATCTCAAGCCAACCAACAGACCCCACTTGTGCAAGCTTTGTCATAGAGGCTTTGCCAGACCCAACGACTTGTTCCGTCATTTCAAGTGCCACTGGAAGGAAATCGGAGCAGACAAGGGCCAATTTCGCTGTCCCTTCAAATCTGGCGCTGCCGACTCAGAGGACCACTGTTGCCACACCCTGGGTATCTTTTCCCGTTGCGACACCTACAAGAACCACTTGAAGGCCATTCACTTCCAATATCCTTCGGGGACGAAGAAGTCGCAACGTAACAATGTTCCAGGCAGCTGTCGCTTGTGTCAGAAGCAATTCACCAATGTGGACGACTGGATCACCAACCACATTGACACCAACGAGTGTCCCTTTGCATCTCACTAGACACTAGAGGCACAACCGTCTGGTGCTACGAATGGACGGGAGCCTGTTATACCAGCATTAGCATGTATGATTTATGAACGTGGTGTAGGCCTGATGATACGGATAGACGAAGCGTGTTTACGAACATCATATCATTACGACTAGGATTAGAACATTATCAATATCGCTCATTATAAAAATTCACTACTTGCCCAAACTTGTAAATGTGGTCCACCACTGGCGCCCGACAAAGCCCTCATCGAACACTCTATAGTACGTCAAATAGAAAGAAACTCTCACAATCGGCTCAGCCCATAGCAGCCGATTTCATAGCTTCGCCTCTGCAAATATAGCGCAAGCATCCGCAGGACTGTGCTCGGAAATCTGATTTTATGGCCGATGGCTTGGACTCTACAAGCCCCTTTGTTCACGGAATCAAGACCACCTAAGGGGCCGACGCGGGGGTCTCGGTAAAATAAAGAGCGCATACACATGCATCAGCACGAGGAGTAAACCGCAAGGGAAACGCAATATTACATTCTCGGTGGCACCCTACCCCTAAGAAAACTTTAACGGCATGTTTCGATACGCGGCTACCGTCAGCGTGTCGGTGAGTCTTAAGTAAAAGGGTTTATGAAATGTTGATACACAACCATATAGCGCCTGTAGAAATTATTGTACAGTTAAATAATGGCACTCTGCATCGTTAGTGGTTTCCATCCGTGATATGATTGCGTACTGAAGTTAGACACTTGTCCAAATCACAGGTTGCAATTCTCGCTGTATTTTGCAAATTTGGTGCGGTATTCAAAATAGGGCAATTACTTGCGATTTGCACCTACTAAGCATTACAGTGTGAAGAGTGTGAATACCGCTGATTTCTCCAAAAACAACTTTTTATTGCTTGGCGAGCGGCTCCTTCAATTATCGTCAAAGAAGGAATAAGAATGATCAGTGCTTAGCTGCGGTGCCGATTTTTCCGCTTATCATCTATCTCTAGACAAGTGGGTGTAGAGAGAAGTGTGGTACACAGCAAGATCAACTACATCAAGCGAGCACCGGTTGCTGTGCAAAATGCCATTGAACAGCATATCTCAAAGCTCAGATCGAGACTTGATGATAATGGCTGCGGGGGCGGTACACATTATTGTACCGACAATGAAAGTTTTCACGTTCTAAGAACACACCGAGGAATATGTGTTTGCATATGCAGGCGAGACAGGTTTAAACGGTATCAACTCCTCCAATGCTTGCCCAACCTCCAATTGCTTCACTTCTTTTCATTAACTAATGGGTTTGCCAACCGCCGTCAAGGTCCTTGTGGCCGTTTTTCTTGCGTCCACCTATAAGACGTTACCGTTGGTTTACGTTATTCGCTTCTACTCTGCTGCCTTGAAGAGCATCATTTTCAAGAGATCGCAATACAGAAAGACTAGACAGAATACCTATGGAATTACTGGTAAAAATCCTATGGATGTATTTAGAGCTGTAACTTACAGCACTTACTGCTCACCATTGGAACTTGATATGTTCATGCACAAGTCGAACTCAACCTACTTTATCGATTTGGACATTGCCAGAACCAAATTCCTCTGTCAGATGTTCCAGAAGTTGTTCTTAGACTTTTATGACAATGCAACTGGTGACTTCAAGGGAAAGAGTATCAACAACTTCCCTTACATTCCTGTTGCTCAAGTGCAATGCACCTTCAAGAAGGAGATTAAGGTATTCCAGAAGTTCAACATTCTCTCGAACATTTTGGCTTGGGACGACAAATGGATTTACGTGTTGTCGAAGATGGTCCACACCGATGGCAAGCTTGCCGCTTTGTCCATTACGAAGTACGTTTTCAAAAAGCACGGTCGCGTGTCCATGAAACCCAGGGAATTTCTCACTCACTGTGGCTTGTACAACGAAGCTGTTGAGAAGATCAATTCTGAAAACTTCAAACTTGTCGAGCACATGAATAAAACAGCCGACGGCTTGGAGCAACTTGCCGAGAAGATGGAAGCTAATTCTTCTTTGAGAGACCATCACATATAATGATTCATTAGTACTCGAAAGCACCTAGTTACAAGCTTTTTAATAAATCTCGTATTACTGTCCTATCTGACTATCTTACGCCATTCCAAAACCTTCATGGCCCTCTGTTATCGCGAGTAACAACGACCCTCTTAATGTATCGTACGCCTCATAAGCCGGTAAGTCGATCTGATTGAAGCAGGTATGAGACGAAGGAAGTCTTTCAGTCGAGCCGTAGTCCCGATGAATACTGAACTTACAGGTACCGTTAGCACCTTGCAATTCTTTGAATCCATTGAGTGGGACCTTCGACGTTCCCGTCGCAAATTGTAATAATTTGGCTCTTTCTTCATTATCAAAAGATTTGACAGCTCTCCAGAACCATTGAATTTGCTCAGATGAAGGCGAATAGTTGTTGTATGTAGTGTTCGCCTGCCAATCGCCAACATCAATGTCGGGTAAGCCACTTATCAATAGCTCAAGCTCTTGTTCATCAAATATTGCCACCAAGTCCTTAGGAATGATCTCGTGGAATCCAATGCTGAAGTTACTCATCTGTTCTTCCACAGACTTCTGTAACCTGTATTCAACGACTAGACGAACATAATCATGCTTGTTCTCCTCGGTGACTGGAATGTTTCTACCATTAGGAACCAAGTCAATTACCTTGTGCTCGCCATAATCATCGGATTCAATGGAGAAATCTTCGGTAATGATGTCAGTGATGTCGTTGTCAAGCATCCACATCAACGATTTGAAGTATTCCAAATCAAGGGTCTCCATATCCTTGAGCGACATAGGACGATCCAAAATTTTCTTGTAGACTGCTCTGCTGAAATGGCAATCCAAGAAACTTCCATCAAAGATAGCTTTTCCGATGATTCTTCCGATAAATTTGAAGAAGGAAAGGTGCTCAGGGTTGACGAATGAGGTTCTGTTTGGATGGAAGGTAGTTTCATCGCTGGCAATGGCACTGAACAACGCATAATCAGGATTGAACATTTGTCTTGATAAAACTTGATACCACTCTCTTGTGACACCACCAGCATCTATACCAGACTCTCCCTTGAAATTGATTTCCAATTTAGCCTTTCTGAATTCTTCGACCGACTTGAAGAAGAGAGCCCTATAAGAGTCCAAGAAAACCTGATCTCTCCGGATACTAATGGAAAGCTTTTGTCCACCGGCTGCCTTCTCGTGAAGCTGCCTATCGAAGTAGTTTTTCTTGTTGTCAAATTCCAAAACTCTTGGGTTCCTGACAAGCATGCTAAAAGGTCCACTCATGAGATTAGGGTTTGTTCTCACCATCTGGTTGAGGATCTTCTTGTGCTCATCAGTAAATGAGAAAAAGAGGCTCTCTATGGGCTCTTTAGTGAAGTCCACTTTTTTCGCTTCGAACTTCATAACATCCTTGATTTGAAGATCCCTCACTTTACTGTGTTTGCACACCACCATAAGTGCTTCAATCAATGGAAGTAATGCTGTCGCTATGCTGAGTAAAGAAGGTACATTTTCAAGATCCCTCAAACATACACTAAGAGCACCCCATAGCTTACCTAGCTCAAGTTTTTCATAGAGACCCGTAAGTTGAATGGCCTTCTCCTTCTTTAACCCTTCCTTGGTATTTTCATTCTCCCGGTTCTCGTACATGTAGTCTAGAGCGGTAAGGATCCTTAAGAGTTTGGCTTGATCGGAACTTGGGGCAGTAAACTTACTGAGATGTTTGCTCTCAGTACTGTTGACCATGCCTTCTTCGAGCTCGGAAGACAACGATTTGAGATCACGAACAATGTCTTTACTCAACTTTGTGGCTCCAGCTGAAAGTTCGGTGGAGAACACCTCTTGCGCATCCTTCATCACGGAAAGATTTTGCATTGCACTAATCGTTCTTCTGAAAGTCGTATTAGCACACTCATTGGAACTGAGAATACGCACAATTAGACGTAAATTCGATGCGGGTATCGACGTCGTCGATATTGGAGGATGCTGTTTCCCGGATTCTCTCAAGAGCAAAAGAGGTCTCGTTCCGACATGAAGAACGCTTGCCAACAAGTCAATGAACATGTGTTGTTCGCTGAGCAAAGGATTTTCAAGGAGCTTCAACAAAAAGTTGATAGGGTACCTATCTTCAGTTGACAAATTCTGCAATTTCTTCTTTTGAACACGACGAGTAACAAAAACATTTTCATGCTCTGTTAATAGGTAGTAACGCAAGTGAATGTTCTTGTCCAACAAGAAGAAAACAGCTTCAATCAATTGTATACCGATAACAACAGGAGTGGCTCCCACAGGAACAGATTTTTTCACACCTTCATCTTGCGCTCTTTTGCTGCTTGCTCTATTGCAGATCAGAACAAATAATTTCTCTAAGGCCTTCTGACTATGCAAGGCATCATTGAGAATTGCAATTAAGAGACTCATCGCTTCTGCCCTCGTCTGTTTGTTATTGCAGAGCTGCGATAGGGTCGAGTAAATATGAGTTCTTTGCTGGAATGGCTGTGGTACGAACAACAAACGCACAACACTTGCAACGCCCAGCTTGTCAATTAGTGGCGTTGAAAAAGTTTTTCTCTTCTCGGCTGAAGATTTATCACCATCAGTGGCAGGTCTTCTCCCAGGCGGATAGATTGAGGTGCCATTGCTCATCGCAAGTGGCCCATCTCTCTCTCCTTCTTGTTCCTCATCATCCTCGAGGTCACTAGCGGGATCATCATCATCATCAGCTTCCAAAAATCCAAGGCGCCCACTAGAGAATCTTCGAGCCATGGCTTCTTGCTGTAAAATCTCCTCCCTGATTTGATCTGGCAAAGCTTCCAAGAAATCAGGATCGATTTCACGAACTTCGGCGCCCGTTGTATTTGCATTTGCCCTGCGCTCACGGATATGTTGGGTGAATACCTCTTCTCTCATGTCATCTGGTAGCGCTTCGAAGAACTCTGGGTCGATGTCAGTTCCACTTATGTCGACCTCTCGGTCACCTATGCGAAGCATGACCGGATCACGTTCATCCGGAGGATTTTGCAGTCTTTCACTCTCACGTTGTTTCATCTCCTCTTCGCGTTTGAGTCTCGACTCCTCACGGCGTCTTTTTATCTTCTCTTCACGTTCACGTTTGATCTTTTCACGTTCTTCATTGAGTTTCTCAAAAATTTCGAGGCTTTCATCGTGAATATTTTTAGTGATTTCAGACTTCACCTGTTCCATGAGTTGCAAAACACCATTAGAGTAGAACATCTCATGCGCATTCCGCCATCGCTCAATGGTAGACCGGATGTAAACATGATTGAGGGACCCTTTTTGCGCATTATTTGGCTTGTCATTGAGAATGACCTCAAAAGCACGATCGAAACCTCCTATTTCATTGCCACGGTGATCACCAATGTGAAACGAGTTTCGCAACCGGCCATTGACTAATCCTTCAAAAATGTTAGAGACATTTTGCTGGCGGAGAGCTGGTCTGAGAACATCAAAGATTGATGTCATAAATTCACGAGTAGCGCTGTTCGATTCCCGGCCTCCGATCTCTTCGATGTCTGATTCAAGAATACTCTCCTCCTCTGATCCGTCATTGTCGTCAATTTCCGAATGCAAGTCAATAGCGGAATCGTCGTCCTCGTTATCTATGGGGAAAACTGTTCCAAAGCGAGGGTTTCCTTCAGCTTCTTCGTCACTTGCCTCTCCATGGCCAAAGGTGTCGAGCCATCCATCTAGTTCAGCTTCGTCGTACTCCTCCTCCTCCTCGTCCAAATCTCCCTCTGTAGCATCAATAAATTCACTTGGATCTGTCTCATTCTCATCGAAACCGTAGAATTCGGACCCATCTGATTCCTCGTTCGCAGAGTCTTCCGAATGCGACCCAATGTCGAGTTCATCAATGATCTCAATATCGCCATCACTATCTCCACTCGCGTATCCTTCGAATTCGCCGTGATCCATTTCTTCATCGTCAAGATCATCTTCATCCATGTCATCATCCCCAGAATCACCAGAACTTGTATCTTCGTCGTCATCTTGAGAGAGATCGGACCCTGACATCACCACTTCTAACGGATCACCCTCTTCGTAAAAGTCTTCTTCAGAGTCGGATTCAGCATCGTACATTCCCAAAGTAGAGTTTCTGAAGAGATCAGGCGTTTCATCGCGGTCACCCAAGTCTTCTGGAACCATATCCTCTTCATCCTTTTCTGAATGATTGCTCTCGAAATATCCACCATAAGTGAGTTTGATCTTCGCCAAATGCGAAAGTGGTTTCATTCCAATCTTAATTAGGCGATTCACATTTGGAAAGTTGAGATCGATGTCAGCGATAGCGCCTGCTATTTGGTTTGGTAGCTGTCTCTCGATGAATGCGGAGGCAATGAAAAATTGATCTAGCTTGGTAGCAGACTTGTTCAAAAGGGGAAAGCACATTTCACGGAACTTCGTGGAAAGCAAGCAGGAGCACAAGTCGAAAACATCGTACAATTTTTCATATGCTGAAGCGGGCGTGTAGCGAGGTGCAAAGCTATCCTTGATGACCTTCGAGATGATATCCATGACAAAGCGGCGCACAATAGCAAGATCAACATCCTCAGACTTTGTGTCAGGCGACTGATCATCTTTCAAAGTAGGGGTAGATACAAGTGTAAGAAGACAAAGCTTTGATAACGAGGAAATCGCCTCCCTCCTCTGTGACTCGTCAGTACTGGCTGTCTGCATAGCACAGCTAGGATTGAGTTGATGAATGAAGAAGTTAAGAGACGTCGACCGGGGTCTATTCCTGTCTTCTAAACCCTCCTTCTTTGAGAAAGTGATAAATTCAAGCTTCGCATGCTTATAGGACCCGAGAAGTTCAGTAATCATTTGTATCAAAAAGCACAAGTAAGCAAATCTGGAGTTTCTCATGAGTGTATCTATCTGGAGCTCTTTCTTTTGGCGAGAACTTCCTGACTTATCATCAGGTTTAGGAGGACTAGTTACCCAGTCCTCCTTTGCACATGACATGAGCTCAGTTAAAAGGAAGTGCATGAGGCCATCTGAGCCGATTTCTGGTACGCTCTCTGAATCCTTCATCTCAACGTCATCATCACTCTTGGGAGGATCACAGTAATCAACAAGGAAAAGACTTTCCGTGTGATTGGTGCGTCCATTAAGATTTTCCAATCTGACAAGCCTCGAGGCGACATCAATGTACAATGAAGGATTTCTTGTCACCATCTCAACATTCTCGTCCAATAAACGCTTAAAGTCTTTCTTACCGTTGGGCTGTCTTTTGAATGACTTAACGATTTCTGAAGAAAACACATTCTCTAATATCGCGGCATCTTCGAAGCAGACTCTCACGAGCAAGATTAAGAGCTTTTGTAGCTCTTTCATATTCTCTGATGTCATGTCTGAATGCTGTCTTATATCTTTGAAGATATTTTTAAAGACTCCGGATTTGCTAATCAAAGGCTTATACTTCTCATCAGTAGCGTAAAGGTACAACAATCTGCAAAGAGCCAGAGAGCACTCAATGTTACCGTTTGTATCCAGTGAAAGTATTGTCTGCAAAAGCTTGTCCTTCAACTTGGCATCGACTTCATCAAAAAAATGGAACACCTTGGGCAATGTGTTGGGCGGCGTTTTGCTCAAAACTGGCTGTAAGAACAACAAGCCCGAGCTGAAATAGTCCTTTTCGGTAATATCATTATTTTGTTGACAATCCTCAACAAAAATGTTGACAAATTTCGTGAAAGCATCTTTGAGATCTGGATGGGACGAGCCATCTTCAAGGAAAACACTAGTTGAATACATCCGACGAAGAAGGTCAACTAGAAGTGATCTGGAATGATATGATGGATCAGTTCCTTCGCGACGAAGGCTTTCAATATGATCGACTATAGGGTTAGCGAGATTGAGGTGGTTCTCTTGGATCAAAAGTGCTACTTCTCGACCAATATCATCGATGTAGGAAGCGAACTTGACTAAGGGCAAACCAAAGAAGAACTTGCCTTCGTCTTCCCGTTGTTCGTCAAGCAATTTAACACTAGCCAACTGCAAATGGTCTGGTTGAAGAAGGTCCTCGTAGTCAATATCATTGAGCTTGTCCGTATCTTCCTCGGTGAGCTCTGCATCCTCTTCTTCAGGAGCTCCAGGGAAAGGATCGATGAGTTTTACAGCCCTGAGATGCTTCAAGGCCCTCTCCTGTGAGAGTTGAGCCTCATTCATAACATGATTGACGATGTTGAAAGGCGGACTTCCGTAGTCTTCATGAAGGGGGTAGTAATCATCAACAGGCTTTACCTTCCAAACAATGATGAACAAATCGATAAGTTGAAGCGAGATAGGTAACGGGAACGCTTGATATGCGACGTAATCGCCATGGCGCGTGAGTGGAGATTCCGAGCCAATTGTTTGTTTCACCATACGTAATCCGAGAAAAGCTGCCTGAGTGACGATACCAGCCAGTATCGCACCCTCTTCAGAACAATAACCTCTATTGTAGAACAAGTGATGATACGGCAATTTAGGGACGTATTTGGGTTCGCTTATTTTGGTCAAGATAGATAAAACCTCATTGACAAAATTGTTTTCGATCGAGACCAACGAGCTGTCGATGTAATCGACATCCTTCACACGAAGCCTGTCATCAGTGGGTCTTCCCAAAATAACATTGAATGTCTTGATTGCCAGTGCCGTGATTTTCTCTAGTAGGTTCGTGTGGAAAAAAAAGTACAGCACTAAAGCAGTTGAAAAAACCTCTCTCCCCTTGTCTTTGCCGTGGGCAATAAAAGAAATGAGATTAGTAGCAATCAAATTATAGTTGGTGCTTTGGTTCTCATCTAATTGTTCACCCCTTTCGAAAAGATGTTCCAATTGACTCGCTAAGTTTTTGGTCTCAATTATTGCGCTTCTCCGCCAATCAATCGAAAAGAAATCTTGTCTCTTTTGCATGCAACTCCTGGAAACATTAGACAAAATCAATGAAATGTTATGTTGGAAGCGATAAGCTAAAAAGCGCAATTGCAATGAATTTTTGATCCTATGATCCGTCCAGGTAGCTGAGGTAAGATCTTGCTCAGGCTTCCTCCCAAACACCTGGAGAGGAGGAATATCTTCAAGAGGTTCAAGCACCGGAGCAGTGTACTCCAACGCATCGGCTGAAAGAGGTTGACGAATCACGATTTCCTCTATGATGCTTCTTCCCATCAATCTGGTCAAGTCCTGAATGACTGGATAGGACATTGACTGAAGGGTATTGATGAGTGTCTGATACTTCTCGTTGACCATGTTACTTGGAAGAAGATAACTTTCGCTCAAGATAAAAAGGATGTTGTTAATCGCATTGAGCTCTTTCAATAGCATGTTCGCCCTTGGCTCATCGCCACGAAAGGCTGCAAGGAATGGTTCGGTACTTCCAGAATTTATGAAATCTTGAACATCTGTGGACTTCAAACGGTCTGGAAGCATCTCAAGGAGCTTGGGAAGTCCGTAATCTTGCTTTTCATCCTCCAAGAACTTCAAAAGATTCATTAAACTTGTCATACCGTTAGAAGTGATATAATCAATGGGAGCGAGGTCAAGAGTTATGTAGCTCGCCCATGATGAGAACGGGATATTATCAGTAATGTCCTTCAGCCATTGCCCGCTGTCCTGAAGAAGCCCTCCTAAAAATCCAAACAAGTTGTCTATCAATGGAGAGCCCTCAGCGCTTTCCCAACATTCCATCTCGACCCCGTCAGTCTTTTGAACTTCTTTCGAACTCGAATCTCCCTCGTGGTAAAATGCGTCCTGCGAATCTGAAGTATAAAATCGAATAGGTTCCAAATATTGGTTGGCATAACTGGACATCTTATTAATCAAGTCTTTTATCTCTTCAAAGATATCTGGTTTTAGATCTGGGAAATGCCTTCCAAGCTCATCCATTGACACTCCGATACTCGTCGAAACATCACCACGCACTAGCTCCTTAGCAATTTTGAGATCGTAGAATGATTGGAAATAGACTTTGAGAACTCCGCTTTCTTTGACTCGTCTCAACCCTTCCTTATTCAAAGAGATTGCACCGAGAACCTCAAGTAAAGCTATCTGTAATTCATTGGAGGGCATAAAAAGCCTATCGTAATTGCTTAAAATTGATTCAACGACACCTGCCTCGTTGAGTATCGAAAAAGCGGTTGGCTCATTGTGAATGATGTATAAAACGGCATCTAAAGTGGCACCTAACACAGGTGGCCCAAAAAGATGTGGGTTCTCAATGACTTTTGTGAATGATGATAAAATAGGGGAGTCGAAAAGGTTCCTCATTCGGTCACTCCCATCAGCTTGAACAAGCTGGGAAGAAAGTCTCAAAAGGTTTCTGAGGAAATTCACTTGTCTGAGACTAATAGTGTAATAAACAACTGCATCCTTCGGTGCGCCACCAGCGAAGTCAGGATGTTCGAGTGCAAAATCCACCTCGTACGTGATGGTTTCGATCAACAAACGGAAACCGTCAAGATTTATGAAATCCGAGATGTACTCAGTAGATGAACGCAAGAGTAGAGCAATCGTGTTGACTGCTGAAGAACACGACCAGCGATATTTCGTGTGAATGTTAAGAAAGCTCATGAGTTCACTTAAGATCCCACCAGAAGCGAGCCTCGAAACTAGGGATTTGTTGTCAATGAAGTGACCAATGAGTGCGAATACTAGCAAATTGGCCTTCTCATTGCAGGCATCCGATTGTTCTTTGATCTGCTTATTCATATGTCTCAATTGCTGGTAAAGCAATCCATGGCTCACATTTCCTCCCAAATTTCTGATGAGCTCACTTCCCCATTGTCTTCTGTGCGCTATTGCTTCTAAAGCTTTAAGAGATGCCACAAACACTTCGCTGGACACAGTAGATGAATTCTCTGGAGCCATGAAGTCAACCAAGAAGCTGAGTAAGTAAGGCTCCGCCTCGAACAAGTTTGAAGAAGTAAACTCTGCACTAGACATGAGAGCCGTGAATGCAACCGAAGCGCACTTCATTCGAATCAACTTTTCTCGAAGTAACATGCAATCATGAGACCTAGAATTGAAGGCCTTAGCGTTTAGTGCAGCTAGTGACACTTTGAACCATGATGTTTCCGGCAACGTCTCAACAGCTTTGTCGTAAATCTGCTCCAATGTCAATTTTCGAACGGAGCTTTCGCACAAATTGAAGGAAAGGAGGCCCTCTTTCTCGGTCTGAGTGTGCTTTTTGGCACTCTTCTTTTTGTCCTTGCCATCACTCCGAGGGTTTTGCGAGTTAGACAGTGGCGATGCATAATATTGAAAACTCAAAGTCGCCCATTTGCTTGGGTAGACCTTTTTGTGATCAAGAGTGTCATATAAGCTGTAGTGCTCACTGCGAGGCTTGTTGTCATCGGATTGATCCGTTTGATCCACCTGTTTCTGGATGAAGCCGGTAGGCACTGGAGGTGGAAATGCTTTGGCCATATCAAGAACATGCTGTCTTACCTCCTTCGGAGCACAATACTTTTTGATGTAGGTTGAGCCAACGTAGCGCTCTCCAAGCCGAACAGCAACATCAAGTGCTGCTAGCTTGACGTCTATCGTCGGTGTCAAGATCAATTGATAGATTCTTTCGGAACTTCCATATATATTTCTGTTGAGACAATGTTCCAAGAGTGTGTTGGTGAAGTTCAAACAAGCAGTAAGGAGACTAGTGTCGTCTGGAGAAATCACGACTAGTCTTGGGTTTGGAGCGTCCAATCCATAGCTGGCAATTTTCTTCTCGAATATGTCATCAATGTGATTGAGAAGTTTCACCCATGTAATCAAATCTCCTCTTGGCCGCTCCCACTTGAGATTGGCATTAAGAAGTCTGGTCAACCCGGCTTCATCTGAAGAGCAAGCCTCATCAATGAAAGCCGTTAATGGCCCCTCAGATTCCTGTTTATTCACATGCAATCGCTTTGAGATGATCATTCTCGTTCTGGCAATGTATCGGGTAGCAAATAAATCGGAAAGATAATTATGTAACAAACGATTCTTCACTCGTAATGCAGTTCTTAAGGAGAGGTAGAAGGTAGAGGTTTCCTGCTTGTATGCTCGCGAGGTTAGACAAAAAGTGTATGCACATCCATCAGCTAGTGAGGAAGTCAAACCAACCATGTCAAGCGTTAAAGGTAAGCAGTCCATGCTTCCGCCTATAAATCTCATATTCAAGTACCTTCAGCAGCAGGCTCTAGTAACAATTTGGCTATACGAGCAAACACAGCTGAGAATCCAGGGCAAAATACGTGGGTTTGATGAGTTCATGAATGTCGTTGTGGAGGATGCTGTGGAAATATCTACTACCGATGGCAGCAAAGAAGAGCTAGGTATGATATTGCTCAAGGGAGACAATATAACGTTGGTATCTTCTCTCGATGTTTAAGCTCGATTGGCCGGCTTCAGGATTCCCAAGAGAAACACCCTCGGCCACGAGAACATAAACAGTCAAGTCAAGGGGATTTTTTCCCATCGCTTCGTTTTTTAAACGGTTTGACACAAGCATCAAAAACTTTGTTACGAATGTATTACTATGGAGGTCTCAGTACCTGTCACCTCATGCTATAGAACGAATATAATGTCTAGCAGGACTCATGCTGCTAAATTTGCTTCAATTCATTATTGCTCCTTTTTCTTCTCTTCCCTTGAACTATTGGCTACTCTTTTCGGGCTCGGAAAGTCGTTTTGGCTGGTCGGTGGGGTAACCTCTCTCTTGGAAAAGTCGAAGCTCACCCTTTTTTTCTTCCGTGGAGACTCTCCTTCGTCACTGATGCCATCTGAACTTCGGCTGCAGGTGTCTCGGTCAGAAGTATCGCCATGTCGTAGAGCATACCTTTTCATCCTTTCCTCCTTGGTCACTTTTCTTTTGTATTCCTGGATTTGCTCCTGCCGTAGCAATGAAATAGTGTCTTTCTGTGTGGAGGTTTTCTTTTTTACTGCCACGTCTGCTTGGCCTGATTCAACCTTTGCGACGTTCCCAGGGTCGTCATCTTCAGGCTGACCCATGGTTGTAGATAAGATCGCGATTTTCAGTTACTAGCGATACCCACCTCGGGTGTGAAGCAGTAAGCCACAATAGACCCACAAAATAAGTATCACATACACGAAAGTTTTTATTAAAATTTCTGACAGGATGAGTTCAGGTTTTGAATCACAGGCTTCGTTTTCCGGCTGTTATCGCGTGCTACGATAACTTTTTTTGCAATCGAGAGGCTGTCATACGTGTATTTACAACGAGCAATAGTGTTATCATGAAAAAATTCAAACGAAATAAAAAGGAATTTTTTTGCAAGTGACGCTCCGGGTGAAAAATATGACTCTACTGGCCTCACAAGACTAGTCTTCCAAGCTGCCATGGTATATTCCTGCATGGTCCCCCACACGTAAACAAGACGCCTCTCGATATTTGATCCTCTCACATTGCTTTCTTCCTATGAACCCAAACAACCAGAACAGGCCTCCTCAATATGGTCGACCTGGTGGTGGACCTCATGAAGAGCAACAGAGAAATCCACAACAAGCGCGTTCTTTTACACAATATCAAAGCAACTCATCCAAACCCTTTAACGCGATCCCCTATAGTGATGAAGAGGCAGACACCATCCAAGGTCGACTCAATAAGGTTTTGGGCCCAGAATACGTAAGCTTCCGACCTGGTACAGGCGGTCAAAATGTTTCATACATAGAGGGGTGGAAGGCGTTGAACCTAGCTAATGACATATTTGGTTTCAACGGGTGGTCCTCTGAACTAATAAGTGTGTCTGTCGACTTCTTAGACGTGCATAACAACGGGAGAGTATCTTTGGGTCTCTCAGTCGTTGCAAGAATCACTCTCAAGGATGGAACTTTCCACGAAGATTTCGGCTATGGTTTCATTGAAAACGCGAAGAACAAAGCGATGGCCTTCGAGAAATGTAAAAAAGAGGCATTCACAGATGGATTGAAGCGTTGTCTACGATGCTTTGGAAATGTTTTAGGTAATTGTCTCTATGACAAGACCATCATCGCAAAGATGCAGAAAGTGAAGGCTCCACCCCGTGAATTGGAACCTTCAGACTTCCACAGAGACCCCTTAGTTCTCAAGAGAGAAACTCATCTCCAGCAAAGACGTCAACAAAATGCAGCACAGCAGGCCCCAGCACCTCAACCAAGAAACATCCCCAATGGGCCTGCAAGAATACAAGATCATAACATGCTGAGAAGCGTGTCTGATCCTCCAAAACCACATGGCAAAGCCGGACCACTGGCTATCAAACCTAGCGATTTCAAGGATCTTGATGATCTGTTCCAGTTCAGCGATGAGTTGGGAGAAGAAGAATTGAACGACCGTTTAGACGATTACGAACTTCAACTTTTGAAGAATAAAGAGGAGGAAGCTAAACAAGAAAGTGATCAATCAATGAGGTCCGATGAAGCTGATGACGACAATGGTGCCACGCCCAGCCAAGTTTTCTTCACGAGCTCCAAAAAGGCTTTGGATGTTCAGAAGAGTCAGGATCCCAACAGCATACCAGTATACGACCATAAGTTCATTTCATCAGGGGTTCGTCGCACAATTGATCCTTCGAAGTCAGTGAAGGTCCGTCGTTCAGATACTGCGCCACAGACTCCTCCAGCAGGTACACAGTCAAATGTCCCTTCACCGCAGCTAGGCTATGGACCTGGAAAACGCCCCTTGGGCATGCCTCCTGGTCAGCGCCAGCCGTTGAAGAGGCTCCACAAAGATTCCGATGACGCTGAGAAAGAAAACAAGGCCGTCAAATAAGCCAGTTATGTATTCAACTTTTCAAATCTCGTTTACGATACCAAACGACTACTTGGTGATCTTTGATACAAGATCAGCCGATTTTGCGTCAACCTTAGATACAAGTGATCACTCTAAGTAGCGAACATATTTAGGTGGGAGATGTTCGGCTGACAAATGTTCATATCGTCAGAACAGCCTGCTTGTAAGCAGTCGCTATCAATCGCACTAAGTAGTCCTATTTTGTTTCGCATTGCAATATTGCTGTGCATGTGTAATGCCTCGTGGTAATTCATCCTTCAGACAGCTCTATGAAAATCCGGGACCATTCAGCGATATTCCTGAGGACTACTCACCGGCGCAAGCCGCTTCGGGTCTCAGTGAATCCATGATATTGGTTATCGGTGCTGGAGGATTGGGATGCGAAATACTCAAGAACCTAGCCCTCACGGGCTTCAAGAATATTCATGTGATAGACATGGATACGATAGATGTGTCCAACTTGAATCGCCAGTTTCTTTTTAGAGCCAAGGACGTCGGCAGGTACAAATCAGAGGTTGCAGCAGAGTTCGTGCGGGCACGGATTGGAGATCCTGATCTAAGCATTGAAGCACACACATGCAAGATCCAGGATAAACCCATTGAGTTCTACAAACAGTTTAATGTGGTCATCTGTGGTCTTGATAATATTGAAGCCAGGAGGTGGATAAATGCGCTTCTAGTGGGGCTCGTGGATGATCAGCTCAACAACTTGATTCCATTGGTTGATGGAGGAACGGAGGGTTTTAGAGGACAGGCCAGGGTGATCATGCCCAGGTTGAGCTCGTGCTTCGAATGTTCCTTAGACATGATCTCACCCAAAGAAACATACCCTGTTTGCACTATCGCGAACACTCCCAGACTTCCCGAACACTGCATTGAATGGGCTAGTCAACTAGAGTGGCCTCGCCGTTTTCCGGGCAAGAGGTTCGACGCCGATATCCCTGAAGACGTTGAGACTATGTTCCAAATTTCCCTCGAAAGGGCTCGAGAGTTCGGTATTGAGAATGTCACCAAACAACTCACATTGGGGGTTGTGAAGAACATCATCCCTGCAATTGCATCCACAAATGCCATCATTGCTGCTGCTTGCACTAATGAGGTGTTCAAAATCGCAGTTGGAACATACCCAATTCTTGACAACTACATGATGTACTCGGGCGACGATTCTATTTTTACTTACACGTATTCCCACTCAAAGCGGCCATCTTGCGCCGTATGCGGGACGCAAATGAAGCGCATCAAAGTGCCACGATGGTGGAAGTTATATCATCTAATTGAAGATTTGTCGGGAAGACAAGACGTCGCACTCAAGAACCCGTCATTGGCAACGGCTCAAACAAATCTATATTTCAGACAGCCGCCGTTCCTTGAGACGCAAACCAGGCCAAATTTGGAAAAGCCGGTTGCAGAGCTCGTTGCCATTAACGAAGAGATTATCGTGACGGATCCAAGCCTCCCGATATCTATTCTGGTGGTAATCGATGAATTCGAGGGACCACTGGATGAACCAAGTGACATCTCGTCTCTCCTCAAATCACAAGCTGTCTAGTCTTCACTTCGCATATCCCGCATCTCAGCAAGCACCTTTTGATTGAAATAGTGGGAGTTGTCCAAGTAAAGGTGATGTCCAGCATTTGGTATCAGTTCCACCGTACTTCTTGCTGGATCCCCAGTCACATTATTGATTATTTTAGAGCACAACTGGCCTCCTTTTTTATCCATCCAGTCGTCTTCACCATACCACCACAGGAGCTTACAGCGAAGTTTGTGAATCCCTCTCTCTATAAGAGGATGTCTAGCGTCAGCTCCAGGCGCTAACAAATAGTTAAGCATATACTCTCCAGAACCTGGACTTTGGAAAATACCGTAGGCATATTTGTGCAAAAGAGTCGCCTCTTTTTTCGGTAAGTCAGCGAAACGCCGAAACGACCACATACTCACCAACTTGGAGCCTATGGGACCTGTGTTCCTCACCAAGCAGAAAGGAGATATATTTTGCTCCCAAAGACGAGCGAAATAGGCTGGAACAGGTACCTGCTTTCTATGTTTGATGATAGCTCCTGGGGAAACCATCAACATCTTGTTGCAAAACGATGGGTTGACTTTGATCCCGTATGTGCCCATGAGATATGCCCCATAGAATGAGCAAGGACCAAATTGTTCTGAGGCTTCTCGTCAAGGCAGCGAAGCTTGAGCCATTCTTGAAAAGATTCATGAAACCACTTGTCTACCCCGTGTATACTTTCTTCTTCTATCTTGAAAGGTGGTCTCGAGGAGCAGCCATAGCCGAGCAAATCGATAGAATGAACCACCCAGTCATCTAACTGCGCAATTTCATTGAAGTTTTTAAGCCAGAAGCCCAATCCCCCTCCGTAGCCATGAATCATTATCAAGTGCTTGCTTTTTTTGTAAAGCTCTTCCTGTTCTGCGGCCAGCTTTCCATAAAATGAGCCAGGGTATATCGCAAATTCGTTGATGCGATAACCGGACAGAAGCTCTGTGCTGACGACCTTCCCTTGGCGGCCAGATTTGTCTGCTTCAGGGAAGAAAGGAAGTGTTGCTAGCACGTCATGCTGGAACTGGAGTGGATTATGTCTGAGAGCATAATCTTCAAACAGCTGCTTCAAGGGTAATGGAAACTGGCTTGCGAAAAGCTTGCTTAAAGGAACAGATGTTGGATGTGAGGGGCGATTAGCTTTCTTTTTCACCTGTGTTTTCGATTTTGCAACCGTTTTCTTTGGCAGTCTAATCTTCTGCAACACGTGCCATAAGTTGGAAGCCGAGGTTGTTTTTTGAATTTGGCTAGTGGAGAAAGAACGAGAGAAATGACGCAGTACCTGTGACAGCATGCCTATTCTGTGGAACCCATAAATCGCTTGATGATCGTGTACTGTTCGTATTGCACCACTTGCAAAACGCATTGGGTGTTTAGTTCGTTATATGCATTACTGGTGAAGAAACGGTGGGGTCGACCATGTAGTTGTTGAACTTGAGTGATGGGACATGAGAGACGAAAATATCGTTTTGTGAAGGTGGCGGAGATCGAGTGTAGCGAATAATCTGGGGCCACTTTTAAAAGCTTAGCTACGGCAAAATGGCCCTCAGTGCAGAAGTACCTAGCAAGAGGTCGGAAGCGTTTCGGACTTGTGCGAAAAGCCTCTCCAGGCCAGAGTCTCAAGCACTCAACAAGCAAAATGAGACCTCATGAGTGAGAGAAACAAAAAAATAGAACAGCAAGCATATCAAAGATGAACGGGGGAAAATAATATTGCAGAATTGGCGATCGTGCAAGAAAGATCGTAGCGCCGCAAAGGCTCGAAATTTAAGGCACCACGGCCTCACTTGCTTGGTGGTGACTTTTGACTGGTTGCATTATAAGAATAGCGATGGAGAGTGATGAAACAAAACGGCGGCTAAACAAGAATCCACGAGCGATAATTATTAGCGTCGCTAAATACCCTGTTGCCTTATTGCAACATTAATACGCATAAAACCGCTTCGTCCACTTCGTTCACTTCGTCAAAGTACAAGAATAAGCCGGAAGGTGCATACACATGCACCCGCCAATATAGCACCATCCATTCGCCTCAAGACCAAGGTCAGCAAGCGAAGCACCAACAACGTCATCGTAGTGGAATTATTCCACACGGGTTATCAGTTCACGAGGCTTTATTGGCGCGGAATAACGCTTTATCTGTGTTCCGTGAGTGGCTCTCCTGGAATGGCACAAAACGCAAATCTCCAGGTGAAGGACAAGACAGAAAAGGGACTTGGGTTAACGAGAGATGCATATGTGCGATCCTGAAACCCACCTGAGCAGGCATTTAAGCAGCTGACCAATGGCATCCCAGGAGGCCATTCATTGGCTCTTTATTGTCTGGGATTATCACAATAGGCATAAAAGACAAACGTGAGTGGCTGCTTTGTTGGCGCCGTAAATCTCAAGGAGCACATCTTGGATAATCTGCCATTGTAGTCGCAAATCAGCCTTGTCTCACTAAAAACCGCACAACCATAGACCGACCCGGCTGAACAGTCTTGACGAGCTTATCAGTTGTGGGCCAATCTCTGCAACGCTCATGGGCTAAAATCGTTCATTCGTCAGAACCACAAAAAGCCTCAATGCAATTCCACCCAGGCTCTGTGGGTCTGCGCAGGCGCTTCTGCTTAGTGGCTCCCGTTGGAAGCCGCCCTGTTGCAGGGTACAGGCCGGCAGCATGGAGGCTTTTACGAGCCAAACTGTGATTTTTTGCTGGTGCCGAGTTTCGCTCTCGCACTTTTTCTAGCCCTACCACTGGCCCAAGCTGTCCAATCAGTGGCGCCATTGGGCTGGTGCGTTCGCTTTAGGCCGGATAGGCCCATGTCCGCACAAAGCTGTCACATACCACATCGCATGCGCCAAACAGCCGCCCGACAGAAGAGCAGCACAAGGCTGGCATATGCAAATTATCGTACCATGCGAAGCCAGGCCCATTTTTTTAAGCGAGGCGCTCGCGAGGCGAGTAATTGGTCCTTCTGCTGGTAACCTTTTTTTTTTTTTATCCGACTCGGTTCCGTGGTTTTGAGTGTGGCTGCCGCATGCGGGTGGGTGCAATGTCCAGAGGCAGGTTTGACAGCGCTCCAATTCGCTGAAAGCCAAAATGAAATGCGGGCCAACAATATGCTGTCATCCTCGATATAACTGCCCCAGCGCTAAAAGTAGCTTGGGAACCTGTCAAAAAAAAGCTGGGCAACAACCTGTCAATGTCAACTGAAGTCCCACCCCCTTCCTGACGGAAAGCCAAGTTTTTTGATTTGCAGCTCTCACGATCTTCCCCTAACTTAAGCCCCCCGTCGTCATTGGCAACCACAAATCCTATCTGGAAAGCCTTGCCCGACATCGGCACACAATCAGATTAATCTGCTTTTCCCGCCGCACTCCTCTGTCAGTAGGTCGCCTCGCACAGGACAAGCGTAATGCCGATGCCTGTGTCTCCCTGTCCAGTTCCTGCCGGCAGAGCTGAATGTTTCCTATATATTTGCTCAAGAGGCATTTTTGTTTCCTCTTTCTTCTTTTTTTCTTCAGCCTGTTCGTTGGATCTGTGGAGGGACCCAATTCTTTGTTTTTGTTTCTATCATGCAGATGATCCAATTGTCTTATCTCTTTGTGCTTCTCGCTTCCTGGGCCGGCTTGGTCGCTGCTGAGACTCACACCTGGTACTTTGAGACTGGTTGGGTGAAAGCGAACCCCGACGGTGTCTATGAACGTGATGTTATTGGTTTCAATGGCTCCTGGCCTTTGCCAACTTTGAAAGTCAAGAAGGGCGACCGCGTGAACCTTTACTTAACCAATGGTTTTGACGACAGAAACACCTCTTTGCACTTCCACGGTATGTTCCAGAACGGTACTTCCCAGATGGATGGTCCAGAGATGGTTACCCAATGTCCTATTCCTCCTGGTGAGACTTTTTTGTACAACTTTACTGTGGCCGACCAGGTGGGTACCTACTGGTACCACTCCCACACTGCCGGTCAATACGGTGACGGTATGAGAGCTCCTTTCATCATTGAGGAGAAGAGCAAGGAAGACTACCCATTTGACTTTGACGAGGAACTCATTTTGCCTATCGGCGAGTGGTACCATGACATTGCTGACGTTTTGCAGCCAAAGTTCATGAACAGATACAACCCTACTGGTGCTGAGCCAATTCCCCAGAACCTTTTGTTCAACGAGACCAGAAACAACACTTGGAAGGTGGAGCCCAACACCACCTACTTTGTGCGTATCGTTAACATGGGTGGTTTTGTCTCCCAGTACTTGTACATGGAAGATCACGAGTTTGAGATTGTCGAGGTAGACGGTGTCTATGTCGAGAAGAACACTACTGATCTCCTTTATGTGACTATCGCTCAGCGTTATGGTGTTTTGATCAAGACCAAGGAGAATGCCGACAAGAACTTCGCTTTCATGAATGTCTTTGACACCTCGATGTTGGATCTTATTCCTGACGACTTGATCTTGAACAGTACAAACCTTATCCAGTATACGGACGATACTAGCATGCCAGACGAGTATTACATTGACGATTTCGAAGATTTCTTTGATGACTTCTACTTGGTGCCTAAGGACGGAGAGAAGCTTATGCCAGACTCCGACCAACAAGTGGTTATCGACGTGAAGATGGACAACTTGGGAGACGGTGTGAACTACGCCTTCTTCAACAACATTACCTATGTTGCTCCTAAGGTGCCAATTCTCGGTTCTGCTATGTCCGCTGGTGATCTTGCAACCAACTCCTACATCTATGGTAACACCAACGCCTTTGTGTTAAACAAGGATGAAACTATCGACATTGTGCTTAACAATCAGGATGATGGTACTCACCCCTTCCATTTGCATGGCCACGTTTTCCAGCTTATCGAGAGAGGTCCTGAGTTCGAAGACCCTACCTCCTTCGACTATGACAATCATACTGACTACCCTGAAGTCCCAATGAAGAGAGACACTATTTTTGTTAGAGGTAACTCCTACGCTGTCATGAGATTCAAGGCCGACAACCCAGGTGTCTGGTTCTTCCATTGCCATATCGAGTGGCACTTGGAGCAAGGTTTGGCTATTGTTCTCATTGAGGCTCCTGAGGAGATGCAAAAAGACCCTCGTCAGCAGTTCACTGAGAATCACAAGCAGATTTGTCTGAAGGTTGGTGTTAACCTTACTGGTAATGCTGCTGGTAACTCTGAGAACTACATGGACTTGACCGGTATGAATGTTCAGCAGAAGCCATTGCCTGCTGGTTTCACTGCCAGAGGTATTGTGGCCTTGGTGTTCTCCGCTATTGCTGGTGTTTTGGGTATGATTGCTATCACCATCTACGGTTTGGCTGATGTCAACGACATTGACGAGCGTGTTGCTCGTGACTTGGACGTCGATCTCGATGAAGCTGACGAGACCTCTGAGCTTGTCGGTCAGTCATCGTCCAACAACAACTCCAAATAATTAGGGACCATTGATGACAATTCTTCGTGTGAATAAGCTAATGGGTCTGAAAGAAAGTGTCAAAAACTCGGATGTTATATGTGTGTGTTAAGTGAGATAGTTTTTGAACATTTTTTTGAAGATTACGTTTTAATGACCGTTGCTGTTCCATGATTATTATTGTTGATGACAATCCCCCCACGATTTAAGAACGGCTCGACTAATTTTTATGACCCCCCTCCCTATTTTTTTAGAACCCATATTATAATACTTGTTACCTGTGAAATCATTTGTATTGTAATCTTCTCTAAGATTGTAACTAGACGTAACTAGACTTCTGTCGTCATGAATCATAAATGAAAAAAGAAAAATAAAAAAAATTAAAGTGGGTAATTATTCACCTGTCTCGATTTATACTTTGTCTCTTATATTGTTAATGGTTGCAAAACTGCGAACGGATTCCAACATAAAAGATGAATAATTACCCCATCGAAATCTTGTTAGTTCCCAAAAAGCCAGGACATAGATCATTACATCAAGAAAGAATTGGATAGCATAGAACCCCCCTAACTTGAGTTTGAGTAGCGCCAATGGCACCTTAATCTACTGACAGCTGAACCATCTTTGCACCCGTACACCATTATAGCACCGTATATTGAATCGAATCTGACACTCAGAAATACAAGACCATAGCATGTTCGAGGCAGTCTACATCGCTGATGGCAAAGATTCGCTTGTTTACGAGTATTTGGTGCTGCTGTTCTCACCCCATTACCTACTGCTTAGCACATTAATTGAATCAATTCGTCATGAGGATAGCACAGATCCACTCAAATCGAATGAGGCACCACTTCCGTTGATAAAGGTTAATGAAGAGTTCTATATCTGTTCCAGAAAAGTCGAAGGCTTAACATTGTATTTGCTCTTCCAAGCTTCAAGGAAGTGGAAAACTAACCCTCTTGCTCCATTTTTGTTCATCAACAGATTGGTCGAGGCTATGAACGAATATTTCGGAGCTCCCTTGACTGTGTCAAAGGTTGATGCCAATACCGACACACTTACATTATTACTAAGCGAGATGATCGACAATGGTGTTCCTAACACGACAGACTCTAACCAACTACGTGATTTAGTGCTGGTCAAGAGCCTCCTCAGCAAGATCTTGAACTCAGGATCTGAATTAGCATCAGCTGCTTCCAAAAAGACACTTCAATCTTTCTCCAATGCATCTCAACCGCTGACATCCTTGCCACTGCACTCGGATGAAGGCGCTGCTCCTTGGCGGAGAAACAATGTCAAGTACACTAATAATGAGATGTACGTTGACTTTATTGAGACGGTCAATGTCATCCTCAAACCGAAGAAGAGTAAGAAGAAAGTGGAGCTTCTATCTTCGCAAAACTTTGATTCCGCATTCTACTCTACTTCGACTGTTACCTCATCCTCGAACAGGTTATCACCAGTAACTGGCTCGATCAACGGCCAGCTCGACTTCTTGTGCCGTCTTTCGGGTGAACCAACTTTGCAAATTTCCTTCAATTCAGCGTCATCATATGTCGAAGCAACTCGATTCCATCCTTGCATAAACATTGACTCGTGGCAACGAAGCAAAGACACATTGACATTCATACCTCCTGATGGGCAATCAACTTTAATGTCATACCAGGTTGATCTTGACACACTTCTGGAAAGGACATCATTATCAATGCTTGGTTTACCTGAATTCGATTGCCAGCTGGGCCTTGGCATAAACGAAAATGAGTTCGAGGTTAGGGTGATAACCTCTAAACATCATGGCGTTAACAAAATCGACAGCATAAAGATCGATGTTTTCGCTTTTGAGCAAAATTTGTCTCTTTTGGCGGGTGAGGACTTGAGTGACGATGACGAAGCTGATTCCAACAATGTCGTTAGCGCCATCAAGTCCATTAAGGTCACACACGGTGACTTCAGATATAAGGGAGACGGTAAGGGTGAGTGGACAATCAAGGATCTTGCGCCTGGCATGCAACCAGTCTTCCGGGGTTGTATTTATACTGCCGAAGAAGATGCTATCACAGATTCTTCTCGAACACCATCCTTGCACGAAAATCTTATCGAGGTTGCGGACGATTCGAATAAGGCGTCTTTGAAGAAACCTGTTGCCCCTCTTTTCTACAATGTGTCCTTCACGTACAAAGGCGGTCTTGCCAGTGGCCTCAAGATTGATAATCTCAAGGTCATTAGCTCCAAAGGCTTGGGTGATTCTGTCAAACCCTACAAGGGCGTAAGGTACATCACCACCACTGGAGATTATGCCATCCGCATGTAAAGTCGAAGTCTATCAAACGTATTATTAAGGAGCAAATAACCCAATATTTATAGAATGGACATACGCTAGTCAGTTCTGCGGGCATTAGCTGTTAGTCCTAAAATGTTAATACCTTGGCCAGGAATAGTGTTTATTCGGATTTCTTACTCTTCTTGGCCTTCTCCTTTTCAGCGTTCTTCACCAACACGTGGCCAATGAAGGAGCCGACACCCAATACAGCAACTAGAAGCAAAAGGAAAGGCAATTTGATGGCGTAGTCGCGTGGCAAGAAGAAGTTCTGGATCACAGACTCCTCACCAACAAAGGGCAAAACGAACACCCAGGTGGTGTAGTATGAAAAGACAAAAGTTGCCACAGCAAGCATTGCTAAGCCGATAAGCTTGTCACAAGACTAAATGTTAGCATAAGCAAGTTATTACTTGTGTTTAAGCAACATACCATGATTGATGAATACAACTAAGGCTATTGAGAATTCCAGTTACGTGTTTCCCATAAGTCGCACCCGTACATCACACTGATACTAGCGCTGTGAGTGTGGAGAATCGGCAAGGGCATCCTTGTAGATATAAATTAGTCTTTCGTCAATAAAATCATGATTCAAACAAGATCTCTAATTCTGAGCGAGTCGGACTTTTGATTGGTAAGAGATTGAATACTGTAAGTTCTTCATCTTGTGATAGCCTTCAATTACAAACAAAGGAGGCAGAATGCTGGCAAACTCAATTATCTTTATACCTCTCAAGCTTTCTCAACCTTAATATTTTTATTTTGTTAATTTTCTTAACTCAAGTCAGGCTGTGCCTCGCTGATGCATGTTTGCAACCATCTTTCTCACTCGGCTCGGCATCATGCAGACTCCAAAAACTCCAAGACCTACACTGCTTCTTGCACCATGTTCAATAAATTGAAGCTGAGAAAGGCGCCCCTTTCTCTTTCGTCAGTTTCTAATGCTATAAAGAATGCTGGGTCAAGTGATTTGTCTCCTCAGGAGCTCAATCCCAAGCATCTTAAACTAGCTGTGGGAGACCAATTGGGACTTCCCCCGGACTCCATCGTAACCGCAGCTTATGATCCGGTTCAATCGCTTTTGGCTATTTGCACCAGAGAAAATACGATCCATGTGTATGGCCAGCAGACGGTCGAGGTTGTCTTTGAGTTCAAAACAACGAGTACGATTGACCACTTACGCTTCATCAAGGGAGTCTACTTGGTATGTGTCCAGTCACTGGGTGGAATAACAGTCTTGTCTTTACACAACAAGACTATTTTGGCAAACTACACTTGTCCTGGCACAGTGACGGCTGTGGCCTCCGATCCTTCCTTGGACTGGTTGGCTGTTGGTCTTAACAACGGATCAGTGGTCTTTTACGACGTTGACCGATTCAGTCTTTCACCTTTGAGAGTTGACAATTTGCAAAAGATGGTAATGCAGAAGCAGAAAATGTCTGCGGTGTTAGGTCTCGAGTGGCATCCCAGAGATATCGGCACACTTTTGGTGACATACGACCATTGTGTGGTTCAGTACTCGATCACCCTGGGTATCATCAAGAATTCCTTCGTATACCAGTTGACTCGTGAATGCAGAGGATTCGAGTATTCCAACTTCGTTGAGAGAGGTGGTAAGAAGAAGGTATTTGGCTCTGTAAAGGAGGTGATCCCGCTAGTGACCGAAGCTCACTACCATCCAAACGGTCTCCACATGGTCGCTGTTCATAATGACGGAACGTTGGCATTCTGGGACGTCAACTCTGCCACCTTGCTTGAAGCAAGAACTGTAATGGCTACCGGCCTTCATAAGCCTGGAGAGCCAGCCGGTAACTTGAACTTTGAAGAAGCCCCCCTTGCCATAAGAGCTAAGTGGATTGCAGGCTTGGATCCTGAGGTGACTCAACTTTTGGTCACCGGCGCCTCTAGATCAGATCCCGAGTGTGTGGATGTGCTTGACTTTGGATTGACCGCAAAGTACAGTTTGACATCTCACGAAAAGCAGGGCGAATTCTACTCCCGTCCGCAAGATGGCCAAAGAAAGATCACTGTCCCATTTAATCGCAGAAGAAAAGAAGATGGTCCTAACGAATACATTGAGAAGATTCTCCCGCTTGCCGAGGATGGCCTTTTGTACTTCAACGGTTGCCACAACCCTTCGAGCATTCTTTTCATATCTAGTTTAGGAGCTGTGTATTTGGTGAAGTACAACCCTGATGCCGGTGGACTCGGCACGACGAGAAATTTGCTTCTCCCACCGTCATTATCGTTTACCGTTCCTCCTACAACCTACTTCTCGACTGTGTCTGTTAAAAGGATGGAGTGGTTTGGCGTTCTTTCAAAGAGGAGGTCAACAGCTGCGGGCTCAAATGATCAGCCTTTGGTCAACGGAGGTGCACCCGTAAACAAGAACTTTCCTAGAACTGTCGGCTTTGATGATATTAACCACACTATCGTTATCACCGGTCATGAAAATGGTGATGTGAGATTCTTGGATGTGACCGCTGGCGAGTTTCACAACGAAGAGAAGTTGATTACATTGGGGTTCCGCAATACAGTCTACAACGGAAAGGAGTCCAGCTCATATAGAATTGCGAGTGTGTCATGCAGCTTCGAAAGCAGGGAATTGGTTGTTGGTCTCGCCAATGGTAACGTTTTAATCTGCAAGATGGGCAAGCTAGGACATAATCCTCTAGCACAACCACCGGCAAATTGTGGTTATGAGGAGTGTCCAGTCCAGCATCAGAATGGCGATGCCCGCATCGTTAATATGAGGAGCAGAATCCTGGGTTCATTTTCATCGTCAAGTTTCATTCCTGAGCATCTTTTGGTGCTTGGTGCAAAGGACAAAATTACAAGCCTCAAGATGTCCCAAGCTGGTTTTGCTGCGATCGGCTACAGGTCTGGTAGGCTTGTGGTTTGTGATGTGTCTAGAGGTCCCGCTGTGATTTTGAATCAAGAGGCTGTTTCTAGTTATGTGCCATCTGTTTCGGGAGAATGCTTTGTTACAACGATCGAGTTTGCAATTATGGAATATGGCCAAGAAGGATACTCTTCGTTGTTGATGCTTTGTGGTACAAGTGCTGGTGGTAATCTTCTTGTTTTCAAAATTGTCCCTCTTCCATCTGGAGGCTTTGAGGTGCAATTGGCAGACAAGACAATTGGCTTGAACTATAGAAGCACTGAGAATAATCAAGACAACGGTCTTGATAAAATTATTCCTGTCAACACCTCGAATGGTGCTCTGGCAGTTGCGACCCTTGATGTGTTCCAAAGATTGGCACAGGGTGTCTTGGTACAGGGTTTGATTGTCACGACTTCGGCGAGAGATATCAGAGTGCTTAAAACACCAAAGCAGAAGCTAGCTCACAAGGTCCTCGATGAAAGTTGTGTTGCAAGCGGTATCATAAATTTCCGAGGCGCCAAGGGTATTGCCCTTGCACTGCTCACCAAGAATGGCTTCTTAAAGCTTTTTTCCTTACCCGCTTTGAGTGATTTAGCAGATGTGAAGCTACCAAACGATACCTTCAAGCGTGTGCAGAGGGTTTTGGAGGGCCGGAGCAGTTCAGGGTCCGACATCCTCCCCTCGGGTGAAGTTATCCTCAAACTCAACCAGTCTGAGATGCTTGACTTCTTGCTTTACGACGAAAAGTCTTACAGAGAGCCTAAAGAGAAGGCATCAGATCTTTTGTTCAATGAGAACGCAATCATGCCTCCTCGCCCAGCAGCAGGTGCTTTGCTGTGGGCAAAGGGTCAAACTACATATGTCTCACCTAAGGATTTGGCCTCTTTGATCGCAGGTCCCAACAGAAAGCCCGCAAAGCACATTGAAAGTCAAATGGCGTACAACATCAGCCCTGAGGCTAACCCAAATCAATCATATGCCTATGGTGCTCCTTCCACCAAGAGCGGCAGACAGGAGAAGGCCTACGACGAGCCTGTCAGAAAATCAGCCAATGCAAACCCTTACTCGTTTGGTACTCAAGGCTTCATGAAATCTTTCAGAGATGGCATAGACTACGTTGAAAACGGTATCAACGACTTTGGTAGTGGGCTCTCGGAATCAATGACAGAAACTGCTGATAGCACCAAGAAGTCATTCTATTCGCTGGCGGTGAAGTCGAAGTTTGGATTTTGATTTGACACAAGAGACTTGATCCCACTTTATAATGAGAGGAATAGTAGCATAATTTTTAATTAATTTGGGTGTAGATCCACTAGTTTGCAACCATGTTGACGGGTGTGCATGCATCGCGTCCTTTGTTTACGTTTATGGGTTGATGCCAGAAAATCGATATACAGATTAGCCAACTTATGTCATACTACGATAAAGAAAACGTCGCCACGACGCCGTCAAAGAATCCGGATAAGTCTATAAATGACAGCTCACCAACGCCTTCCAAAAGAACACTCCGGCCTATCTCACCAAACAAACAGAATAATGGCGGTATAGGGAAATTGAGCTTCCTACAGAGCGACAACATTGACGATCATTTTGAATACATACATAACTCCAACGAAGAGATCAAGCAAAGTTTGTATGATCTTGAATCAAATACAAAGCAGACAAGTTTAGATCTTGGACAGTTGATCGATAGATCGAAGAACAACAACCAGAACTTGAATCGTGTACTTGAGAGCATAGCGAAGTATTCCGAGGAAGTCACAACCGAAGGCAATGCAACCAAGTTTGATGTTACGAGGATTTTAGAAAAGCTTGAAGCCTTAAGCAATCAAGATTCCAGTGAAGAGCTTCGACTGCTTCGCGAGAGCATTGAAACAAACGCGAAGGAGAACCAATGGACGGAGATCAGTACATTACTAAAATCAATCAAAGAAGATAACGAAAAGTCAAGTTCAAGAATCTGCGAAGACCTTGATAAGTTGTCAATCTCTCTTGAATTACAAGAACCCTCAGCTAATGGTACATCTCCCGAGCTCTCCAAAGAAATTGACGCATTGAAGCAGACGATTGAAAGCCAGTCAAATGTCGTGAAAGATCTCGAAAAGCGTCTTGCTCTACTGAAATCAACAGATGAACTCGAAAGACGCCATCTTGATCTCCAACATAAGTACGATATCCTTTGCGAAAGCTATAAAGAGAAATACAACCAATACTCGAGACTTGGCGAACATTTCAAAGCTCTCGAACAAAGAGCAAGACAATTCACGGATGACCTTCAATTCAATGACAGTCAGAAATATAGCAATCTTCAGCAGCTACATTCGGGAAGGCTCGATGCCTTAGCTGGCTCGGATGGGGGTAGCTTGAATTTGCCCAAAAAGCGTGTGGTTAGTATGCCCCTTAAAGAGGTGAAAGAAGAGAGCTATAATGAAACTGAGGAGTTTTGATGGCGGAGTCTATGTACAAATATATCCATCAATTTTTCGTAATGACGGTTTTACCATCCATGTAAGGTCTCAAGACTTCGGGAATAACAACCGCATCCAAATTTGGGTCGTAGAACTGCTCGATTATGGCCACAATAACTCGAGGAACTGCCATAGCTGTACCATTGAGCGTGTGTGGGTAAATCAAACCATCATAAGATTTTAGCCGAATTCCCAAACGTCTACTTTGATAATCTGTGCAGTTGGAGGAGCTAGTGAGTTCGCCCCATCCGCCTCTACCCGGCATCCATGCCTCGCAATCATACTTCTTCACAGCAGGGGCACCAAGGTCTGTTGTAGGCATATTCAACATTCTCGCCTTGATGCCTAATTCACTGATAATGGAGGTTTGAAACTCCCTCAAATCCTCAAGCTCAGATGCGCTTCTGTCAGGATTCGTGAAGTGGAAAAGCTCGACCTTTGTAAATTCGTGGACTCTGTAGAGACCAGTAGTATCCTTTCCACTGGCACCTGCCTCAGCTCTGTAAGAGCGGGAAACACCAACATATCTAATAGGAAGCTGCTCCTTTTCGAGTACAGAAGATGAATGAAGAGCACCCAAGGGTATTTCTGCTGTGCCCGTGAGAGAGACGCCCTCATCTTCAAGCTCGTACACTTGCTTTTCGCCATTTTGATCTCTTGGCTTGAAGCCACAGGCATGCGTGATCTCGGTCTTGACAACCGTAGGAGGAATCACCATCTTGTATCCCGCTTGTCTAGCTTTTGAAAGGGCATACTGGACCAAAGCCTGCTCCAAAAGAGCCCCATCTCCAATCAAGTAGTACCATGACGAACCAGACACTCTAGATGCGACCGAGAAATTGACAAGTCCAAGCTTCTCTGCAATAGTCTTGTGGTCAATTGCAGTTTGAGGTAGCAGGGCGACGATGGCATCTTCGGATTTCTCGTTTATGATGGAATGCAATTCGGGGACCTCTGCGTCCGCAGGAACAGATGGATCTAGCCAATTAGGCAATGCTTCTGTATGTTCGTGTAATTGTTCTGACAAGTTTGAAAGACGCTCCTCAATATCAGCTATGGTTGGCTTCATTGAACTGAGGCTTGACTGCAACTCCTCTACCTCCGTTGAGCTGCCGCCCTCCTTTCGTAGCTTTGCCAACTTGGCACCTCCTTGCTTTCTATCACGAACTAAACGATCTCTCTCTCGCTGTAATTGTGTTTCCTTCTGTCTGTTCTCGATGAGGAAGTTGAGGTCGTCTTGATGTAGACCTCTGCGCCGAAGTGTTTCTTTCATTTCATCCTGACGAGCCACAATTCCCTTTATATCAAGCACTGGCTTCTTGAGCGCAGTTGTGCTTTTGAACGAGCTTAAGCATCGACTCCATAATCTGGATGTGCTCATGAGGCTACTGTTCAAATGCGAAAAGGTGAGTGCGAAGATATGATAGCAGAGTACTACATCGTCATTTGCGTCGATCGTAATTTATTTACAAGTGGCCTATAATTTGCATGGCTCTAGCATCTCCTTTGGCCAATTCCTCATCATCCAAAGCGTCGGCTAAACAGCGCCATGGGTCACGGGCGCCACCCCATTTTAATATGCTCTCCTTGTATTTTTCACCGGCGGCTCGGCTCCAAGGATCGTCTTTAAAGAGTCCGTTCCAAACCTTCTCAGCAATGGCACGGTCTAATAAATATGAGTAGTAGACAGCTCCGTAAGAAAACAAGTGGGGGAACTTGCCGTGCCAGGTGGACCACTGGTCGGCAAACACTTTGAGTTCTGCTTCAAGGTGGTGGTAAACGGAAGTGGAGCTGAATTTCTTGAAAGATTCGTGGTCGCCAAAATCGACAACCTTCTCGTCATGCAAGACTTGATCAAGAAGAGCCATCTTCGATTGCATGTATGACTCGCAATGTTTGAGTGAATCTCTCCTTGCCTGATGGCTTTTCAAGAGCGATTCAGGCAATGGCTCACCAGTCTTGTAATGCTTGGCAATCTTGCAAAGCACTCTAGGGTCATTACTGAACGACTCCATGAGCACAGAAGGAAGCTCGACGAAGTCGGTCAGACAACGAGTTCCAGAAAGATTGTGGAGTTTCGTTCTTCCAAGCATCGAATGCATGGCATGGCCCATTTCGTGGAAAATTGTATCAACTTGCTCGAGCGTCAAAAGTGTAGGCATGTCGCTGTCTAAGCCAGCAAGACGTCCCATGCCAGTACTCTTTGGTTTTTGGAAGTTGCACACAAGCGCAATGACGGGAAGTTGGTAGTCCTTGTCTTTGCTGAGGTGAACTGTTTTCTCAATGTCTTCTCTGTGCTCCGCACCAATTGACGTGTTGAGCTCTCTCGAACAAACGATAGTGAAATGGGAGGGAAGCACTTTCTCGGACCAGAAATCGACGTATAAGTATCCCAAAACCTCATTGTTCGTGAGGTTGACGTATTTGAGCTTGCGAACATGGCCATGATCCCAGGTCTCGCCCTTGTCGGTTCTCTCAGGAACAAGAGCAACATTGTAGATGCTTTCAAAAAGCTTGCCGAGACCGTTCATTACAGTGCCCACGGACAAATACTCCGAGATCTCCTTGGAGTGATCATCCTCACCATTCTGCATCAGCTTCGCTAACAAGTAGTCTCTGTCCCAAGGCTTGACCTCGGCCAAGATCTCATCATTCGAATGAGCAAGATCGCTTCCACTTTTGTGCTTGTATAAGCTCCTTACTTCACTCATGACACCCTTCTTCTCAGAAAGAAGCGTTTCTTGAAGGTTGGTGAGGAAGGAAATCACATTCCGTGGCGACTTTGCCATCTTGTGCTCAAGCTGGTAATGCGCAAAGGACAGATATCCCAACATGTTGGCCAAAAGCGCCCGGTATTTGATGAAGCTGTCTAAAGTCTTTATTTGACGCTTGGGCGAGTTGTGTAAAGCAATCCACACTTTTCTTCTAACCTCTTCATTGGAGCATCTGACCAAGATCGAGTAGGGTAATTGTCCCGCAAGAGGTATGGAGATACCTTGTGAGTTGGCCCGAGGTGCTTTAGCCTGGTAGTCCTTGATTTCACTTTTTAGCCTCTGGTCCTCTATCAGCTCGAACTCCTGATGGCTGATGGTACACCAGAAGCTCTCAAGATCATGGACCTCATTGTTATACGAGGCTCCCAAGAGCGAGATTTGCTGGGTGATGGCAACAAAGTTATTTCTAGTCTCGGGATCCATGGCAATTCCGGATCTCTCAAAGTCTTGTCTCAAGTACTTGCCAACATCAATCTCTTCTTGACTTAAGCTGTTGACAACGTCCAGCTCGAGGATCTGTACCAAAGTACGGTACAAGTCCACATTTGTATTGAGCTGGTTCATGTACTCGAACATGATCTCGTGAGTGTTTTGGGCTGCAGCCACCCACTTCTGACTCGGATGCACCACTCTGATGAACTCTGCTGCGTCTATCACACGGCACAAGATATCACTAAGCTGATCAAGCTTTCTGATGTAGCTGAGCTTGCCGTGGTCTGTGTTCTTTGCTTCCAAGAGCATTGTCTTGACTAAGCTCTTTGCTTTCTGGAGGGACTCCTTGGAAAACTCTATGAGCCCATCGGGAGACTTGAGCTGTTCATTTCTGAACAAGCCAACCTGTTTTGTCTTGAAGTAGCCGCCAGGAGCCTTGTTGAAATTCGTGAAACACTTCTGGCTATCAAATAAGCGAGTGAGTTGATCACCTTGAACTGGCTTTCGTATTGCCACCGAGGAGGTCAAGGCTCTGGCGAATGCAGTTTTAGGCAAACTACGTAGCAGCACGGGTGAACTGAACATGTTTGTGGAAAGTGGAAATGAGTTTAGGAAGACGATCCTGTTCGTCTGGAGAAAAGTTGCAAATGTACTGCAGAAGATGTCTTCCGCTTTGGGTGAGATTCGATCAGAAACGTAAGCGAGCAGTATCTAGAATTAGAAGGTATTTTTGGGAGGAATTCAAAGTGGAAGAGAGAATCACTAATATTTTCCAGCAGTATAATTACAGGTGTTTTTTTGACAATTTTCCGATGCGTGACTCTTTCATATCAGTAGCCTTTCAGCGAACTCTGGTAGTGTGACGTAATCCTCTTGTACTAGATTTCGCAGCCAAGCTCAAGTCTGGGGTTGACTTCCATTATATCCGAACTTCCGTGGTATGGTCATACGAACGTAGATTTTAGCTTAAATGGCAAGGTCTTAAAGAGAATTGTCGAAAAAATAGCGTGGGCAGTCTTTTTTATCGCCTGGCATGTGTCAATCAAACTAGGGCGCAGCATAAGGATATCATTCGGACCAGTGTGCCAGTTAAACCTGTGACCAGCGTGTTAGTCACTTCGGTGTGAGTACATCATGAATTTTCTCGAACTTTATTCACGAGAAATCATTCTTCGCTATGCAAGTTGCGCTGCCGACGGGAATCGTGTGTCTCATTTGGCGTGTCGTCACTAGTGCAGAGGCATACAAAGGTCCCTTCCCTAGGGACCCAAATGTCTTTCAGATTTTTTTATTCACGATGTAGAAAATGGATGTCTACAAAAAGAACTTCAAGCTGTCCGTGTGAAGGTGCTCGACGCTCCCCTTTCAATGACTTATACACGTTTTATCAGGAGTGGTGTGCCAGTGACCATCTGAGGTACCTGTCTAGGGCTGTCGAAGAAAACAGAAGTCCAAGAAATGCTTCTCACTGTAGGCACACAAGGGTTAGTGTTTGTAAGACATTTCGCAGCCAAGTAACGAGTCGGCCGAGAAGCAAAAAAAAAGAAAGACATCCAACCAGCGACATCTCAGGCAATTTGCTTCTTTTCAATACATAAACTTCCCATTTCTTTTGGAATAAAATATTCGTCAGAGTCGCCCGTATTCTCCAGATCGAAAATCGGTTAAATTAACCCCAGTGCCGGTCTCAGTTCGCACCAAATAGGCCTTTCCAAAAACACACCTTGCTGTAGCTTGCGATTTCTGGCACATACTCTCGTGGCTTTCATCTATCTACGTCAATTCTTCGGATCAACCACAACAGAATCTGAGCTGTGCCTGGCCCTTCAACATCCATAATATAGCTACAAAACCCGGGTGCTTTTCTAATAATACCTCCATTAACTGCATATCCCGGCATCCCACTCCGATCTCATAGTTTGCTACCAGTCCATGTCCACCCAGACACAGCCCTCCATCGTGGGCCAAAACGGCACAACGGGCTCTCCAGATGTCCACCACGATGCTAATGGCTCCAACAACTCTCGAAGAAGAACGGTCAGAGATTACCAATTCGGTACAAGGATCGGTGAGGGCTCCTACTCCACCGTGTACTCCGCCATGGACCAATACAACAAGAAGACGTACGCCATCAAGGTGCTCCTGAAGAGACATATCGTCAAGGAGGACAAGATCAAATATGTGAACATCGAAAAGTCCACGTTACACCGTTTGGGCCAGCAGCATCCTGGTATTGTACAGCTCTACTACACATTCCAGGACGACGCCAGTCTATTCTTCGTGCTAGACTTTGCAGAGTACGGTGAGCTTCTCTCCATTATCAGCAAGTTCGGATCACTCTCGGAGCAGGTCCTGAAGTTCTATATGATCCAGATCATCGACGCGGTGAAGTTCATTCATCTGAAGGGCGTCATTCACAGAGACTTGAAGCCAGAAAACATCCTCGTGGGCTACGACTTTAATTTGAAAATTACAGACTTTGGTGCTGCCAAACTTCTCGGAGAGGTGGACGACGTTCAAGGCGAGACTATTAACTACGATACAGTGGCCGAGAAGCCACAGAAGGACAGAAAGGGATCCTTTGTGGGAACAGCCGAGTACGTTCCACCTGAATTGCTCCAATACAATGAATGTGGTTTTGAAAGTGATGTCTGGGCTCTTGGATGCATTCTTTATCAGTTCTTCAACGGCCTCCCGCCTTTCAAGGGACCAACAGAGTATTTGACGTTCGAGAAAATTATCGGCGTTAACTACTCCTACAGAAATGTTGTGCCTCCTGGCGTAAAGGAAATCGTCGACCAAACCCTCATAGCAGAAACCCACCAAAGACTCACTATACCTCAAATACAGGCTAAGCCCTGGTTCCACGGGGTCCCCTGGGAGGATCGCAATTACATCTGGAACCGTAAGGTCCCACGGTTTGAACCATACCACCCCGGTGCTCCCTCGACCCCACAACAGAACTTTGGTGCGCCACATATGAAGTCTGGTACCAGCCGAAATATGAACAAATCCTCATCGAATTACCAGCTCCACTCACAGATCCAACTGCTGGACTTCAGCTTAGTCCCAACAATGGGCGGTAAGAAGACCCATCAACCACCTACTAGAATAAAGAAGGGTGTGAGCTCTGGAAATGTTCCTACAGTTTCAACTTTACCCGCCCACAGGCCGGTTGAGACAACCACCCAAATCATGCCCAATGATCCTAACTTCATGGCAATTAATACTCCACAGCAGGCCCGCAAAATGCCTCCATTGAAACAGAGACCCTCAGAAACCAGGGTTCCTCCTCCTGGAGCCATGCCACCTTTGCAGAACGCTCCACTGTTCCAATACCAACCCCAACCACAGCAGGCTCCCATGATACAGAAACAGCCCGTCCCACCGCAGCAAAGGCGTCAAATGCCCCGCATGCCACAAAATAACATATCGCAACAAGGCAGTATCCCCACTCTAGAAAACAAAATGGCTGAGACTCAAATCTCGTCTGGAAGCACATCTCCACGCTCGCCTCAATACAAGGATTTGCGCTCGGGTACAGCTTTTGCTAGGCCAGGTTCAAGACCCACTTCAGCTACCAACAGTGTCTCTACATCTCCAAAGATACCGCAGGGAAACTTTGCGTCACTGGCGGCGGCAAAGAGTGCAGCAAGCTCTACGGCCTTTAAAACGGTCAACAATGCAAAGCCGAAACAACAAGAACGCTCTCGTACTCCACTGAAGCCTTCAGCTGCAGAAAGAACACCGGAGCCAGCACCAAACACTGTCACCTTTAAGGAAATTTCCTCCTTCTTGGAACATGATGAAAAGGTAATCAAGCTCGATACTATTCTCAAGCTGCAGTTGAGCAACAAGCTCATTGATAGAAAACCCGGCAGCATTGACGATGAGACTATTGAACGTCTTGTGGATAGATATCAGGACGTGCTTGACAGGAACATGGTGCCCGTTGTTGCGTGCGTGAGTAACAAGGCTCGTATCTTTTTGATTTATGAGAATCTCGAAGTGATGCTGGTTGATCTTACTGCTAACCAAGGTGGAGACTACCTGATGTATGATTACGAGTTTGAGAGCGTCTATGTCGAAGATGAAGGCTCCAACTCATCCCACGGTGAGGAGGTCTATGGTTATCTCATTCTTGAGTTGATCAAGGAAGGCGGAGACCTCGTCTTCCTCAAGCGTGTTAAAGAGGACGATAAGCCCAAATATGAAAAGTCGGCACGTGTCGTGGACAAGAAGGGAGAAGTCATTCGTATCGGGGAGCACTTGGGCTGGATCGACTGCTTGATCTGGGCAAAGGACATGGTGAGCGAGCAAAATAAGCAACCGAAGAAAACAAACTCTACTAAAGCTCCACCCAGATCGTCGTCGAAGCCTAGAGTCCCATCTAAGGGCTCCAACAAGTCAAACGGTACGAGGTCACCCCCATCTTCTTCGCAGAAGTCGGCTCCAAAGAAGCCCGGTAGTATATTGGCGTACGCTGCTGCAGCCGCTGCGGGCAGATAGATTGATAAAATGTACAAATAGAACAATTAGCTTGATGATGAATGATACCTATTTACTGATTGCATCCGCGAACTGCTGTAGCCAGTCCTTGTAGTAGCACTTGTCGTTGAAGATTTTGGTGGTTTCTTCCCTGATGATTTTCTCCACATTCTGCTCGTTGCGGACCCAGTTTTCTATAGTTGCCCTGCGAGCATTATGAAGCTCTATTTTCTCAAGATCGTCTTTCAAAGCGTACGGATTCGTTCTCAAGTCGTAGTCGGCAGACTTAGGCAGTCCAGCCGCCACTTCCTGTTCTAGCCTTTTAGCATAATCGGAGCAGAATTGAATAGCATGTGCACGGGCCTGCCACTGAGGAACAATCTTTCGATTGAAGTAAGCGTCACAGTCTTTTGGTTGTGTTTCGTTCAAATGCTGGCTTATAGTATCGTCTGTGGCGATCCGGGAAAGCCTGAGAAATGCTCTTATTCTCGAGGAGTCCTCGCAATTGGCTGTGGTGAGCAATTCAGCAGGCGTCACCAGCAGCTGTGAAGACGGCTTTCTGTAGAAAAATTCGGACATCTTGGAACCCACAGTGAAAGTACCTGTGTTATCCGAAGATATATGGATTCGATAAGATATTCGCAATCGCCCCTGGTGCCCATTTCAGAATGTGCAGCACTGGTGTCGGCGCATCTTCTTGACCAACGTCTTGGATCACGACGCACTATCTATTTATTCAGACCCATGTTGGACTTTTCCGACGACAACTTATGGCGATTTACCGTACTGGAGGTGCTCAAGGAGCATCTAGCCTTGTACGCCACAAAAATCGAGTCTCCTTCGACCACCATAGATCGAGAGAACTCGACCCGAATGAAGAATGATCTTGCCTATGTGGCTCAGTTTGTGGATACTGCCACGGTCATCAATTCAGGAATGGAGCATTTTGACCCTCCTTTTGCCCCCGTGGCCAAATACTTGCAAGATTTGCTTCTTCCTCCTAGCATTGCATTACGTTATGCCGAACTGGTTAACGAGAGAGTCGATGCTGAGCCTTACGAGAAGGAGAAGTCACAGGAGCTTCGTAGAATTCTACATATCGCGGCTTCCACAGCAGCTAGCATTGTGCTGGGCGAGGATCTGGAAGATGGCAAGTTTGCGGCTGTTTCTGATGTCATGGCTGACCACCTCGCCAGCCTAATAGACTGGGCCTTCAAGGCTAGTTCGCCCATTGGTGACGAGCAGGTCAAGATTCAGGCTGTGGGTAGCGAGCTAAAGCGCAATTCTGTCGGCTGTTCTTATAACAGCTGGATGTCTACATTCCAGAAGGTGCTCAAATCGCATCTTGAAGCTGCTGGAAGCACCCAAGACAAACAACGTGCCCAGAAAGAATACATCCTTCAGCTTCGTGAGCTTGGCAATAACCTTATGACCAACCTTTCATACCCACAGGCCATCAAGGTTTACACTACAGCTATTGACTCGTGCTCTATTTTCACTGCCAACAATCTCGCTCAGCTTTTCACCAATCGTGCTATTGCATTCATCGGTCTCAACTGTTATCCAGAGGCAATTCAGGATCTCAAGCTGGCTGTTCTGAGAGACAGGACTTTCGTGCCTGCTTACGCCCAGCTAGGCTATTGTGAGTTATACATGGGCCGTACACTTCATGCTTTGCGTGGCTACAAGAATGCCCTTGATGCATTGGCGGGAAATATCGACCCTCCAAACACCACGCTTGATTTCCAGCAAAAGCAGGAATACAAGGATGCCCTGGCAAAGTCTGCATTCCCGCAGTTTGTCCATAAACTTGTTCAGGCTATCATTTTGACCGAGAAAAGAGCCAAGCAGCAAAGAGTGCCTGTCAATGATCTTAAGTTCTACATGACAGAGATAAAGAAAACATTGGTGGAGTTGCAGCGAGTTGCAAGTCCTGAGGAGCAGCACTTATTCGAATTCAGTTACGACGAGAACTTCGACCAGGTGAGAGCTACCGCTGCCAGAGCCAACCAGCACCGTCCTTCGATCTTTACTCCTGAGGTTGCCCTGGATGTGTTGGCAGGAAGTCTGATGGAGGCATCTACTGTCACCATTCCTTTCCCTGGTATGACTGGCATGCCCAACCTAGGTACTCAGCGTCGTGAGACTGAAAACAACCAGACCACGCAGACACCGGCAGCCAACGACGAGGGAACAAGAAATACTGAAGAAAGCGGCAACAACGAAAACCCACAACCATCTATTCGGGGGTTGATGAACCAGCTAGGTGACATCTTTGGTGACATGATGCAATCACAGACGTCCAACTACTTCCCTAATGACGCACCAAGAAATGGAGATGGACAGAATGCACCTAATTTTGAGGTACATGTGGAGACAGTGGGAGGTCCTATTCTTAGCGCAACACAACCTGGTACAAATACCGGTGCTGGAGCGACGAATGGAAGTACAGAAGCTGCAAGACCGGAAGAGTCAACCACAGGCTCTACCTCCAATGCCACCGAATCTACTAACAACGGCAACACGGGTACCGACAGCAATACCGCTACTACTGGAAATGGCAGCACCAATGACAGCACCAACAATGGCGATAATAGAAGAGAGGGAAGCCCCATGTGGGACTTGACCGAGTCACTCAACCACATGCTTGCGGGTGACTACCAACCGGTGTTCAACAACCTCATGCGTCAATTTGAAACTCTGAGAGGAGGCAATACTACTCAAGGTGGTCAGTCTGACATGTTGAGAGAAATCATCCGCAGAGTCCGTGAGACACAAGCCTCGCAGGATCTGTCACCTCAAAACAGTCAGGGAAGACCTAACTCCAACCAGTCTCAGCAAAGCGACCAAACCATGCCTGATGCAGCTGATATTGACTAGTTGCTGTTCGTAAATAGCAAATTAAAACCCCCCATATGAGTATTGGTTGTAGGCTTTCCCAGGTTGTTCCTGCAGTTGATGCACTGAGATAAGGAAAGTCGCCTTGTAGAAACTACTGTCGTTTTAGCAGAACCCATACATCATAGAGCCATGGCTGGACTTGAACAATCACTTTTCCAACTCAAGTTCACAGCAAAGCTGTTGAACCGACAGGCCACCAAGGCCGCCAAGGAGGAGCTTTCTGAGAAGGCAAAAACCAAAAAAGCCATGATGCAAGGAAACAGCGACATTGCACAACTCTATGCCCAAAACGCCATCAGAAAAGCCAACGAGAGAGTGAATCTTTTACGTTTAGCGTCTAGAATCGATGCTGTGGCCTCGCGAGTGCAAACGGCCGTGACGATGCGCTCAGTGACTGGAAACATGGCACTGGTGATTAAAGGAATGGACAAAGCGCTTCAGACAATGAACTTGGAGAAGATTTCGCTCGTCATGGACAAATTCGAGAACCAGTTCGAGGACTTGGACGCCTCCACCAACTACTACGAGTCTGCCACCAACAACGTGAACGCATTGACCACTCCACAAGAAGAGGTGGACGAGTTGATGAGCCAGATTGCCGACGAGGCAGGCATAGAGATGAAGCAGGGGCTCAACGAGACCAAGGTGGACATCCAGACGCCTCCTGTGGCGAACGTTACGGAAGAGAAGGAGGACAAGTTGGCTGAGCGGTTGCGTGCGTTGAGAAACTAGCGGAACAGAGCATCGCCAATGGGCCCATTTTTTAAGGAAAATCCAACAGTCAAATAGGTTACATAGCAAGAGGAAGGCTAGCCCTGTGTAGAGGTGGCCCCACCAACGTCAGCAGGTGTCTCAGCTGTATAGGAGTTGTGGCTGCAAGGCCATTGTCTATGGAGCAATCGAGATGAGGTGTATGTACGACGACGATCCGAGGGTGCCGATGCAAAATAGACGCTTGCTATTTTTTAAGTTTAAATGAAAATCGTGTTATTATTAAACCAGCTCTAAGGCCATTGGTGCCGTTTTAGCAAAAAACTTGTATCGCCAGACGCAGCCAATTCTCGCACCTCGGTGGCCCTGCCACACCTCCACAAAGTCCATTCGGAGCCGACCATCGAAAAAGACATCAGTGAGCGAATCAAAACGAATTGAATTGTAAGGAATTGACAGACCCTGCTATTTGGACTAAATCTACAAAACTCCATTTTTTTTTTTTTTCCTCTCCCGGTGAAATGGTCCCCAGGGACTGACATCACTTGCTCGCAGCTAGCGCCATGCTTTGCAACCAAGACTCCAGAAGAAACCGCATTGATAAGCAGGCATGTGCGGCTCGTCGTCTCCACCGAAAAACCGAGAAATCTGTCGAAAAAACGTAATGTACGCTTTTCTGGTCGTAAGCCATCAAGCGCCCGTGACTTTAAATTGCTCAATTGCACCCCTTGTCCCACTCGACCAATGAAATACTCAAAGGGTAGGCCCCACTGTGAGCGGTTCTGTCCTGCAGACACGTCCTCACCGGTAGGCGCCCCCAGCCCTATATAAATTTGGCGCTATTCCGGTTCCCCGTGGTCCATTGCTGGTTTTCTACAAGCTAATTTTTGAACACCTACCCCTCAATGTTTACCGCCCCCATTAAAGCTAACAGCTCCCGTGTTGGTGCCGCCGCTTCTGGCGTTGCCGCTTCCGCAATTGGCGCCGTCAGACACAAGGTTTCTCTTCCAGACTTGGACTGGGAGTTCGATGCCTTGGAGCCATACATCTCGGGCCAGATCAACGAGATCCACTACACCAAGCACCACCAGACCTACGTGACCGGCTACAACACTGCAATTGAGCAGTTTGCCGAGGCCAAGCAGAAGGGTGAGGTGAAGAAGACCGTCGAGTTGCAGAAACTCATCAACTTCCACGGCGGTGGATACACCAACCACTGCTTGTTCTGGAAGAACTTGGCTCCAAAGAGCCAGGGCGGTGGTGAGCCTCCATCCGAGGACTCTGAGCTCGCCAAGAAGATCAAGGAACAGTACGGCACTCTTGAGAACTTGCAGAACGTCGCCAACGCCAAGTTGGCTGGTATCCAGGGTTCCGGTTGGGCCTTCCTCGTCAAGAACAAGGAGAACGGTGGCCAATTGGACATTGTCACCACCGCCAACCAGGACACCGTCACCGGCCCATTGGTGCCATTGGTTGCCATTGACGCCTGGGAGCACGCCTACTACTTGCAGTACCAGAACGTCAAGGCTGACTACTTCAAGGCCATCTGGAACGTTGTCAACTGGAAGGAGGCCGAGAAGAGATACGTTGTCAACTAAACTGATGGTTGAATATGTGCAGTGAATGAATGCTCTTTGCTATCTAAAATGTAGAGGTTCCAAGCATGGAAGCCGCTTTCTTGGCATCAATGGACCCTGTGTCAATGTCTGTCTTGTTCTTTAATACCTCTTCCTTCTCCGCTTGCTGCTGAGTAAGACTGCGGAACTTGCGAGAGCTCCACAAGTCTCCGTTCGCAGCTTGTGATTGTGCCAAGTTGTGTTTCATTTGACTGAGATGCTCACGATTCAATCTCGAGAGGCCGCCGTTCTCGTCAATGATTCTCACATCGAGCCGTATCTTCTCAAAGTGGTTCAAGAGCTTGCGGTGCTGCTCGACTCGGTTGAGAGTGAACTGCTTCAAAAGGGTCTTCATCTTCTTCTCGGTGAAATCTATCACCTCTTTTCTCTCGAACATCATCTCCCCGGAGATTCTCTTCACTTGCATGTGAAGACTCTCTTCTGCCTTTTGGGCATACTCGAGGGAACGAATAGCTTCCTCGGCTCTAATGGGATCTAGCGACGCCCTGCTCTTGATCTTTGTCGCTTGAACATGTTTGGACTTTGTCTGGGCCTCAGCCTGTATTAGTTCTCTCATGATAAGATAGCGGTTAGTGAGTGCCTCTTTGATTTCAAAGAAATCAGCACTTAATGCTTTTGCACCATCACCAAGGGAGCCCATGTCGCTAATCAGTTTAAAGAGTATCAAGTCTGCCTGGAACTGGGTGACCTTGGCGAGCTTCTCCCACAAGTTGCGCATACCAGGATGTACTGTTTCAAACTGGGCTAGACCTTTAAGTTTCGTTCCCAATTCGCTGATGTTGCTCAGCAGCTGACGTTCTAACTTTTGGTTCTTATCCATCGTTTTGTTCAATCGCTGACATAGCAAGTAGGCAGACTTAATAATTGGCCTAAACAGCGCAAGCTCCTGGTAGGGATCGTACGGTGTGTTCAATTGCTTCATTGTCTTCCTCATCAAGCCACTGGCAACCAGTTGCTTGCGGTTAGAGTTGATGACAGAGTAGCCGAAATCGCTTTCAATGAAGTAAACAAACTCCTCGTCTCTGACAAGGATTGGGTTTCGCGTGATCCGGCTAAACCATTCCAGCCAGTTGTAAAGCTGCTGTTTCCTTTCATCCTCCCCGCCAGCAGGATAGGAGGTGATTGGGCTGGGGATCACCGGAACAAACACCTCGAGGTTGGAAAGGATCAAATACTCGTTGAACCTGTGGACCTCGTTATAAGTACGCCTGATATCTTTATAAATCTTTTCCCTAAACTTGGGCAAACCTCTCACGGAAGCGTCGAATCTGAGAATTGGGTTGTTCGGCTTGTTCTCCTCGATTTCCCGAAGGTGGATACGCATCAGGTACTTGTTGGTAAAACGCTCAGGCAAGAGTTTTTTGAGATCCTCTTCAACAAGGCGTCCTGTGCCCATCTCTTCATTATCTGCTGCATTGGAATTTTGCTCTTGGCTTTGTTCTTCTTCTTCGACTTGCTGGCCATAGTAAGTGTTGGACGATTCTTCCTCTGGAGGCACGTCTACCTCCTCCGTCATTGTGCCTACATTGACACTAGGCGTATATTGCTCTGGTTCAGCAAATGGGTTATTGTTTTCAAACTCCTCGGGATCATAAGGTATACTCGATGCCATTGTAGAAATCTTATTTCATCTGAGGTGGTGGTTGTAGATAACTTCACGCACTCCTGTGCGAGCCCCAGATTTCGGACTGATTACACCTTGATAAAGGGAACTATTAGATTCTATCGTACAAACATTAAAAACTACAACTTTTCCTCTGTCAACACTTCGCTGGACCGGAGAATGTTGTAGCCCCAAAATCCGATCACGTTGAGCACACCGACTCTCCAACCGTTGAAAAGACCAAGGATCTTGAATCTTTGCCAGTAGGAAAGCTTGCCACTGCTTTCGGCATTCGCATGAGCAGCGTCCCAGCTGTTGAAATTCACAATAAGGTCTTCATCTGGGTTGTCGATAGTCACAACACGGTACTTGTCTTCCTCGAGTGACTTTGGCTTCAACAAGAAGCGCACCTGCTCCTTGCGCAACAAGTTTTCCATCGGTAGCTTGATAAAAAGCTCTGCAATCAGTAGAATAAGATTGGCCATGGTGTACCAATTGGGTGCCGAGTAAGCGTCCACGTTGTAGCGTATAAACAAAATGTATGGCGAAGCTTTTCTGAAGACCGTCGTGGAGAACTGATGCAAGACCGTCAACAAAGTGATGGTGGGTGGTGGGTGCAAGAGGTATTTGATAGGGTAGTTTCTGAAAGACTCTCTTACAGATCTTGTGTTGACAACGGGCTGTGTCTCTTCGTGCACGGAAGGACTTGGAGAGCTGGAGCTGCTCGTTGATTCCGACTGTGGCACGCCTCTGTTGAACTGAGTAAGCATCAAACGCACCTTTATAAGGTCAAGAGGCATCAAAACAACACCTGCTAGAACACAAGCCAGAACTGAAAGCCAAAGAGATTTGGCAGGCTCGGTCAGATGGGTGAGATCAAGGAAGAAGGGGTCTGGGATACCGAGGAAAGGTGAAAGGAAGCCAGTGATCCATGCCTCGATTGTGTGGGCTAACGTATGATGGATGAAAGAAGCATTGACTCCTCGAAATAAAGCAAAGGGGCCATCTTTGGATGCGATTGCTGTCATGATATCAACAGTGTGTCTTGAGATGGGCTGGATCTTGGATGGTCTGGAAGTTGTCTTGGAGCTCGACAAGGACGTGCTCTTCTTAGGAGACGATACATCCCTGGTCAGCTGGAAGAAGTCAATCTCTTCCTCGCCCTCCGAGCTTGACTCCAATTCAGGCAAGGAGTTGTTGGAGCTCTCCAAGCTTTCAGCAAGCCTGCGGTGCTTCTTGACCTCCTTGGGTTTTGGCGCCTGCGAGAAGTCAAAATAGCCCACCTGGAGAACTAATCTGACTATCTCCAATGGCTGCGATACAACCACCTTGCAGTAGTTCTTGAAGAAGTTCCAGAAGAGATTCTTGAGGAGCTCCAGAAGGTTGCTAAAGTCAAAATACTCCAGAAACTCCAAATCGTAAACATAGTTCTTGTCGCCTCCACTAGCAATAGCCGCAGTGGAGCCATTCGGCCTGTGTGTATGGATACCAATGCCCTTTCCGGCTAAGGAGTTCCCTAAAGACTGTCCAAAGGATGCGATGATAGGTTTATTTGTAGCTGTGTCTATGAGACCCACACCGGGTTTGAAAATGACCAGATACCCTGCATTGAAGGTATCATGGTCATAATATGGACGTAAAAGAGGGTCGCCAGGCATGCTGGGGAAGAAGGGTAGAAGTGGCGTTAGTTGCGTGGTGATGTTGTTGCAGAGGCCTGTGCAGGTGATATGGGGTTGGGAAAAACGGGATTAGCAAAAGGGCTCCTAGATGAGAGAATTGCGAGGGTTTGTGTTTTTTCTGACTTTTTTTGCGATATTTCATTGATTAAAGCTAGAAAGTTGTTGCTGGTTTCCATGAAGTTGGTGTCTATGGGAGTGAGTTGGTGGGTCTCAATATGCGTTAGAGACCCACGTTCGAGCTCACAATCATTGAGCTCAATTAAAATAATATTATTATTAAGTTGTAATAGATCCTTCATTGACATTTTAGCATCCACGAGGTTGTGTTGTGCATTGCCTTGTCTGAATCTGTCTTGGCCAATCTTTCTCGGTGCATAAACATAAACTTTGAGGACTCGAATTTGACATCAGAAAAACAAGGTCTAGAGACGCCACCAGGTAGATTGAGAGTATTTTGAACGAATTGTTCTTTCGAGCTGGAGGAATGGCGTGAATACTTTAAGTATGGTAGCCGACCATTGGGGCCTCAGCACAATGTATATCGGCGTTCTTTGATAACACCGATATCAGTGAGTTACAAAGCGAATTGAAATGCTAATTCACTTTGATTCACTCGTTTTCAGCCTTCTTGAGCTCGTCAGAACGCTGAATCAAGAACTGACCCAAGCTCGCCAATGGATCCTCTGGCTTCTCCTTGCTAACCTTCTTGAGTCCCTCTAGTAGATGCTGAGTCAAATGCTTGTTCAAGTACTGTCTGACTGAAGAACCACCGACAATTTCGTGGACTGGTGCATCTTTATGCTTTGGAACAGAGCTCTCAGTTTTGAGTTTTTTGGCTGGAGGGGACTCCTCACGCTTCACTTCCGGAGCCTGATTTTCAGAAAGCATTGAATCGACTGTGACGCCTTGGCCATTCTGTGGATTCTCTGGAGCCGACATTCTTGAAGATGTAGGTATTGGACATTTTCGCGTTGTGCATTCTGGTGCTTCTTGAGGACCTCCAGTGACGTGAATTGACCAGGAACGCAAAATTGAAATTTTTAAGGGAGAGAACCCCAGCTTTGAAATAGCTTTATGAGAATTTCCTGCTAAATAATATCCGAAAGGGGCCCTATTTCGGCCAAATCAGAATTCTGTCACGTGAGTCCAAATCGAATATTGATAGCTGGTTCCTGACGCAAGCGATAGGCTACTACTCCAGATGGATCCATTTAAGGAGGTGGAAGAGGACTGCTGGTCCCAGATACACTCGTTGGAGAGTTTTATCGGCCGTGTCAAATTCATAAACGAAGATGCTAAACTAGATTTCCAGAATAACTACCAGGAATTGGCGGAAACATTAGAGGACTTGAAGCAAGCAGTCCAGATATCGGAATCCAACCCTTCACAATTTAATTTAAACTCCTCTGATATAGTTGGCAGAAAGCAGATTTTGGGCCAATTACTGCTGAAGATAGCAAGTCTTGAAAATGAGTGGAACGAGAGAGTCAGAAACCCTCAGAGGCAGCGGGAAGTCACCACAATGTCCAACAGAATCAGCCAGGACGACGACAGAGATAGCCCGTTCAGCGACAGCCAACGCATCGATAGAGAATTCAACCTGTTTCAGCAGCAAGAGCAGATTCAGGACCAAGATTTACAGTTGGATCTGATCCACGAAACCATGCGTAATCTCAACCAGCAGGCACAGCTCATGGGCGGTGAGCTTGAAGATCAGGGCTTCATGCTTGATGAGTTGGACCAAGACATGGATACTGTGGGCAACAAGCTTCAAAGAGGTTTAAAACGTGTGAACTACGTGATTGAGAAGAATAGAGAAACCGCCAGCAACTGCTGCATAGGCGTGTTGATGGTTGTCCTCGTCATTTTGCTTCTTGTTCTTACTTTAGCGTGAAGCACAGGTTTTGGGTATACGGTATAGCACAGCGAATCTTTATGTTAGTAGTGAAAATAAAATATTCAGCAGTAGATTTCAGCCAAAAGTATAAAGGTAGCTTGGTTTTTTCCACACCGACAGAAAGTCTCGAGCCAAATGCACTCAGAGTCATCATTCTACTGCGTTTGAAAATGAACATACATTTTAACGATGTTGTAGCAGTTGGTGAAGGAAAACGAGATGGAAATTTTCCCGCTTATATATGCTCTTCGCGCTGCGGTTACCCGGTCTACAAGCACTAGGGCACTTTCCAACTGGAAAGTGAGCACTGTAGTGGAGCAGAATGTTTGGCGATTTGACTATTTTTGAAAACGGCGACAAGGGTCTGTCTTCACGATGTGGTGGATTTGGAATTGTATGTCTTGTTTTGATACTGTAGGTCGGTGAGTAAAGTGAGTAGTTGCAACAAAATAAGACGCCGGATGAAAATCCCAATTGTTCTGCCCATTAGATAGGGTCGAGTCTTTAACAACTTGTGACCTCTAAAGAACTTGTAGCTTGAAGGAGGTAACTGGATCCTAAGCATGTAGCAGGTAAGATAGTGCACGCTGTGATCCAATTACGTATGACAAATAACAACGGTCTGACAGAAGAAAGAGTAAAATTCAAGATTCAAAAGATGTCAAATACTAGTTCGGCTTTGATCGAAGTATGTCAGGGCAAAACTACAAGGTAATGGAACATGGCTTTTGCAGCCAACAGGACGCAGGAAGCGAAAGTCATCTGATCAGTGTAAAAGATTACATCAAAGAATTGACCAGCTCTCTATTGCCTCAAATCATCTCTTGTGAAGCTGTAAAATTACGTAAATCCACAGCCCTTAGTGTGGACCAAGTACCAGATCTAAGGTGCGCGATATCAGTGAACATAAACTACCTATCAACTACTCACCATGTCCAACTCAGACAAGTACAGGTACAGAGTGGAGGTCCAACAGATGATGTTCGTCTCTGGTGAGGTCAATGACCTGCCTGTTGAGACCACATCTCTCATTGAAGACATAGTTCGTGGTCAGGTTATAGAGATTCTACTCCAGGCTACCAAAACAGCAGCTAGTCGAGGAACTCGTTCTATAACATCGGAAGATGTCATTTTCCTCATACGACACGATAAAGCCAAGGTCAATCGTCTTATCACCTACCTCTCGTGGAAGGATGTCAGAAAAAACACCAAAGATCAAGAAGGTGGAGGTGCTGAAGGGCTTATAGAGGGTGATGCAGCGGGGGCTTCTGCTGGAGCTGCTCCTGGAGCAAATGACCAATCCAAGATGATCACTCGTTATAAGAAATCCAAGATTAGATTGCCATGGGAAGTGCAGTTTATGTTCAGTGAACAGCATCTTGAAACCGCCGAGGAGGCTGAGGAAGTAGACGACGAAGAGAAGGCTGCCACAATGGCCTCGCTTAAACGATTGAAGATGGCGGATGATCGTACCAAAAACATGACAAAGGAAGAGTACGTGCACTGGTCCGAGTGTCGTCAAGCTTCCTTCACATTCAGAAAAACGAAGAAGTTCAGAGAATGGGCTCAGATAACTCAAATCTGTGAGTCGAGACCCAACGACGATGTCATTGATATTCTTGGTTTCTTGACCTTCGAGATTGTATGTTCACTCACAGAGGTTGCCATGTCCATTAAAACAGCTGAAGAGAAGCTCATACAACAGTCAATCCTGAAAGCAGGCGCTATCAACAAAGAGATCAACAAAAGAAAGCGCAAATATTTGTTTGAAAAGCCAGATGAGCTTGCCAAACCCATACAACCATATCACATAGAAGAGGCCTGGCGTCGTCTTCAATCTACAGACTTTAAACACAAGGCCGTGCGTTCATTCGGTGGGGGTATGCTAAAATCTAGAACTAGATTGATCTAATTCGACATTTCTAGTAAAGAAGGTCTTGAGGATGTCAAGAGTCCCGCTCTGGAATTTCCTCCAGCCAAGATATTGCTGGAGATTCAAGTCTTCTCCGTTTTGTCTTCTTTGGCGCTCCACATGAAAGAGTGAGTTTTGAAATCTTGCCCAGTCCCTGCTAAATGCAGCAAGCTCCACAATAAATGGGGTTTTGTTCATACTGTAACATATTGAAGTTTCTGGTAACCCTTGTACATCGAATATAGGCAGATCAAAGGACGACTCATTTGATCGACTTCTGGTGGACGTACGAAAGCTCTGATACTCCTGGATTGCCTTTGGTAGTTTCCTTGTTCTCGAGGCCAAGAAAGTCAATGTAGTTTCTCTGATTTGGTTGAACTTGAACCTTTCCTCTGGAAGTTTGACCTCGTGGGGAACCAACTCTTTCAAGTAGGTACCAATGTTGCATTCTTCAGGTTCTGGGAAGGGCCTCAACATTTGACCGTCGTCCACAGTATATATATCAAGAAGCTCGTTGGGATGGTGCTCTTGAAGTTTGCTGGATCGCATGTTCAGCTCAATTGTATCGGCTTCAGAATGAAGATCGCAGACCAGAGCCAAACTTTCGAGAGACTCGATCTTGGTATCATCTGGCTCATCAGCTTGAATGTCTAGCGTGAGCACCTCGTCAGAGCTAAGGTCCTCGTCGGCAGAACAAATCCATTGGCATTGCATAAGTGCCTTCCGGACGTCATGGGCATACTTACCACTTTGAGCTGTCACCCAAGATAGGGCATTTTGCGTAAGATCAAAGCCCTGAGAAAAGCAGCAAAGCCAGACATATTGTTCAAATGCTGCAGTGTCATGATTTTCAAAGGTCAAGATAGCATTTTGCTCCTGAGCCTGTTCGTAGATAGACCTGGGAATAACAGTAGAATCCTGAACGGAGATCACTAATGGTCGCTTTGAGAAGTTGATCACGTCTTGAACAGCGGTCCAGAAGGTCTTATCCTGTTCGAATAAAACGTCACAGTCCTCGAAAAACACTAAACCGCGTTGGAAGCTTTTCTCCTGGTCATTCTTATTGATGATGTTTGTGGTACAAAACTCCTTGAGCGGACCATACAACTCTCTCCTTGATCGATTCTGCCCTGAATTGATCTCATGAACGTAACCATTGAGCGAATTCATGGCTGCATACACTGCTGCTGACTTCCCAGATCCAGATTGACCTTCAAGAATGAGGACCGGGACGAAAACATCTTCCTCGGTTTCTTCAGAATCCTCTTCAAAGTCATCAACTATGAAGTCTTGCATTTTTTGACGCCGTTGCTTCTGCTCCTTTATCTTTATATTACGAGGGGTTTTCGTCGATTGCGTCTTCAATATAGCAAACGCATTCTCTATCCATCTGCGTAAAGTATACTTGGTCTGAGGATCAAGAAGTAATTGGTCGGTGCTTTTTGGGGAAAATTTGTCAGGCCAAAGCCTGTTGCTCTCTGGGGAATGATTTTGGATGAAATCCTTGTAAATGCGTATGTGAGTTTCCTCCTCAAATGCTAGGGGTGACCGGTCAGCAACAAAGTCACAAATGTCTTCTGTATTCGTGGTTGTGATGTGAATTAGGGACCTTTTGCGTTTTGTAGCCTCGTCTATTTCATAAGTTGCAAAAAATGAACCATCCATGTGGAAGGTTATGTTCTTTATGGCCTTGGGCGATAGCTGCTCAAAGCAATGCTGTCTAGTGTTGCATGTGTCTGTTTCGTAGACATGCATGATTCCTCGTTCTATATCTGGAGGATCTAGCTCTTTAGCTTTCTGTAATGGAGTGAGTTTTGGGTATGCTGATATGCTGGCGGTCTGCATCATCTGTGCAAACACGCTGTTGGCACTTTTTCCGGTTTTAATACCTGAGCTTTTGGTATAGAGTGGATTGAGCGACTTTTGGATAGACTGTAAGAACTCCGGGGAGAGTCGTAGAGTTACCATTTTGGAAGGTCTCTTCTTCATCAAGGTATTGAGCATACTGGTGCCACTGCCAACATTGCCTCGCGTACGGAAGGGATCCTCAAATTTCTTAATTTCTGCTAATCTTGCTGGACTGATTTTGAATCTGACATTGAGCCTCCATTTTCCATCCTTGCCCTTCGTCTTTTTAGGTGCAAAATTGGAGAAGATGTCCCGTACGGCAACAGCATTGACTGGTCGTTCTTCAAGAACCTCGACAGGCTCGTCAAGGGAATCGTTGTCAGATACTATTTCCACATGTTCATCTGGGCTTATGAAGCTTTCATTCTTCTTCTTCGTGCGGGCTCGTAGAAGATCCATTGCTGACATGGATTTCTTTGAATCGTACATCTTCTGTTCGAGCTGCTCAAGTGATTCCGGTTTGGGGAACGACACCTCCAGTTCCAGCTTACTTGAGGAAAGGTCAGTGAGTTCATCAGTCCCCTCCTTTGATCTCTCGGCTTTCGAGTCCTTCTTCTGTGGCTTTTTCTTGCTATTCTGTTTCCCTGATAGAAGATGTAGAAGGTTTAGTGGCTTGTTTTTGCCTTCCGGCTCGTGTTTCCTGATATCGATCTCGGGATTCTCGTCCACATCTGTGATATCCTCGGAGAGCAACCCGCTGCTGACAGCAGTATCATCATAACCAGAATCTGAGTCATCGTATGTATTTCGAGAGCTAAATGGGTTCGGACGATGCTGTAGATATTGTTCCAGGCCCAGCATCATCGCTGGTAGTAGTAGTAAATATCTAAACGCGAAATATCACCAACCGCGTATGAGGGTACTCCACAGAGCAGCAAGCCTTAATACACCCTTCACAAATAAAAGAAGAATTTAAGTATTTCAAGACTTCATGATGTCTTTTGCAAATTCAACGTTCTCATGAAATACTCTCATTCGGAAGAGCTGTGCTTACTTGCGGAAACGACCCATGCGAATTGGCTGCAAACTGTGATTAGCCCTAGTGTAGAGGCCAAGGAGCCATCGAACATGGCTTAAAGGGCTAAATCCCAAACATGGAGTTGCTTTGATTGACCACTTTCTAATGATTTTTTTTTTTTTTTTTTGCGGAGTTCTCAAGTCATGTTTCTTCCGATCGATTTCTGTGCGTCATGGTGAGCAACACCATGGAAGGTTCGAGTCGCATCCATTTTTTCATATTTATTATTTTCTTCTGTGAAGTCAGCTTCTTAAATGGAATGTCGAGTATATCTCCAGTATTAAAGGACAAATACTTCCTATTTGAACGGACCGTATCTTCTCGGTCTTCAAGTCTTATCTCATCTGACCTGCATTGACGTAACATCAACCATAGTTCTTTATGGCTGGATTTCTGCTAAACCTCAAGGGCAAGGTCCAAAAGCCTGGGAAGATTGGAGGAAGGCCCCTCAAAAAGACAAACCTCGAAACACTTCAAAAGAATGTTCTCGGTGACAATGAAGATAAAGAAGATACAAGCACAACATCCATAGACTCGTTCCTGAAAAAAGGTGCCATGGCAGGCGGTTCTGCTGTCAACGAGAAGAAACCGCTTGTCATAAAACCTCAAAGACTTTCAAAGGGCCTTCTACGAAAGAATGAAAGGACAACTGATCTGAAACCTGCGTCTGGAGATGAAGCAAGACAGAGCCTTTTGAAAGGGGAGTCATTCGATGATGACTCTTCGATGATCATCACTGGAAATGAAGACAATCACCAGAGTCTGGCAGACTACGAGCTGGTACCAGTGGATCTATTTGGTGCAGCACTTCTACGAGGTATGGGATGGGATGGTAGTGATGCCCACAAGGAAGACAAATCACTTAGCCATAGACAAAAAGGTGCGGTGCTTGGAATAGGCTCCAAGCCCTTGAAGGAGGATCTTGAAAAGGACATTATGGGTGACCGAAACACTAAACTACTGGCGCCATTAAAAAAACGTGAAATGAGTTAAGTTATAGATGCTATGTACATTAATGCAAAGGTTTCGTTATGCAAGGACACCGAGTCCAAGTAGCAAGAGCTGACTGGCGACGGTCTGGGACCAGGTGCTGGCCTTCTCCTCCATGATCCGCTTCTCGTCCAGGATTATCATTTTCATGAAGTCATCGTAGATGTCACTGACGATCGCGTCGAAGATTCGAGTATGGGTGATGTTATCAAGATTGTGCAAGTCGGTGAGCTTTTCAATCACAGTAGTCTTGATGAGAATAGGGTCGTTTTCCTTCTCCATGCTGTTGACATATCCAACCAAGGCTCTGAGCTTGTGAAGTGTCACAAATGGGAGTGACGTTGAAGAGGCCATTGGCAAATGCAGTGGCATGGCGGCCTTGAGGTTCTTAAACTTCACCTTGACGTTGACGATGACGTACTCGCTATCGTTACGGGAACGAGGATCATCTTGCTCTTTATTCTTGGCGAAGGTTTGGTAGAGAGCAGCAAGAGCGCCCTTAAAAAGACTGTTATTGTTCTTCTCCTCGCCTTCTTGAGCCTCTTGTGGTGCCGAAGTGGCGGTCTTGAGATCCGCCCACATTTGTTGGAGGGTAGATGTTGATGGAAGGAAACTGCTGTCGTCTTTGACCTTTTTCAGCTCTGGAAGACGAATATCGGCAAGAATCTCTGCCTTTCCATTAACAATCCAGTTGAACTTCAGCTGTGGGTTGGCACGAGAGATCGACTCCATGTCGATGCTGTCGAGCTTGAACCTCACGACATTTTCGTCGGTGAAGGATTGATGTTTGTGAATGGTGAACATGGAGTTGTTGACGGCTCCGGTGACGTTGCTGGCATTGAAGAAATCAACAATTAAGCGGTCGCCACGGAGTCTGGGAAGGTCACAGTTGAAAATGGTAACCTTGAATGGGGTTATGTCTTGGTTCTCGTAGATTTCGATGAAGGAGTCATGCACTCTCATATGGCCAAGCTGATAGTTGGAAGCAAGGAAGGCGGTGCTCTCGCTTTTAAGGTTTTCGAGTTCCTCCAACTTGTGCTCATGGAAGTCGTTTTGGATATTGTTGCTGTCATACTTGCTCATGGACATGGCGAAGGAGCTGAGTGTGTCGACCTTTTCGTCTGATTCGATCTTGGGGCCAGTATCGTCTTTCTTGTAGACTTTAGCGTGCATACCAAAAACTTCCATATCATCAATAAGGCCATTTCCATCGTACCACTTTTTGAATGACAAAGTGATGTTGAGCTCCTGGATCTTGGCAAGGAAGCGAAGAGCCTCGTTGTTCTCGGATGACACAACCTTCAAATTTCTAAACTTGAGCATGCCGTCGATGAGCTCCGGCAAGACGCTGCCTCTCTCAAACACAAACCTCATGCCCAAACCTTGCGATAAAATCGATCCCGCGAGGTAAGAAAGAAAGCTCTTGTCTTTGGCCTGAGGAGCGACGTCCTCATCGTCTTCGTCGTCACCGCTAATAGTGTTCCAGAACTTGTCAAACGTGTGAATGGAGTACATGGTAACCAAACCAAAGGTCGTAGTACCAAGAACAACCCACAAGACGTTTCCCATGACAAGCCAGGACGCAAAAGCCGAGAAGTCATCTATGGAAAAAGGCCGGTTATTTCTCGTCAAGGGCCACTTCACGTGGATCCAGAACCGAGAAAGCTTCGAGGAGGCCCCTGCAAGGAGTTCTGATTTTGATGTTTTCAAAGGGCCAGGCACTCTGAGGCGAACAGCGCTTTGTGTAAATGGTCTTCGAGTTTTCCACAATGCTTGGAGTGGTTGCTGACGAACCGGTGTGGGGTGCCGAAGGCCGATTAAGCCGAATCGACCAACTGAGGACACCGACCGGACCAGCCGGGGCACAAGACCTCTGAACATTGTAATTTGGCGAATGTTCGTTGTTTGCAGTTGAATGCTGGTTGAGCCTGGAGGAAAAAAAAAGTAAGCTGGGGAAGAGAAACTATATATCGCGCGTGCTTGTGCAGAGCAAGTGGTTAAGGCCGAAAGACAAAGGCCGAGAGACAAAGGCCGCAAATGGCAGCAAGTGATTGATTGAAAAGTTGATGGTTATTTTAGAGGTTTTCTGAATCTTAGTTAGCTGTTCGTGCAAGCAAGCATTGCTCGTGTGAGCATTGACTGACTGGTTCGCGGAATCAGATTGCCGCTATGAGTGGATAAGCTAGCAACGCTTATAAGGTTGGAGGTGCCGATCATTTTGCATTTTCTTTTTGATTTCGTCGTCTGTTGAAGAGACAGAGCTTGAATGAATGACATATTTCTAATTAAATTTTCAGGGGATTTTCTTTTGCATTCTGTCTGGGCAAAGACCAAAGAGGACTGTAGAGATACGCGATTTCTGGTTGTCAATTACATGACTCGTCTTTTTCGGGGTGCTATACAAGGGGGCAAAAAGCAAAGCTCTTTTGTGTGTTTGCGGTATTTGAGTCTCGGCTCCAACGGAAAGCTAAATGGCTGCGAAATTCGTGAGGCACCCCGGTAGACATGTTGAGGAAGATTGTGTAAATACAAATTTTCGAAACAAGTTTCAGAAGGGTAATTTGAAAAATACTGTTTTATGCTGCGAATTTCTAATCAAGTGGCTCTCTGCTATCTGAATATATTTTTCAATAGTCGTATGCTGGGCATAGGTTCCTAATCCTCGTACATGTCGTCGAATGACACACCCAATCAACCATCAACAAACCTACGATAAAATTTTTAAAAATCTACTCCCAGATCAAAATTAACCCATCCCTCTCATCACCACTACTACTTACCTGGATGGTCCACCTTATCTGGGGTCCATCGCGGTGCAGTACACTCATCGCATCAGCTACTTTTTTCTGCCTACCAGCTTGACAAAACACCCATGACTGCCCCTACAGCCATTAAAAAGGCTCTGGTTGAAACAAAACCACAGGAAACCAACGATGACGAGCTTTTAGTTGACGTCAACAACGTGCCACGTGAGGAGCCCAAGGCGGCAGCGGAAGATGAGGAAATGAAGGACGATGAGCCCCAGCCTGAATCGGTAGTGCTAGACGAAAGCGGAAAACCCAAGTTTGCTGCTGCTGGCAAGAGCGGCATGAAGGTGAAGTTGGAAAGCAGAAAAGTGCCAATTCCTCCTCACAGAATGTCGCCTTTGAAGAACACCTGGATGAAGATATACCCTCCTTTGGTGGAGCACTTGAAGCTACAAGTGAGAATGAACCTCAAGACCAAGACGGTCGAGTTGAGAACAAACAAGCACACTGAAGACGAAGGTGCTTTGCAAAAGGGCGCTGACTTCATCAAAGCATTCACCCTCGGTTTCGATGTCGACGATGCTATCGCTCTTTTGAGGTTGGACGACCTATATATCGAGACGTTCGAAATCAAGGACGTCAAGACCTTGACCGGTGACCACTTGTCCAGAGCTATCGGCCGTATTGCAGGTAAAGACGGTAAGACCAAGTTCGCCATTGAGAACGCCACGAGAACGAGAATCGTGTTGGCTGACTCCAAAATCCACATCTTGGGTGGCTTCACGCACATCAGAATGGCCAGAGAAGCCGTCGTGTCTCTTATCTTGGGTTCTCCTCCAGGAAAGGTCTACGGAAACTTGCGTACCGTGGCCTCCAGAATGAAGGAGAGATACTAAGCGGACAGAGCATATTGAGCACCTACCACGGCCTCGGGCCATTTGCATCCTTGTATATTAGATTTTGTATCCCCAATCCTACACAATCGTACCCATAGAAAGTGCTTGAGTAACAACTGCGACTCTAAATAAGATCCTGGGTAAAGTCGTCCTGCTCTTCATAACCATGGTACGGGAGCATCTCCTCCAACTTTAAGTCCTTTCTCATGGCGTATGCATCTTCACCGTCCTGGTAGTATGAATTCTCGATGTCTGTCATTGTAAACTCCAACGAGTCTCTGTATAAATGCAACGCCGCTCTGTTCGATTTTCTAACATGGAGCGACACATACTTCGCCTTGAACACTTCACACATGGCGTATAGCGACTGGCGCATCAATTTCTCCGCCAATCCCATTCTTCTGTATGTTCTCATGACGGCCAAAGATGTAATGTGACCGTGTGGAGTCTTGTCTTCAGCTTCTGGGTCATCCTCCATTTTGCCCAAAACGTAGCCGACGATCTTTTCGCCCTTTCTGATGTATGAGGTGTCGCCCTTCGGGTCCTTGAGATCTATGTTTTCTATTGGCTCTTCGGCAAGAACCTCTCCGTTTTCGTCCTCGTCGTTATCAAGTGTGTCATAGGTGGTAGCGACGAAACTGGCCTGGGGCCAGGACAAGATATGGTACATGTAGTATTTCAACTGGTAGTTTTCCGGCAAGTTGAGCAAGTTGGCATTCTGCATAGCCTGGACATCCTCGATGGTGGCTCTCCTTATGTTGATCCCCATGGTGCAGTGTTGATGTTCAGCTAGTACTGCTGAAAAATTGAGGTGTATGTCAGTCGTGCATTTTCCATGGATCATGGGACCTACATTTGGCAGCGCCTAAACTTTGATATTTGAAGGTCGTTGTTTCTATAGAATACATGAGTCTGCCTAATTGAATCGAATTTCCTCTCTGAGAAGAAGCTGTTCGTCTAGTTTGATCAAGAACACTGTGCGGAGAGGGAAAGAGTCCAATGGGGCAGAATGAGCCACCACGGTTGCGTGAAAGCCTGAGGAGTCTAGAGCGCCTTCGATAATACCAGCAACAAACGCCAGGCAGTTCAAGTTGCCGTATTCCTTGGGTATGCTGATGAACTTGGACACAACAGGGAGGTTGTCGATGATCATGTACTCGTCGTTGACGTCCAGGGACTTCTCCAAGTCGTTGGCAGTCTTGCCAAAGATGCTTTTCCAGAAGGGCCCGTGGATGAATTGTAGGATCTCGATGATTTTCGTTTCTCTTTTGCCGTGCTTCATGCCCTCGCGTAGTTTGACGAGTTCCAAGAACCGCTGGCCTATCTGGTACCCGAGCCCGTTGAGTCTATTTTCCAAGTCTTGAATTCCTTTGGACTGTGACAGCGCCCAGTTGACAACCTCGCAGAAGAGGAATGCCAAGGACGATAGACTGATTTCGTTGACTTTCTTCGTGTTGACGGTCTTGTCGTAGATGGAGTTATGCGACGTGGGCGTCAAGCTTATGGTTCTTTTGTTGAGGAGAATTGATGATGATTCAGGTGTTATGGCGTTGGACGAGGGCCCCACAGACGGGTTGTATCCGAATCCATGTTTGGAGTTGTCGTTGATGGTGAGAGCACCCATCGACACGATGGACGGCAAAATTGGCTTTTCCGACATTGAGCTGTATTGTATAAGCTGAAAAGTCTATATGAATTCAGGAATGGGTTGTGCCCGTGGAAACGTGAATATTCAGTTTATAAGATGTAGTTGATAGCTGTGCGATCCAAATCGGTGGTTTCTACAGTACTTTCGCAGCCACTACTACATGAGAACTGACGTGCTAGGTGCCCTTAAAGGTATATAAGACCTGAGAAATGTCTAGAATAGTTTCTAATTGCAGGCTACAAAAGCAAGCGTAAGCAGCAGATTTCAGAAAATCGCAAGTCTTTCAAGAAGCGGTCTGGCAGTGTGTTTGACTGCGACGATCTGTTTTCCTCGAAGGAGCTACAACGCATATTTGGGGGTTCAAGAAAAATTCAGGCGTGTTCAACGCCAATTAGTGGGAAAAGGTTTGATTTTGAGACATCGTCGGGTATTTGGGGGAAGGAGGTGTCTGGCAAGTGTGACCAAGATGGCTCTAAGGAGGCGAATCTTATGCTTAAGGAGGCTGTCAAAGCGAGGTCCCCAACAAAGGTCACCAAGCTATCGAAAGAAGAGATGAAGGAGAATTTACGAAAGCCAACTACCTCAGTCCCGGAGTCCAAGCTCAAAAAAGGCAAGCAGAAGGGTTCACTGAAAACACAGCACAAGGAAAGCAAACGGACAAATAATCCACCCACCCAACAGAATCAAGATCCCAAAGCATCCAAACAAAATTCTCTCAAAAATCCAGCTCAGCAAATATCCAAACCACCGCCTCCCAATGCCCCTACAAAGTCTCCACCAATTGCTGCAAAACGGTTCGCGTTGGACCAACAAGTGCTCAGTACACCCCAACCACCAGCAAAAGCCTCCAATTTCAACTCTGTCGAAACACTCAGAATCAAAGCCCTTTACAACCTGCTCCTTCAAAAATGCACCCCCGGCCCAGATCCGCTAACGCTTCTTCCTTACAAAAAGTGCTCCATCTGAGCCATATATCTGCAGGCGCCATCAATCAGCCAAACAATTTGGTGCATCTTCTTCAGCTCCACCATGGGACCCAAGCTGCTAACACCAGAGGAGCTGATCACTCCGGCAGAAACACCGCAGGCTGAATCCTCAGAGGCTCCTGTCATCGATAAAGAGAGCCTTATGGCCCGACTCCAGAATATACCGACCGAAACGCTCCGCAGTATTCTCATGAACCAAGTGGACCTCGAGATCCGCCTCAAGCACCGAGAGCTCCGTCTTACCGAAGAAGAAATCGGCAAGTGTGAAGCCCAGATGCTAGCGCTTCGCAAGTTCTTCGATGTGCCCAACGATGTGACTTTCAACAGTGAACCCAACGACTTCACACTCAAGTACTACGATGTGCTCAACAAGTCGCTCTCCGTGAGCTACACACGGCTCCAGCAGCAGCTGTACCAGGAGCAGCCGAAATTTAACGAAGCGGTGTTTGAAACAGCGCCACCAGAACCAGCCCACTACAGAACAAGATCTACAACGTCATCGCTACGTCCCAGCATAACAGGCCCTGGTCTCCGGGTGGCAGGCTGCTTGTACCGCCGAACTGACGGCATCATCGTCAAGCTTACGTGTCCCGATTGCCACCGTAGCAATTTCTCGTCAGCGCAAGGTTTCCTCAATCACAGTCGAATTGCACACACCAAGGAATACACCTCGCAAGACGCAGCGGCATTGCAGTGTGGCGAGCTTCTCCCTGACGATTTTCAAGATGATGAGGGCGTGGCTAGTCTAAAGAGCTTGCGTCAGAAAGAGCTTGATCCGTCGAGGCACCTTAATGTGAATGAGATGTACTTTGACGGGCTCAGCTCGACCCTCGGCACGGCCCCCGTGGCACCTTCAGAACCCTTCCAGAAAGTTCAGCGGAGCCGAAGTAACGACGAAAATAACGAGCTCATGAAGAAGCTTATCAAGAGCGGTGTCGCCCAAGACGCCAAAGCATACAAGGAGCTTGTGGACCAAGCCCGGCAGGACGTCCCCAATGCCCATTTATTCGAAGGTGAAGTTGAAGAAAGCGAAAGCGAAGCGACGCCTGCCACGCCAGCTACACCAGCTACACCGCGTGCCGAAAGGCCTAAACCGGAAAAGCTGACTTCGAGACGAGGAATCATTGAGGAGAGGAGACATCCCGAGAGTGGGGGCAAATATGAGAACCGGTTACGGAGGCGGAAGTCAAGGAGCTTCGTCGACGAGGACGACGTTCCTAAACGGCGAAAGCGATAGGCGTGTGGCCCCGTTGGCTGCAAATAGGGCAATGTTGTAGGGGTGAGAGACAAAGAACAAAGACGAGCAAAAAGTATTGAAGAATGGCGACTGTGATAAGCCGAAGACGAGAGAGACAATGACACGAGGGATAGACGAGAAGAAGGAGAAAAAGGAATTAAATTAGATGAGGGAAGGAAATTAGTGTTTCCAGTTTGCCCAATGCTGGCGGTACTGATAAGGAAGACGGTGATGGTGGGGGGTCGCACGGCGCTGGCTCTAGGCGCTAAAACAGACAATCAGACCCATCCAAGTGTCTCAGGACCACAAAAAGGGTGCGGCCACACGCGCCATTTTCAAGTGTCTAGGCCAGAGGAATCCTTTCTGACTATTCCTCACGTCCGGTCCCTTCCTGCCCTTCTCCGCCGGTCCCCTCCAACACCCATATTCAAGTCAGACGAACAATATCCAACGGCTGGCTTGGCTAATGGGTGCAAACGGATTGGCGCGCATTCGGCCCAGGCCTAGACCGGGGTTATGATGCGACTAGTGCACGTCGTAGACGTCAGACGTTGAGCCCTGGCCAGCACCGCCACATAAATGGCAGGTGCTCTAAAGTGATTTAGTTGGAAAAAACACCGAAGGCCGGTGTCCCGGGCGGTTATCGAGATGGTCTGCCACATCGTGCCCCGGGCTAGGCCTGGCCATCTCCTTCATCATTTTTTTTTCTCGTGTCTGTGTGTGCGCTTTAGCCTCCTACGTCATTCTCGGCTTTCCTTTTTTTTTCTCTTTCGCAGGTGTTTACATTCCTCGACTCCATTGGTCTCACAAGCTCCTTCTTTCTTTCCCGACCGAAACCCCCTTGATCTTCTTCCTGGCTACTTCGTCCCATGAGTACTAGCCCTTGTTGCACTGGGTACAAGTTCCCCAGTACACACCTGGCGGGTCCTTGAAGAGGCCCAACTCAGACAAGGCCGATTACTTTTCCTACGAAGCCGCTGACGTGAACGAACCCATGACCAAGCTACATCTCCAGCTGCCTCTTCTAAACTTCGACACGGCAGACTACTTCGCCAACCTCCCGCAGCATACCTTTGCCCGATCTGACTCGGCCTCCTCGACCGCCTTTGCAAAGCCTAGATTACACAAGAACGCTGCAAACTCCATCTCCTCCTTGACGTCCGACTCCACCGTGGTGGGCGACACCTCGTCGTCCTCCGCTGACCTTTCCATGTCGACTGACACGCTTATTGGCGAAAACTCGTCCAACTCGTCCCCCACAAAAAACCGCCGCAACATGCTCCAGTTGAAGCTCAACGTTCCACGTCGTTCATTCCAGCAGCCACTGTCGCTGACGTTCCCCCTGGGGTCAGCGAGCCGCTCTACGAGTTTGAAGAGGAGGACAAGAAATGCGTCTCCGCTACTACGCCTCGTTTTAACTTCGCCAACGAAACCCCTAAAACACCCACCAGCACATATCAGCAGCCTCCCTCGCTCAAAACACTGCTAACGGCCCCTCTCTCACTGAGCGCCACCACTTTTGCTCCTCCCACCATTAAGAAGCATCCGACCTCAGGTGACTTGGGCAGATCAGACTACGTCGCCTCCATCAAGACCGAACAAACAAGACGCCTTCACCAGGTTCCCTTGCAAGAAAACTTGCGTGGCAGCATCACAGGCGTCTCTCCTGCTATCAGATATGTGTCTCGTGAGGAGATCGTTGCTCTCTTGAAGGCTCGTCGTGTTCTCGACTCCACGCATCTTCCAAGCGTCTTGATCATCGACATCAGACCGTTTGCAGACTACATGAAAGGGCATATTTCAGGGGCACTTAACGTGTGTCTCCCTCTGACTCTTCTAAAAAGAGCAAACTTTAATTTTCTTCGCTGCATGAACTCGCTTCCAACATACGAAAAGACCATCTTACAAAACTACATGCATCATTATTCTGATGAGTCCTTCACTGGATACAGCATGCCTCCCATACTTGTCTACGACAACACAAATTCTTCCAGCGGTTTGTTGCACATGTGCAAGAAATTGGTGGATGGTTCAAGTTGGGATTTGAAAAATGGGCCTCCAATCTATCTTATAGACGAGAACTTTCTGGCTTTCACTGCATCAGCTCCTGAATTCATTGGTTCCGGAAAGGAAGATACGATTGACATCAACCTGTTGTCTGTGAAGCCTCAATCTTTGGGTGCACCTGCCGTGACAAAACCATCTCTCTCGATCGACACTTTGAAGCGCAGTCCAGTGCAACAGCGTCGCTCGCATTCACTCACAGGTGTTCCATGTTCCAGTGCTACTTTCCAAGATATCTCTACACAAGTGTCGAACTTCAAGCTTCCTCAAGATATACCCATGGCTAAGTTCAAAATTAGACACAATGAAGAGATGTTTGAGAGTTTGGTAACGCCAAAGAAGGAAGAGTTTGGTCTTTCTACGTTAACGCTGGCAGAGATGGCCAAGCTTCCTCCTTGGCTCCAAGCTGTGGAGAAGAATTCTTGCATGGTCACTGACGAGTTCAACAAGCTTGAGCAGTGCGAGAAAAATCGTTTGAATGGTGCATTTTGCTACAGCGAAATTAAGCCAGAAATTTCCACTCCTGGCGGATCCTCTGAAATCTGTCCTCAGATCAACTGCGGCCTTGACTATGGCCACAAGAACCGTTACAAAGATATTTTCTTATTCGATCACTCGCGTGTTCGGTTAACGGACGGGGCCAGAATCAAGTCTAAAAGCCAGTCTTGTGACTACATCAATGCCTCGTATTTGAACCCACTGAATTATGTGGGGGATGTCGTGCAAGGCGAGGTCACTCAGGAGAAAGTTGACGAGTTGAAGTACATTGCAACGCAGGGTCCTATGAGAGAAACCATTGGAGATTTTTGGAAATGCGTCATCAATCAGAAGTGTCTTTTGATTGTCTCCTTATCGGGTGAATACGAAAACGGTGTGCACAAGTGCTCACCATTTTGGAAGCCTGGTGTCTACAGATCAGGTGAGAATATTATCAAGGTTGATATTGAGAGCGAAGAGATTCAAGGCAATCTTGTGATCAGGTCCTTCAAGGTCAGTTCGGACGCTAAGGTCTTTCACCGTGTGTTACAGCTTCACTTGTGCACCTGGGCCGACATGAGCAGCGCTGTGGATCCTAAGGATTTGATAAATCTCGTGACAATCAAGAGACACGTTCTCGACAAGGTGAGACATCGTCCTCAGTATCACACCATCACGCATTGTTCTGCTGGTTGTGGCCGAACTGGTGTGTTCTGTGCTGTGGACACGATTGTCAACCTCTCGAGGTGCAATGGCGGTTCTTTCGACTTTGCTAGCAACCCGGTTTACCCGATGGTGAACAACTTGCGTCGGCAAAGAATTCTGATGGTGCAGACCATGAGGCAGTATTACTTGATTTATGACACCCTCGTGCACCATGTGCTCCACGGGGCCCAGGAATGGATTGGCGACCTCAACATCGTCAACGACTTTGTCTCACAGGTGAACGAAAGCGCTTTTTTATAGAAATTTGGGAATAGGTTTTACGGTAATGATTACGAATTATATGTGCAATTGATTAAAAATGTGTAATTGCGTATCTACAGCGAAGAATTCTGTGTGTCGTTGATTCATATACACTTAGGCGTTAGCAGCCAAAGCCTGCTTCAAAGCATTAGGGTTGGCGCCGATGACCTTCTGCACAACCTCACCGTTCTTGAAGAAGATGATGGTTGGCATGGAGGAGACCTCGTACTCCTGAGCAACCTCACCAACCTCGTCGACGTCGACCTTGACAAACTTGGCAGAAGTGTACTCCTTGGAGAACTTGTCCAACAATGGAGCAATCATCTTGCATGGGCCACACCACGTGGCGAAGAAGTCAACGACGACCAAACCGTCGTGCTTGAGTGCTTCTTGGAATTCAGCTTTAGAGGCAACTTGGGAAACCATGGTTGTTAATGTGAGAATTGGACAAGGTTTCGCAGCATTTTTATACTCTGGCCCGCGGATCCTGCATTGCTCAGCACAGCGCCCTAGACTCTGGTAGCGCTTACAAATGGGAGCAAAAAAAAAGTGTGTCTCATCTATGTCAGCGTGCCAATCATGTACACAAAGTCTTGCGTAGAAAGCTCGAGAAGGCGATCGAGTAGAGCATGTTTTGCCGCAAAGTAGCCCTTCAATTGCGTGCTGGCATGCTGACTGGCTGACGCAGCCAACGTGGTGACGTCAGCTTCTTTACTAGTTTTTGCAGCCATATCAATGAGCGGTGTGGTGAGCTTGACTAACTCGCGGATCCCGTGCTCGGAGTCTTCCCATGTTTGCTCTAGAATATCAGGCACACTGACGTAGGCATCTTCAAAGACAACCCCATAGGCTGTTTCGGTGGATAAAATCACCGGGTTGTTTTCTTCTTCAAAGATCAATTCCTCAATGTCGTGTTCGTCCTCCTCTATGTCTGCTTTTTCGTTCCTCCATCCGGCGTAGTATGTAAGCCCCGGCACCATGAGAAGTGGAAGCCGGGATTCGGTGAGGTCCACGGTAACGGAATCTTCGGACAGGGCGAAAACAAGGCGAGGTTTCACTCGAAGCCACTTGGCCATTTTTACGTAATCGACACCGCTGGTGCCCTTGGCGGCGTTGGTGATGCTATTGAACAGAGGAAGCACCCATTCGTAGACGCCGTGCTGAGGAATGAACCCGTAGGTCCTGAAAAACAGGCCCATGTCTTTGGATGGAGAGTAGCTAATACAAACCTCGGTTTCGGCATCCACCGGTTTTGTGACCCGAAGAACCACGTCTCCAGTGGTCCTGTCCACATCAAACACTGCGTTGTTGGTCTGCGCATGGTTGGCAAAGTCTAGCAACGGCACTAGGGTGACTCGCGTAGTGAACTCGTATTCTTCGTCTTCGACAGGATGCGGGATTTCGAGAACCCGTGATTTCACAGCTTGGTGAAGCCGGAAGGCGGTTTCTGCCAGAAGATGTGGAGCAAACTCTGGGTGTGCTTTGACCATCTCACAAAGCTCCAGCGTAACACGACGCTTTTGCATTATTTGCCACTGAACTAGGCTGTCCAGAACCTCGAGGTTCTCGTCCACGTCTAGCACCTCCGTGGTACGTAGCACGTCTAGGTACGGCGCAATGGGCTCGAGGTCAACACCCATACTTTGTAGAATGGCAAAGCTCCAGACGTATCCTCTAATCACTGTAGTTTCCGTCGGGCTCAGAATCATCAGTAGCACGGAGCTGAACACATTGCGGACGTCTGGGCGGCCCTTTTTGAGTTGTTCTGTGTAGTGGAGGAGGTTCTTGATGTCGTATGTGCTATTTTGAGGAACCCGAAGAACGATCGAGTCTTCCTCCAAGTGTCCGGTGGCAATGAGACCCAAGCCACCTAGGGGTGATTGAGTGACCTTCAAGGAGGGCGAAATCCATGCCCCCTGCCTCTGTGCCCATGAAAGGAGCTTTTCTAGCTGGACCATCAGGAAGAGTTGTAGTTGATGCTGGTGCAGGAGGAACGAAGATCATCACACACGGTGAAAAATCACGATCAGGCGAGTGGACATGAAATTTGATTTTGATGTAGGTTTCCAGCGTAGGAAACGTTTTTTTGAAAGAATTTAAGTAGAGGTGATTTTGATCGTTGGAATGGTGGGTTTTGAAAATGGCTGCGAAAAGCCGATTCTGGAGTAAATCGCAGATTTGTGGTGATGAGAGAAAAACTGAACCAACACGTCTAAAAGTGAATGGTCCTCTTTTGTGAAAACAAGCTTTCAGTATCTATGTATAAATGAAAATTCCATCCAATGAGTTCGTTAAAGCCATTAAGCATTGGCCACCTCGACCACCCATTTCTGGGGTCGGCTCGGTCTTTCAAAATCTAATACAAGCTGACCCCAGTCAACTACCAGTTTTCCCCATTCTTTCCAGTTTCCCAAATCCTCCCATCCCCAACACCTTCCCAATTGAAACTTCCCTATTTTCACTATTGAAGGTGACCGGCTCGGAGACACACGTGACCGCAGGGCTATAGAAGGCAGAAAAAACCGAGCAGAGAATCCATCAGAACTTACAACAATATGTCGTGGGACGACGAGGACTTTGACGTTTCTGCTAAAACCGCCCCAGTGGCATCCTGGGAAGATGAGGCTGACGACGAGCCAGTTATGGAATCATGGGAGGTCGACGAAGAGGAGGAGGCCAAGAAGAAGAAGGAAGCTGAAGATAAGAAGAAGGCCGAGTTGAAGAAGAAGCAAGAAGGAGCCAAGGCTAAGAAGCTCGCTGCGAAATCTGGCGAGAAGAAGCTTTTGGACATTGACACTGTCGACGAGAAGACCAGAAGAGAATTGTTGAAGAAGGCCGAGTTGGAGTCTGACTTGAACAACGCTGCCGACTTGTTCGGTAGTTTGGGTGTGGCCAACGACAAACTCGACGAGTTGACTGCCCACCCCAAGGAGAGAGCTGCTGCTGCTGCCGCTGCTTCCAACAAACAGCCAGCTTTCACCAAGGACACGCCGTTGGAACTGCACCCCTTGTTCCAGCCTACGAACAAACAGGAGTTCGAGAAGCTCAGAAAGACTTTGGCTCCTATCTTGACCGGCTTGGCCAAGGACCTGTCATTGCTTTACTCTTCCAACTTGGCCATTGACTTGATCAGAGACCTCGTGCAGCCATTGTCTGTGGAGAGCACCAGAAAGGTCGTTTCGACCTTGAACGTTCTTCAGAGAGAGAAGGAGAAACAGGAGAGACAGGCAAGATTGCTGAAGGCTGGCGGTACTGCCACAGGAGGTGCCGGTAAGAAGAAGGCCAAGCCTTTGGTGAAGACTAATGTCAACGACACGCACTTCAAGAAGGACGCCCTCGACAACTTGGACGACAACTTCGACGACTTTGGCGACGACGACTTTATGTGATGCTCCTTTCGTGGGCTTCTCTGGCATTTGGATAGAATATAGTATTGTTAACGGTTTTTGTAGACTTGGTCACGTGCGCCATCTTCGCCTAGTACTATCTCGGTGATCGGGCTCTATGCTCAGAAAATTCAGCCTTTGCACCCACACACATAAATTGCATATGAATTGATGAGTTCCCTCAAAGATGCTCTAATACGTGTATCTCGTGTTGCACGGAATATAGAGCAGGCTAAGCTGCCGCTTCGACCGCCTTCACAGCATACAAAATCAGTGAAGAGCTCACAGTTCAATGAACTACCGAGTCGAGAACGCATTTCAAAAAAGGAGCTCAAAAGATACAGAGAACAACTCAAGGGCTTCCAGAAGAAGCGATTCCAAAGCTTTCTTAAACCGCTTAATATGCCCGAGTTGAAGATATTCGATGAAGATTTACCCAAGTACGATTCTGCCAGAGCAGAGGCCAATCATGCAGTGAAATCCAGCAAAGACAGGGTAGCGGTGTTCAATACGTTCCTTTCTGAAAGGTTCACCTTCAACAAAATGCTTGATTTTTTGGTCCAGCTTACACCACAGCATCTCAAGTGTGAGAAGACAGTGAGTGATCCAGCAGCGTTGGGGAATGTCTTGAAACAACAAGATGAGGAGTTCAGGAAAAACAAATACGACGTGCCCAGGTACCATTTTGGTGAGGTTCCACCGTTTCCCCAACCGCTTACCAAAGAGTCGTTTCAAGAATATATCTTCTTCCTCACCCACGTCAGAATGCCATACAAGAACTCATCCTCCCTCCTAAGTGGTGTCATTCCCGAAATCCTTTTATACACACATTCATTGAAAAACGATAGCTTCAAAGAGCTCCGATCAGTCGAAACTTACAACTACCTCATCAAGTTCTTCGGCTACGACAAGTTCCAGGCATCTTTTGCCAAAGAGCTTCTACTCGTCATGGCCGCCGATGGAAAACAGCCCAACCTTGAAACGATCAATGAACTTTTAAAAATCTGCAGAAGCCATTCTACGCGGCGGTCGCTTGTCAGCTCATACAGTGTGATTTTGAGATATCTCAGTCTTATCAAACGCATGGACATTCCCGTGAACCTCACCACATGGGCCAGAATTTACGAATGCATCACGAATATTTTCTTGAGGGAAGTCTACGTCAATAAAATGTCCTCAATCAATTTGCCCATCCTGAGCCACATGTGTGTCAGGATTCTCGAGGACTTCTGTCAAACCACTCAGGATACACAAGACGTTGTGGACTTTTTGTGCAATGAGCTTAGACGTCCAGGATGGAGAGATGACCCGAGATTGGCGGAGAAAGTCGTGTTGCACATTGTTTCCAAAGCCAAGAACGCCCTAGAGCTCAAACCAGCATTTGATCTTCTTAATGAAGTTGTTATTGATGAGACAACGATCAATGCACTCGCAAAAGAGGTCTACCAGAACGAAAAGTTGAACAACCGCACACTTGTCCTTTTGTACATATACACCCGCTTCGACAAGTATGTGAATGCTCAATCTCCGGAGGTGCTCGGCAACTTCATCAAAGCCATCACTACAGATGATATCGCGCTTTCACAGGCTAACTTCCTCCTCCGATGCATCGTGCACGAAGATTCGGTACAAAAGTTGAACTTGCCGGTTGAGTTTAACAAGCATGCCGATTTAGGGAAGCCCAAACCCAGAAATCATCAATTTCCCTACCCAATTCCCACGTCATGCATTCCGGAGCACTACAGAATCATGAAGAGACTCACAGGCGACCATATGACGGATTTCGAAGCTCGTGTGATCCATAACCAAGGTGACCGGCTTCCTATACCGTGGGATCCCTTGAGTGAAAGCGAGAAGGTCAAATGGGGAGAGTTCAAAGAATTGGTGTCAAAACTGGATCCATTTTGGTTGGATATTGCAACTATTACTCGCGACCTCGGGCTTGAGATGGCTGCGAAAAATACCCCACCGCATCTTATCAAGGCATACAGAAAGCTCAATGCCATCAATACAGGCATCAGTCGCGATATTAATTTGGTCCACAGACTCAAGGTTGGTCTTGATGAGCACTTGAAAAAGGAGCTAGAGCAGCGTAAAATCCGCTTTAGCCAATAGCATATAATGATGTATATAGTCAAACGCTGTACGTTCTTCGGGACGTGAATCACTGCAGGGCTTCCACGAATCAAAAATTTATCACGTGATATAAACATTGGGAAAGCCTCTATCGGTTAGCACTAACTGTGTAACCATCACACTGTTTTCCATGACTAGGTTTGCAAATGCCTACTGGTCGCCTGATTACAGGTCAGGCATTGAGCTGCTTTCACAACAGCTGCTTGATTCCTTAGACCAGCTCCATGAGCTCAGAAAGTTCATATTCAATTACATGAACTATCATCACTCCAATAGCGGTTATATGGCCAAACTAGCCAGGGAGAGTCTCCCGCTTGATAGTTCTTTTCGTTCTGAAAGGAATGAGAGACGTATTATAAGTGGTTCACAGAGATCAACCTCAGAGCTGAAGCCAAAAGAATTCGATGTGAGGCATGTTTTCAAGGAGTTCGTTGATCGAACGGCTTTAGAGCTGCAAATGCAGCTCAATTTGGCATCAGAGATTGAGTCAGAGGTGCTTGGAAAGATTACTGGATTCATTAAACTACATGAGCCTCAGATCAAAACAACACTTGATCGTTTCGATGAACTCCTAGATGACTATGATGATTCACGACAAAAGATGGAACGAACAAAGCGCAAATACGACGAATTGGTAAGACTAGGTGAACTTGAAGGTCATGACCACAGAATTGAGCATGATCCCGATGAGTCCTACGGAACACTTCCAGGAACCCCAGAAAAGCCAAAGCATGTGTATGAGTCGGAGGAGGAAGGTGAGAGAGAAGATGGTCCCCCGAATTGGATCTTGCATACCCTCTTCTACTTGGTGGAGGACTCAAGTTTGAGTCCAAAGATAAGTTGCAATCATTCTTGGCGAAAGCCATTGCCACCATCACGACAGTCAAGCGCAAGATCCCATTTCCTGGTTACAGAAACGAGATTTTCAGCAGTGACCAATTGTGTAATTACCTCAAGACCCACAGACCGCATGGATTCAACCCAACCAGATCAAGTCTAGAAAAACTAGGGCAGAGCTTGATTGATAAGAAGATCATTCTAGGGAGTGGCTTGTTCTCACAGAAGTTTAAGAGTGAAGGCATGTGGTTTGAATGGTCACAAGAAGCTGTGAATACTGCTGAATCTAGAGGATATGTTTCATCGTCTTCTTCCACCGTCACACTGCCTACTGCTCAAGCCTTTTCTCATCTAGGCATAGAAGAATCCTCAAGAAAAGTCAATGAGGTAGCGGGCTCAACCTCGAAGCGTTTCAATATGATGTTCAAAAATGTCAAGTCTTCACTCATGAAACCAAAATACTCAGAAGAAGCTATCCATGAGCTTGAGGAAGAATACAACGAGGCATATGAGGATGTCCAAAAAATCAAACATCTTCTCGATATGGAGATTTTCAACAAATCACAGATTTTTGAAAAGTTTGAAATGGTGAGAATAGAAGTTGTCTATCAAAGTCTTACGAAACTTCTGGAGGTGCTTTACAGACATTCTTCTCAGGCAACCTCCTCACTCCACGACTTCACGTCAAATTTTATTGAGAACCTCAACAAGCCAGTCAATTACGAAAGAGATCTTCGTGATCTTCTCCACAACAACAGCACTGGAATCTACTTCCCTGCGATCGTGCTGCCTCACCAGGGCAAGGAGCATTTCGATCCCAGTCTACTCAACATCAGCTTTCAAAATATCAAATTCACCTTCAACTTATACAAAGACATACCGCTTCAGGTGAAGAACGCTGATGTGGAAAAGGACACTCTCTTGAGCACCCGCTCACTTCCACTACTTCTCAAGAGTTTAGTCGAGGCTACATTGTTGGCTGAAAAATCGGAAATGCAAGACTTATGGCTAGCCCCGATAGATCACCAAGAGTACTGGCTGTTGAAGCACGAGGCTATAGAACTCATTCAAAAGTTCGAGCCAACTGATGATCTTAATATCCAAGATGAAAAGGCAGTTGAAGTTGCAATTGTACAGAAAGTGGTGAAACATCTTTCGAAGTCTAAAACGAAGCGGATCTTGAATTTCTTGAAGAATTGGCTTCTAGAGACCAGCGACTCTGTGATTCCTTGCACAGTGTACGACTCATTGCTCAACTCACAGAAGGATTCCGAAGACAACATTACAGATGTTATAAAAACCTTATCATCAATCCCAAGGAGTAATCTCTGCTCTTTGCTTTTCATACTAGAGAGCATTTCATTCATTTTCGAACTCCAGACCATTGATGAATACGGCCTGAGTGATGATATAACTGAGTCGGAACGGGAGGACGAGGACTTGATGCCACAAGTCGAGAAACTAAATTCCATGGACAGCATAGGATCGGTACCCTTCCTTCACCTCATTTTCCGCCCCTCAGTTGTCAAGAACGCAAGTGGCTTCAAACCACCCCAGAAGGCCTACAATGCCCTTCTACGCACCTTGCTCAATGTTAACGTCAGGGAGAAGCTCTGCATTGCCCTAATAACCAACGAGAAAAACTTTTTGGAACGAACCAAACGTCAAGAGCAGAATCTTGGGATAAATAGGCGGATTGTCTCCAGTGAGACTACTACTACTACTACTACGCCCGATGTTCCGAAAATCGAAAAAGATACCACCCATCTGGATAAGGCTGTTTCGTCTCCAGTACCAAAGAACCCTAATCAACTTTCGGGGGACCAATTTTCGCTTAGGCCGTTCAGGACTGGAACCACACCACGTCCGTCGCCTATCAGTTCACCTGTTCACTCCAAGAAAGCGACAGAGCGACCAAGGAACAGAAGTGACTCTAATCATCTTATTTCTATAAACAAGGGGACGATGAAGAGCATGACTAAACCCTCTTTTGAGGAATGCGAGATTTTTTTGGCAAATCGCTCATGGTGATCTTTTGCACCTGCTTGAGATGCTTGAGGGCGTAGAAGAATAAAATTACCAAGGCGATCAGACCGACGATAACGACGCCCTCAAAGCCGCCATCGATTTCTTCGATGAAGTTCTCTAAGTTCATTCCATACAAGGCGGCAATGTATAATACAGCACCCATGGATAATAAGCCAATTGAAAACCGTAAGCCGAGTAACATTAAATCATTTCTGTTGGCGTCTAGGACAAACTTGATGATTTCCTCAGAAGTTTTGATTTGAGATATTAGATTTTTGGTTGTTTGGATGATCTCATCGATGGTGGTATAGTAAGATTCGAGCAAGAGCTCGACTTCTTGATGATTAAATGATGTTCGAGGTCTGCCTTGCTCTATTTCTGTAAGGTACAAAGCATTGAGCTCATCGTCCTGATTAAGTAGATCATCTAGGAGGTCGCCGGTCAATTTTGCCTTTTGGTAAAACTGAGAAAGCTTTTTCGATTGGATAAGGAGATACCGGAGTCTCGTGCGCTCGATGGAGTCATCTAGACTAGCTAGAATGTTGGAGAGTACTGTCTTGTGGACCTTGAGTTCAGTATTGAGATTTGCAGTGACGTCTATAAGGATTGCCTCAAGTGCTCTGAATTCATAAGGAAGCTTGGGGGCGTCAGGATGATCAGCTTTGAGCCTTTTTGCCATTTCCTGGAGAAAGACGCCGTGGGAATGCGATTCATGAAACCTCGATGAGGGCGAGAAGGTAGTAGTAGGAGCATCAAACACAACCAAGGTGTCGTGGCGAATCAAAGCTCGGATATTCAATAAGTTCAACAAGATACTGCCATCTCTGGTGACAAGCAGGGGCACAAACTCCACATTTGCCTTCATTCCAGCCGTCCTTGCTCCTGGAGAGTGAGACCTGATAACCTTTCGTAGATCTCTAGAAAGAAGACCGTAATCACGCATAAATTTAGCCTTTCTTATGTTCTTGCCGTGGCACACCATGTTGCCTTTGCTATCGTAGATCGTGCATTTGACGAACTCGTTCTCCAGCTTATTCGTTCGTAACGTATTGGTGATGAAGACGTCATTGAAGATATCCTCAGCTCGTTTGGAAGTTGATGTAAAATGTCGTGATTGGGGTCGAAGTAGCAGTAGCATACGGATTCTGCCACATGCCCGAAGCTGAGCATTATTTGGTTGTTCGTGATGGTGTTGCTAGTTGTATTCTTATCTAGTGCGATATTGACGTGCGTCTATTTACCTTCGCATTACTAGATACTCAAGTCTACAACCATCACCCCAATGGAGAGAATATATAGCTCCGACGAGCTAGAAGTTTGTGAGGAAGTGGGGAGGGGTGGATTTGGTGTCGTGTATCGTGGTGTTTTGAAGAGTATAGGCAAGGAAGTTGCCATCAAACAGATAGACCTAGAGAGCGAACTGGCAGACCTATTCGAGGTAAACAGAGAGATCACCATCTTGTCTGAATGCCGAATCCCACAAATCACGCGATACCTTGGCTCGTTTGTCAAGAATTACAAGTTATGGGTCATCATGGAGTATGTGAGTGGAGGAAGCTTATTTGACTTGTTGAAGGCAGGACCTATAACCGATGAAAGACTTGTTGCTGCCATGGCAAAGGAAGTTCTTATAGCCCTTGCATATTTGCATGATCAAGGCAAAATTCACCGAGACTTGAAGTCACACAATATCTTATTGGGGCACGATGGAGAGGTAAAGCTCACTGACTTTGGTGTGTCTACACAGCTATCTTCCAACTTCTCGAGAAGAAATACTACAGTGGGAACCCCGTACTGGATGGCGCCTGAAGTTATTTTGAACAACACAGGCGGCCATAGCTACAAGGCTGACATTTGGTCGTTGGGGTGCTGTGTTTTTGAGCTACGGAACGGGAAACCGCCTCTCCAGGAACACTTTGCGCCCATGAAGGCACTTCGACAAATCTCTCTGTGTCGAAACGATGGAGACTTTTGGGAGCTCATTCAAACGGAGCTGAGCAAGAGCTGGTCGCATGAAATGTTGGACTTTTTTCATCGGTGCTTCGTTTTGCAGCCACTGGAAAGATGGTCTGCAAGACGTCTTCTACGCCACAAATTCATACAGAAGGCGGATGAGATATCAGAGGAGCAGAGGCGGAGAGATCTTCGCAAATTGATAACGAAGAAACACCTTTGGGATCAGGAGCACCACATAACACGGACCAGACGATACTACGCGCCTACCGAGATCCAAATGAATCAGCAACGGTGGCTAAACGGAGGAGTAGGAGATGCAGAAAATAAGGAGAACAGGGTTGAGTTTGACCTAAGCTCTGTCAAGGATTCTACAAAACTCGCCCCAGACGAACGTGCCAGTGCTAGTCACAAGACCACTCCTTCTCCTGCGCCTTCCAACAAACAAGAGATCAACACCAAAAATCTTGCCTCAGAGTTCATTCGAATCTTAAACCGAGTCTTCCATAAGATCGAGCTGAGAAACCTGTTGCCAAGGGAACAGTATGATCAGCTTATCGAACTCAACGACAGTTTAATACGGCTTTTCGTGCCTGCAAGGGTGAACGAAGACTCGGACGCGTCACAAAGTAGGATTTTGATTGCCCAGTATCTCAGGTACCTTGTCAAAGAGCTTGTCAAGCCACAACCTGAGAACTCCACTCGACTCCAACTACAAAAGCAGATCCTTCCTTCTGCAGTGCACGAGACAATTCCAGCTGAGCCTGTGACACTCAGAGGTAAGAAAACCAGCAGCACTCTCGATGAAATCGAAAAGAGTCTACTCGAGTCGTGGCTCGATAAAATGAAAAACGATTAAGCGTACAAAAATCGCACCGCGACTATATCAGCGCGATTGATACAAGTCAAGTTTTCATCATGATAGAGAACGGGGAGCACCTAGATAAAAAGGCCAGGGTCGAAAATGGCACCAGTCAATGGGAAGGCCTATACAAGCAGCGATACAGCATACCAGCAAAGGAACTGGAGCTGGTCAACGCTGTCAAGATATCCCCAGACAATAAACTACTAGCGACATGCACTTCGACAGGTCTTATACACATTTATGACTATGCCAACGGCACTCATAAAACTACGCTACTGGGTCACATCAAGGGTGTTTCAGATATCGCATTTTCCCCAATAGACAGCAGCATCCTTGCGTCTTGCTCGGACGACTTGACGGTGAGAATCTGGTCCATCGCTAAAGCAGCTTGCATTCGTATATTAAAAAAGCACACATATCATGTCTCTGCATTGTGCTTCAATTCAAAGGGAAATCTACTCGTCAGTGGAGCTGCTGATGAGACGGTCGTCATCTGGGACCTTACTACAGGAAGAAGTCTAAAGACGCTTGCCGCTCACTCAGACCCAGTAAGCTCAGTCTGTTTAACTCCAGACGACACAATTATCGTAAGTGCGTCATATGATGGTCTTATGCGTCTCTTTGACCTTGAATCTGGCCAGTGTCTCAAAACACTAGTGTACAATAGCTCCTCCCACGGTACTGCCACTGCCTCCACCAACGATGTGGTGAATTTTCCCATCTCCAACGTGCAAATAACGCCGAATGGCAAGTACATTCTTAGTACTAGTTTGGACGGCAAGATCAGACTATGGGACTACATGAACAATAAAGTTGTCAAGACCTACACGTCTAATGATACACTGGCAACAATCTGTGAAAAATACAATTGCAGCACAGCATTTATCACTGCTACCGAAGAACCTCTCGTCGCTTCGGGCAGCGATAATTCTGGTGTTTTATTCTGGAGTGTTCAAAGCAAATGCATCGTTTATCAACTACAACCTGGTTCGACGATTCTCGGTCTTGACTCCAACGAGAATGGCAGCGAACTAGTAACTTGTTCCCTTCAAGGTGATGTGCATGTGTACGATCTCGAACCACAATACTTGAGCCTTAATGGCAACGGGCATCATGAAACATCCTCCGGGCCTTCCTCTCCTGAATCAGAGCTTTCACAAGATGAATTGAATGGCGAAGAGCAGGAAGGAATGGAGCTGGAATCGGAGCAAGAAAAAATTGAAGAGGAGAGAGAAGCGGCCTGATCTGGGTGGCATGAATCATACACTAATATTATTGATGAACTGGAGTTGTCGTAGGTTGTATTCCAGGGCAGTGAAGCTGCTTTTCATAAATGCAAACTTAAAAGATCCTTTATTGTTTTGGTCTCTTACATCATAATAGGAGTGACCATAGTCCGTTGTTCATCCAATTCATATATAACGGGACATTCTGCGAGCTTATGGGTTGCCAGTTTCACCTTGATCAACTGTCATGAGGATTGCGCTCCAACAAAATTGATGCGATGTTAGTGACTTTCAAAGACTGAAAAACTTTAGATAGATTTCAAATAATGAAAATTAATATTTATTTATCATCCTTCACAATCAATCTAACGAAATACTGCCTGTTTGCAGCCGAACCTGTACCTCTGGTGCGCCCCGGATACCGATAAACCAGCCTACTGACCATATCATCATTCTTCCACAGTATGGATCAACGCAGAAACCTCTTTAGATTCGACGCCTCCATACTTCGTCTTCCGAAATCCCAGAAGCTCCGGTCGGCCGGAGTGTACCTCTCGGGTGCTTTGTTTGCAATTGGCTTTTGGTCCATGGTAGACGCTGCTGTGTACTCCAAGACGGTCAATGCTAGTGTTGTTCATATCACATTCGTTGATTGGATTCCATTTATTTGCTCCACATTGGGTATGATCATTGTCAACTCGATTGAAAAGTCCAATTTGTTCACTGACGGTCAAAACTCGTTTTTGGGTGATGGCAACACACACGCCTGGGCAGCAAGGGTGATTTTGTTTTTCGGGTTTTCCTTACTAGCTGGCGGCTTGGCCGGCTCATTCATGGTGTTCATTCTTAAATTCTTGATGAAGCACTACACTTTCCCTACTTTGGGCATGGGCGTGTCCAACATTATCTGCAATGGTTGCATCATGCTAAGTACCATCGTCTTGTGGTTGTCTCAGAACATCGAGGACGAGTACAGCTACAGCTTGGCTTTGAACTAGGCGCTACAACTGATCTGTGTCATGAAGTGGTCCTATTGTGGCAATCTATCTAGTTACCCGAAGCAATATAAAAAAAGTAATAAAGGGTAGTGTAGGTAATTAATGGCTGGTGATTGCCAGGAAACACTGGCGTGGGGCATGATACTCCTTGAGCAGCTTGAAAGACGGTACGAATGTTGGTGGGACCAGCCTCAAGACTTGAGCGATGCGACAATGATTTCTATAAGCGGGATTCAGTCGGCATCGTTGCATTATCTTTTTAAGAACTGCTCCTTGTAAGGACCCATCAATTCTAGTTCGTACGGCGTAAAGTCAAACAAATTTAGCTCCATGGGCTCCTGTGCGCCTCTAGGGTATACCTGAAAGTTCTCCTTTTTTAGTTCGTGGAAGAAAGGGTGGGCGAGCACAGCTCTCGGGCTCGCTCTGAATTCAGGATCGTAAACAAGGATCTTAAGTAACAAGTCAATCACATCAGGAGGTGACGTCGAGAATATCAGCTCAAATCTTTCTTGCACGGAACAGCTGAACAATTTCGTGGAGAACATATTGCCTCTATACTGTGGGTTGCTCTTGAAGAAGAATGTCTTGGGTGGAGGACCCAAAAGCTTTGAAATTTCCTTCAATTGCAACTCCGATGATTGTCCCTGGAAAATGGGCTTACCCAAAAACATCTCTGCAATGACACATCCCAAGCCCCAAATGTCAATCTTGGTGGTGTAGACTGTGCATCCAACAATAAGCTCTGGAGCGCGGTAGTACCGCGAGCAAATGTAGCTGACGGAGGGCTGGTTTGGTTCTAGCTGCTTGGCAGACCCGAAGTCACACACCTTCAATCTGACGGTGGAGGGGTCCACCAATATATTGGAGGGCTTGATATCACGGTGCAGAATGTTGAGACTGTGCAAGTAGAGCATTGCCCTTGTCAATTGGAAGGTGTAAGCCTTCATGTGTGGATATGGAATAGTGTACTTTGACTGGCGGTAGTACTTGATCTCATTCTGCAAGTTCGAAGGTAAGCACTCCATGACGAGGTTCTGGTACACCTTGCCGTCAAGCTGCGAGCGTTTGTCAAAGAAAAACCGCAACGAGACGATGTTGGGGTGCTTGACGGTGCGCAATATCTCTAGCTCTCTGCACTTGTACTCCGTCTGGGCCAAGACTCGCTTGATGGCAAAGGGTCCGAGTCTCTCGTCGCTGGGCTTGTCATTACTGTCAACGTATGCCAAAGCGGCCTCGACGACGGTACCAAAAGCACCTTCACCGATCTTCTTGTACTCCTTGACGTACATGCGCTTGCACTCGGAGGTTTGGTTATTGACCACCTCATTGAGGATGTATTCCTCCTTTTGGGCGTTTTCGGTCAACATGGTGCGTGAAGGCTCACAGAAACCTGATGTGAGCTGAGTAATAAGCTGGTATAATTATTCGACACTGCTTTAGATTTCCAGTTTCGCCGGCTGATGATGAGGCTAGTCGAGTTGTACGGAATCCCGACTTAATCGAAGGCGCGTGGATGGAGAAAGTGGAACGATGCCGGGGAAATTGGGAAACTGACACTGGCGATGCAGGATGTTCAGTTACAGCGGTGTCACGCGGTCAAGAGGTAGACGTGGGGGAAATGCGTCTCTTGAGCGGGTGCTGAAAAGTCTAAAGCTGTGTTGTTATCGGATTTGACGGTTTGAGGTTGAGACTGGCGATGCAGGTTGTTGTCACGGTCACGTGCGCGTATTTTGGAAGGGTCCCCCCAATCCAGTGTACCCCTCCAGGGAGACAATAGCGAGACTTTGACAAAAAGGTGTCTATTTTGGACAAGTGCTTCTATGAAGATTGAGCTTTGTTTTGGGTGTCAGGGCTCTGAAAGACTAATACCTTCGCGGTACACCCCTGGACCAAAAGCAAGGCGGTGGGAGACAAGGCTGTGGGGAAGTTTAGCCGAGGCCAAATTTGCAATTGGGGAATTAGTCGGGTAGGAAGTTTTTTTAAGTTGGCAAGAATTTGAAATTTTTTTCTTCTGTCAGAGGTTGACTGAAGCTGTTGAACCTATGGCTGCGAAATAATCTAGGGGGTTGGCTGCATGGCCAGCCAATAGCGACCATGACGTATGTGCCAGGGCGCCTCTCCAAAGATAAGAATTAGGTTGCTATTTTGACTTTGGGTCATTCAATGGTTGAGTATGTGTCTTTCGGTTTTGCGTTTAGGTTTTGTAGAGTGGGAAGATTGGAACTGTGGTGTGACAGTGAACAAAGGAGAAGATGCCAGGTTTATGGTGAAGGTCCACGGACGAAAGAATGGTGAATTTTTGAAGAGATACTTTGAGTGATTGAAAGCTCCTCGATCGTCATAGGTTATGTTCACGGCCTACAATATAGTCAATTGGGGTAATAAGTTTGCATTTCGCAGCCATGTGGATCATGCCACCTTTTAGTTGTGTTGATCCAAAGTATAGTTTCTCCAGTTAATGAAGCTGGACCATTACCAACATTGATTGGTTTCTCGAGGCTCCGTTCGAATCTCTTAGAAAAATGCATTGAGAAATTCCTTCGCTTCATTATGGCAATTGTACTTACTCCAGTGCGAGGGTTGGACCAGCATCTAAAGCACCACACAAATACTCAATTCCACTTTTCGCTTACAAGTTTGAAACTCGCAGCTCTTGATAAGCCGAAATAACTAAAATTTATTGAATTCATTCCTAGTCAAAGCGGGCCACACCGTATATAGCCTCTTGATAGTACCAGTATCAACACACCCGTGCACCCTCCAACGAAAAAATCTCAACCTCAGACATCAACGGTCTATACCCATCCAAGACAGCATGTTCGCCGGCATTAGAAATGCCCTTATGGGTCGCCAAAGCATGGCATTTGCTGGACAAAGAAACTTCAGTCTACTGAATCGTATGCGTGCTGCTGTGGAACAGGTCAAGTCCGACACCTCCCAGCTTGGTCCCATCATCAAGACTGACAACGAGAGAACCGTCATGTGGAAGATCTACGCCAAATTCAATAAACATAATACCATTTGCTCCTTGTTTGCTGTCACCGAGGACTTGGACTTCATGAAGAACAACGAACACTTATCATACAACGAGAAAGTCTTATACTACATGCAATTACCACACAAGGCCAAGGTCACCGTCAGTGCGGGTATGCTCGGCTTCCGTAAGTCGCAGAGACAAGAATACGAAGCCGGTTACCAGGTTTCCAGCAGACTTTTCAAGCTTATCGAGGAGAAGAAGCTCATTGGTCCAAATGACAAAATCGAGGTTGTCCTTTCCAACTTCGGTAAGGGTAGAAGCGCCTTTGAGGCTTGTTTGATGGGTAAGGAGAGTGCATTTTTAAGATCCAACATTGTCAGAATCTCTGACAACACCAAGATCAAGTTTGGTGGTAATAGAGCAAAGGCCCAGCGTCGTTTGTGATCCATGTATATAGCATACGGGCCAGAGGTCCACAAAAGAACATTTCAGATAGTTGTTATGCGTAGAGCCATTTGAATGCATTCTTGATGGGCAAAGGAATGTCATGTATGATTTGACTAGAGTTGATTATCGATGGCTGCAAAATGTGCGATGTAATTAGTGAGTTCAGAATTCAAGACCGTGGCAGAGTAGCGTAGTGTCAATTGACTGAAAGATCACATACCCGTCAAACACTAATCGCCGACTTCTTTTCTTGATCTATTACATACTCCGTATTGCACTCGGCATCATCGTGGCGTATTATGTAAAGATTATCACAAGCACCGACTACGAAATAGCCTGATAACACTTCTGATAAGCCATTACCGCTATTTGTATTGTTTTCATATTACAATAATGTTGCATGCTTGCTAGAAAGCCCAAACCTGGCAGACTTTGATACCATCCTGAGTGCGGGCTACAGCCCTAAAGCGCTCCACGTGATCATGCGCACTGTAATATAGAGATTTTATAGTATGCCAGCTTGCAACCGGCCCTGTCTGCAGTGCCCAGGTGCCTCCGCGATGTAGAATTTTTTTCCACCAAAAACTTGAAGGATTCCTACTTCTGTATAACAACGATTCGAGATGGCTCCAAGTATGTAAAAATGCTACAAGATGAGACTTTGAGTGCTTCACTAGACCGCATGCTATTGATTGTCCATAATGAATTATTCCCTAGTGACGTTTCCCATGAAATATTGCCCTTTTTTTCCTGATGAAGAAGACTTTTCACACACCCCAGTTCCACACCACTTTCCGTCAAAACACAATTATATCAACCCTTCCCCGAAGATATCTCATGTCAGATTCTCTCCATAATTTCTGTGCTGTTACTAACCTCCAGACGCTGCTGCTGCTAAGAAATCTGCTTTGAAGGGTACCAACTCCAAGAAGGCCACTAAGGTGAGAACCAACACCACCTTCAGACTTCCAAACACCTTGAAGTTGGCCAGAAAGCCAAGATACGCCAGAACTTCCGTTCCTCACTACAGAAGATTGGATGCCTACAAGATCGTCGAGTCCCCAATTGCCTCTGAGACCGCCATCAAGAAGGTTGAGGACGGTAACACCTTGGTTTTCCAGGTTTCCTTGAAGGCCAACAAGCACCAGATCAAGGCTGCCGTTAAGGAGTTGTACGATGTCGAGGTTGAGAAGATCAACACCTTGGTTAGACCAAACGGTACCAAGAAGGCCTACATCAGATTGACTGCTGACCATGACGCTTTGGACGTTGCCAACAGAATCGGTTACGTGTAAACTTCATGCCCTCATCAGTACAATAGTGTAATTAATAAAACATACGGAGAGACACGACGTAGATTAGATGTGAGATGGAGCCTGCTTGCATTCCTTTTTCATTATTCGCCAGGAACTTAAGACGAGATGGTTACTACATTTGTTGAAGCTGTTAGACAATAAGTGCCATGTTTCACGAGCATGTACAGCATCGTTGGTAGGAGCCAGTTCAAAAACACCACTCATAATATCCACGACAATATAAGCAACCTTCACTAATCGAAAAAAGTATTTGCTAGAAAATCATGACCATAGTCATCGAAGAAGCAGCTCGATATTGGTTCATGCCGTTTTGAAGCTCAGCAGCCAGATCCCCACTACCTATTCTTCAGAAGCCACCCTAACCTCAACTTTCCTAATTACCCTAGAGCATATCCCTCCGAACATCCCCATTTCATTCTCATCTGACTCCATCAAATCGGAATGCTACTCCATGAAAAGAAATGTGAGCTTCCTTGAAGCATACTGAGGTGCCCCCTTGCACTGTCGATCTCGAACCTTGTTCCTGAATTATGTGGAGAGACCGAGAACGAAGCCGACCCCAATTCCCATTCGTTCTGAAACATTGCCATAATATATTCGTAACACTAAGACTTGCAAATATAGAGACTGAAGCCGCAGTCGATCAGAGATGAAAACGCCAGTTTCCCACTGATCTGGCCATAGCCGTGCCTACAAAGAAGCAGAAGGTTTAAGATATTATCGAAGGTAAATAAGAAAGATTCTCGTTTTCCAATGTAACATAGTTTTGCTCACATTCCTACAGCTCGGTTAACGTCCTACACCAATCGTAGGGCTCTCTCAATTTAGCCGATCTGGGATTTCGCAGCTAATGCAAAGCGGCGCAGCACCTATCGGACAGGTTGGCTTCAAACCGAACCAACAAAAAGAAGGTTGTAAAATTGCAAATATGAACCCTTTCTATCCAGGAATCTAAGCCCCGACGAATCCCTGAGTCAAAGTTTGCTGCACTTGCGTATTTTTTTCAAATCCAGATATAAGCTTCAACCGGATCATAAGAGCTCGTGCTGTACAACCGTGTCATTCCTGCGCAGACGCGCCAGCCCTAACCGAAACCCATCCCGTTTTTTCGTATTTATTTCTCTGTTTCTTAATAATTTGCCACACTCTTGTGGTAAAAGCTTCCTCTGAATAATACACGCCAGAAAAACAACTCCCATTGTTTGAACCACACCCCTCGATTTCTTCCCTTTTCGCAGCCAAGCCAGTCGCGCTCCTACTCTGTTATGGTGTCTGCACACGGCACATGAGGGTACGCTAAAAGCTTCTGCTGTATACATCTTTTTTCTTTGCCAGAGGCTGTTCACCACCAAGCCTGAAGAACAGATTGCTGCTTTTCTTTCGTTTACACGCAGCTTCATCTTTTTCTGTTGTTGATCCTCCTGACGCCTTCTTATTCTTTGGAATTCCACAAGCAGTTTCAGTCAACAGTGGCATGTCCCACGTCACCAAGCTCCCCAGCTCATTCAATGGGCCACAGTCGCCTATGCTCGCGTCTGATTCGCCTTTCCCGTCCTTCAAATCGGATTATCGCTACAAGGGCGTTTACGAAAGAGCCGGTTTCGATGTCAATTTGAATCGCCGCCGTGGAAATCACTCCCCTAATGATTCCAGGCACGCTATACAAACAAGGAGAAAACCGGACTCTCCAGCTTCCCAAACGTTCAGCTTCAAGTCGGCCAATGACTCCTTCAGCAAGAACCAGTCCCTGAGGTCGCTCCCCATGAGCGCTAAAGGCAACACCAACAACGTGTCGCCCGTGGAATCCAGATCAAGCGCCGGCAAAGCCCCGGTGTCTCGCAAACCCGTGTCACCCACGGACCAGTACGTCACCCCAGCATCTGCTCCAGCATCGGCACACCCTGATTACGCGCCAGATCGCTTCCAATTGCCTAGAAAGGCTCCTAAGGAGCAGCAGAGCTACCCAGAATACCAGGCGTTCCAGCCGTTTAAACCGGACAATGATAGACAGGTTGTGCTTGACGATCAGGGCAACGCCCGTGCTTTAGGCGGCGAAATCGCTTCTCCTCGTTCTGGCAAAAACATTAAGAACCTCTTCGTGCATATTCCTTCCAACAACCCACAAGAGGAAGAGTTCCCAAAGCCTGATGCAGACTTCAACTCCAACTTGCCTACGGGCATGGGCTCTGACTCGGACTTCAATTCCCCTACGTTCGACAACACAGAGCGTGTATCTACTGCGCATACCTCTACATCGTCTTCCCGTGAATTCAGGAAGAACAGTGCAGACTCTGGCATGAGTGTGAAGACATCCGAACTTGTCCGCAATACCCCATACCCAGCTCTGAACCAGATACCCGTCATTCAAGAGCACCAGGACTTGTCAACCATGCTTGAATCGTTCCGTCTGGACGTTGAGGAGCATAAGAAATATGATCCTAGAAGAAAGGCTTCCCGCACGGCTACGAAGCTGCCTGACAATGCATCTCTGTTCACACCAGACACCACTAATCATTCAATGAGACTTGACGACTGCTACAGCTCACAGCTGTCGTTCAATTTCACCAATGATCAAGGGGAACCTCAGAAGCCTCAAGAGGGCCTGGACTACGAGAACTTCCTTCAGGCCTCTGCGGCTGGCGACAGAAAGCTCGCTAGAAATTCAAACCTTTCTACGATTTCTTCAATCATCTCCAAGTCGAACGACGGAGATGATGAGGTTGACCCAGAATTACATCGCCAGTTGGAATCTCTCAAGGCTGGTAGCCAAGCGGAAGATTCTCCTGTTTTCAGACCTGATAATGAGTCGTTCGTTACAGCACACAACCTGCCAGAGCATGCTAATAAGCCTCCTGTTGTCCCAGTCTTCAACATCCAGGATGTCTCAGAGAAGGAAAAGCTTGAAAAGGCCCACGATGAACCCGAAGTTTCCTCTGAAAACCCCTTCTTCGAGGGTGCTGAGGGTGCTGATCATTTTGAGCAAAGATCGACAGAGGAGCACGTCGAGCCACAGGTAGAGACCTACGAAGAAGTCGATCAGTCTGGCACAAGAGCACCAACAACTCCTTATAATCCAGCCGGTGAGTTTGACCTTAATCAGGAGACACCAGAGACGATTAAACCATTGAGCCCTAAAAACCATAGAATTGAGCAAGAGCTCAAGGACATGAACTTCAAATACGAATCCGGTGTTGATGAATTTGAGCCAGTGATCCCACCAAGAGCATCACCCTCTCTCACAAATGATTCGATCTCGCAGCAAAATCGTCCAAGCACTGCTGAATTCAATCCATTCCCACAGTCAATCATTGGTACGCAATATCCAAAATTCAGAGACAGTGACTTGCCTATGAAGACGCCGCCTGGACAAGGCAATTGTCGTGGCTGTGGCGAGCACGTCGAACAGCAGGCCAAGGGATCTAAGAAGGCCATCTTCTCAAAGACTGGTGAGTTGTCGGGTCAGTGGCATAGAGGATGTTTCTCCTGCTCATACACTGGTTGCGATGTAAGGTTCAGCAAACATACAGCTTGTTACGTGCTTCTTGATAACGCGTTCTGCAACCACCACTACCATTTGCTTAATGGAACTCTCTGTCAAACGTGTAACTCCGGAATCGAGGGAGAATGCATTGAGAATGAAATGAGACAAAAATGGCATCTTAACTGCCTTAAATGCAACAGATGTCAAACGCATATTAAAGAGGACTATTTCTTGATTAATGGAGAAATTGTCTGCGAGCATGATGCCAGCACTCTCATATCCAAGATGGAGGATGAAGGCATGTTGAGCACAGACAAGATTGAAAAAAGGAGAACCAGAATGATGTTCGTGGACCAGGTTGCAGAGTTCTAATGATCTTGATCGCACTTGTAATATAAATAATGGAGGACTTGTTACAGTATATAATTTTGGAAGCACTGCTTCCACCCAATAGAATGAAAATCGTAACCTGGCATCTAGTAATCTCTATATCTTTTTGGTGTTGCTTCCAAGTCTTGCGAATCAAGATCATGGTCTAGTTTTGCTAAGCTATCCCTGCTGGCAATGTTCTGCGAGGGAGACTCGCTCTCCTCGGCAAAATCGTCATCCTCTGTAATTATGAAATTGTCGTCATCGTAGTCGTTTGACGCCAATTCGAGATTCTGCCCAGACTCGAGATCGTCATCGAAATTGCCAAAAATCATTTCGTCGCTTTGCGGGTTCTGGTGATATGACCTGACCTTCTTCTGCATCTTGACGTAGATGATATAACTAGCCAAAAGCAACGCTGATCCGGTTATGATCACACTCACCACATCGATGATCTTGGCCGATGTGGGGCGATTGGCATCTCCAAGAGTCTTCATCGTGTGGCCCACGAAAACGTGAATAAGCAACTTTGGAGAAGTTATGAGCGATGCAAGGAAATAAGTGAGTGTAGGAAGCTCTGGGATAGCAGCAAGAGCACCATTTGAAAGCGAATATGGCAAGGGACACAATCTGAGGAGGACGAGCACGAACAATGAAGCATCTTCCTTGAGAATCTCCGAGAATGCTCTGAATTGCTCACTCAGATGAACCATTCTTTCGGCCTGATTATGGAGAAGGTGGCGAAAGACCAAGAATGAGGCAAGGGAGCCCAATACGGAGGCCGAGGCCAAGATGGGCCAGCCCCATGGAAAGCCATAAGTCATACCGCAAAGCATGGCAAGTGGGGTGAATCCCAAGAGCGGAGGGAACCCCACGAAGAAGACCAAAAGCCATAATATGAGCTTGCCGAATTTGAGGTCCACCCACGCGTCAGACATGGTGACCAACAATTCCAAGAATAACAGATGGTAGATCACCACGAGTATGCTGATGATGATGCACAAGATGCCGCCGGCAACCAACAAGGCCTTCTTGGCTGTGGACTGTTGGGAGTACCAGTTCTGGTACTTCGTGCTCATTTCATTTAGCGCTTCCATGGCCCCAGAAGATGAGTTTTGTAGCTTGAACATAGGCGCTTGTACTAGCAGTCTTATCACCTTGGCGCAGCCTTCTAGTGTGCACCACCGGGATGGTCGGTTCCAAATTGCCGACAAGGCGATGGAAAGTCTGGGATTTGGGGGTCTATGAGGGGGAGGCTGAAGATGTAGATGTAGTATTAGGAGCTTTTTTCGGAAGTTTGGGAGATACTTGGAGTCGTGTTAATCTGAGACAAGCCAAGCCTCAACTGCAAATCCCCATCGGCAGTGGAAAAAAAACGGTGATGGGCGGTTTGTGAGGAGGTTGTTTTTTTATTATTATTTGATCATTTTGAAGAATGTAATAAATTGTTCTCTGTATTTGTTTATCATTTCTGCTTTCACCGGGGTGCAGAAACTGGGGTAGGTTCACGAGTTTATCAATACTCACACCAATGGTTGCAAAAAGTAAAAACGCACTCACCATCAATTTAATGGACCAAACAGAGAAATCTGAAAGAGACAACAGTTATTTGGTGACATCCAATTCGCTTGTCCCATACACTGTAATAAATTCCATTTGTCTCGTTTGGGGCGGAATTCAGATGTAGTGGGGACTTGCGACAATGAGTTGGATACAATGGGTCTGCGAGCCTCGGCTCTGAATAGGCGAGTCTTCGCTGGCATAAATCAAAAAATTCAAAATGAATGGTATTTAATATTAGACTCGAAGGTGGGACAGCCCTTAATAGAGGATGTAGGATACTCGAAAAATGCAGCAAATATAATTACTAGTCTTTCTGTCCAAGTACGCAACTTTTAATAAATTGGCATTTTAGTAGCCCTGCCATCGACGATCCCATCCAGCACAGACTATGCTTAGGTAAATGACGTATTTGGGAATGCTGAACATTATAAAGGGTAATTTGAACGTTGTAAGGCGATTGTACCTGATGTACCCGCGGGGTGCTATTCTTTCCCCTTACGAATACACCAAAGGTCATTCGTTCATTTTGGAACACACAATTATTATTTGTGAAAACTTCCAGAATCTCTTTCTCACTCTCAGACTGGTAAGTTGTGTAAGACGAAACAATAAATGATGACCTTTTTGTCACTTCTGAATAGCAGCGAATGACCAACTGCTCATTTACATCAACTAGGGCAACTACAACAAAATTCATGACACCCTTCCGTCTATATAAATCCCCAAGAATGCCATGATTCTGTTTTCTTCATCACCACTTATCACTTCCCCAACAGTCTTGAACAAACTACGAGACACAATGTATCACGCACAAGAGTACAGAAAGAATATCAGCAGCTTTCACAGGAAGGCTGAAAGAGTCTCTTATCTCAATGAGACCCAAATTCCCCAAAACCACTTATTGACGAAGATCAACTTGAGACTCAAGAAGGACCAGCCTTTCAAGCAGTCCTTGAAGAGAACCAGTTTCAAGGTGATTAACTTTTTGGGCTTGACTGCCCCAGACCCCTCTGAAGAACGCCTCAGAGTTAGATGTGGATTCAGACGCCACATGTTAGAGCTTTTGAAGAATCCTAAGGAGGAAGCCATACTACTCAAGGATAGACTCAAGCTTAAGGCCTTCCAGTTTGCAGAGGTTGAGCCAGCTAAACCTTGCCTTTCATTCAGAAGCTCTAAGTCAAAGCAGCCCTCCAAGCACTCTTCGAAGAGGCTGTCCAAGGCTTTTTCTTCCCACCAATCGTCGGTATTCGAGAGCGCTCCCCACCTGGTTGAGCCTCCAAGTGTGTCATCCATGGAGGATGTTGCACCCGACATTATTGGGCCTTGGATGGCCGTTCATTCTCTTTTTGAGAGCCTCCCCAAAGAGCCCCGGAATTTCAAGGAGCTCAGTGACTTCTCTCGCAAGGAGAAATGCCGTCTCAAACACACGAAGAACTTCTTCACCAACACTCGGTGGATGGATTGCAAGCACGCTTTGAGGAACTTCCCCAGTGACCTCGGCCTTTGCAAAAATGACAAGCTTTCCAACTTTGGGAATATGCTTGAGAACCTCGAGAAGAAGAGAAGGTCAATTGCCAGGTCTAACAACAAGCACTTGGCCAAGCAGGCTGACCAGATGTTGAATGAGGTTTACTCCAGAATTGACGAGGCCAACAACAACCACAAGAACGCCGTTGTTGCAGTTCACCGGGAGCACAAGCACCTTAAGAAGCGGATGCTCAGGCTGTTGAAGGACTTGCACAAGCTTCTGCTTGATCATGCCTCCACACGCGAGAAGATTTGCCAAAGATTGGAAAAGAACGGGTCTTTTCCTGGAGCAGACAAGGTCATTGAACTGGAATTGAGCAAGTTCCAGGACATTTCGTTGAGAATCTACGACCTCAATAGCTCTGCAGCTTCCCTCCAGAAGAAGACCCTCCAGCAATTGCAATCATTGGACAAGGCCCACGCAAACTTGGCACGTTTTTGCAAGGGCCTCAACGATCAGCAATACCATCTCACGAGAAAGCTTGAGTCTTCCATGGTTTCCAAGCCCAGACACGCCTACAACTATCTGCCATACAAGAAGGCTCTCAAGGACCACCAAGGGCACTATGACAGGATGACAAAGTACACCGAGCACCTCATTGACAGCCTTTTCAAGGAGATGGTTGGACTCTACCACGAGTTCGCCGAGGCCTGATATGGCCCGGCATCATTTGAAATAAGTAATGTAGTAAAGATAAAAAACAAAATACGCAGGTATACTCTGCCTATGGCTCACGGCGCTTGTGCTCGCATGTACGTCAACTGTGGACCCTGCAGAATCACCACCCATGGTGCAGATACCAGGGATAATCTAAAGTTCTCACTTGCATACATAATAGCCAATCTACACGTACCAGCTGCCGCACGGAACCAAATAATAGCCCGATCTTTCCTGCCCCTTAAAATTCATCATGGGCAATGAAACCAACTCAGAACTCCACGAGGACACAGCCGTGGGCCTGGACACGGAGCTTTCCTCGGAGCTCTTCGACGCCTCCGAGTTTGGCGAGACCTACATCCGAAAGTCACTAATCCTTACCCACGCACTAGACGAGATAGGATTTGGCCGTTACCAGGTGGGTTTGTTCTTTGTGGCTGGTTTCGGCTGGTTTGCGGATAATGCCTGGCCTTCAGCTACATCCTATATTCTCCAGCGCTTGACGGAACAGGACCTGGTCCACTATCCAGAAGGAAGAGCGCCGTACCTCACTTTGGCACAGAACTTGGGTCTTCTTGCTGGAGCACTATTCTGGTCGCTTTCGGCGGATATCATAGGTCGCCGCTGGGCGTTCAATTGCACCTTTTTGTTCATAGGCATATTCGGACTTTGTGCTGGAGCAGCGCCCAATTTCGCTGGTATAGGTTGCTTCTGTGCATTGTGGAGTTTTGGCGTTGGCGGGAATTTGCCAGTTGATTCAGCTATTTTTCTTGAAGCGCTTCCGACCAACAAAAAATGGCTCTTGACTGTTATGTCCATTTGGTGGGCCTTGGGGCAGGTTGTCACTGCCTTGATCTCGTGGGGGCTCATTTCAAATTATAGTTGCGATGATACCGACAATTGCTTAAGGGAGGACAATTGGGGATGGCGATACTTTCTCTTTACAAATGGTGGACTCAGCTTGGTGATGTTCCTCGCAAGGTTCTTGATGCCAGTATACGAGAGCCCATCGTTTTACTTGGCTCGTGGCAACGATAAAAAGGCCGTGGAGACAATTCACAAGATTGCTAAAATCAACAAAAAAACGGTCGATTTATCCATAAACGATCTCATTGCAGTCGACGACATCGTGGGCGATAAACAACCCCGAGGTGCATTCAGAGAGAACGAACTCTTGAAGTCCAAAATCAGACGGTACAATCTCTCGCACATACGGCTGTGTTTTGGATCCAAGCGTCTTGCAATCTCCTCTACCCTTGTCATCACATCTTGGGCGCTCATTGGCCTAGCTTTCCCGCTATACAATGCATTTCTTCCGTCTTACCTTGAGCAAAGAGGCCTGGCAAATGCCGAACTCAGCGTCGCTAAAACTTACCGAAACACGCTTATTGTGGCCGTTATGGGCGTTCCAGGAGCCATTATCGCTGGCCTTCTTGTGGAACTACGAACGGGCAGAAAAGGCGTGCTTTTTGTTTCACTCATCCTCACAGGCATAGTGCTTTTTGGATCCACCACCGCCAAAACGCCAGACTCCAATCTCGCCTGGAACTGCTTCTTCAATTTTTTCTCCAACATCATGTACGGAACGTTATATGCTTACACGCCCGAGGTCTTTCCTACAAAAATTAGAGGCACCTCTGTGGGACTAGCAGCTTCTGCTAATAGAGTGCTAGGAGTTTTCGCACCCATTATCGCCATATTTGCTGACTTGACCACCTCGGCACCGATTTTTGTATCCGGGGCACTTTTCTTGATTTCAGCTATTTTGGTCATATTTTATCCCTTTGAACCCCACGGCAAACTGAGTTTATAGGTAATCAAGAGCTGCGCAAACGAATCCCTATTTAGGCAGCCAGATCCGGTGCGCAAGTATAAGTAGCAGCATCTCTACCACCCCACAGATTCAAACCATCACCATGTCCTTCACTACCAACGCTGAAATCGCTCAATTCCAGGGCACCTTGCACAAATTGTCACATGAGTCACTGACGACCAACACAAAAATGGATGTGAACGTTTTTGTTCCTCCTTCCAAAAACGATAAGATCCCTGTCTTGGTCTACTTGTCTGGCTTGACTTGCACTCCCAACAATGCCTCCGAAAAGTCCTTCTTCCAATACTTTGCCACCAAGTACGGCTTTGCAATTGTCTTCCCTGACACCTCTCCACGTGGTGCCAACATCCAGGGTGAAGACGACTCGTGGGACTTTGGCACTGGTGCTGGATTCTACGTTGATGCTACTGCTGAACCCTGGTCGAAGAACTACAAGATGTTCAGCTACGTGCACAAAGAACTCTTGACCGGTCTTGCAGGCCACTTCAAGCAATTGGACTTTGAGAACATCTCCATCACTGGCCACTCCATGGGCGGAATGGGTGCGCTCACTGGTTTCTTGAAGAACCCCAACAAGTACAAGTCTGTAAGCGCTTTTGCTCCAATCTGCAACCCGGTGGACTGCCAATGGGGTGAAAAGAACTTCGGTAACTACTTGGGCTCGGACAAGGCTCAGTGGGCCGAGTACGACCCAACTCACTTGATCAAGAAGTACAGTTCCGACAACCAACCCACCATTCTCATCCACCAGGGTGAAGCTGACGGCTTTTACAAGAACCAATTGAAGCCCGAGAACTTTGAAGCCGCTGCCAAGGAGGCTGGTTACAAAGGAGGCGTGGATTTGCACGTTGTGAAGGGCTACGATCACCTGTACTTCTTCATCAGCACTTTTGTGGAAGACCACGCCAAGCACCACGCTAAATACCTCGGCTTGTCGCAATAGGAATCTGGAGAGCTGGGCAGTAAGCTCTAGTATGTATGATATATCTATGCTCAGTTCTATATACCTCGCTAGTACTTAGCGTCCTGCAATTCCTTGTACTTTGCTTCCCATGAAACACACCACTTGACCTTCGTTTCGTTTGTCTTGTTGACGCTTCGAAGAATGCTGATTATGCTGGAGCACGCTTTGCCGAATTCCTTGTCAAGCTGCTCCACCTCGTCACCCAACTCATTGTTCATCATGAGCTCAACCACAAGTTTGTCGACACAACGAGCAATTGAGTTTTCCGTAGCGTAGATCTCATCAATAACAGAGCCAGACGTCACACTGGGGAGCGATTTGTTGATAGAGAGGAAGAGTAGCTTCACCAACTTGAGCTGTTTGAGCCACAGCTCACCGAATTTGATTATGTCCTCGTTATCGGCCTCATCTTCGGATTCTGCCTCCTTGTTGTCAGCTGGTGCCTCTTCATCAGAGAAATTGTCATCAAGTCCAAAAGGATCGTCGTCGTCCATATCCTGCGGGTTCTTGACCCACTCCTCGAACTCGTCTAGACCATCCTCGATCAACGAAATGTTTAGCGTGGTCTTCAGCTGCAAAAACTTGAGGTTTCCTTTTTCTATGAACTCTCCGATGCTATCACAGAGCAGCCACATCTTGCCCACAGAAAGCAATCTTGGGTTGACGGTGTCTGCGCTGGTTTGTGCTTCCTCATCCTCCTCCTCGGTATTTTTCAAAATGAGTTCCAATTCTTCAGCGAAGGCTTCAGCCGTTTCGATCAAGTCCTTAGATTTCGCTGCAACCTCTGTGTAAAATAGGCTGGATACCTTCTTTGGTGAAAGCTGTGAAAGTGCAGATATGAGAAACACGAATGTCTTGGACAATTCTGCCACTGTGTCGTGGGCAGCATCGGACTGCTTCAGGATATTCTTGGGTGCATAGACAATGCCGACTTTTGTAGTCTGTGCCTTTATTAGTTTGGTGAGTTTGATGATCTCTCGAAGTGGATCCTCCACCTGAGCAGCTGGTATCTGTGTACTGAGTTCGGATGGCTTATTCAACACGACCAGCCAGAAATGAAGAGCCTCTTTGAAAGGCTTAAGCACCTTTTCTGCCAGCTTCTCGTCACTCATTGCCTGACTACAGTGGTGGTACTCTTACAGGTGTAGATTTGATGAGCATCTTATGTGCGCGAACCGGATTTGGCTGCAAAATGTGTTGATAGTATGGGGAAAACCTACCAATCCTCGTCTTCATCATCGCTGGCTGCTACCTTAGCTTTTCTCTTGTTGAGAGCGCCTGCCAATGCATCAGCAAGGGTCTCGGGTTGACCGCCACCGCCACCACCGCCAGAGGATGGAGGAGGCTGATCACCGTTGGCCTCAGAAAGCAACGCCGAAGGCTTATCTAGCTGAGATTTATCAGTCTTTTTGAGAGCACCTATTCCACCAGCACCTCTGATAGACGAAAGCAATGCGTCTCTTCCGGCATCAGGCTGCGGCAATGGGGCCGAGGGCTCTGCAGAGCCCAAATCTGGAGGTGGAGGAGGAGGTGGAGGTGCGCCACCTGTAGGGGTTGCATTTGCCTGAGGAGGCATGGGCGGAGGAGGTGGAGCAGATGCCTGTGGTTGTTGATGTTGCTGGTGAGGAGGAGCTGGATGTGCTGCCTGTGCATCTCTTTGTGGGGGAAGCGGTGGCTGGAAAGACTGCTGTGGTTGTTGAGGCTGTTGAGGCTGCGCTTGCTGTGGTCTAGCACCTCTAGCTGGTGGTGGAGGGGGAGCACCTCTGGCAGCACGAGGAGGCGGTGGAGGTGGAGCTCCCGTTCTCTGAGGAGCCATTGAACCGCCAGTAGGGTTAGCTCTTGGAGGTGGAGGTGGAGGAACACCGCCTCTTGGAGGAGGAGCGGGAGGATTGCCTCTAGCTGGAGGAGGAGGAGGTGGATTTCCCCTTGCGGGTAGAGCGCCTGGACCAGAAGCGCTATTGTTGCGTCCTGGAGGTGGAGGTGGAGGCTGTATACCCTGGACTGGTTGGCCATACAGCGAAGAGTGGGCACCGAAGAGAGGAGGCCGCAGCGACTGGCCCAGTCCGCTATTTTGTTGAGTGATACCTGGAGTAGGCGTGTTATTCTCCATCTGGTTGGGGACGGTGTTGTGGGGAAGTTGCGGGATAGGAGCCGTTGCAGGTGGGACCCTGAATCTGTTTTCTGGAACAGCAGCGTGAGGAGCTGACCCGTCTGAGCTCTGCGTATGCTGAGGAGTAAGCTCGTTTGGTGTGCTGAGATGTGTAGATGTGGGAGTGATTTCAGGCGGCGTCTGGGAAGGTGCACTGGCTGGAGGAGGTGGAGGAGGGGCTTTTTTGTTCTTTTTCGATGGAACCGGTGGACGGTCGTTGTAGCTCTGCTGGTCGTCAAAGACGTTCTGTGGCGCAGAGTGTTTTCTGGGAATGGGCGGCTCAAGACCAACCAAGGGTCCACCCTGTTTGGCGATGTAGTCCTTGATGAACTCTCTGTTCTCGGCAATCATGTCCTCTGTGATACCTGCCGAGGCCAATTCCGCGTACAACAGACGCCACTCTGGCGGAGGCTGGTCGTCGTAGTAGAGCACGCCTCTGGTTCTTCTCGTTCTCTGGTCCGATTGGACATTGACGTACTCACCTCTAGGTCCGATCTTGGCGGCCTCAGGAGCCAATTGGCCCTTCAATGCAATGGCGTTCTTGTTTTTCAGGGTGTCCTTCGACGCATACTTCTGTCTGTTGGACACACGCTTGAAGAAATGGGCAGCATCGCTGGTGTCCTCAAATAGGAGCCCCACAAGGCAGTCTTCGATCTCGAAAGTGTGGAAGAACTTTCTATCCTGGTGGTACTCAAAGTTGACGTAGAGCTCCTGGTCCCACACAACACCCCTGGTGCCCAAGATGTCCACGAGCTTGAGAAAAAACGTGTGTCCCACCAAATCATCCACCAAGGCTATGGCACCAACGAGACCGGTGTATGTCCATTCGTTCGGATCTGGATGCGCTATATAGAGTCTAGCGACGGTGGCGTCGATGATCTTATTCGACGCCTTGGGCACGGCACGCTTGACTTTTTCCTTGTCTGCCGTTGTAAGTATACCCATGCTGTGGTGGTTGGTTATCTAACGTAGTGAGGTGTTGAGATTTGGGTGCACTACGCAGCAACACCGGTCCGAAGGTGGGATACTTCTGGGCACTTTGAATTATTGAAAGAAGCGTGATAGAAGGCGTTTTCAAGAAATTGGTTTGTATGCTGTTTTGGACTTTTTTCTTTTCCGCTTGAAGTGTTGGTCTTCGATGTCTGCGCCTATGTTCGGCTTTAGGCTTGCACCATGGATGAGACCTTGCGATATTGAGAAGCTGGAGGTAGAAGCTTTTTCAAAAAACCAAGAAAAGAGTCACTTATTACATCAAAAGACAGAAGCAAGCGATCAACTCATTGCCCGTTACCTGCCATCACCAACCACTTATCGGCTTCAACTTCCACCTACACTATCTTCACACACCTCTAATTACAAACTATTAACTATTCTGTCACCTCGCTCAGCTCTTGCTGGAAACAGCCTTGGGCTTGTGGACATGGCCGTTGTGGATTTCGGGAGCAGCCACCTTGGGTTCCTCCTCAGGAGCATCAGGCTCGTCAAAGGCAATCCACAGCTCGAAGCCGTCGACAAACTCATTCTGCAATGCCTTCTCCACCTTGAAAAGGTTCTTCTCCTTCGTGAGCTTTTCGTAAACCTTGTACTCTTCGTCATTGAGCAAGCACTTGTCGAGCTCCTTGGTGATGGCTTCCAGATCAATGCTCAAGCCAATAAACACAATCTCGTTTCTACGATCACCGAATCTGCCTTGCATGTCTCTGTCAATAAGGGCCTGGGCCTCAGGTGGGTAGAACTCCTTACCTGCAACGGCAAACCATGGAATACCTCCACGCATAGTAAGCATAGGACCAGCAGAGGACCATTCACCTCGGATAATGTGACGGGAAGCAAGCCAGAAGAAACCCTTGGAACGGAGGACAGGACCGAATTTGGAGTGCTTTTTGTTCTTGATAATCTGCTCTTCAGAGGGGTCGGTGTAGTTTTCTTCGTCACCGTCGATTTCGTCTTCGTCGATCTCTTCTTCCTCTTCTTCTTCTTCTTCACCTTCGCCTTCGCCTTCGTTGTTCTCGTTAGCGAGTCCAGACAGCTCAATCACCACAAACTTGTCCCTGATAAGCTTGTAGAGTCTCTCTGGGTGGAAAGGACGTCTAGATTTGTAGACGAAGTTGTTGATACCGTACTCCTCGGTCTCTGGCTTGGGTGCAAGCTTGTTGCCGTAGGCCTCTCTCTTGGTCATTTCGTGAAGACTCTGCAACCAACCAGCGGAAGAAGAAGCCTTTTCGAAATCAAACAAACCGGTACCAACAACATCCTTGACATCAACACGGCTGTAGTTGGTTCTGTAGACCTTGGCAACAGGGTTGAGGGACTTGATGGTCTTGAAGATCTTCTTCTTTTGCTTCTTGTTCACCAAGTCAATCTTGTTGACAATGATGACGTCGGCAAATTCGATTTGATCCACCATAAGGTCACAGATGGTTCTCTCCTCCTCGTTCTGGCCAGTGGAACCAAAACGGTCAACAAGGAATTCCGTGGTTTCCAAGTTATGGTAAAAGTTCTTACCGTCAATGACAGTAACACAGGTATCAAGCTTGGCAACCTTTTCGAGACCACCCAAGTCCTTGATTTCCTTCAAAATCTTTTCGTCCTCTTTGGTAATACCTTCTTGGTTGTCAAGGTACATGTTAGTAAATTCAGTCGTGAAAGTCTCAGCCACTTGCATAGGCTCGGAAATACCAGTGGACTCAATAACAATATACTCAAAAGCATCATTCTTAGCAAGAGAAACCAACTCCTCCAAAAGATCACCTCTCAAGGTGCAACAGATACAGCCGTTCTGAAGCTGCACCAATTTTTCCTCTTTCTGGGAAACACGGTGGTTTTGCACCAAGTCGGCATCAATGTTCAACTGGGACATATCATTGATGATAACGGCAATCTTAAGACCATGGTCCTTGGTAAGAATGTGTTCCAAAAGAGTAGTCTTTCCCGATCCCAAAAAGCCCGAGAGCAAAGTAACTGGGATGGGGTTCTTGATGGACTTCGAAGACTTCTTAGCCATGATAGAGAAAAATTGATGATTTTGAAAAATTCCTAATTGAGCCCAGGACCAAGGGTATTTATTCCACTACAATAGCCGAATTTTTCATTGAAAACGGGTCAAAGGCGGCAGCATACTTCTTTACCGCTGTGGTTATTTGATGCAAGAGCAGCGGGCCACAACGGTTCGAGAAGCACAGTTTGAGGAGATTTGCAGTTGTGATTTCCCCTTAGAATGCATTTTTTGCAGCCAGATAACCTTCGAGGTGCATTATTTGATTCTGCGAGCATCTCATTGGCCCCCGCTCTGCCCTGCGATAACCACCACGGTGACTCCTCTGTGCCCCGGCCTAAATACACCCTGCGTTCCTGAATCCAGCTTCTCCCAATCGGCGCCTTTGGATTTGACAACCGGCGTTTTACTGAGGCTCTTAACTATGGCTGTTGAAATGGCTGCGAATTGCCAGAGGTGGTCTCAGCTACGGGGGTATAACTAAAGAAAATGAAAATCGATTTCCGACAATTCTTTACATTTTCGTCTTCGCTACCTGCAAGTGAGTTTATAATGCCAATATGGATTGCTCAATAGGGATTCTGATAACCACAACAGAATGTGGACCACTGCGGTATTGCTGCAGGCGCGAATTTTTGACATGCGACTGAAAAAAAAAAAAAAAAAAAAAAAAAAAAAAAAAAAAAAGCTCATCACCAAAGTACTACACAATGTCTGGACGCCAGGGTGGTAAGGCCAAGCCTTTGAAGGCACCAAAGAAGAAAAACCAGGATTTTGACGACGAGGATCTCGCTTTCAAGGCTAAGCAGAAGGCTGACGCTGCTGCGAAGAAGAAGTTGGCTGAGCAGGCCAAGAAAGGTGGCCCCATGGTTGGAGGCGGTATCAAGAAGAGCGGCAAAAAGTGATGTAGACAAATAGACGAGCGACGTAAGAGATAACTGTAGAGCTGTAGAATTGATTTCTTTGGAGAGTTTGAAAAGAGAAAAAAAATTGCGACCTCGGTGAGGGTCGAACTCACGATCTTAAGATTAACAGTCTTACGCCTTAACCAACTTGGCCACGAAGTCTTGCTGGGTAGTTGGTGAAGCAAGTAATATATGTTAAAGTAGCAAAAGGGCCGAAATCGGTGGAAAATTCTGTCAATCAAAAGGTATTTTACATTTATCTCAAAAAGCGTGCTGTGAGACGCACAGGCGCTAAAAACCAAAACTGACGGAGCTACGAATATCTCGGGAAAGAGTAGGTTATATTTAATTTTGTAAATACAGTTGGGTGAAGGAGGATCAAAAGTATGGATTTGATGATTTACGGGCAATAATAGTGGTGGCGGGGCAGATGAATGGAGGAGTAGGTAATTCAGTCATCCTCAAAGACTGAGAATCACAAATAATCGCTGTCAAAGTACGAGCTCAAAAAGGAAATTCGGAAGATATAGATGACCTCAAAACGTAAATTGCCCAAAGTTTCCTAATTAGTCCGCGAGGCCGTGATACATCTCTCACGCTCACTACGAATGGCTTTCAATTTTATTTATTTTTTTCTATTTTTTAAAATTTTTCGAAAAGAAGCCAGCCCTGAAAAAAGGGCTAGCGGACCCGGGAAGGTCGAAGGCTGCGCAAGAAGCTCACAAGACGATGCTTCTTTGAGAGCTTTCTCGAAGACTTCTTCGGCTTCGAAGTCTTCTTCAGGCTCTTGCGCTCCAACTGTGGACCATAGTCTTCCTTTGTCCAGGTCCGGAAGAAACTGTGAAAGTCTCTAGGGAGGAAGAACTTCCTAGCTCCGAGATTGAGGTTGACACCCTCTGTGGTACCAGCATGGCGTTGCGATACAGGGTGACAATTCTTGGAGAGAAGCTTCTCGAAATGTGGAAAATCTCCAGGCAAGAAGAAGGAGGGCGGTGTCTCCTTGAGGGAGTCCTCAAACCTGTAGAAATCCTTGGGAAGGTAAGTACGGGAGCACTTGGGGTAGACGGTTTCAATGTACTTGAAAAAGTCACGAGGAAGGTACTCGAGTGACTGCTCGTCGTTGGTGTACTCCTTGTACTTGTAGAAGTAGATGGGAAGGAAGCTTTCGGGGCTTTCTTCACGGAAGATTTCCTTGAACTTGTAAAAGTCAATGGGGAGGAAATTCTTCTGGCGACTTTCGCTGAACATTTCCTTGAACTTGTAGAAGTTGCAAGGAAGGAAGCACTTCTCTTGATCCTCATTGAAAATCTCCTTGAACTTGTAGAAATCGCAAGGAAGGAATGCTTCGTGCTGCTTCTCGCTGGTAGCATGTCTGAAACATGGGAAGTCACCAGGCAAGAATGGGGATTTTTGCTTGTAGAGAAGCTGCAAAAATCCTCGAGGACCTTGGTCCACGGAAAATGAAGGGGCAGCTCTTGGTTTCTCTACTGCTCTCGAAGCAGAAAGCTTCTTAGCAGCGGCAACTTGCTTTGCAAAATGCTCTGAAAGATCATTATACAGCGGAGCATTTGATGGAGGCATTCTGGCTAATAACCTCTTGTCAGCCTTCATAACGGCACGAGTAGCAGTGACGCCAGAATAGGCAAGGTCGAAAGTGTCAAAGTCATTCCATCTCGCCAAATTCATGACCTTGACTTCGTAGATGGCTTGAGCCTTGAACTTCAGGATATCATCGTGAGGAGCATGATACCAGTGGTAAAAGAAGTACTTGAACTGGTTAGGCTCCCAGTGGAAGGCAAAGGGAAGGCCTCCGTTGTGCTTTGCACAAAAGTGGGGAACTCCATTGATGGCTTGAATAACGACGTCGGTGACGTCCTGGGGGATCCAAGTGCTGTAGATGTTGAAACAGTTCTTACACATTTTTCTTATCTCGTAATTGCTTGTGGTGGGTGTTGATGAAGAGAAGAAAACTTTGGGAGAAACGGCCCTTACTTATACACGAGAGGGCAGGCTCTACTCTCGAGATGAATGACATGGTTTCCAGTAGTGGGTCATCAAGTTTGGTGATATATTTCAAAAGAGGCAAGTCGTCCACTCGAGAGAACTCTCTGGAAGAAAAAGAGTGGATGAATGCAGGGCCATGATTAAGAGTTGCCTAAAATCTGGGGTAAGTGGAAATTACAGTCACTCAATGTGGGTGTTTTCAGGGTGTTGATGCGATAGAGGAAAAGGCAACACCTTCTGCGTCACGCCAGGCATTCAAGCCCTGATGATGTGGGCACAAAGAGAAAGCAGATTCTGTCATTGGAAAGAAGGAGAGCGCACTGGAATCGTTTTTTTGGGATGTCAGCCATTGATTGTCATTCATGGAAGTTGGATTGTTCCGAAATGGTGACGACCAATAGATGAGCATCTTGAGTGAAAAAGGGGGAGTGTGAGTTTCAGTCGAGAATGGAAAAAGGAAACTATAGCTACTACAGACAATAAAAAAATTTTGATATCAAGACTTGAGTTGTTACAATTTACTTCTACCTCGTACCTTAAGTAGTGTAGCAGGAGGGACGTAATCGGAACCAGAAAACCTTCACAACGAAAAAGCCTCCATGGGTATATCAGGGACAGAAGGTCAATTCCAACCTCCTTCTCCAAATATTTCCAAACTTTCACCTTGTAGCTCCCCTGGTCTTGACTTTTTGCAACCACTATTGGTGCGCACACGCACACGGTAGAAAAAAAGTTGATCTTGAGCGAAGGTGTATCAAACCCATCATGCCAGCTTTGAAAAAGTTCGATGCCAACGTGGCTCGCCACGTGAAGCTGATGAACAAGAACCTCTGTGCTAATTTAATACGCCATGAGTACATTGTCACCGGCAGAACGAAGGCCAAGAGAGCACAGGCCAAGATCGAGTCTTTCCTAAGCCAGGCCTTACAGGAAGAGAGACAGATGGCCAACATACCCTTGAGGCAGAGATTCAAGCTCAACAAAGCCTTGAACTACTTGCAACCCGCAGACAAGCAGGAGGTCGGAACCAAGGTGCTCGAAGAGCTCAGCAAGAGATACACGGATAGGACGCATGGATTCACGAGAGTTACCAAGTTAGAGCCCAGACTCGGCGAAGACAAGGCGCCTATGGCAATTTTGGAGCTTGTGGACTCCGACTTTGAGATCAAGTTCTGGTACATCGCCAAGACGGTGGCCAGATTGGAGTTGCAAGGCTTGAAGGTGGATCCCTTGACACAGCACAACGTTGAGAAATTGACGCAACTAAGGAAAGACGGCGAGGCCAAGTTCAGGGACGCTGTGGACCAGTGCAAACAAAGATTCTTCAACTACGACCTCGAGCTGGCTTCCGTCCAGGAAGGATCTGTGGAGGCCAATTTGCAGAACAAGCCTGCCGATGGAGAGGTCCAAGCAGGCACTAAGGCGCCTTGGGCGACCAAGTCGAGGCTCAATACCAAGCCCAGAGCAGAGAAGAAGAAGGTGGATCTCCCCAAATCTCCATTTTTGGCATAGACCGGCCCGCCACGTGCCGCAGTGTAAATAGCATCAAGGATATACTCCTCCAGGACCAGATTGGGACAATATCGGCAGCCAGTGTAGTGGAAAATGCGTTTTGCGCTCGTAGATACCCCCCATTTTCCGAAACCAAAACGGTTTTATCGAGGCCTGTGTGCCCTAGTCGCGATCGCACAGTGTACTATTTTGCAATGTGGTGGTCCAAGTCTCATTTCAAGCCCGCAGGGAAGTATGCCTTGGTGGTTGGAGGTTCCCAAGGTATCGGAGCCGATATAGCTTTCAGGCTCTATGAACAAGGATGTTCCGTTTTGTTGGTTGCAAGAACCAGAGCCAAGCTCGAGAAGCAGGTGGACCATATAGTTAAGAACGCAGACAGATCGCTGGAACACGGCTTGAAGCCCACATGCGAGTACTTGACGTGTGACGCTGCGGATTACGATGAAACGGCTGAGTTGTGGAAGGTGCTCGTGCAAGAAAAAGAGGTGGATCCAGACTTCATCTTCTGCTGTGCTGGTTCCTCAGTACCCAAGCTCTTTGCAGACCTTCTGGGTAAGGAGCTCAAACAAGGAATGAATGTGAACTACTTTTCTGCTGTTAACGTGGTCCACTGTGGCCACAAGGCGACACTTAACAAGGAAAGGAAACCCAGGCACATTGTGCTTTTTTCATCCACAGTGGCCTCGTTCCCCTTCATAGGCTACGGACAATACGCTCCCACCAAGGCGGCCATTCTGACGTTTTCGATGGTGTTGCGCCAGGAATTGAGCAATTTCAACTACAGAGTGACCTGTGTGTTCCCGGGCAGTTTCGCCAGTGAGGGCTACGAGGAGGAAGAGAAGACGAAACCCAAAATCACAAAACTGATCGAAGGCGCAAGCCCCGCCATTCCTTCCATGGAGTGCTGTGATTTGGTGCTCGACAGGTTGGCCAAGGGCTACGACGCCATCTACACCGATGCCATTGGCTGGCTTTTAGGGTGCATGGTCTTGTCGGTTCAGCCCCGGTGCTGGAGCTTTTTCCAGGTGATTGTGGCGCTGATCCTCCTGGCGATTGTGCCGTTGCTCATGTGGTTTATCAACCTCGACGTCAAGAAGTTCTGGAAAGAGAAGGAGCAGGCGGAAGCTGCTCCATCCGAGTAGTTCTACCGCGCTTGCAGTCGTATCTGTGTGTATTTTTATGCTATGTATCACTTGCCCTCTTTGCCCGCATCGGCGATGCTCTTGGTCAACTTGTCCGTCAACTTGTTCAATCTGCGGTCAGCATCAAGCCCCCACTGGTACCAGTTGATCGAGTAGACCCAGTTGACGCCCTTGATCAACTCCTCATTCCAGTAGTCTTTGCAAGTTTCCAGGAACGAAGGCCTCGTCAATTGCGTCACTCTTCTGTTGGGCGGCTGTGGGTTCTTCTCGATACCCTTGTCTGAAAGAATTCTGTTGTCGATCTGGTCCTTGGCGTCTTGAAGGCCGTTAGAAACGAACATCAACGGCATCGTCATGAGCGGCTCAGCTATGGTCCATGCAATTCCTGAGACGGTCACGCCGGCCAAAAAGCCGATGATTCTTCCTCCCATGCTGTTGGTGGTAGCTGTAGTGGGTGTTTATTGGATGTGATTGGGCACACACAGGACCCGCGGGTTGCTTACTGGAGGTTCTGGTTGATCAGTTGAGGGACCGAAGGGGGGTCTTTTTTTTTTCTTAAGAAGCTGATTGAAGGGTTTGTTGATGGTTTTAGTTTGACAATATTGGTAGTTTCGTTTCTGTGGGGTGGATCGTGACGGGTATATTGTGGCTGCAAAATGGGCCGGCATCAGTGCTGGAGGAATCGAACCATGGCAATTTAAGGATTTTGAGTTTTTACCGATTTTCGAGAGGAATCTGGAAGAATGAAAATGGGATCAAGCTTTAATGAAAATAATTCGATTTTGTTATCGAAAAGATTGTGATGCGCAGCCTAGCTGGTAGCTTGGTTGCAAAATGGAACAACCGAGCATTCTTTTGAACATTGACAAAGGAATTCAAGAGGCTTTTTAAAGAACAATATTTCTTCACGAAATGCCTCATTTTATCGTACTTAATCAAACAGGGTTTTCCATTTAATCAGATGAATTTAACAAAAAGAAATCGTACTTGATGTGTAAGACATCCTAAGCCGTTCACATGGCTGAAACTCTAGACACCAGGTTAGCCCTAGAGATGTGCAACTTCCATAGATGAGACCCTCTCACCTCACCTGCTTACTAAAGAGCAACTGTGCTTTTGTCAAGACTGAAGGCTGAGGCACTCTCGTGTATGCCATGTAGACGGTGAGATCTTGCGGCACAAGTTGCATCCACTGATCACCCTGTAAGAACAGTGCCACAAAATCTATTGCTTCCCTACATTGCTTATCTACGATTTAGTCAAGAATGCTCGGAGGATCTCCGTGGCCTGGCGTCCTGGCAGTGCAGTAGAATGGGCTATATTTGTGCCAAACCCGTGTCTTATTGAAGGTTCGATAAAGTAACAAACCAAAACTCTTGTCTCAGCGTAGCTCGTGAACATCCACCGTGACCTCCTTGCGCCTCCAGGCTATAGTGGCCAGAACTCGTCAAGAGTCAATTTGCATGAATCGGACGAGACCCTTTGCATCAGCCTCCTAGCAAAGAGTGCGCAGCATCAGATCGTAAAATCAGCCGAAACCACTCCGGTCCATGGCTTAGACCTCGCGGAGCAACTCCCCATAGCCGTGTGCAACGAAAACGGATTTTAGAAGTTGTCTAGTGCCCAGGGCCCGATTCCAAATCGGGTTAGCCGAGAACGGCCCGGAAGTGATATAGCCAACGTTTCTTTGCGCCCCATCCTGATATCTTGGCATCGGACGTTGCGCTCATTTACGTTTATTGATTTAAGGGGCAAGGTCAGAGAGGCGGAGCGGCGGCGGCTGACCTATGAGAGAATTCAATTATTGTGAGCTTTTGAAAATTTGGTTTCGTCTTGGCTGCTGTAGGTGTTGGAGAGCATCTTGTGGAAATCTTAGATTATATAGATTACTGCACGGTATGGTTACACTCGGGCCGAGTCCAGTTCTCATGCGTCAAGGGTAAAACGTTGGGACAAGAAAAAGAATAATCATCCTTTCTCTAGTAGTTTCATCAAACTCACCATCAAAGAAGTAGGTACTATCTACTCGGAGATCAAGGCGGGGTTCATTAACGCGGCTGAGGATCTCACTGATAGTGCTGCAAGGTTATGCCACAACGGCAGTACCGCGCAGAAGCGAGTATCACAGTTTTGAGAGAGTTTCCATCTCCAGCAGGCACCACGTGAAAGCACAAGAGGCAAATTATTAGGCTTCAAAAGTTTTTCAATTTTCGTAGGCCGTTTTACATTCCAGAAGCAACTTTCTCCTTCCATCGTCGATCCGATCTACCATGTCCTTCTGCTACAAGTGGCTTATAAGCCTCTCCAAAAACGAACAGCCGCTCTGCTGTCTGCGCCTATTGACTAAGCTGACAAATGATGTGGTTTTGTAGGCTCGGGAGAACTTGCAGTCTGATGCTGCTACGCGGCTGAGTTCCTGATTCTACTTGGCTGGCGAAGCTGGAAAGTGCATGCCAAGGTCGGCTTTTTGCACCCATACTTCGATGCTACTCTGGATATAGGGCAGGGGACAGAATAGATAAATAGCTGGCATTTCCGGCAAGATGCTTTCTCGAAGGCCTTAATGAAAACTCCAGCAATCCTTCTTTGCATAAACCTCGTCGCTGCATTGCAGTTCTACGAGAAGGCCGATTCTGGCGATAAGGCCTGCGGGTTACTTCACCAAGCTGTGGCTATTTCAGGCCTGAGTGGGCGGTACTTGAACGTTGATCGTTACTGCGAGGCTCTGAATCAACCCTATTTGGGTTCCATGGCTGCCTGCTTGGTGGACTCCTTCGATGATGAGAAGTATGTTGAGCACTTTGTCTCTACCTGTCTGGGCCAGATATCCAGAGACGACTTTGACAGGGCCTATCAGAATGCATCCCGGTATCTCGTGAACGGTACCTCCTCAGAGGGGCTCAAAAAGCACAAACAAATCCGTTATCGTTTGATCCTGAATCAGTGCTCTACCAGGCAAACGACACATACAGCTACGACAGAACAAACAACTTCACACTCATTTTCGGCATCGTGCTCACGGCGTACTGGTTTGCTGTGTGTTTAATTGCTGGCTTTTTCCACTGGACAAAGCGTCTTGTACCATGGCTTTCTGATAAGCTTCTCGGCTTTGCACCCTTCAACTATGTCAGACGCTTTATCGTGCTTCCTGCTACCTTCAGCAAAGCTCATTTCAGCACAAAGAAGTTGGGGCCACTTGAATGGCTTATCCCTCTCAGATTCGAATCTGTCCTCCTCGCCATTTACTTCATTCTTTCAGCCATTTTCTGTGGTGTGGAAATCAACAATGCATCAGACAAGCCCTTGGTGCTCCAGGTGGGAAACAGGAGCGGCTCTCTTGCCACATTTGCACTTCCAGTCCTCATTTTGTTCGCTGGAAGAAACAACTTCTTGCAGTTTGTTACTGGCTGGCAGTATACCCGATTTGTGGTGTTCCACCGCTGGGTAGCTAGAGTGTCTTTCCTTGTATTGATGGTGCATGTGGGCACGAAGACCATGACACTCAAATACTACCAGGCTTACCCGCTGTCTCTTTCAGAAACTTACCTCGTGTGGGGTACTATCTCCACCGTTTGCATGGGCTGCTTGGTGTTCTTCTCCATGTACTGGCTTCGCAGAACCAGGTATGAGCTTTTCCTACTTACCCACTATATTTTTGCAATTCTCATGATTGCCGGTGGCTGGATCCATGTCAAGATCAAACAACTCGAAGGCTTTTTCATTGCATGTGTTGCTGTGTGGGCAGTCAATTTCGTCATCAGAGGGCTCCGATTGGCCATCTTTGGAATCCAAGAAGCCACTTTGGAACTCGAAGCCGACGAAACCATCAGAGTCATTTGCAAAAGACCACACTGGTGGCGTCCCCACCCAGGAAGCCATGCTTTTGTTCACTTCTTAACACCAATGTCGTTCTGGCAGTCTCATCCCTTCACTTTGGTGGATGAACCAGTGGAGGAGGGAACCGTGGGAATGTATGCCAAAATCAAAGGCGGTGTCACACACGGTCTTTATCAGCAATTGTTGAGAGCACCCGGTCACTCCATCAACATCAAGGTCATGGTGGAAGGCCCGTACTTTGAGAAAATGCCCGTTGAAGATGTCGAAAGGGCCGTATTTATTGCTTCCGGTAACGGCATTCCAGGAATGTACGCTGGAGCGAAGGACTTGGCTATAAATTACCCACGCAAGCCCGTGAGGTTGATTTGGGTGATCAGAGATTACATCTCCATTTGCTGGTTCTACAGTGAGCTCAAGCAGTTGGAGTTGCTCAATATTGATATCATCATCTACGTCACTCGAGGCCTGAAGGAGGATGAGCTTCGCCATCATATCAGAAGAAACCTGCTCAATGAAAAGTCTGATCAAAGCAGTGGTTCCACGAAAGTGAATGGGTCGATCACTCTGATCAACGATCTCAAGCAGAGTCTTCCTTTTATTCAGTTTGTCGAGGGTAGACCCAATATTGGTGGATTGTCTCAGACGAAGTCATCCAGTCAGGTAACCACAGCACAGGCTTTGTCACTTGTGGTCATCCTGCTATGGTGGACGATATCAGAAAGCAGGTTGTAGACACGCTAGCCGTGGACCCCACCTCCAAAATTGAACTCTTTGAGCAGTTCCAGATGTGGTAAATATACGCAAAAGTCACCGGTAACCGTTTTGTTTCAACTATGTACATATGCTCGTGAATTAGGGTTCTTCTTGGCAGGCACCTCTGCCTCTATAGCCTGCGACAAGGCGTTTCTCAAGAATGGGAAAACATCGATCTTGTCAAGCTTGACGCTCTGGCCAGACTCTCTTAGCGTCTTCACCTCCTCAACAGCGGTCTCGGTGTCACGCAACAAGAAGGGCAATTCCTCCATGACACCATTGAGGGCAAATCTAGAGCGTCTGGGTGAGTTTGCGTCACGTATCTTCTAGCCTTCAAGTTGGCAACGTAGCTGAGACCTCCACGAATTTGACGTTGATGTCTCTGTCCAAGTCGTAGTCTTCAAGGGTGGGTTCAATGCCAAAAATGGCGTATTGCAAACGGACAAGCTTGTCGTTGAAGGAGGAGATGTCGGCTTCACCGGCGTTGACATACTGCTCCTCAAAGTCAGCCAAGTACTCGGAGATCTCCTGGGTCAAGGTCTGGGCCTTCTCGGTAGCTGTTTGTCTCTCAAGAAGCGTCTGCTTGATTCTCTTCTGGTTCATCTTAAGCATGAGATCGTGGGAACGCACAGATGGCTCCACAGGCACAGCAGCCATGTGGGAGACCTGGAGCTCTCTGGCAATGCGGTTTCTTTCTTTCAAGGTCAAGTACCAGATTTTGTGCAAATCGTCAAACGACTTTCTGCGCAATTCAGCCATCGACCATGCACGGACATCGTCAGGCGTCTTTTCACGCAAAGCAGCCTTGGCCTGGTTGCCTTCGTGGAAGAAAGCCCACAATGGGTGGTCTGGGAAACATCGAAGTTGGTGTGTTTGGGCACGATGGGTTCCCTAAGTTTAATGTCAGCCACAGGCCCGAATGTCAAGGGCTTGCTTCTTGCAAGAGCCCTGCAGGCCAGGTGGAGGCCTCTAGATGGGATCAACATGGACTGGGTGGTTCAGAGGTAAGTTGCAAAAATTTTTGTTAGCGAGCATTGGTGGTGAGGTCACGTGCGAGAGTTGGAAATGCATCAACAAATGGGTCCAGGGGATTGTTTTGAAAAGTAAAGATTTCATAGATTATAAACGGATCTTGAACTTTTCAATTCTGTATTTGGCGCTTTTTCTTTGGCGAAGAATCGAAATTTTAAAGTCCATACTCAGATGCACTTTATTGTCAACACTAAGTATACCATGATACCTTTACCTAAAATCAACTTGATATCGACCAAACATGATTCAAATTCGAAATATCAATCTCCTATTCTCTCTATATTTACATAGACACCCGTAAGCGGCGGCTTCTTTTGTTGATGTTGGTTCCTCCACAGACTGTCCTGTACCTACTGTGGGTTGAGATTTCCAGCAAAGGCTACAAGCTTCTTCATCAATGTCCACCATACAAACAGAACAACAGCAGGAGGAGCCGCTCGACCTCATCAGATACCAGCTAGACGAATACGTGCTTGTCAAATTGAGAGGAGCACGTGAGATGAAGGGCCGTTTGCAAGCGTACGACTCGCACTGTAACATCGTCTTGAGCGATGCTGAAGAAACCATATACGGCGAGCAAGAGCTGGACACGATTGTGAAAAAGACAGAAATGGTGTTTGTCAGAGGTGACTCGGTTATCTTGATCAGCTCCATCGACCAGTAGCCTTGTGCCGCTTTGTACATTATAATATAAGGGATCGCATAGGCTTTACCTGTAGCCTAGTCCACTTCCATGGACTCGTCGAAGCTGTTGAGCAATGTCTCGATGGCTTGTAGTTTTTTGGCGTTCACCAACCACCTCTCCTTGGCGATGGCGCCACGACCTACGAGATCCTTGATTTCTCTCGCTAGAGCCTGAATGGTCTGTTCGTAGTCGTCTACTGTCATTGACTTGGCGTCTTTGGGAGTATTCATCGAACGTGACAAGTCAAACGATATTTGCAGCGAGTCCAAGCGGCGTGCCGCTTTCAGCCAGTCTAGTAGCTCGTTCAAGCGCTTGAGTGTGTCAATAGAATGCTGTTTTGTTTCTGTTTTGGGGTTCTCGTCTTCACCTTCGTCAATCTCGTCCACGGTTTTGAGGTTCTTGAGCTCGTCGTCAAGAGACTTGAGCGACTCTTGAATCTCGCTTTTGTCGAAAACTGTGCTTTGGTAGTCAATAAAGGTACCGTTGGGGTTGGGTGCTCTTTCCCTGAAACCTATCGTACTGGGACCTCTACCCCTGTTTGTGAATGAAAATTCAAATTTACCAACCATCTTCGCCATTCTTTCAGCAATGGGAGCGTATTCTTCACGCAATGTTGCGAGATTGGCCTTGAGCTCTTCGTTCTCTTTGGAAAGCTCAACGTAGTTCTTCTCTAGTTCACTGAGATACTGTGGCGTGTTGCTCCCAGCAAAATCAATCCTTCCCGATAGACGCTCCACATAGGCGGGATATGACACTTTATATTTTTCATTTTCAAAATTGAGTTCCTGGAGTCGTTTGAACGATTCCTCTGAGACTTCTCCATCTTCCTTCTCTTTTTGTATCTGCTTCACGATTTCAAGCACGCTCTGGCGAAACTTCAAGTATTGATATGCGACATTGTCGTGAGTGGATATGTATGAATCTATAGCAGCGTCTATGACACTCTGCTGCTGGTTGGTTATCAACGACATGATGTTGTATTATATGAGATGTGCGAAGATATCGGTCGCACCTACTACTTGGGTGCAAAATACGAGATCGTCAAATATGCAATTATGTATTTAAATCGCGCCTGTTTGCACCAATTGCCCAACCTAGACCGGAGACAAACAAGTTTGAGAGTTTGTCACTAGCGTGGGATGTTGTTTTAGAAGCTGTTTTGGACGCTTCGTTCAATAACCTACCAGCGTTCTCCGGTATCTGCAAGACGCTAGGCTCTGTTTGCATTTGCGTATTCAGCTCGCTGTACAGGCCTAGGTGATCAAAGACAGAATCAATCTCTCTCTCTTTTTGTTTGAGTTGAGTGAGAATGAGGCGACTGTTGTCTGTGGTTGAGCTGGAGGGCTTGGTGAGCTTGAGAGTGAGGAAAAGAAGTTCTCTTTGTTTGAGGTAAACGTCGAGTTTCTTTTTCTCCACCAAGATATCTTCATCGTTGAACCATTCCGGCGCTATGTATTTTGCAGTTTGGTAAAACGTGAGCCAATACTCGTTGATACTGAAATTGTTGTCAGCGGCGTGTTGATCGAAAAGCATTTTTGAATGCTTGTAAGCAAATGTGAAATTGTTGTCAATCAAAGCAGACTCAATGCAAGCCGACTGAATTCTTGCAAAGGGAACATGCGAGACATCTATTCCAAGGTAAATGGCAAGATCATTGACAATGCGGTAGAGCTTCTCGAAAGCATGGTAAGACTTAGGATTTTGCTCTAGAACATGCGAAACAATCGAAAAGGGCGTGAACTGTTCGTCATCTTCTGTTCTCGTAATTTTGGTTAAAACCTCCAGAGGTTTGGCCGAGCCTCTACCATCGAGTGAAAGCTTGAAGTTCTTCAAGCTGCTGATAGCTTTAAGTAAATGCTTGAGCTTGACGATCTGGGTTCTTGATGCTTCATCGAGATTTTCACTTGAGCCAAGGGTGCTTAGAAGATTCACACACTCGTGAGCTTGATTGAGATGACCTGTTCTTTCATCCAAGTTTGTGGCTTCATCAAACTCATACTTGAATTTTTTTAGAAGTACGTCAAACGCCTGGTTTACCGATAGAGATGGCGTATTTTGGTAGAACTCAGTAGCGTTTGCGAAAAGCCCAACACCTAAAAGTCTCTCGAAGATAATGTGATCAAGCTCGCCTTCAAGCAGTTTGTCGCCTTTGATAAACGAGGATGAGATGAGTTTGACAGAGTGGAGGAGCTTCTCATAATTGGAAGACTCCAAGTGAGCAAGCACACGGAGAACCTCCTTTTTCACTGACTCTTGATCTGTAGAGCCAGTTTGACTGAGCTTCAAGTATTTGGAGACTGTGAGGCCATTGACTGGGAAAACCTGACAACAAGTTGCAATTGCGTTCTTCAAAAATGCGAGGCATCTTTTCGTGTCCAGCCTGAAGAGAGATTTCAATGGATTCGCATGGCTTGAGACAAAATCTGTGAATGAATGATATTCTGGTAAGTTGTCAAGATCAACATCCTCCGAAAGTAAGGTGCCTCCAGAGCTCGTGACATCGAGCAACTCTATCAAGACCGTCACGGAATTGTCAATCATATCATAGGCTCTTGAAACATCAACAGACGACACACTCGATTCACCATAGAGCGCAAAGTAGTAAACCAAAGCGATATAATTGCTAACGAAGCCTGCGATGCTCTCATCCAGTAAACCCTGTCCTTGGTAGTCTGTGAACTTCAAAATGCTTTCTGTCGTTGATTGGAAAGTCAGAAGTCTTGACAACCATGATGGATGCTTCCTCTCCGTGTAAACCCATTCAAGAAGTGGAGAAAGATCACCACCGTAGTATAAAGCAACAGGCAAAAGCACTTCCGAAAAAATCTTTGGTGGGTTGAATGCAATGTGGTTCTTCTCCACAGCAGCTGTATAAGGCTTGATGAAAAAATCTAGTTTGTCTGAGTATGACTGACGCAGAAGGAAATCAAACGCAGCAGTGTCACCCAAAATCACACCGTAGGAGCGTTTGAAGTTGTTGTATGGTGCAAAGATGCCATGGTACCAGGCCAAGAAACTTTCGTTTCCTTGGACAGTCCTGGCAAGAAAGTCGTACTGCTCCAAGTCTGAAGTATACCTGGAAAGCTGAATGATCTTGGCCATAACGAAACTGGCGTAGGTTTCACAGCTGGTATAGCCAATCAGCTTACTGCGCTGAGCATAGTCAGCTTCTAAGGCAGCAGCTGTTTTGACAGCATCCTCCTCGTCTGGCAATTGAACGGAATACTCATGGGTAGTCCAAAGCAACAAATCCTCCACATCATCTGAAAGCTCTGCCGTGTTAAGAGATTGACTCTCTAACTCTTGAGTTGTTATTTGCTGAGCGTATTGAGCAATTCTTTCCAAATTCACTGAAATTGAGCTGACCCGAATATGAAACTTCTCAATAGATTCGACGGCTGATTGAAGCGTAGTTGCCCTAGTTTGCTCAAGGGTATGATTTTTGCAAGAAGCAGCTCGATTGCCTCTGGTTTTGTTGCAAGGATACTGCAGAAAGCCAAGAAAAGCTGTGCGTCTAGCCGCTCAAGTGAGGATCCTGACATATCCAAAAGTGTAGCTGGTGTTGATAATATGTACTGTGCGCACCCTAGAGTAGGATATCAAATAGAAACACCATCACCAAGAAGAACTGAACCACGCCTGCAAACAGCACAGTCGAATCCGCAATAACGTCAGAGAATAAAGTATAAGGGAAATTTTTATTCTTGAACATTCAAAACCTTCTTTTTTGGGTTCCCCTGACTGTTTTGCCTATTTCTGCCCTGTTTATCGCTATCTTTACCATCACATCCTCCTATGCTTAGCACGAACGGCATTATATGATTTCAACCTTTAGACTTTTACGACGCCCTACTATAGCATATACGACAACACCCCGCAGAGCCCTCATGAACGGCCCTCAGGCATCCTTAAACAGCGCGTCTAGATGGCATGGTTTAGTTCCAACCACAGAAAACCTCAACCTGCTACTAGAGGTTGATCTTTCGTCTTTCTCGGAATCCCAGCATACCTACAACGACTCGGACAATTTATCAGATGATCCGTTTGGGTCACAAGATCTCGTTGGCATTTGTGAACCCTCTGATGCTCCACTAGAATCTGTACAAGATGACAAGCCGAAGATCAAGAAAGAATTTCCTTCATCTCCGCTCTTTGTCACCGCCAACTCCCTGCCACAAGTTCTGCCGGTCAAAAGCTCTCAGCTACATTCCGGTAACAAACCTGACTATCATTCCTCGCTCCTAGGGTCTCCACAACGCAAACGGCTCAAAACAGATCTGCAAACGCGTTGCTACAGCACAAATGCTGAACCTCCGGTTCCCGAAACTTCCGAAAGCAGAAATGAGCCCCGGATTGAGCTCTTCCAAACTGGGCCACCCAGAAGATCAATAAAGGGCTTCTCGAATCCCACGATTCAACTAGCCACCCAGAAACCACTAGCGCCTTGGGAGCAGGAGCTCTTGGGTACTCAGGATAAGTTTGCGGGTAGGGCGAAGAGTGTTACCCCATTTGTTTTGTCCCGTGAACAACAATACGTCATGGACCTTGTTCTTCGAGGCGAGTCGCTCTTCTTTACCGGTTCGGCTGGTACAGGTAAGTCAGTCCTTCTCAAAAAGACAATCAAAGCATTAAAGGACAAATATCGTCTTGGGGAAATCGCTGTCACTGCCTCTACGGGATTGGCAGCACATCACATCGGCGGCACAACATTGCACAGTTTCAGTGGAATTGGTTTGGGAAATGGGACTGTGCAGCAACTTGTGAAAACCGTTAGGCGGAATAGAAAAGCAACTCATCGATGGAAGGACACTAAAGTTCTTATCATTGATGAAGTTTCTATGATCGACGGTCGTCTATTGGATAAGCTAAATCATGTCGCTAAAGAGATTCGCAAAAAGCATCATCTACCGTTTGGAGGCATCCAACTTGTTCTTTGTGGTGACTTTTTTCAATTGCCTCCCGTCAGCAAAATTCAATTCAATGAAGATGGCACGGAGCTCAAGGACGGAGCTCATTTTGCGTTTGAGTCCGAGGCGTGGAAGTCTTCCATTTCTTCAAGTATTGTTCTAGAAGAGGTGTTTCGTCAGAAAGGTGACCAGAAGTTTATCGAAATGCTAAATGACATGAGAAGCGGACTCGTTACACCAGAATCTGAGATGGAGTTCATGCGCCTCTCAAGGCCCCTCACTTGTCCAGCGGGAATAGTTCCTGCTGAGTTGTACGCAACTAGAAGTGAAGTTGATCACGCAAACAATCTTCAGCTATCGCGTCTACCAGGAGATGCCTATCTCTATGAGGCTATCGACACTGGCGAGCTCCCACCGAAGATCAAGTCTGCGATGCTCTCCAACTTTTTGGCTCCTCCAAGATTGCATTTGAAAGTGGGAGCTCAGGTTATGTGTATCAAAAACTTTGACGAAGATCTCATCAATGGCTCGATCGGTAAGGTCGTGGATTTCCTTGACCGTGATGTCTACATGGGTTACGAAGTAATGAAGGAAAGCAATACCATGACTCATGAGGAATTCAAGAAAAGACTTTTAAAGAAGAATGTCGCTTTTCCACCTACGCCTCAGAAGTCTTCTGTTCGAAGTGATGATTCAGATGTGAAGCTCGAACAAGAAGACTTGAAGCAAGAAAGTAAAGTGCACGAGCAAAAATTGGAGGTAAAGAAAGAGACCATACTTGACAATGTGTTCGACTTTTTCAAAAATGAAAACGACTCATCAATTAAGCAGGAGGATTCAAGTGCCGCGGCAGATGAATCGAGGGATGAATCGAGGGATGAATCGAAGGATGAATCTGGATTGGCATCATCTCCCTTGAGCCCGTTCGAAGAGAACAGACGCCGAAAGCTTGCTCTCATGAGACGCCTTGAGGAGCTGTCGAAGAAAACCAAATACCCCTTGGTGAGGTTCACCTGCGCGGACAACGTTACTACAAAGGATGTTCTTATCGAGCCGGAAAGATGGGACCATTTAAACGAGAAAGGTGAAGTCTTGGTAGCACGCACACAACTTCCTTTGATGTTGGCATGGGCTTTGTCGATACACAAATCGCAGGGCCTTACGCTTTCGCACGTCAGAGTCAATCTCAATAGGATTTTCGAGTACGGACAAGCCTATGTGGCTCTTTCGAGAGCGGTTTCTCGTGACTCTCTTCAGGTGGTGAATTTCCGGAGGGACAGAATCAGGTCTAGTATGCTTGTGGATGATTTTTACAAGAGTCTCACGACGGCGAACGAGCATAGAAAACGCACCTAGAAGTGATTTAATTCAGTGATATATACAGATTGTTAATGGATAACCGGTTAGAAATGCTTGATGTTGGCGTATTGTCCAATATCGCTCGTTAAAAGTATCTGCTCTAGCTTCTCCAAGTCAAGTTCTAATTTATGTTGGCGATTCGTATCGGATTTTCGAGCAATATCCTCTTTTATGAAAAGAAGGTTTGCCTCCATCAGTGCCGACCTCGAGGCCATAAGCTTTTTAAGGTAGAAGCAAAGCAAGTCCATGTTTGGATTGAGAAGTCCCAAGAGGTGGTCAGGCTGCACTTTCTTCTCGAATGCAGTTGCAGAGAGAAGTGAATCAAGACCAACAACCATAATGTTTTGCACTCCTGAGAAGCTTTGACCAATGAGGTGATATGGATGTACGCAAAGATGGGAATTGTTCTTTGAAAAGAAATGTTCAAGACCTTGTATGGACTTCGAAGGTAGCGTTTCGTAAACTTCTGTAGGAAACTTTGGTGCACAATCCTCAGGTATGGTCTTGAGGTCAACTTGAGGTGGCACGACAATCAAGAAAGGCTGAGTGCTTTTGCTAACGGTGTAGAACTTCAGGAGAGTTTTCCGAAGCATACTTTCAAAGCCATTGGAGTCTCTTTCCATAACTCGATTCCTGAGAAACTTTTTCTGATGGTTGTTCAGGCAATACGTTTGAAGTTCCTTGATGTGGAAAGATAACTTCGACAAGCCTTGCAAATAATTCAGCTCTAGCTGCTTGACCTTGACTTTCTTGAATCCCGACTTGCTTTTGGCAGATGCAAAATAAACGTTGGGTGGTAATGCAGTGAACAGATCGGTCCAGTTCCTGTGGCTGTCTAGATTGAGTTCGTCCATATCGATAAGTTTTCTCTCTTTCAGAAAAAAGGTATCCTTCTTGAGATGGATATCTATGAGATGGCGAAGTTGAGATGCTGTTTTCTCAGTTCCGTCAATTGAACTAGTGATAGGGAAATTCAGCTCTCCAGTTATGCAAAATTGCACAGGACGATATGTCAACTTGTTTTTTACACCAAGAAGTTTCGAGACGAGCTTCTCGTTGAAGTTTTCTGGAAATGCTTCTTCGCTTTCTATGGGTCTGTCAATGACGTACTTTGAAGCAGCGAAACTCAGATTGGAGTCATATCGAAGCTCCACATCATGGAGCCTCTGTTTTACCTTATTCGTGAAGGTATCACGGTGGACCCTGAGAATCTGCTTGACAGAGTCTAACACTTTCGCATGTAGTTTCCCGTTTTCGCCGTGCTGGACAAAATTCTTGCTTGTGCCACAACCAGTGCTGCTCAACATGAAGTCCACATCGTCCAAGGCTATGAGTCTGATGGATGAAAATAGGTTTTTTCTTTTGGCAAGAAGACTATGTAGGCCCGAAGGAGTCAGCACAACAAGCTGGGGTACCTTAGATTCGCCTGTAGAAATAAAGGTGGACTGACCATCGGAGTCCACGAACTCAGCACCGAAAGTCTCATACCCGATCTCTGATTCCTGAGTTTTTCTGGATGGACAGCACAACTCTGGAAGATCAGTAATGGCGCTTTCAAGGTAGAACTTGTACTTTTGTAGGAGATCATCTGTGGGCACAACGATCAACGAATCGAAGAACCTTCTTGGTTTGACTGGTGCATGAGTGAGGGCTCTATTCAACGCCAAAACTGCAATGGCCATGGATTTGCCAGATTGGGCTCGTCCTCGAAGCAGTATGCTATTCTCAGCCCTAATTACATCCCATATAGCTCTTTGTTCTGGTGTGAATTCGAGTCTCTTGACATGTGGTTGAAGCTTCAGTAGGAGGGCTGAAATGTTCTTCTCGACCCTCGGAACAAGGGCCATTTTTCGGGAATTGTCTTGATATAGACTAGAGTCTTCGACTTCATTGGGAATATTAAGGAATCTTCGCCCTAGTGCTCGAGGTATGCGGGCATTTCTTAGTAGTATCATGGTTGATATCAAGCGATGCGCATCGCACATATAACTTATGCATGCATTTTACTATGTACTGATCAGATGGAGTTTCTTCTAAACCTGCTCTTGGGGTGGCTTCCTTCCTTCAGTTTGAGATTGGTGACACCGGCAAACTTGGGCAACTTGCCCTCGTTGGCCCATTTGCCGATAGTTTCGTCAGCGTACGCCAAACCGACATTGTAGATCTCGTCAAACTTCATGAAATCCAAGGTAGCATAGTCATCGATAGGTGGGCGGAGATACATCACTCCAGGCATCTTCTTGGCAGCCTCGAGGGCGTTGACACTGGCAACATATGCCAACCGCAACTGAATGTCCATCATGTTGGGCACATTGGGGTGCTTTGAGAACGGATTCCAGCGGTTTAAAAGAACCCAGAAGCCAGACAAGGTGTCTCCATAGTTCATTGGAGTTCTGTCATCCACTGAGCCTACATCCACAGCCACAATGTGCTTAGCACCCCTGACCTTCATCTCCATGACAGGAAGGTTATCCAAGTACCCACCGTCAAGAAGCATCAGTCCATTGTAGGTAATTGGTGGAAGAAGACCTGCCAACGACATAGACGCTCTGATGAATCTCCAAGCGTAGCCTCTTTCATGAATCTCCATAGTCGAGTTTGTGATATTCGTCGAGTTGCAGAAGTAACGAATCCAGAAGTCTTCAATCTCGTGGACACCAAACACTTTCCAGATACCTCTGTTGAATTCATGGCCCGTGATGTAGGATGTCACTGGGTACGTCAAGTCAAAAAGCATTCTCCAGACCGCACCGATTCTTCTCGAGAACTTCTTTGTCATACCGTAGATCGACACAATATTGTTCTCCTTGGCATATAAACCGCCGACAAAGGATCCAATGGATGTACCGCCAATCAAATCAACTGGAATACCATGCTTCTCAAGGGCAGTTACAACACCAACGTGCGAGATTCCTCTGGATCCACCACCACCAAGAACAAGGCCAACAGCTTCGTTTGACAAGATTCTTGCTAACCTCATGAAATCATTCTTGTACAACACGGGCACATTCTCTGACTTGTTAACTCGGGCGTTGAGTTTGATGAGCGAGTTCATCGCTCTTGATTTGACGTTCAGGAACTTCATCTTGATGTTTGGATTAGCCTTGGTACCAAGCTTAATGGCAAGGTCAGTAAGTACATTCGGCTTCTTTTTTATGGGTTTCTCGGTTGGTTGCTTCACAACATCCATGTGGATGTGATGGTGGCCTTGGACCCAAATTCTATTCTTAAGCCAGATGCTTGTTGATCCTGGGAAGACAGAAGCCTCGGGATGCAAAAGACATAATTCTGTTCTCGCGGTAGTTTTAAGCTTCAAGAGCAATCTCTCGTAGTCACCGACATTTGCAGCACAGTCGTAGTCTTCAGCATCTGCCAATAACAAGATACAATCACCTTGCGAGATACAAGTAGATGTCCAAGAAGATTTCAATGGCGAATCACAAATGTACACTACCGTTTGGTATTCCTCCTCTAGGTAAGCAAAGTAACCAGAGAGTCTCAATTGAGCAAGTCTTTCATCGAAAGCATGTCTACCCAAGTGCGACAATGTGGAGGTTCTATCCAATGCAATGACATGACGATCAAGCGCTTTGAGAGCATGAACCAATTTATCTGCGAATTCACGGACAGGCAAGCCATTGGTGGCCGGCAAAATGGTAATTGTTTTATAGTCATTGTTGATTTCAACAACCGAGCTTTTGGAGGTGGTAGCGATAAGAGTGTTAGTTCTATCTCTCTTGCTTGCTTCAAGACTTCTGTTTGCGACAATTCTCGATACCTTCACCATAATGGATGGATTTTGTAACGACAACATCTCGAACAATGTTCTTGGGATTCTGGCTGTCTCAGACTCTCTCACAGCAATAAGCGAGTTTGTACGTCTCGAGGCAGTAAGCACTTCGACCTCACCAATTGAGGCACCATGACCATATTCGCCCAAGACTTCAAAATCTTCCTTATCCTGTTGATGCTTAGGTATGTTAGAATCATCAATGAGATGACCGAGGTCACTATCTTCCTCCTCATTCTCAATATTCATTTTCTTGTTTCTGACGACTCTAAAGCGACCACTCAATACAACGTGAAAGCCGTTGGCCAAGTCACCTTGCGAACATAACACACCACCAGCCGGGATGTGACACCATTCAAGAGCAAAATCAATCGTGACAATGAGGCTTGGAAGCAAGCTCTTGAGTTTAGCTGCCACAGGCAATTGAAGAAAGTAAAACTTATCCATGAGACGCGTGAAGTCATTTTTGGAGATGTGAGCCACGATGGTGCCATCATCTTTTGAACTTTTGATCGAGACTAAAGAGCGGAGACCAACAATAGAACTGAGATACCCAGCCATACCACCTGGCCTCACGGTGTAAAGACGTTTACTAACAATATCTTCCTTATTGTCCTTGTGAGACTCATGGACGATGTCTAATCCTCCATGAATAACATAAAAGAGACCAGGACTCAAGGCATTTTGCTCCACAATCACCTCGCCTGGTTGATAGTATTTCACCTCGATATGCTTGCTGAAGGCGTTCTTCACGGTGGCAAAGTTCACCTCCAGACTTGATTGTGAGGGCCTTCTAGAATTTGGTGAAGCACTTTGACTCTCGACATTTTCAGGCTTGGTGTGATGAATGGTGTTATAGAACTTTTGGGATGTTTGTGGAAAAGCGGCTTTGTAGCCGAAGTAAGATGAATTGAATGCTGCTTCTCTCCCTCTTTCAGCATCTAAGACGTTACGCTCAGTAGTGAGAGGTAACGACAGATCACTCATGAGAGAAGATAATCCAAGTGAAGAGGAGTTAGCCGAAATCTGACCACTGCTGATACCGTGCATGTTAAGCTGGGACGAATTTTCGTCAATACCCAAGAGCTTAAACAAGTTTTCAACAATGGCGATACGCAAAGACGTTTCCTCTGTTTCTTCTCTCTCATCAGAGAAAGACCTGGTCCGAAGGTTTTCTCTGCGTTTGAGTTTGGACTTTTTCAAGACGGGAGAGACGTTACTTTTGGTAGGCTCCTTCGACAATTGTTTTTGACTATCCCAGCTAGTCAAAATGTTTGTTTCATCCGAAAGGGATGAGGCGTGCAGTTTGGAGTAGTCAGACGTACGAGAAAGAGGCACGGACGAAAGCAAGTCACCAGGATGCGAGGGCTTCGACCGACTGGCAAGAACAACATACCTTGATGAGTTCTCGCGGTGAAGCTTCCTCTGACGTCTCTTTGATTTTGAAAAAATGGGCATGCTCCCACTTTCGGCTTCCTCTGCTCTTTGTTGATGGTAACTTTCAATGACACCGTCGTACAAATAGCTTGGTAACTTGCACTCCTCATGAATGGAGTTCAATGCAATCTCCGAATCAAATACTTCACGAATCAAGCCAAGGTAAGTATGCACGGTGTTCATTGTGACCTTGTACAACCGAGTAAGTACCATGGTGACAATGTGGGAAGTTGCCTTGGGGTACCTTGTTTGGACCCTTTGGAAGGCCAGACCAGGAATAATGGCGATAGTGGCAGAGGAAGGAAACTCGCTTTTTGCTGCCGATGGCTTGGGTCTAGCGACCACCTCGGGCAAATCGGAGAAGCTGTGGTCGTAGATAGGAAAGCTTCCATGCTCCATTGGCGTGCCTGCCGCCGATTCCGGTTGGCCGTGCACACTTCCAGTTGTGTTAATGCGAGGAGAATTGAAGTAATTGCGTTGCTCGTCGGCCTTTCCTTGTGGAGCTGGACTGGAACCGTGGACAGGGCTCAACGAAAGAGGTTCAATGGGCGTAGAGGTACTCAGTTGTCTAGAGTTGAGACGGCTGTGGAGAACGGGCTTTGGCCGGGCCAAAGGGTTGGTTCTATTCGAGGAAGGAGGAAGGGCTGGCGAGGACATGGCGGTATTCCTGGTGTGGAAGAGGTCCAACGTGCTAAGCAACGAGGAGAGGGCAGCGCCACTTTTTACCTCGTTAAGCAACTGGTAGTGTTGGCCCTTGATGATCAAAATATCGTCCTTTTCGGCCTTGTCCGTGTCCTCGTCAAACTCAAAGTGAGTGCCGTGTTTTTCATGCAATTTGGTGTAGACCTGGACGGTTCCCTCCACCACAATAGAAAAGCCGAGTTTCTCGTCCAAGTACAAGATCTCGTCAGCCTCGAGGCGCTGGGTGGTCATGTTCTTGGTCAATTCGTGGAACACGGGTCTCTCAAGATAACCAAACACCTTGATGGCGCTCAAGAACTCGTCCAAGTAAGTTTTGGATCTGTCATTGCCCCTGCGTTTCCGGGAGCCCGTGACATAATCAATGCTACGGCTGGCATGGCCTAAGTTATCCTGCTTGGGTGGAAGCGTATCCTTGGAGTAACGCGTGAGGTACTTGTGCCTCACGATAAAGTAGCAAAGCGACACCGTGATGACCAAACAAGTCAAGATCGACAGAAGCGACAAGGTTATCTGGAAGTTCATCTGGAGCATGTTCAAGAAGATCGTGGGGATAATCACCACTACATAGTTCATGATCTTGAAGAACACCCACAGCCAGTACCACAAGGAGGCGGTGAGGAAAGTGATGGAAGACACCGAGTCCTTTGCCGGCGGAAGCGCCTCAAAGGCAAGGGTCGTGGTTGTTTCCACTGTGTCCATTTATATGCAATTGCTCTTCTGTGAGAGGATAAAGTGAGTAGTTCCTACAAAATGCGGGAGGGAGATTTCGCATCATTTCTATAAATCTGCTCTACGACTTATAATCGGCAGGCAAGGCATTGAACCTGCGAAGAATGCGCTCGATGCCGTCCATGCCCTTCACCAATTGCGGCAATTCAGGCCCGTAACTGATTCTCACGTAGTTATACCAGATAACATCCTCGAGACGGGACAAGTTCTGAGGGTTGATCAAGAAGAAGAAGCCTGGAACCACAATGACTTTTTCGTGGAGACACTCGTGGAAGAAGCCAAGGCAGTTACTGAGCTTGCCGGGTAAATGGGAGAGATTGAGCCACAAGTAGAACGTGGAGTTGGGGATGTTCTTCTGGGTGAATGGGAAACCCATCTTGCTCAAGCGGCCAATGATATAGTCTCTCTTCATCTTGAAGTGCAATTGAAGCGCCTTCATTTCGGCCTTGACCGCCAAAGGTTTCAAGAAATCAATGGCAGCATACTGGAAGGGAGCGTTGGAACCACCATCAAGGTAAGAACCTGCTGAGCTCAAGGAGTTGATGTACTCCTCAGGACCCAAGATCCAGCAAATACGCCAGCCGGGCAACCGGAAGGCCTTGGTGAGACCGTTCAAGATCAACACAGGGTCCTTGTTCACGTCCTTGACGAATTGAGCCGAGGATATCGAGGATCCCAGGCAGTCGTCGTCATAGTAATAGTGGGAGTAGAACTCGTCCATGATCAAAAGACACTTGTCTCTGCAGATCTTGTGGAGACGTTTCAACTGGTCGGGCGTCATACACTTACCGGTGGGGTTTCTGGGTTGGATGTGAGGAAAGCAGAAACACCTCTCTTCAACTCAAGATCAATGTGGGCCAAGTGCATCTCGTAGTTGTCCACCTCGTCCAAAGGAACGGGGATGGGGAGAAGTTCTTGAAAAGCGAAAGCATCTCGGCGTAGGCGGTATAGTCGGGAAGAAAGAAGGAAAGATAGCAATCGCTGATGATCGAAGCGATACGGATCAACCCGGCTCTTCCTCCAGGGACAATACACACGTTCTTGTATGTGTACTTGGACTCCTTACCCTCACGATAAAGCGAATTGTACAAGTTGGCCACAGACTCACGAAGCTCCTTGATACCGGCAGTAGGAGCATACTCTCTGCTGACATCAGGCACCTCTATCAGCTTGGGTCTCTTGAACGAGCCTGGAATAGTATCACCGTGTTCTGGAGCACCCTGGCCCAAATTGGCCCACGAGTCGTCGCCATTACCCTGAAAGCCGTATTCGTTGGCTCGTTCAGTCACCCACAAAACACCCGTGGAGGACTGTTTCGTGTTCATGGCTGGTTTGTGGATCTCCTCATTGAAGTCAGGACGAGGAAGGGGAATAGGCGAACTCTCCCTGCCGTTTTCAGACATGGAAAGTTTCAGAAGCAAGTGCTGGTGATGTGCTCTCTGCTGACCCCAAGCGAGTTCAGGGGTGCCTGGTGGTGAGGCACTCTGGGTGTAGGTGAATCAAGATGGAGATTCAGCAAGTGGGTCTGGGATCCATTGGTGAGTTTTTCCAAAAGGGAGGAGGCAGAGCGACGGAGGGGCTGTGGTAACGTGGATTCGAGTCTCTCGAATTCAGAAACAGACTCGCTGTCTGAGCCGTAAGGGTCCATGGTGAGAAAGTGGAGTGGTAACAGTAGTTGATTTTTCAAATATGGGGTCGGCCCGGTTCAGGCGGTTGAGCGGAACCTCGTGCAGGCCAGGGTGCAAATGAGTCAGAGTCAGGCTATGTGGAATAGGGGGATGGGGTTCGGGAGTTCGAGAATGAAGAGATGTTATTGATGAGTCTGGGCTGAAGAGGAGGTATCTATTATGGAGGGGTCGTTGAGGGGGTGTCTGTTTTGGTGTCTCAGTTGTCAGATGATGCACAGCCTGGGGGTGAGAGAGGAATTCGAAAGAGGACGGAGATTAAGAAAGAAACAAGCTTAACGAGAATCGTTAGGGTATTCTGACATTTGTGCTCGAGGCAAATTTTGAGGCTTCCATGGCTTAATTGTGTATACCCAGTAGTGCTACATAGGCCTGGATCCGTTAGTGCGGTAGGGTGGTTAAGCAATCAGGTCTCTTAGCTGCAAGACACAGGAAACCTTCACTTTATTGCTTAAGGTGGCTCCGTTCTTCCTGGGCTCGAAAGGCCACCTAAGCCATGGTAGATTGATATACAGAAGTATGAGAGCAGGCTACTGGACCCTGCGTTTTTGGCCAATTGCGCAATGGCTGCAAATTGAGAAAGCTCTCAGCGATAAGCTTTAGGCCCTACTTTTCTTCTTTTTCTATTTTACTTATTTTTTTCTGTTTTATTTATTTTTTTCTGTTTTTATATTTTATAGCGTTTGGAGCAACGCAGCCAGCTCAATCCACCTTGTCGAGGTACGCCTCGAGCTCGGCATCACTGGGGTCGGACTCGCCGAATCGAGGAGCATCAAAAATGCTCAGGTCGTCGTCAGTCGATTCCTCACCGCAGAGAATTAATTGGAAAGTGAAGGGTTCTGGCGTTCCACGAAGCCCGTTCAATGGTCGAACTGTGTGGATTTTGGCCGTCGACTTCTTTGAAGCTGCCTTCCTTGGAGCTGCCTTACTTGGAGCTGCCTTCCTTGGAGCTGCCTTCCTTGGAGCTGCCTTTCTTGGAGCTGCCTTCTTTGGAACCTCCTTTGGAACCTCCTTCTTTGGCGGAGTCGCCTTGTAGCCTGAAGATAACCAGACTCCGAGGAATCCGGTGAAATCGCATGGCATGAAGGCGGGAGACGGTTCGGCTAGGGCAGCCTGCCAGAAGTAGAAATCCTTGGGGAAAAAGATCTCTGGCTGCTCTTCTGTTGTTGCATTCTTCCAAAAGTAGAAGTCGCTGGGGAAGTAGACTGGCCTGGTCTTTGGGGAAGAGACCCAGGTTTGGAAGAAGCAGGGGAAGTCAGAAGGCACAAAAGCAGTAACTTCTGGGGAAGCATCAATGCTGTAGGTCTCGGTAGTCCAAATATCGAAGAAACCTTCAAAGTCGCCTGGGAGGAAGACTGGGGCGCCACAGACATCATTCTTGACAATTTGACCACAAAAGTAAAAGCAGCCAGGCAAATAGGAGCGGTGCTTGGTCTTCATTTTTTCGTAGTTGAAAAAGTCGGCTGGCCAGTACGTCTTGGTCTGCTTTGCAAAGCAGCCGTCGAAAAATCCAGCAAAGTCACCAGCCATGTAAGGAATAGAAATATCGGTGTCTTCCCAAATATCTGAGGAATCCTCAAAAATAGGCGAGTTTGTGTTTGTGGTTGGGCTCGCCCGAACAAGCTCCTCTTCCTGAGCCCAGATGTCAATGAATCCAGCGAAGTCTCCAGGAAGAAAAGCTTCAGTGTTGATGGTTTGGGTCCAAATTTCGTAGAATCCGGCAAAATCGCCAGATGAAAAAGCCTCAGCGGCCTTGTTTGGTCTCCCAAGGTGAGAGACTTCAGTCAAGTAGCTTATTGGAGTCTTCGCAATGACTGAAGGCCTGAAGCCATTGAAGTGGCCAGGCAAGGAGGACTTTGTCTTTGGGACATGCAAGTCCTTAAGCAATTGAAGATTGCGGGAACATCTTTGAATAGTTTCGTCGTGGACAAGTGAAGGCTTGTCGGTCTTGTTGGTGAGGTACTCCCATACTCTGGAGTAGAGGGTGGAAGGCTCACAGAAGGAAAACTTGGTGAAGCTTGTGTTGCAAATGTTAGCAGCAGACATGTTATTGAAGTGGTGGGTAAGGAAGAGAAACTGTGGTAAAATGGACGTATTTTTATACCTTTCCGGGTGCCTTATTGAAGCTTGAAGCATACTGTGCTTCTGGACTTTCTACGGCCATGTGCCCATGTTTATTGAATATTTTGTAGTTTTTGGTCATTCTTTTGTTTGTTTTCCTTGGAAGAGAAAGTGGAGGAGGTGGATTATGTAGTTGGGGTCAGTCAAGTCGGAACCTTCTCTTGATGTGCAGCCAAAAGAGGAAGGTGGGGCACTGAAGAAGGAGAGATTAATCACGCCAATTTCGAAGGACATCATGCGGTATTAAACAAAATATTCATTGGGAAGTCGGGGGATTTGATAAAGAAAATGGAACACGAACAGTTTAGGAAAGAACGAATGAGCACGTCTTTGGGGTCAAGCGTATTTCCCATGTCTCACAAGCTTGGTCCAATATTTGGAGACATAAAGTGATAGGGGGCGATGAGTGATAGGGGGCGATGAGTGATAGGGGGTATTACTGGCGATAAAATCAAAGAGGTACCGTCGAGAAGGTAATAATTCTAAGTCTCCCAGCACACTCAGTCACGTTATATCACCATAAGAAGAGTATTGTAGGCCGAACTCTAGGAGCTCTATTTTAGATATAAAAGCATTATCCAGGTCCAAATTCATGTCACTCTAGCTAATAATCGATCATTGGGGCCTCTTCGAACTTTTCAGTTTGTCTTAGTTAAGTCACTTCTCTACGCTCTCGTATAGTGCCCATGGTGGAACAAAGGGAGGGAAAGCTAAAAGTTTCTTGTAATAAACTGTAAAACATCTTGCTGTCAAAAGATTACATCCCTCTACGTTGTTGCCTCTTCACAAAATCATTCACCTCTTTTGACGGGCTTCTTGACTCGGAGTCGCACGAAGAACCCCGGAGTGTCTCATGTCACAGCCAATCAGACAAAGTACCATATTAAGCTTTACTTCGCTCTTCGAGCACAAACGTTATTGTAGAAAGTAAAAGCCTTATTCGTGGTAGGGCGGTTGGAACGGAAATGCAAGTCCGAGCCGATGGAATAGATAAGCCCGTTTTCGAGAGGAGGCCATGGAAAACCGTCATAAATTTGGCTTGGCAGCTCTTACCAAGCTATAGCTTCGATTTCCTAAAAATTTTACCGAATCGTCAACCCAAAAGTCATCTACGTGTCTCGTGGTTATGTGGCCTCCACATGAGTGGCTCCAAACACGAGGGGCCCCTATTGGGAGGGGATCAGCTCCTCAGGGGCCAGAACCACAAAATGCAGATTTTCAGATTTTAACAAGATTTGAAACACACACTATAGCTGGCTATATTTTAATACGCCTGCTACCCCGTATTTTGCCATACATTCCCCAGACGCCAAAACGCCGTTTCGCAGCCAATTCGCCGATTTTTCACCTCTCATCGAAAAAAAACATAACCAGTAAGGTTTCTGCAAAATCTAAGCTTTTCACAGTGCTTTGAAAACCACAAAGGTTCCTTTTTATCCCGCTGCCCGTACATCATTACATCCTTCAGTGTAAGCCTCTTTAGCGGTGGTAGATCTACTCCGAATCTTACCGAGCAGCGAAAAACAGGTATAAATCTCCGCAGGAGCGTCGAAGTATAAATACCACAGAATATCCCCGATCTTGCCCGTCAAAAGATCTCTTTTTCAAAAAACACACATATATTCGCCGCCCGGAGGTGCTGTTTTCCCCTTCGAGAAGGCTCTTCTCCACCACGGCATTCGCAGCCATAGTGCACCCTGTGTACTACTGCAAACAACTGCCAGTCATTCAAAAAGCTTCATTCCGACATTCCTCCATCTACAACACCCCTTGATCCCGAATCAAGACTGGTTTCTTTTCCCACGTATCGCTCCAACACACCAACAAGATTTTAGCCGCCAGACAGAACATCCGCACCTCTAGATCCAGATGATATCCTCATCGTCAACATCGCTAGTTCTGTTCTACATGGGCCAGACACAGCTGAAAGCGGCCAGGGCCCCAGACGAACATGTGGATTACGAATTTCAAGAAGAACCAAGCCTGCGGCGAGGCAGCACCTTTGATGTGCTTCCTTACGCTGGAGAGGAACAACTACACAGCAGAATGCAAGACCATGGTGGAACAGGCGGCCTATTTTTGCTGCCTGTGGTCACGACAGACTCGGTTTTGCTGAAGGATACGACTGTGCTGCTGATGCTGGCGTCACTGGTGACCAAGGACTTCACTTTGGTGGATCCTCAGGTTCATGAGGAAACACAGTCAGAGCTGTTCTCGCCTTTGCTTTCTCTCCCCATGGAGATTTTGTATCAGATTGTGGAGATTGTCTACTACGACGAGACGACGTCTTCTATTCCTGCAAACCTTGAGAAGTTCCTGAAGACGATCCCCGTGCTCCTGAAGACCTTCAACCAGTTGGCCATGCGTTTCTTATACAAGTACGCCATCTTCACTCGGCCCCACTCGTTCGATAAGTTCCTTCACAACATATTGAACCAACCAGACCTCGGCATCTACGTGGACTTTTTGGATTTCCAGACCTTCACTTCGATTGGTCTCGGCAGAACAGGCAGAATGAACCAGGAGATCCAGATGGTCACCTCCCAAACTATCGAATTAGCGCTTCGCATGTGCCCCAATTTGATTGAATTCATGGCATCTGAGAACATTCAAGACGATATGGACGTCACGGTGTTGCTGATGCTCTTCAATAACCTCCCCAAAATCCAGGCCTTGGACTTCTGTGGAGCGTCCCTGAGGGCACTCGCTATGGCATTCAACGAGCTTGAAATCACCGGCTCAGATATGGCAGATTCTGATGCAATGTCTGACAGCGCTCTGACCATCTCCTTGAAGAAGGGCTCCTTGAGCAACCTCTTCAAAATCTCCTTCCACGACTGCTCTAATTTGGCGCCATCTGTGTTTGAGAAACTCCTACCACACTTCACTCATTTACGCCGCCTTGATCTCAATCACACCTCCATCACTTCTAGCATTTTACTCTCGCATCTCCCGCATTCTTGCCGACTTACGCATCTTTCCCTAGCTCGGTGTTCCAAGCTCACAACCAAGGATTTGATCATATTTTTGGAAAAACACCCCGCCGTGGCCCTGGACTCCCTCGAGTGGCTCAACCTCCAAATCGACTCCAATGTGGTGTCGCCGCTTTCAGATGTCTATCTCCACTACGTCCTTAACCATCTCCTGGCATCTAACTTGAAGTACCTCAACTTGGGGGGTCTTCCAGTGAACTCGAAAATTCTAAAGCTCATCAGATCAAAGTTTGAGGCTTTGGAGAGTCTCACAATCTCCCATTCTACTGTTGATATTTCAGACTTGGAGAACTTCATGCATGAGAACGACCAGATCAAGTTCCTTGATCTTACCTCAATCAAGTCCTTGGATCGTTGGAAGCTCACCAACTTGCTCAAGACTTGCTACAGCACCAATCTTGAGGCCATTGAATTCGACTACAAGACACTCTACGATGTCACTGGAGGTAACTACGTCAGGGTTGATGCTATCCAGACTGACTTCAGAGTCCTTGGCGACCCACAGCTCCCCCAAGTATGGAAGTTCTATGACAACGAAGGCCGTCGTGCATGGATTTACAAGATTGATTCATCTGATCCCCTGTACGACTCGATCATTTCAGGCAACAAGCTGAACCAGAACTTCGCATCGAACTTGGTGTACTATGATTTGGAGACGGGTGCAAAGATCGAAACTAAGCTGACCAAGCCGTCGTTTCTCAAGTACGCATCCAGAAAGGTTAATTGCTCCATTGGGTACTACAACCTCAACAACACGAAGAAGAAGAAGTACGTCAAGGGCGAGTTGCACGAGCTGGTATGGCCTGTGGAGTTCAGTCAAAGAGGTATTTACAACTACTATTCCTTGAACGTGAAGTGATGGAGCTATGGGGTCCAGAGTGGCTGATCTGAAGAGGAAATTCGACAGACAGGCTTCCACACGGAAAAATGAACTTTCCGCACCGTCACTATAGCCACATTCAGAGCAAATCACACGAACATGCCGAGGATTCGGAAGCCCTTGGATCTGCAAACTGTACCATAACACCAAGGTTCCGATTGTTCGAGATGAAGACAGCCCATTCAGGTTAGCAGACCTGATTATCAGCACACTTGGTCCATTGAAGCACGCCATTCACAGCTATTTTGATAGCAAAAGTATCCAGCTCCAGCTAGCTAGGTAGTCATTTAACGAAGCATATATTTCATGTAATTTAATTTTCAGTGCCGGTTGTAGTTTTTCAACGGTGGATATACCGATCGGTATATCCGAGGAAATGTGGGGAACAACGATGCAGTGCACTCATACAAATACCAGCCCATTTACACACTTTTTCACCAATGTTTGACGTGACGGAAATCAGAAACCCCATAGATACAAAAGGCATTGAGGCTTACTTGACAAACCTCCCTCCTTCAGCTATAAAAGGCACTGAAGTGCCCAAGTTTCAGGCTCCCTTCAAGATCGAGCAATTCAGGTTTGGTCAATCTAACCCTACCTACTTGATAACCGATGGTGCTGGAAAACACTATGTGTTGAGAAGAAAGCCCTCTCCAAATCGGAAGCTTGTTTCCAGATCAGCTCATGCTATCGAACGTGAGTTCTACATTTTGGACGGTGTCGCCAGATGTAACCAGTCGGTACCTGAGATAAGAAAGGTGCCAGTCCCAAAGGTCCATATCCTCTGTGAGGACGAATCCGTGACTGATGCCGTATTCTACGTCATGGAGTTCATTAATGGCCGTCCTATCAAGAGACCAGATTTGCCAGGTATCCCAGATTCTCAGAAACAGAGCTACTGGGAGGCCATTATGGTGACTATCTCCGCTATCCACTCTCTTGACGGCAACGAGCTTGTCAAGTACCTTCCAGCCAACCACTTCCCACAATTCCAGCCTGAGAAGCTCGCCAAGAACAAGGGTGGACCCAGCTACTTCCAAAGACAGATCAAGACTCTTGGAGGTGTGGAGCACTTGCAGGCACAGACAGTGGACCCAATTCCCAATTTCAAGGAGTTGATCAAATACACGGCGGAAAATGCGCCAAAAGACCCTTCGAAATTGACCTTGATTCACGGTGACTGCAAAATTGACAACTTCCTCTTCCACCCCACCGAACCCAAGATCATTGCAGTCTTGGACTGGGAACTCTGCACTTTTGGTCATCCCCTTTTCGACTTGGCCAACTTGCTCCAGCCATTCGAAATGACGAACGAATTGAACAATGCCTTCTTCCGTCCCGAGAAGGTGAACATCGGTAGACAGGTGGCTGGCTCCAAAGAGGCTGTCTTGGACAAGTTGCGCCTTTACCAACAGAAGCTTGGGTACCCTTGGAACGACGATGTGCCACTGAACAACCCAGTGGACTTGTGGACTGTCGGTGTCATTTTCGGCATCTTGAGACTCTGCGTGATTTCCCAGGGTGTGGCCATGAGAGTCGCCAAGGGTACTGCTAGTTCTGCCATTGCTTCAGGCTACCTGAGCTTATATGTGCCGCTCTCTGCATTGGCCATGGAGATCATTGCCAAGACCTCCAAGTTGTAGAATGCATGATATAGATATGACCGTGCTGGAGTATATGTTAATTGATGTGCCAGTGAGGTTCTGTTGTAGGGAGGTTGCAAATACCAATTAACAAGTTTAACGGATACCACCTCCACTGATGAATTGTTTAAAATTTCAGCGAGATAAATGTGACTAAGTTCTTGAATTGTTCAATGATTGAAGAAGTGGTTATTGGCTGCAATAGCTGGTGGATGCACCTCAGTCTAATCTTGCATGGACTCATCAAATGCGGAGATCAACTACTCACTTTCCACCCACTCTTCTTTCATGTCACTCATTGGTTTCTCTGAAATCCTGAACAAACAGTTCCCCAGAAGCGTCGTTCGTTGTCCTTTTGGAAAATGCAGAACAAGAATCATCCTTTTGAACGAGACGCTAGCGCTGAGAAGAAAAGAAATAGGCAATGCTCCACCGATGGCCAGCGATTCCAAGAACTTCTTTGAACTCGACGACGTGTGGGATTTTGACAATATCGGCGTTTCCAAGCCAACTCAGGAACTAGAGTCGAGCCTGAGAGTCGGCGACCTCGAAAAAGTCGAACGTCTCTTGATTTGCAGTGAATGTGATCAAGGTCCTTTGGGGTTCGCTGGGTTCAGAAATCCCGAGGAAACAGACGTCAAGAAGCTCTGCTACTATCTCTCGTGCGAGAGCGTTGTCTACGAGGAAGTGGCGTGACCGGGTTCTTTTTAATGTCCTAGCATTCGTCATACATATAAACTACAATTTGGCAGATGGCTTGCACTCGTCGGCAATACCCTGTGCAATGTGTCTGGCACACGCCATGGTGGAGATCATAGGGTTGGCGCCAGAGGCCGTGGGCAAGACACTGGCATCGGTGATGTAGACATTGTCACTCTCGAATGTACGCCCACGAGCGTCACACACACCGTATCTGGGGCCCTTTCCACTCATGCGGCACGTCGACATTTGATGGGCTGAGCCGTAGGGGGTATCGTATGCCGATAAGGGTGTCTCGGCAACCTTCTTACGCCATGCCTGGTAGTCGGCATCGTGAATAGAGCGCTGCTCCTTTGGCTTGTGAGAGACAAAGCGCTCCACCTGCCAAGAGGGATGAACAATTTCCTTTCCGCCCTGAATGTAGATGACATCGGCAGTGACAAGTAAGGCCTGCAAAATAGCATTACGGTCGTACTTGTTCACGTCATAATCGATAACCAACTTGTCCGGTCTCTCCTTGTCATAAGTAACAGAGCCCAGCGATGTGTCTCTGGTCAACAAGATGAAACAAGCTGCACCCTGGTACTTCAAGAGATCCTGGCGCATTTGGTTGGACGAGTCCCATGGGACGAATATACTCTCAAGCATAGGTGTGTGCAAAAGGGTCTCGATCTTGGCACCATGGGCTTTGCCGTCGAGATCGTCAACTGCGGTACAAACACTAGTCATGATGGAATTGTAGTGAGGATCCGTATGTTCGTCAAACATACCTGTTATGGCCGAGATTGGGTGCAACTTGAGGTTCTTACCAATGTGCTTGTTGCGGAAACCGGACTTCTGGAGAAGCACCGGGGAGTGCAAGGACCCAGCAGCCACAATGAAGCGGCGAGGACCCTTGATGGTGAATTTGTTTCCTGTTCTCATGTCAGTGCACTCAATGTGGGTGGTGATGTTCTTTTTGTTACGCACCAAGCGGTTGACAAGCACCTGGTCCATGAACTGGGTGCCATTCTCACTAGCAGAACGCAACCAGTTGACCATGGAACCTTGCTTGATGCCCCACTTGCATCCCATGTGACACATACCACACGAGTGGTTGGTGTGACCACCATTGTTCTGTGGCACATCCTTCGCTGCGTAACCAAGCTTCTTGCAACCATCGATAAGCGTCTGGTTAGAGAATGAATGGGTGATGTGCTCTGTGGAAGCTCCCATCTGCTTGAGCACGTACTCCATATCGTTGTCGTAGGCCTCGGTGGCGAACCAGTCCACACCAAAGTCGTCGTACCACTCCTTTCTGACCTTGAAAGGTGTCTTGAGACAGGCCGACCAGTTGACGGTAGAGCCACCACCGAAGGTAGCACCTGCCAAAATCATGGTCTGCGAGTTCCTAGAGGGAATCTGGCCTTGTCCCTCATAGAGCTCCAGCCAGCCCGTCTTATCGTCAAAGTTCAACTCCAGGCGCTGGAAGTACTTACCCTTCTCAATCACAAGCACCTTCATGCCCGCCTGGGACAAGGTGTGAGCAGTAACACCAGCACCAGAGCCAGAGCCGATTATCACAGCGTCCACGTTGGGCAAATAGAGCTCGACATTGTCGGAGGCAGGAGGCTGCATCATGGTGTATTTGAACTCGTCTGGCTTGTGGCCCTCGTATAACACTTCTCTGAGGTCGGTGTCGGGGATACCCATGGCCTCCTTGTGAATAGCGGGAGCGACACGCTGGTAGGTGGACATGGTCAAATTGAACATGAGACGGAACACGCGCTGCTTGGCCTGGATAGGGGAGTCTCTCCAGGAGCGGAGCATCTTCTCCCTCTGCTCGTCCGTCATGTCTCTCACCAACGTGGTAGAACCCGTAAGGGCAGGAGCCAAAATTCTCGAGTCCAAGGCTTGCATCAAAAGTCCAAAGAGTCTGATACTCTCACCCGTGTTGTTGGCAATCAGGTCTTTGATAAATTCTCGGAAGCTTGGAATGGTACTTGGGCGTCCAACACTGGCAGTGTATTCGTCAATTCTGTCCTGGGGGAAATCCCTGTCGACATATTCTCTGATGGTGGCCGGATCAACCTCCCGGAGGAAGCCGTCCGCAATGGCCATGAATACATCCATATGCTGCTCCGTAACGGAGTCAGGGAAGAGGCCCATTTTGTGTGGAGCTATGGACCATGGAAATGCCGCCTTATATAAGGGTCCCCACATTCGCGAGCCTGTGAAAAGGGCCGTGCAGGGAATCGACTGATACCGCACATGCCTTGTGCTATGTCCGGAAGAGTTGGTTCAGGGTTATGGAGGAAGTGTGATTGGGTGAGTTTGTGGATTTTGGCGTGTGATTGGGGTTTGAGGTTTTGGGATGTTTTGGAAATTTTGAAAAAATACGGGGTTTTAGAGTGGAGTCTGGGGTGTGCTTGACAGCACCGTGCAGTGCTGGGGGCCCATATGGTTAGTTGAGGAGAAGCGACAATCGAGGACGGAGATCTAAAATATGGCTGTGTGGTTTTTCAGGATTTAGCAATCAGCGGAATTCACAGATGGTTGTTGTTTATGGGAGTTGACGTCTGCTTGTGATGCGTGAGTGCACCTCATGCTGATGATGGGTTTGCAGCCATTTTTGGGTCAAGTGCAGCCACAACATGGCAGCGCAAATGGCAAGGAATTGGGGATTTCCACAAATCTACTACTACAAACTTTTTATAAGGGCTTTGCCGCCATTCATCTCTTCAAGTTGCCCGTTGGTCCAAATCCAAAATGTATGCGCACTTCAAGTGCAATTGCTCCGCTCATATCTCCTATATCCAAGTCCGGAGAACTAACTTCACTTCGGAGGCGTCGAGGAAAGTCCGTTGGTGAATGTGAAAATGAGGCATACCGCCTCGATAGGCGCCGGGCCTGCTGTGCATGATTTGCAGCCAGGCAAATTTTGCCCTTATTTCACCCTCATGCTCGTTTTTAGATCATGCTGTTTTGCACCCATTCTGGAGTCTTCCCCTCCTCTGCTCATCGCATGGTATTCCGAAAGTACACAAAAACAGGGATTACTCGAGCGATGACCATGTGGGAAATTTGCAAGGGTGCATCGCTTGTGGCCCAAAACAGCACAATTTGGGTACGGAACGGAAAAGAAAAAGAAAGAACGTTTTCTGGTATTGTGAGGCGGCCTCGATACCGAGCCGCTTAGCCTGTCAACTGCACCAATGACCTACTCGAACCGAAGGCCATAACTAAGTTCTCTATATCGTCTCACAGCCTTTTAAAATCCATCCAAATAGCTAAATCTTCAACCACACCCTCCTTCACATGGAGGCTTCACTAGGCCACCTGGGCTGATGGTTCCTGGCACATGCTTCTACCGGTGCGGCCCGGCTTAAGCTGGTTAAGTGGTACGATTTCGCAGCCAGACACAAAACGGCTCCCCACTTTTTCAGTACTCCAGGTTTGCTGGAAATTCGTCAATATCATTTTCTGTTTTTTATTTTTCTTTGTATTGTGAGGCTGAGAGGACAGCCGGCGGAGTTAAGCGAGCTATTGTTGGGCAGCCCGTTGAGAAGAACCCAGTGAGGTATAATGGCACCTAGCGGAGGTAAGGTGTATCTTGGTCCCGAGGGGTCTCCGCTTTGATCAATGACCAGAAAATGATGGAAAACTCCGAGGCTGCTATTGTCTGGAGATTGTAGACTACACTGTGTTTTCGTAAATGCTCATTGAACTTTTCAATACCTGAGTGCTGCTGCCTCTTAAATACCGATCCTAGGGCGCTCTGCCCTGGATATTATATCATGTCATATTCTAGTTTTTCGTTACCGTTTCGTCTAGTTTGGCGAAAGTATCTCCTCTTCCTTCACGCTGTCCGACTCTCCCATATAGTGCTCACGGTACTGTTTCATGGCGTACCCGTGTGCTCTCCATGCTGGCTTTTGAAACAAATAGTCCATGGCTTCCAATGGTACTCCTTTGGTTTCTGGATATATGAAATACACCACAACGGGGAAAACAATGGAGCAGGCGCCAAACAAAAAGTAGTAGCCGTAGCCTATATTGTCGAGCGCCTGGCCCGTAAAGTGCCCAAAGATAAAAGCCCAGAACCAGTTGGAAGAGGCGTTCACGGCCTGAGCCACTGTACGCACAGATTGTGGGAAAATCTCCGAACAAATCACCCACGGCGTTCCGTTCCATGTTAAACCGTAGAAAACAGTCCAGATGTATAGAAGACCCTGTGCAGCTCTTCCTCCTGCTGTACTGCCTGTTTCGCCAGCATCTAGTCTGGCAGCTGGATTTTCAATCTTCACGTAGGCGCCAATGTACCACATGCAAATGGTGCACGGAAGACAGATCCAAATAAGACAGGCTCTTCGACCAAGCTTATCGACGAGGAAGAAGATCCAGAAAAGCGAAGCCACCGCCTTGAGAACACCAAAAATGCCTGTAGAGAGAAGCGTGGCGTTGTTGCCGTTGACACCAATAGACTTGAAAATCGTAGGTGAGTAGTAAGTCACAGCGTTGATACCAAAACCGTTCTGCATCATGAACAAGGCCGTGCTGAGCACTAGACGGTAAACAAGGTGTTTCTTGGTGAACATGGCCTTCAAAGGTGCAAAAAAGCCTCTTCCCGTGACGGCAAAATTCTCCTCGATCGACGTGCAAATCGTCTCGAGCTCGTAGATGGAGTATGGGTGTTCAGGCAGAAGTCCACGCAAGTAGGCCAAGTTTTTCTGCGCCTGGTCCACACGGCCTCTGGAAACAAGAAAACGGGGAGATTCTGGTAACAATATCGTAAGTCCCCAGAAAAGCCCCGAAGGCACAAGCTGGATAGCAAACGGTATGAGCCACTGTTTAGTGCTAGGTGCGACGTTTTCCAAAACACCGTAGTTGATCCAGTAGCCAATCACGCCGCCCACCTGCCATGAAATTTCCCAGCATCCAACCAATTTTCCTCTTATGGCTGCAGGCGAAATTTCCGAAACATAGATTGGCGCTAGGCCTGAACATCCACCTATACCGAGCCCGGTGAGCACTCTGCCAGCATAAATAGCACCCAAACCACGGTCCAGGTTCAGAATAAGCGAGATGGCGGCGCCGAAAGTGAGCAAGAAGCCCAGAAGAAAAAGTCCCATTCGTCTTCCAAGAACCTCGCCGATAGGGTAGAAGAACAAGCAGCCAAAATACGCTCCAGCCTGGAAAACAGAAACCACGTTGGACGAGATCTGGCTCTGTTTCAGCGACAGCATCTCATTTAAGCCGAACTCGTCTTTGAACGAATCAAGAGAAACGGTGCCGCCAATAAAACCCGAGTCATAGCCAATAATGGTAGCTGCTGAAGCTGCTGTAACAGCCAAAAGCACAAGCTTGTAGTTGTAGATTTCGTTTGGAATGGGTGGAGCTGGCCCTCTGGCCGGTTCCGGCAGCGGCGTAGGAGGCCACAGCTGGCGGACTTCCACCAGCTCGGTTTCCTGTTTTTCCATGGTATGGGCCATGATGGAGGTTTTTCGAAATTTTCACCTTTTCGGGTTTCTGCATCTCCTGCACTGGTGTGGAGAAACCGTTAACGGGCAGACCGCCGGTACCGGGATCTACAGGGCGTTGACAGGGGAGGAGAGTTGAATGCTTTTGTTAGGTTTACGGTTTTACGATTTATTTGGTCTGCTTGGGCAGAAGGCCATCTGGTGTTGCGTCTACGGACTTTTTTTTTTTTTTTTTTTTTCGCTGCGTTCGTCCAGCAGACACCTATTGTGGGTTGCAGGGCAACAATGCAAGCCTCCCGGACACAATGAAAAAAAGAAGATAAGGTTTCGGCTGGGAATTGGACAGTCGAAACGGGAAGTCAGAATCGTGGGATATTGAAAATGCAATAGCCCGTGTTACAAGAATGTAGTGGATAGCGCATCGAAATGCTTGGCTGCAAAGGCGCTTGAATTCATCCTGTGCAAGTGCAGTGTGGGGTGAGACATATTAGGTCGGCCTACATTGGGAGTGTATTTCGGATTTTGAAACTGACTGTTTCATTTAATGGGGGCGGATTTTAGGGGCTTAGAGGTGAGGGCGTAGATGCATGGTTTGCAGCCATTGAGCCAAAGAGATGGTGGAGGTAGAAGTACATAAGTTGTATGGCTGTTGAAGACCAAAGATGAGTATTCGTTTACTTTTTTCATTTAGGGTAGTCTGTAGCATTCGGTTGGTGAGTTTCTTGTTGCTAAGGTGTTGTTTGCTGTGGAGCGGAAGTGGTGAGTCATATTGCGTGGGGCTGTCTGAGAGTCTTATACAGCGTCTTGCGATTTCAAGCGTAATGTGGGAAAACCTCTCAGTCGACAGATAGGCAGGGGTTGATTTCAGAAGTATTGGAGAAGCTTCAATTCTAAGCCAATTGATTAGCTTTTAGTGTCAAAAGGCTTTGATGGTTAATGCAGCTACACATCCACTACCTAGTACTGTTGCATGGACAGCACTTAGAGGGTTTGTGAGGAGATAGAGTTAAGATTGTAGGGCTTTCGATTACCCATCTCGATTGGGCTATTGTAAGCATCGAAGAGTATTCTTACGAAGCGTTTCAGACAAGTAATGAATGCTCGGTATTCCAACTATCCCAGGGGCTAGTTTGTAAATCGAATCGTCAACAACAGGTCATTAACAAGGAAACTTTGTTACTTCGGTCAGATTCGAAGAAACTTCTCGGTCTCTCCAAGTCCAGTCCAATGCAACCCCACACTCAGCACATTGGCTGCGAAAATCATCATGAGATTCCAATTCACACCATGTGAACCACCCAGTTTCATAAAAATAAAATCTCTGTTGATTCAAAGGCCCTCTCAATTAGCCCCCTCCCAATCCACTTTTGATATCCCTCTCCCACTGGTAAATGCTCCGGTCCTACACCCAAACATCTCCATCGCAGCATCATCACTATGGACTCTTTGGCGGGCTACACTTCAGACGACGACCCAGAAACCCAAACCACCCCAGACCAGACCCTCCCTGCTTTTGACAACTTTGTCACCTATTCTGAAAACTACGCCATGAAAACGAAAAACCTCCGCTCAGCTTTTGTATGTCTACCGTGGAAAGTGAGGCTGGAACAGAGAGAGCTGATCCGCCAATGCTACAAAAGGGTTCTAGATCGACTCTACAAGGAGATCCCAAGCTTGAGAACGCGATACTCCTTCCACTGCTCGATCCAGTCAAAGCAGGATATCTACGGCCGCTACGGCATGTCTCAGAAATCAGCCATGAACAGCCCCCACATTACGCTATTACCTAATCTACACGGAGACCAAAACGACTTCCAGCGGCTTGACCATAGTCTACGGAAAGCCGTGAAGGCTGCAGAGCCTGCGCCTGCTCAATTGGTGCAAAAACTCGGTGGACCCTTAGGTGATATGCTCAACAGGAAGGAAGAGATTGTTTCCTTGCGTATAGACAAGAACATCATGGCGTTCATGAGCTCCAAAACGGGAAATTTCTTCATAGCATTGAACGTGATTGGTCCTACGCAGCAGATGGAGCTGGCTGAAAAGGCATACCTTCGAGGTCTCATGAGGATGGTCTACGAGCAGGTCAAGCCACTAGGCCTCAAATGTCAATGGGAGAAGTTTTTGGGTGGTGCTCCGTCGTACAATGAGGATGGGCTTCCAGAGGTCAACTACCATTGTCTGTTTCTAATTGGTGAGGCTAAGAGCTTCGAAGAGCGGTTGAGCAGGGCTCAGTTTGACAGGGTAAAGCGGCAGGTGCGGGAGGTGGATATTAGCGACTTGGTGGGAGATATGAAAATCGAATTTGACAGTCTTTACCTTGGCTCTAATACCCGGGTAAAGAATGTTTATTCGCTTTTTAAGAAGTGAGCGAGGTACATTTCTCGTTTACGAGCGTCGGAAGTGCCGGAAGTACCTCGACTATCTAGAAAAAGGCGATTGCTACAGCTACATATATTTATTGCATTATAGAGAGGGAACCAGTGGAGAAGTAGAGTTAGTGAGTGGTCACAAAAGTGGTTTGGATGGCTAATGTGTTTTCAAACCAAAACGAAAGGACCCAAACGAACCTTTGGTCAGTTGTAGTTCTGACGTCCTCTTAATTTAATTAATCGATAAAAAAAAAAAAAAAAAAGAATTCAAACGAATCATATGACATTTGGTGTTCTCAACAATAATCGAAGTCTGCAAGTATACCATGGTTTACGACATCGGCTGCGAAATCGGCTGCAAACAATGCACATTCTTCGAATCTACGAAATGTCCAAAAGAGTCAAAATTATACTTACAAATTCCCAAGCCGCCGAACTCGTGAAATCCTCTCTACTCAATGGCACCAAAAATCCCATAAATGTAACTCCCTCTCTGTCATGTCCCTAGCCTGACAGGACCCTGGCCTGGACATGTGGTCTTTAAAGGCTGCGTCAGCCTCCACATTCAGTCAAAAAAGAACACCTCGCAAAAAAGAAGAAAGTGCACTTTACAACCCAACCACGCCATTTTCCTCCTTTTCAAACCAAACCCAATTTTCATCCACCCGTTCAGCTTCCATCGCTTCCGAATCGGCGCCAAGACTGACAGTCTCCTGCACTAACCTAGTACGCACAAGTCGCCAACTACACTTCTCCAGTATGTTCAAGAAGAAAGATAAGGAGAGCAAGAGACAGCTCATCGACATTGTCAATAACAGAAACAACTTGAACCGTTGCGGTGAATGTGCTGCAGAATACCCGACATGGGCCAGTTGGAACTTGGGTGTTTTGCTCTGTGGAAGATGTGCCAATGTTCATAAGAAGATCTTGACTGTAGATGGGCCGCTGGGAAGATCCATTTCGAGAGTCAAGTCCCTTACATTGGAGCAGTGGTCCGATGAACAGATTGACAACTTGCGCCGGATTGGCAACCGCAAGGCCAGAAATAAGTGGAACCCCAAGAGAGTGCCATTTCCAAGTGTCGATGAAGACGAGGAGGGGCCTGTCGAGGAGTATTTCCGAGAAAAGTACATCGAGGGCCGTTTCAGAGACGATAACATCGAAGGCGACGACTACGACGACCCCCGGAGTGCCCGCTACTCAGACCACAGTGGTCTTCTGACTCCAGCCGGAAGATCCCGTCTGTCCACGGTGACAAGCCGCATGAACCTCCCTCGTTTGACCCACAGAAAGCTCACCAGCTACGAGCAGACACTATACCCAACGCAGCTCCGCCAGCTCACGAATATGGGCTTCAATGACCGCGACCTTGCGTTGGAGAGTTTGATCTTGGCCCAAGGTGATCGCGAGCTAGCTCTAGATATCTTGGAGAATGATGTCAAGGTCAATCCAGGCAAAGTCGAACTTGCGCCCGACTTGCCTCGCCGTCCTCGTCCTGCTCCTGCTAGTGCTGGAGGAAGTACCAACGGTTCGTTCACAGCTCCTACAAGCCAGCCTTCCAGCACGGGCACTCCCGATTGGTGGAACAACACGCAGGCGTTGCTGGCCCAGCAGACGACAATGCAGCCTCAGCAGGGCCAGCCTCAAATCTACCAATACACTGACCCTGTCACTGGTCAGGTTTCCTATGTGGACGAGCTGGGCAACCAGTACTTGGACCCCAACAATCCTCAACACCAGCAAATGCTCATGCAGCAGACGAACCCTCAGCTTGTGGCTCAACAGACAGCAAAGCAAAATATCATGTCGCTCTACGGGCAACCCACAGGCCAGGCTCAACAGCAGCCCCAGCAGCAGCCCCAGAACACGCAGCAGAACACACAACAAGCTCAAGCTACAGGATTCCCTATGGGCCAGCAGCAGGGACAATTTAACCAATTCGGTCAAACTACGGGTGTGCCTCAGCAGGCGACCCAAGGCATGTACGGTCAGCCCCAGCAGGGCTATTTCCAGGCTCAGCCCAACTTTCAGTATGGCCAGCCACAATACTACGGGTAGACAATCGGTGTATAGTTATAAATGGCAAAAACTTGGATGAATGAGACATGGTAAAGTAATTGAGGCAAAAGGGAGGGAGATGGAGCAAAAAAAAATGCCTTCAGCCAGATTCGAACTGACGATCTCCTCATTACTAGTGAGGTGCCTTACCAACTTGGCCATAAAGGCAGTATGTGCTAAGTGCAGGTTGTAGGGCTAATAAGTTCGTTAAAGGTAGTGCCAAGCTCAAGTTACTATTTTTCAAATTTTGACATGATTTGAGCCTTGGGAACTGTATTTGGGCTCAATCTGAGAACTTGGACTCCAATGGAATTTCCCGTAAGTCACTGGGTCCGAAAATATCAGGAACTGAAAAGTTATTGGGTATTTCTTCCAATCACACTTGACAAACCCTTGGGCGCTTACCTGAAACTCCTCTGAAAGCTCCATTTTTAAGTATTCAAGGATATATTGCTAGCGTTTTGTGATTCTTTACCTTTTTCTGTCTTTCTAGCTCAGCACATCCATCGAAAGACTGTTGTCTCATTTAAATTCTTCTCGTAGGGAGTACACCCTCTTACAACTAACAACGAGAACCATGAAAAGGACCACTTCGTGATCGGAAACTCCTTAATTTTGCTCAAGAATCTGATGTACTGCAATTAGGATTACAGCCCAATCATAGAAGAAAATAAGTCTCTAATTGTTGCCTTTTTCGGAAGTATGGGCCTGATCATATTTCCATCAGCTTTCTCTTTCTGCTCGATGTAATAGAATAAGATGATGCTGAGTAGAATTCAATTGTTATAGATACCAAATCAGCTTTCCAATTGTGTTCCAAGGGTATCTAGAAGATTCACTTTCAGACCGAATGATCTATATCGATATCACGCCTCACCTTCTCATCTTCATACTTTCTCCATTTGGCAGAAATAATTTTTTTGACAGCTTCTTCATTCCTCTTTCACAAATTTATCCTCGTTTATGACACTCTTCGAGTGACCACTGCCTACTGCCGTTTGTGTGACCAAGGCAACTATACTTTCCACAAACAGCCCTGAGTACCGAGCACATACTCAAGAAAGAACATAAATAGAGGCCCTTTTTCCCTCCATTTTTTCTTCTTCATCACCACAATCAATTGCTTATCAAGATGAACGCTTTCACTGCTTTCCTCAACGCTACTTCCTCGATCGCCAACAAGGCTATCAACGCTACCGCTAATCACTTCCCAACAGCACCCTAGTGCACAATGTCTTCAGCACCCTCTGCTGTGTCTCTGACACCGCTGAAGAAATGACTCAGATGCCTCTGGAGAGACAAAGCCTTCTTCAAGTCCCAGGTACTTCCATTACCTCGGAGCCCTCTGCATCTGCTGGTCCTCATGGATCCACACAAGACTCGCCAGCCATCGAACCAACCCCATGGTGATGCCTGGAACCTTTTCCCCAGAGGAGGCTGAAGCTTCCCCAGAGTCTTTCCCAGACGCTTCTCCTGAAGAGTCGACCCCAGAGGAGTCTGCCCCTTCCCAGTTCAGAGGGCACCTTCTCCTCGCCGTTCTCGTAAGCTTAGAGCTACCGACGAGTGGCAGACTGTGGCTTCCCACAAGAGGAAGACACCTTCTCCTCCAATTGTTATTACTGCTCCGGCACCAAAGCCACAAGCATCAAGCAATTGAGGAAGCCCAAGCAGCAGACGGAGGGCAGGTACAAGGAGCCCTTCTACGATGTCAGCAAGCAGATCACGCAAGCTAACATCTTTGCCTTCCTTGGCGAATAGCTGCTATCAGTGCCGTTGTGGCCGAAACTAAAAAAAGAAAAAAAATATTGCTAGAAAACCATGAAAAGTAAGAAAAAATAAATATAATATAAATGCGCCCTGTAGGAGCTGCCCTTTTGGATACCGCCGTGATGGGAATGGCGAAGGGAATTAGTCACTGATGCTTTCAGTTGCCAAAATTTTTCATCTTGACTAAAATTGACATCCTGGGTTTCAGGGACTCGTCGTTGATGTACTTACGCACTTAGTGCTTCGTGAGTGCACATTTTGCAACCATCTATTTGAGTACTCATGAGCTCTATGTCGAAGTCAAAATGCAAGGAATGGAAAGAGAGTAGATCAAGCGAATACTTTCAAGTCTTTGTACAACGAAATTCGGTAACCCTACTTTATCGTCCTGAGAGTTGTCAAAACTGGGCTTCTGGGTGGCTACTCATGTACGGCTATGAAAACTGCGATTGATGCACTCCAGACATACGCCAAATACACAATCTAAATCAAACCTTTATAATTTCAATCATTCCCCTTCGCCACTCTTCCATCACTTCAGGGCGGCTAGGGCCCTTACATGACTAGTGGCACCACCTTAGCCCAGTCGCATCAGCCACATCACCACCGTAAATCCCCAATCAACACCAACCTTTAAACAAACCAACAAAACCTTCTCCCTACGTTCGCTAAAAACATAACCGGCTTATTTTGACCCAATTGGCCCCGCTTCATTGTCGTAAAATCCATTTTGCAACCTTCCATCCTGCATGTATCTAGAAGATTCTAGCACTATCTCGCATCGTCTAGTCACTTTGCTGCATGTCGGCCCGGACATATATAACGAGGTGGCTTCCTTGATTGCTCCCATAGATATTCCAATCTTCAAGGATGGACGAAACTCAATTCACAGACAACGCCTTGCAGATCATCAAGAAGGCCACGGACCTTGCTACGGAAGGCTCCCACTCCCAGGTGGTGCCTTTGCATTTTTTAGCAGCCATGGTTCCTACCGATGATGAGAACCTGACGCTTTACTTGAAGACACTTATACAGAAGGCCAGATACGAATGGCCCGATTTCGAGAGAATCGTGAACAGACACCTTGTGAGGTTGCCCTCTCAGAACCCACCTCCCGATGAGGTCAGATTGAGTTATGCTGCTGGACAGATGCTCACGAACGCTACCAAGATCAAGGCCCAACAGAAGGACTCTTATGTGGCCCAGGACCACATTTTGTTGGCGCTTTTGAAGGACAGCAGCATCCAGGACATTTTCAAAGAAGCACAGATTAACGTGGACACGATCAAGACCCAGGCTTTGGAGTTGAGAGGAAACCAGAGAATCGACTCCAGGCAAGCCGACTCTTCCGGAAAGTACGAGTTTTTGAGCAAGTACTGTGAAGACTTGACTGAGAAGGCTCGTGAGGGCAAGATTGACCCTGTCATTGGCCGTGAGGAGGAGATCAGAAGGGTGATTCGTGTTTTGGCCAGAAGAACCAAGTCGAACTCGGTTTTGATTGGTGAGGCTGGTGTTGGTAAGACTTCTATTGTTGAGGGTGTTGCTCAGAGAATTATCGATGGTGACATTCCCAGCATTTTGGCCCACTCCAGGCTTTTCGCTCTTGACCTTGGTGCCTTGACTGCTGGTGCCAAGTACAAGGGTGAGTTTGAGGAGAGAATCAAGGGTGTTCTCAAGGACATTGAGGACTCCAAGGACATGATCATTCTTTTCATTGATGAAATCCACATGTTGATGGGTGACGGTAAGTCCGATGCTGCTAACTTGCTTAAGCCCATGTTGGCCAGAGGTGCATTGCACTGTATCGGTGCCACCACATTTGCCGAATACAGAAAGCACATTTCCAAGGATGGAGCTTTCGAGAGAAGATTCCAGAAGATCGATGTTCCAGCCACCACCATTCCAGAGACAGTTGCAATCTTGAGAGGTTTGCAGCCAAGATACGAGATCCACCACGGTGTGCGTATTTTGGACTCTGCCATGGTTTCTGCTGCCCAATTGGCTTCTAGATACTTGACCTACAGAAGTTTGCCAGATTCGGCTGTTGACTTGATTGACGAGACAGCTGCTACTGTTGCCGTCCAGCGTGATTCCAAGCCAGAAGAGTTGGACAACTTGGAGAGAGAATTGAATTTGGTTGACGTCGAAATCAATGCTCTTGAAAGAGACAAGGACGCTGACTCTGAATCCGCTGACCGTCTTGAACAGGCCAAGAGAAGAAAGGCCGAGTTGGAGGAGCGCCTTATTCCATTGAAGGAGCGCTTCAACGAGGAGCGTAAGGGTCACGACGAATTGATTGCACTCAAGAGAAAATTGGACGAGTTGGAAATCAAGGCCCAGGACGCTGAAAGAAGACACGACAACGCCTCTGCTGCTGACTTGAGATATTTTGCTATTCCTGATGTCAAGAAGCTGATTGAGGATATGGAGATCAAGGTTGCCGAAGAGGAAACCTCCAACTCCATGTTGAACAATGTGGTTGGTCCAGACAGTGTCGCCGAGACTGCCGCCAGATTGACTGGTATTCCAGTGACCAAGTTGACCCAGGCTGAGAATGCCAAGTTGATCAACATGGAGAAGGTATTATCTTCTGAAGTTGTTGGTCAAAGCGAAGCTATCAAGGCTGTCTCCAACGCCGTGAGATTGACGAGATCAGGTTTGGCCAACCCTAACCAGCCAGCCTCCTTCTTGTTCCTTGGTTTGTCTGGTTCGGGTAAGACTGAATTGGCCAAGAAGGTCGCGGGCTTCCTTTTCGCCGACGAAAGAGCTATGATCAGAATTGACTGCTCTGAGTTGGGCGACAAGTGGTCTGCTTCTAAGTTGCTTGGTGCCGCTCCTGGTTACGTTGGTTACGAGGAAGGCGGTATTCTTACCGAGGCAGTCTTGAGAAAGCCATACTCCGTCATCTTGTTCGATGAAGTCGAGAAGGCTGCACCTGAAGTCTTGACTGTTTTGTTGCAGATTCTTGATGACGGTAGAGTGACATCGTCTCAGGGTAAGGTGATCAACTGTTCCAATGCCATTATCATCATGACGTCGAACTTGGGTGCCGAGTACATCAATGCATCCAAGGGTACCAAGATTGATTCTGAAACGAAGGACTTGGTGATGACTGCTGTCAAGTCACACTTCAGACCCGAGTTCCTCAACCGTATCTCTTCGATGGTTGTGTTCAACAGATTGTCCAGAAAGGCAATTGCCAAGATTGTCAAGATCAGACTTGACGAAGTACAGAAGAGATTTGCCGCCAATGGCAAGTCACTTACGTTGGATGTTTCAGACGAAGCCTTGGAGTACTTGTGCAGACACGGCTACTCGCCTGATCTTGGTGCCAGACCATTGAACCGTCTCATACAGAGCGAGGTTTTGAACCGTTTGGCCATTTTGTTGTTGAAGGGCCAGATCAAAGACAAGGAGACTGCTCGTGTTGTTCTTGGCAAGAAGGGATTGGAGGTTGTACCTAATCACGAGTCCGAGGACGTGGACATGGCAGATGCTGTTGAGGACTGGGAGGACAGTGAAGACTACGATGATGTCGACGCCCCAGTTGACCTCGACTAAGAAGAACGAAATTTTGATTTTGGAGTTATAAATAGAGATACCTAATACAAATTAATGATGATATCTAGTGTAGAAGAGGAGCCAAGTGTTGCTGATGTATTTACACACAGTTTTGTGTGAGTTTCTGATAATGAGGTGTTAAACGTATAGAAATCTTAAAACAGTGATTGAGGAATAAGTTACCAGAAAAGTGTCCAAATGTAAGAGTCAAGGCCATGGCCATAGTCCTAGTGATAGCTTTTCGCAGCCATCGGTGCATGAAGTATGCAAAAGAAGACAGGCACTTCAACGCAATGCACATGACAATAAGGAAGTAAATTTAAAGCCAATTATTCCCAATTAGCCTTATGACGTTCATTTTCTCTCCGTTGTCGCCACCCCCTTTGGGAAAATGACTCATGTGGAGTCGAAAGTGGCAACTGATATGAGTCGCGCACGCAGGCTCATCACAGCAGCGAGAAAAAAATCCATATATATAGCTGCATCCACCACAGGTACTACTCCATTATGGCTAGCAGAACACAATTTGAAAACTCCAATGAGGTGGGGTCTTCTCCAAGTTGACCAATTCCTACTGTCTCGTTGCTGTGGGCGGATCCGAGAACTTCTACTCTGCTTTTGAGGCGGAACTCGGAGACGTTATCCCAATTGTGAGAACCACCATTGCTGGTACCCGTATTGTGGGCCGTATGACCGCTGGTAACAGACGTGGTCTTTTGGTTCCTACGCAAACCACTGACCAGGAGCTAATGCATTTGAGAAACTCGTTGCCAGACAGCGTCAAGATCCAGAGAGTCGAGGAGAGATTGTCTGCTTTGGGTAATGTCATTTGCTGCAACGACTATGTCGCTCTTGTGCACCCCGATATCGAGAGAGAGACCGAGGAGTTGATTGCCGATGTTCTTGGTGTGGAGGTGTTCCGTCAGACCATTGCCGGTAACGTCTTGGTTGGCTCTTACTGTTCGCTTTCTAACCAGGGCGGTATTGTGCACCCCCAGACTACGATCCAGGACCAGGAGGAGTTGTCTTCGCTTTTGCAGGTTCCTCTTGTCGCCGGTACCGTTAACCGTGGTTCTTCTGTCGTTGGTGCTGGTATGGTTGTCAACGACTGGTTGGCTGTTGCTGGTTTGGACACCACGGCGCCTGAGTTGTCTGTTGTGGAGTCCATCTTCAGATTGCAGGACGCCCAGCCTGATGCCATTGCAGGCAACTTGAGGGACACCTTGATCGAGACGTATACTTAGGGATAGCATCGGATGTATTATAGGAATGGGAAACTCTACTGTCGGTCCAGCCAGCACTTGTTGCATAGCTGAGGCAGCGGTAACTTAATGCAGATCTAGTTGTAGGTAGATGAACCGGTGAGGTTTTGATGAATGAGTTGTTGATGAGATGGCATGAGATAGGCTTGGCCATACACTGGGAGCTCC